GGGGGGGGGGAGGCGTGGTGTTGATTGGCAAGCTGGCCTGCTTCAGGGTCAGAGCTGGGACGGAGGCAAGGTGGGCTTTGGAGCACGTAGGGTCGTAGCCGTGCCAGGATCAGAGAGCATCGCGAGTATGGTTACTTGGTTTGTTTTGATTCCCACCTATCTATCATTTATCAACTAACTTATTTTCATTTTTCATTTTTTTATTTTTTTTAGCTCTGAAATAATCCGCATTAATCGCGAAGAAATGTCTCGCCAGCCCTGCGCGCCGAACTATCCAGTTCCGGAACTAAAGTTAGGGGCAGACTATAGAATTGGACAGGACACGACTCCATATATAGAAATTCAGTAAATAAACAAAGAATAAGAATGAGAAAAAAAAATATAAGAAAAAAATAAAAACAATGCAGGGCCAGAGAAGATAACAAAAAAAAGAAAGAAAGACCCTCATCTATACCGCCAAAGAGCCCCTCCCCCCTCTCTTAACCCCTCCTATGTACGACTAAATAATGCTCGTGTATACATATCATATCACATCGACAGGCAGAAGCACATGTCCACGGAATGGCACCACGATAACGCGCCGGCAAGGGGGCCCGCGACGATCAAGATCAGAAGATGAAAGACGAGCCGGGCATCGAGCATTTCCCGCCCTCTGCCATCGAGGAAATCGAGATGGGCCGCTGTCTTCAGGGGGCCACAGGGAGGCCTATCCCTGTTGAGGGGACTGTGGCCGAGGGGGGGGGCGCTGGCTGGGGGCCCTGGCACCTGGGGCCTGGGCGCGGCGCGCGGTGCGGTGCGGTGCTTAGGGTCGGGTGCTAATTGTAGATGGGTTAATGATATATTTTATTTTATTTTATTTGAATATTCATTATTTGATATTTGATAAGCAGGGGAGAGTCCGTACCAGCGGATGCCTTGGAAGTTGGATATGTCATAGCCATCATGGGGTCGTTGTTCGGATATTCCTCGAAGAAGATCATCGTATTGTTCTGATCTTGCTCTGAGAACTCGCCGGTTATCCCTGCCGGCGGCTTCGTCCTCGCGATGGCTCTGGGCTCCCTCCATCGTCATCATCATCGTATCCGTCGATTCCTCCGCGAGATTATCATTCCCGTACTTCGTCGATCAGATCCGATCGGATATGGTGGTACCTCCGTCCTGCTGATCCCTGGACGAGCTCCCGAGCAAGCCTTCGCCCCGGCCCCCTACTCCGTACATCATCGCCCCATCGACCCAATACTCCGCAACCTAAAGATACGTCTCGAGACTCTAGACAAAATAAGATCACATCCAACGTCCACTATGCAGGTCAGTGGGAGCCACCTAGAACTGAACTCAGTAAGATCAGACGAGCGAGGGAGAGGGCGTGGAATCCCGTCCTGAAACCCTTCCTATCGACTCCTGTCAACGGCGATCCCTCTCCCTTGGATATTAGGCCCTCCCCGCGAGAGGCCCGTTTTCAGGGTTTCCCTCCGTCACTCGTGAGACATTCTTCCTTCTGGCTCTGTGCTTCGACTCGGATCCATTATTCCGCCCCTCTCCTGTCATATGGCTCGGCGACAGCAGGCGAGGTGGAAAGATACGCCGTCGCGGCCGTCGTCGTAAAACGTGCCGGCGGTCGAAGCGTCCACGTCTCTCTCTAGGCTAGGTCGTACGATATTCCATCTTCCACACATTTGTTGTCTGTCTTCTCGTCCGCAGGGGCGCTACGTGAATCACCTCTCCGAAGATCGTCATATCATATCATATTATAACACTTCCTCTTCGATGCTCCTTCCTGCGTCCCCGACCCCATCTTGTCCTTTCAGTATATTCCCGCTTCTGTGATACTCGAGGGAGGAAAAAAGCAAGAAATATACCCTCAAAGAGCAGGACAGCTTGTTTTTATTTTGACGTTTGAGGCGCGCTCTAGGACTTCCTCTCGTGGCAGACATGCTCGAGTGGAGGCCAGAGGAGCGCCTCGTCATAGAATGTATCTATCTCTTGCCCCGTGGCTTTACTGCCGGGGTTCTGTAAACACGCAAGTAATATCTGCCAAGGTGTTACACGACAGATTCCAGGGATCTTTCCAAAATTCAGCCCCGGATCTGTGTCTCGTTGGAGAGATATCCTCCGTTGAGCAAGTTTTATAGGAGGAGATCGATCCTAGGAGTCGCAAGAGCAAACACACCTACTCCGTAAACCCAAGTTAAGAGGCAATGCAGCAGGGAAACGCGGCATATCCAGGATATGCGGGTATCAGATCTTGAATGCTTCTAGATCCCGCTCTTGAAGCTTAGGAGGCGCTGGGTAGTATAACGCAAACGTGTAGAGCGCAGCCAATCCACGGGAAACGCGGTACGGCTTTCCTTCTCATTCCTGTAACGGTCAGCCGATCAAGCCGTCGCTCATAATTGTCCCGATTAGTCGTCTTTTGCCCTTGTCACCTTGTGCCATGGCCATGCCATGACTCCCCAGTAAAGTCCCCAAGTCAAGACCCCTGCCAGCCCTGCATCGTGGACGGCGGAGCAGATCTACTGCCTATCTCCGTAGTACATGGATTATGCTCATCTGCCAGAGACACGGCTCATTGTCACCATTGTTCGGGCACACTCCCTACGAACCACCCAGTTACTTACTATTACCTGGCTCCGCGCCCCATGCAAGAAGCCATGATTTCATGTCCCCTCCTCGTTTCCAAACTTTCTCACACCTCTCAATTCCGCGGCGGGGGTAGGGTTCGTCACCGTACAGGAGCCCGGTTGCATCGAGAGGACAGCCGATACCTGCTGGCAATATCCTTGCACTGTGCATCTCGACCTGTTCAAAGCACACTCTCCAGCCTCACGGCTCGAGGAATCCCAAACGACGCACGCACTATGGCGATGACAGCTGCATGTCTCGGGATCCTACAGCACATATACTGCTTACTCTCCGAACGAATTGCACTGACGGCCACTGTATTCAGAGGTGTTCTCTGGCCCGAGACCACCGTTGGAGAAGAGAAGAAAGGGGCACAAGAGCGAGCGAGGCATTACCAATCTATCTAGACCGGGGCTGCGGATTCCCAGGCCGTGTCACGATCGGATCGATCCTCGGGAGGGCTAGCTGGATCGCTTCGCGCGCGATCAGAATAATACGTTCCCAGGAAAAGGCGAAGGTCTTAACTAGCATTTCCTCCCCCGCCCCCCCTTGAAGCTTGAATTCAGAGGCTTGGGCAAAGCGAGATGAGGCCACCCCCGCGGCTGAAACCTGGACAATCGTACGTTCTTCAGCCACTTCCGATCCCTTCCCCTCGAGGGTACGGTAGCACCCAGGGTCTCGATCCCAAGGGCAAAGCGCTGGACCGCGGTGTGGCAGCCGGGCCAGTCAGAGCGAGAAGAACATGATATTGTGGTCTGCTCTGTATCCATCCAGTCGGCGAATCTTCGACGGCGTATTCAAGACAGCACAGGACCAATACAAGGTTGAAAGCATGCGCAACCAATCAAGTCTCCGCCCTCGTAGCTCGCAGCTCAGGAATCGTACGAGAGCCCTCTTCTGTCGACAGGCAAGCAAGCCGGCCTTGTCTAGACATATGCTCGTGGTTGATCCAGACGCGCGAAAAGACGTTATGAGATGCTCTTGCATCGAGCTTGAGCCTTGAGCTTGACCGTTGAGCAGCGATAGCTATAGCACAGTACTAACTGTACCATGATCCATTAGCCAGCAGCCAGCATCCCCATCATCCCACGCAACTTACATGCGGCGCTCGACGGCGTGGGATTCTGTAATAGTATGTAGTATGTACAGAGTTGTACCTCACGGAGGGTTGCCACGCGATCATCATGGATGAGCCTGGCACGAGAGAGTCACGGCTTTTGCCGTCCCTCCTGGATCTCTCTGAGCCTCTCCCAAAACAAAACTTCGAACCTCCAGAATTCCAGCTTCAACATCTCTTCTCCTCTGACACCCCATCTCATCACATCACATCACACCGCATCGCCCCAGAAACACGCCGTCCGGGGCTGCTGTTGGTTTTCTTCATTTCAGGGTGTGCGCACAAACAAGCATCTTATGCAGCGCCTCCCACTCCCCCATCCTCCAGCCTCTGCCTCGCCTTGATCAGCAACTTAGCAAGTCTCATCCGCGCGGAGGGGTTCGCAACGCTCGACGAGGTGTCGACCATGCACCGCTATGCGTTACGATCATTCGGTGCCATGCTGGCCGCAGATCTACAGAGGTACAGTGGTGAAAGCAGCAGGCAGAGAGCATCCGAGACCCTGCTCTCCCCCCTTCCCCCTTATACTCCACTGCCCACAGGCTCTTCCCTGCGTACGGCCCCGCGGAAATTCCCGTCCGTTGACATCTTACAGTAGCCCTGCGACGTCAGATACGCGATCAGATCGATTCGACGTCCCCTTGACAGCCTGCACGCGGTGTGTTGACCATGTCTCGCGCGTTGGGATCAGGTAAAAACCGTGATACGTAACGGCGACTTGGTAATAGCGCTTTGGCGTGACTCTCGAAGCAGAGGAGAGGAGGATCCAATGTACTGTACTGTACTGTACCTGACTTAGCACGTCGTGCGTGTCCACGAAAGCAAGAACTAGAGCCTGCCTCATTCCTCAACGCGCCGAACACCTCACACCCAGCAACAGGAGATCCAGAATAAAGGGGTGGGATGGAGCCGCGGTGGGGCTCGGGGATTAGTGCAGGCCCCGTCTCCAGTCTCCATCTCCATCGACGGTTCGGAAGCGGTCCAAAATGAGGAGCTTCCGAGGATCCCGATTATTGGGACTCCCTAAACTCCTTAGCACTTAGAGGCTGGCTAGTCTTTAGACACTTCCCGAGCACTCAAGGAGTAGTCCAGGTCCTGTCGAAGTGGTTCGAACTATCGTATCGACTATCGACGCTTAGAGGGCGGGTTCTAACGGCGGCGCGGCCAGCACTACCCAACACCCCCGTCAACCCAGCGGGCCAGCCAGCACCGCCTGGATTATTATTCTTCGCGCTGGCTAACCCGCTTGAGCGCTCGTGTGCGGAAGATCCTGAGACCTAACGGTTGAGCGAACGAGAACTGCCGATGGCCGATCTCACATCCTGGACGTCGACCATACCTGCTTGGGTGCGTGAGGGGATCCGAGCCCCTACAATCCAGTACTGCGATACGACTGTACAGGACAATACAGTAAGCACTACAATACTACTGTACAATTCAGTACAGTGCATGTGGACTATGTACTGCCTACAGTACACGCTGCACAGCCAGTCCTGCGTGGCTATGCGATCGAGGCCATCCCATCAATGATGCTGCCCCATTGCTGGGCTCTGGCCCCTCCCTAACCACCGGAACCCCCTCTCCAGCGAGTAGCAGACGCGCAGGAGGAGGCGCTCATGGACAAGGACAAGGACGGCAGAGTGCCAGAGTGGTGACTGTCTCCGGCCCAGCCAGCTCATGCTAATAGGCGACCGTTTCTTATTCTACCGAATCGACATCTAGATCGACAGCATCTAGATCAAGATCAAGATCGAGATGTCTCTCGGCAAGCATCCTTCGTCCCATGATTCTACGATCCCACGATTCATTGCCTTACATGGTATGGTATTCGGTGCCAGCTCATTATTCATTGCCATACTTCTTCATAGTACACCGTAAGTACGGTGCACACAGTTCCAACGGCCACCCCCCTATTGACCACGGTGGGTTCCCATGACCCATCACCATCCTCTCCAAGCATCCCGACAGCCCCAGGGCCCCAGTCAAAAAACGCCCAAAACGCCCAGAACGCCAACCAGCAAAACCTTCAAGCCAAAAAAAGAGAGTCGCCTGAGGTACCTACCGTACCATCGTCTATCGAGCATCGACAATCGACCGATCTCACGCATATCTAGCCCCTGAACCCTGCCCTGCCCTGCTGCTAACCTCGATTCCCCTTCTCACGTCGACGAAAACGGCTGCTTGGGTCGGCGTGCCGTCGTATTCGTACTTCGTATTGGCGGTATGGGCGCTTGGGATATGCGATGGGAGGGACTCGGGAGGAGGCGGACTTGTTGTAGAATGGGACGGGAGGTGATGCCATGCCATGCGATGCGCTGTTCACGATGGCGGGACGCTCGGGACGGGGGCGTTGTTCTTGGTGCTGTTGTGATTGAAGTTATTTCTGTCTTTGCTGGTTTTGTTGTCTCTTGTCTCGGCCCAAACACTTCATCAGTATACGCATACTGTATCAACATCTTCCCCTGCCCACCCCGATCCCTACCTCCACCTCAGATATCCTACACGCAGCGCCTCACCCACCTTCCCCCATCTCCAACTGAGCCGTTCAGCCGACCACCCCACAGGACACCTCACCGGGTCATCTAGACGCACCTAACCGGCCCTCCCTGGTCCCCGACTCTCAACGGCTTGATTCCGGGGTACATGGCGAACCTCTACTCCGTACGCAGCGCTCAGTACACACGGAGAGCTCTGCTAGTCGTTCCGGTGCCAGCACAGCACATGCAAAATGACAGATCAATCTTTGCTCTAATTTCCATTTTGCGTTCTGATATGATAGGGAGGTATTTTGGACTTCTCTATTTTGCTCATCAGCATCTGCTGTGTATTTGCATACAGTATAAGGACCCTGGACGCGAGTTCGTCGTGCGCGCAGTTTGTATAGTCGCTTGCCTGCTTGCTTAATAACTATACATACAGCAAGAAACAATTCATTCAAGCGCGAAGTCGCGATATCGATGTATAGCTAGTGCTAGACATCACTCTTTGAACTCAGATCGTGTTCGGGCAGGCTGATGGGGATACCTAAACGGGAGGTGAAATGGGGAGGTAGTACTTATTCAGAGGTATGGATAGATGGACTGAGAGAGGGGCGGGTAGGTGGATTCTCATCTCATCTCATATCCACATACCGGCTGCGGGATCAGGATCCTCTTTTCCATATAATCCGAGATTTTCCTCTTCCCGCTGGTGAGATGGTATCCGAAGCCCGCTGAGACTGCGTCTATGCATTTCTTTCCTTTCACTAACTAGAGATCTATAAGGCAGAACTGTGTAGTTCTAGGACTCTTATCTTTTTCAGATTAAGCAAGATAAGAGCCAAAGCCAGGGTTTTATATACTGATGATTGTATACTTCTCGGAAAGTATTTCAAAAGCCCAGCGGGTTTTGCCAAGGGTGTGAATAGATGAATCTCTAATTACCATGCGAGTAAGTTCTGCGCTGGTTTAAAATTCAGATCCGCCTGATTAGGTATGCCATGTAGCATATCTACTCCGAGTCCTTTCCGTTTTCCAGAACCTATTACGAGGTAGACGGCTGATCTATTTCGATTGGAGTACCGTCAGAAGAAGCACAGATCCTTCATACACACTGTAGAACATTTTGGGAAAACAATACATACTTCTGTATCAACTAGTATTCAACTCTCCTTACTGATACATACTCACATCTCGATAGTTTCGACGAAAGATTATCTTTATTCTCTCCCCTCATTTCCAAAACGACTCTCTGTTCTAGATCTAGGTCGGGTTGGTGATTCTTTGTATGAGAGGATCCTGAATTTACTGAGTATGTAGTAGTACAACATCCTCAGAGTTTCACTGATAGGTTTGAAGCTGTATACTGTATATACCTGTTATTACACCCTATCTAGGTATGATAGTAGGTCTATGCTATCGCGCTGCAAATGCACTGATGGTCTACCTAGACATCTTCTGCCTGCAATATGGCATTTCAATTCTCACCCAACAAACTTCTTTTCTTCTTTTATTCCATTATTACCCTCCCTACCTACATAGCTGCCAGCTTCTATCTATCTAGGTAAGGTAGGTAAACACCGCATTAAAATCTCTTACCGCAACATCACATCCCTTTATAATAGGGGCCCTGATGAAGTATCAGCATATCTATCTATACCTCAGTATTTTAAAATATCGATCTCGGACCTACCCGGGATTGATATACTGCGGCTGCATGCATTGAGATAGGTAGGGCTATCTATGTTGATCATCGAGGAGATTCAGGTTCTAAAATCCGAATATTTTCAATGGATTGATGGTGTCCCGGTGATTGGGTTGTGGAATTTGTTCTATGATGAGGTAGATATGCCTATGGATCATGATCTATGGTTTCTATGGAGAGGGGAAGTTCTTGATATAATGGATTCCTTTTTGGGTTGGTTCTGGCTTTCGATCGTTATTATTCTATTATTCCAATTTACTTCTCTTCAAATCTTCTCTGTGGTAGAAGTTACTCCTCTCCACTTGATTAATTCATGACCGACTGATCATTTCTCAAATAAGGTACCTACCTACCTACCTAGGTATCATCAATCATTTCACTACCTACTCATCCATCCTCTCCGAACTTCCTCTTTGAACCCTTCCTCGTCGAAACTATCAAAAACAATCAACCAACCAACGGTCTTATGGTCTAGTGGTATGATTCTCGCTTAGGGTTCACCTTAAGTTCTTTCTTGCGAGAGGCCCCGCGTTCGAATCGCGGTAAGACCCAGTTCAAATTATATTTTTGGAGCTTTTTTTTTTTGAGGGTTTTCCTTTTTTTTTAAAAAAAAAGAAGGAAAAACAGAAGAAAGAAAAAAGCTTTCGTCAACTTGACAGAGGTTTTATTCTCGTTGTTTTACCGCGCTGATAGATCAACAAAATGCACATATATTTTGATGGGAGGGAGTCCTTTGTGCTTTTCGAAAGTCGTCTGTTAATCCATTGTCCAAGATCCACGCCTCCGTGAGTCGCATAGATGAAGACAAATGGACCGACCGATATTGGCTTTCCCGAGCTGGAAAACAGGTTGTTTAGCATTCAAAGCGTTCATACGCCCTTCGCCTTTGGCTTCGACGAGACGGCGCATGAATACCTTGTCCAGATCTCTAGATCTTCGGACAGTCTCCTTGACATCGCGATGGGAGTGTGCCACGAGATTGTTGCCCGGCACAGCCATGTCAGCTGTGCCTTTCCACACGTTATCAAGCCATGTTTCACAGATTTTGTCTCCTAAGGAAAGTCGAAAGCCGCTGCCATATAGATTTTGTTGTTGCCAAATCGAGGTTTAGAACAATCGCGCTGGCTGTGTCGCTACTTCGGTATTTTTGAGCGAAATCTTCGAATGCCTCGATTCCTGTGCTTGACCATGGAGAATTCGGAGGGACTAGGCCTTTCCTCAGTGCCTGCCTCACCTCCTCACGAAGAATGGGGAAGAGTAGTCGGATTCAGATGCCTATCAATTCGTAATGCCAGCTGAAGCGATATGCTTAGAGCAGTGTCTACCCATTCGCAAGCACCTCCATCTTTGCAATCATCTCTGAAAGCAGTGATTCTCCTCGATGTGTCACGAAGATTGTACTCCGTATGGCAAAAATGGCAGCGGAAGCCGTGAGTCCTGTGCTTTGTAGGTGATTCGTTCCGAGAAATCAAAGGCGACGTCTCAGGTCATATCGTAGCGACAGCATTTTTCGAATCGCGTCTGATCTTCCAGTCCTCCAATGGGTCCAAGACTGCCTAAGCACTTCAATCCTCTGGTGGCGGGTTTCATTGGCAAATGTCGAGTTTGCTCTGTTAAGCAGTGAGCATGAGAATCTATTCAAGTATAGTGTTGACGATACCTGCGGCCTTTCTGTACCGGGCGAGAGTGGCACGGCGATGTTCTAGGAAGAATATTACCATTTCCCTTGTCTCGTCGTACTCGTCGACTGCTTCTATCGCCGAGTCATTCTGGGCACTTGTCGACGACTCAATGGCATCGAGCGGATTGTAACCATCTTCCTTGGTCCAGTCTTCCCGTTGTTGAATGGCGGATCCACTGCTTATCGCTGAGAGTCTGCCTCAATGGCACCCTGAATAACCCCGCCATCAGGAAAGCTGCTCGCATCTTCGTCGAATCAGTACTGACAACGTCTGCGCTGATTCAACTTGGCAACCACTATGATGCATTTGTCCCTGTCGCTTGTGTTCATTGTCGATGAAAAGGAAGTGGAGGGACCTTTTGCCTCTCAGGAACTGAGAAGAAGTTAATTCCAAGTGAGGCTCTGAGGATCAATTGACGCGACACCTGCCCCTCGTTTGGTGCCTTAGGCGACGACCCTTAGTGGGATTGGCGCACAATTACATCAACTTCTTGCAAAAGAACTTCTTCAATATCAACGTCTTCTACATCAGCTTCTTCCACTCCTAAGCTCGTCAAACAGACGTCGTCCACAATGTCGGACGACTCAGCGAGCCAGACTCATACGCCGTCACAAAGATACCTCTCTACTAGGGGTGGTGACTACAATGTACGCCATCGTAACATGCGGTACCCCTCGACAGCCTGCTAATCTCTCCAAGCTCTCGTTTGAAACCGTTGTGCTCAAGGGACTGGCCGCAGATGGCGGTCTTTTTTTGCCTGAAGAAGTTCCGGTAGTAGAGGATTGGGTACGTATCCGCCGCGTTAAACATATCGCTTTAGCACAACTGTTTGTCTGATCAATGACTGATGCGCATACTTAGAGAAGTTGGAAAGACCTATCCTACTCCGAACTGGCGCTCCAGATCTTCAGCCTGTATATATCACCCGATGAAATCCCGAGGGACGATTTGAAAGCCATCATTGATCGAAGTTACTCGACCTTCCGTGCGAAGGAAATTGTACCGTTGCGGCATCTCAAGGACAATCTATATCTGCTTGAACTATTCCATGGCCCGAGTTATTCCTTCAAGGATTGTGCGTTACATAGAGACATGGCTGCTTCGTTCAGCTGACAAAATGTTAGGCGCCCTGCAATTCTTGGGCAACCTCTTTGAGTATTTTCTTGTTCGGAGGAACCAGGGGAAAAAAGGAACAGGTGAGTTCACAGAAGTATCTTGAATTGTGCCAGTAGCTCTGGCAAACTCGAAACGAGGCCACAAGAACTAACCAGCTACTAGACAGACATCATCTAACAGTCGTCGGCGCGACGAGCGGTGATGTAAATCCATCTCTCACAAGCCCAGTTCTAGCAAAGATACTAACATATCTTTAGACTGGGTCTGCAGCGATTTATGGCCTTAGGGGCAAGAAGGATGTATCAGTGTTCATCCTGCATCCAAAAGGTCGTGTCAGCCCTATTCAGGAGGCCCAGATGACCACTGTCTTGGACAGAAATGTCCATAATATGGCCGTAGAGGGGACATTTGACGATTGTCAAGTAGGCATTGAGCATGATAACTCAAGGCATAAGCTAACAGTGTAACCAGGATATCGTCAAGGCGTTGTTTGGCGATCCTGATACGAACCAAACTTTGAAGCTCGGTGCTGTCAACTCCATTAACTGGTCCAGGATACTCGCTCAGATCGTTTATTACTTCTACTCATACTTTTCGCTTGCTAAAGCATCTTCATCGTTCAAGATAGGAGATAAAGTCAGACTCGTGACTCCCACTGGAAATTTTGGAAATATCCTTGCAGGCTATTTTGCAAAGAGGATGGGCCTGCCCGTGGATAAATTAGTCGGTGCGTTTGTTCGGGTCTCTTTATGCTACATCGGCTAACGTTCGGTCCTTGTTTCTAGTGGCGACAAATGAGTAAGTAACCTGATAACTTATTTCCTCGGTAGTTTGGGAGTTTACCCTGCGGCCTTGAAACGAGCGTCTGAAATATGCCTTGGTCTTCATTTTACCCCTATTGATGGCAACTACTGACTCCTCATGTTGAAGGAACGATATCCTGGACCGGTTTTGGAAGACTGGTCGATATGAGAAGCATCCAGTTCATGGCGAAGACGCACAAGGTGGTCTGAAAACCGATGGTGTAAAGGCTCACGGAGACGGCTGCAAGGAGACTCTGAGCCCAGCTATGGATATTCTGGTCTCTAGCAACTTCGAGAGACTTATGTGGTTTCTAGCAAAAGGTACGTATTTCATGTCACCTTTGGTGTCCTCTTCTCCGCTGACTGGTTACAGAGTTTGCGTCAACACTTGGCTTGAACGATCAATTTAACAAGGAGAAAGCTGGGCAAGAAGTCTTGGCCTGGTATCAGTCACTGAAAGCGACAGGCGGCTTCGGGCCTGTGCACCAGGAAATCTTGGAAAATGGTCGTCATAGCTTCGAGAGTGAGCGTGTGAGCGATCAGGAGACTCTAGAGACCATCAAATCCTATTACGAACAGACCGGATACGTGCTAGATCCCCATTCGGCAGTCGGCGTGGCCACTGCGGAGAGATCTATCGGTCGTACTGGCTTACAGACGCCTCACATCTCGCTCTCAACTGCCCACCCTGCCAAATTCTCAGGGGCCGTCAAATTGGCTTTGAAGGATAACACCGGCTTCAATTTCGAAGAGCAGGTGCTTCCTCCGGAGTTCGTTGCTCTTGACAAGCTGGAGAGGCGCGTGACAACGGTGGAGAATTCTTGGGAAAAAGTGAGAGAGATTGTCAAGAAGCAGGTTGACGAGGATTTGAAAACTGAAGGTAGTGCTTGATAAAGGTGTTGGCATACGGTTTATACGAAGCTTTAGAAAAGAGCACGTCTGAAAAATAAAAGAATTGTCTTAGAGCTGCGCAAAAGAGTTTCAAAATTTGTGACTGAGCAATTTGAGCAGAGGGTAAAGCGAGGCTGAATCGAGGGTGGGTAGCGCCTGAGCAAAGCAGCGACGGTCAGATATCGTCGGAGATCTATCTAGTTTGTAATCCTCAAAACGGGATGCTTTAAAAAAGGGTATTGTGAGTTCTTATTTGGCGTTTTGCTCTCTATCTGTTTATGTGAATCGTTTCATCTCGCAAGTAGTCCGTCCTCCTTTTCTTTTTTAAAATAATACCTCCTAAACCCAAACCCCCCCCCACCCCTCCCCCCCTTCTTCCCCTCTTTTCCGGCCTTTTCCGGCAGAACGAAGTTCTCTGCCAGTACCTAATATCAGTCGTACATACAGTATAATACCATGTATATTGTTTTTGCTTCATAGCACCTAAATAACAGCGCGCATATCACGTTAAGAGTGCCATATAACAGTTCAAATCACAGTTCAGATAGTAGGTAGTGGTAAGCAAATAGCAATGGTACCTGGATTACAATACAGTTTACTAGCGAAATGAAGTACTACTACTATTGACCGCCTACATTTTCGGCTCACCGCTAACGGATTCGGGTCGGGGGGGGGGGGGGGGGGGGATATCACGACACTAGTAAAGAATTTGTGACCTCCCTTCATCATAGAGTCATAGGTATGACAGCAGTGTAAGTGACAGAGCTCTAGGATCTCGGAATGAGCCTTCGTGCATCAGCGTCACCACGTATTATTGAGCGCAGTAGGTAGTCTGATAAGTCACCTCGCCCTCTTGTGTTTGCGTTGAAAAATTTTCCAAGCGCATTGTTAGAAGCAAAACTACCTGACGAAAGCGATTTTTCTGGCCATAGCGGACCCTGAAGTATCCCTTCCAATTTGCCTGGTTTTGACATTTTTCGATGATTCATGGAAACGCGTGCAAATGCCATAGTCGACGAAGTGCTGTTCGAAGCTGGTATTGCAGGCGGAGGATCTTCTGCTGCTAGAAGTGAATGGCATTGCTCGTTGATCTTGTAGATTGGGGCTATCTGCGTCGGAAGGAATTGCTGGAACTCACCGCGTGTGTAAGATCGTCTTGTGCTGGTGCTGGATACTAAAAAGAGGTGGTTAGGAACGACAAACGCGGTTTGGCAATCTGACCTTACACCTCAAAGATCACTGAGCTCGCTCAAATCCGCCGTATCTCGCAAATCTCTGTATTTGCTTCGAAGTATCTCCTTGATATACTTGTCGAGGCAGAGAAGCAGGCCGTTGGTGACTGTTGTCTTGGCTTGTCCGTCAAGGCTCGACGCGTGAGCCATCATCACCTTCAAGAGGGAGTCGTAAATGCAACGTCCATGGTCGATTGGCAGGCTGGTTGACTGCATGCTGCCACACCTTGAAAATAAAGCAAGTTCCAGAAATCACGATGAGTTGTAGATGGTAAAAAAAGCTTCAGTAATTGATGGGGGATCTCGCGAGTGACTGGTTGCCGCTGTTCGACTCTCCGGGCACTGCCTTGGACAGAAAAGAAAGCGCATTGTAGTGGAAGAGAAGCAAGTAAGAGATGACTCCCAGCCACAGAAAAGGGCGAGGATCTGATAGCCTCACTAGGAACGCTCAAGCCCTCAAACATCTCGAAATCTTCACCACTACTTCGGGGAAGTCAGCTCTGGCGGACGATGATCATCTACTTTCTTACCCTAATCAGCGAATGAATTCTTCTGTTTACCTCTTCACTCATTGCCAGGAAATTGAAGTTTGTGTCATAGCATCTTGGATTGGGCTCGGTTCAAGATCAATTTCTTTGTGTGCAGGTGGTAGGTGGCTAACGATTCAGCCCGAGTTGTAGCTCTCACGTCCTCCTTTCCTGCCCTTCCCTTTCTCTTCTTTTGTTTTTGGCTTAGTATGTTCGATAGGTGCAATCGATGAAGCGTGGATCCATATATGCATAGCGTACGTTTCGTCACAGGAGGCTCTCTGAGGCTCCATTACCTTAATTTAAAGCTGGCAGAAAACGCATTTGTAAGACGGTGAGCAGGTCGGTAACAGTAAGCGGTGAAGGGAATGTCGATCCCGGGCTCCATTCGTCCGTCCATATTGCTCAGGTACCTTACCTTACTGATTAAAGAAAACGGGTTTGCCAATCAGAAAGAAAGTGTGACTTAGACAATTATCAAGAGTCAAATGATATAACCAGTAATAAAAAGGGGCAGTGACAACAGAGAAATTGAGTCGAGTTAAGTCAAGTGAAAAGGAGTAAAAAGCGTGTAACGCGTGTAGCGATAAACAGGGACGCGTTTGCGCGTTTCGTTGAGAACACAAACGCGTCGGAGCGCCGGCAGTAGCCGAAGCAGTGGCGCTGGAAGCTAGCCGGATCAGGAGCATGAGGCTCAGGTCCTGGGGTAAAAGGGGGTAAAATACTTAAAATTGATTGGACAGGACCTTTTCAGCCTCTCGAACCTTTTTTTTAAAGTTTTACTAAAAGGCGCGCTAGCAGGGGTTCGGCGAGATTACCCGAGCCCGTCGACGCCGCCCATTCGACCAGTTTCGTGAAAAGGCGCCGCCGTATGATAGTGAAAATAGTAGTTCCCACAAGGCTATTGTCAATACTCAATAATGTCTGACATCGAGACAACAGGAGAGGCCCGGCCTCCAGTGTATGCTCCGCAAGTGCCAGGTACGCAGTGTCTGTAGCGACTCGTGCGAATTGTGATGTTCTCTGACTTCAAACATGAGGACGAAATGCGAGTCAGTGATGGCCTCACGAACTCCCCTCTGAAGTCTATAAAGAGCAGAGGAATTCCCTCCATCACTTCTCTCATCATCACAACAACAGTCTTCTACAGAACAACAATCTCCTTTCAACACTCCTTTCAGCCTTTCTCCTCTCGTCGCTCTTTCGATCTTTCGAATCCAACCCACACAACACCATCAAAATGATTGCCCAAACCATCATCGCTGCTTTCACCTTCGCCCTCGCGGCCGTTGCTCACCCCACCAGCGAGCCTACCGTCGGCCCCAACGGCAACGCCTTCTGCGGTAACGGCCAAGTTATCTCCTGCTGCAACAAGACCGACAACAACAGCAACAACGGCAAGTCCGGTCTTCTGGGTCTTGGCCTTGACGGTGTCTTGGGTGGAAGCTGCCAGCCTCTCAACATCCCAGTTTGTGAGTGATATGACATTTTCTCAGTGCAATAGCTTCAGATTACTAACTGATTTTCCTTAGTGGCTGTCGATGTTCCTCTCACCCAGGCCTGTGCCGGTAACCAAGCCGCTTGCTGCACTGGTGACGAGAACGTAAGCATCTCTCAGCGCCCTACCCCTCTGAATTTAGCACTAACATTCCATCTCAGGGCCTTGTCAACCTCCAATGCACCAACGTCAACGTTTAAGCGGACTGTTTGAACGTTTGAGTCGGAGTTTAGAAAGGCGAATCGGGTTTTAGATGGTCGGGAATGGACTTCACTTCGATCTGGCGGCACACTTCAGTGGGCCTGCTCATGTATTTATAAATACTTTTTTTTTTCACCACTGTCTTGGCTAGCTCCTGGGGTCTATCCCAGGGCTCTGCTCTCGACTATGATATGTGGCATTTCATGACGGCGTGCAAGCGAAAGCGTTATGCTATGGCAGTAATGCGGATATTTACCTTCGAGGGAATCCCGCAATCCCTCTTGTCTCTTTGCTTCAGAATAGACTATCAATAGAGCTATTCATACATTCTAAATACCTTCTTTCTTGATCGTGACACCACATTCTTGCAGTTACAGCAATTGTTTCTTCCTAGAACTAATACCTCCAGTGACCTGTCGACGCAAGTCTCCTGGCATTCGAAGGGTGAAATCTTCTCTTTATCATGCTTCAGGCTCTATGATTCACTAGGTCCCTGCTCAAATAAATGGTCTGATGTGCGGTAGCGGAGGTCTGGCATATCAGCAAGTGTCCGTAAGATATCCTATCAGAAACATCATTCTAGTATGTGACAGGCCCAACGGGTGCGGTCTATCTATGGACCCATTGCCCTTCTGTCTCGAGGTGCATTCTACAGTATTTCAGTAGAGCTTTAAAGCATGATGATATTTTATAAATTTCACGGTGTTAGCCTCCGAATGCGTATATATATTCTTCTTACCCCCCCCCCCCCCCCCCCCCCCGCCCCCAAAAAACAAGAACCCCGCCCTCTCACCCCGCGCGAAAAGTACTACATAGTCCAGAAGAATGCACTTCCTGCCTGTGGGAGCGAGAGGAAATAAGTAGGTATGAACCAAAGTTCGATAAAAAGTGTCAGCAATATCTAGACGTATTAATTGCGTTGGAAGTATTTGCTGTGTTTTTTTCAGGGACGAAGTGGTTCGAAATGAGAGGGAGTCTAAAATGAGTGTAAAAGACTGACAATCAACGAACTAGTTCCATCTATGAGGAAATTACTGTAGTTTATATCTACAATTTCTGTTTGAACGCCACCGACCAGCTACGCGTCAACAAGCTCGTAACGCCCGCTATCTAGGCCAACTTGACGGGCTGACTGATCGTCCGCGGATCATACTCCAGGTAACTCCAAATCAGGCCTCGTACAAATTATTAAAACCTTCATATCCGCATTCTTGTCTTTTCGAACTAGTTGAAGAAAGCGAGATGTTTTTGTTAGAGTTTTGAGGTGGGTGATGAAGATCGGAGAAGCAGCATTGCATGAACGGCAGCTTGATTGGCCGCAGTGTTCAGATCACTTTCAGACCTCGTCTTCCGGAGTGTGGTTGTTTCGGGGATTGCGATGCTTGGCTCGGGTTGGCCTCGAGGCGTTTGGATATCCATGTTAGAGATCTGATTTCGCGACCGAAGCCGCGGCGGGATTTCTCCTGGTAAGCTCAATCTTCCGGTTTCGAGACGTGCAATATTAGGGACAAGAGGAAGGCAGCACCAAGGAAGGGATGTGAGGGTTAAGATGTCATTGTAAAGGGGTTCTATGTTCGGAGAAGGGGCAATCTATGTTGCTGAAATGTAGTATTACAAGATTTGCACATCTCGACCTTGAGGCTCATCCATCACTCACCTCATCCAGAGACATGCGCTTGTTCAGAACGCTCGTTTCTCTTTCGAGGCCGTGAGGTTATATCTGGCACCGATACGCCACTGAATGTCGCTCTGCTGTCAGGCTTGAACCACATGCCACTTTTCTCCCTACCCTCACACGAAGATTCCATCAAACCTCATCCTCAAGGCTCACCTCCCCCGCACTGACATCCGGGTAAACATCAAACCTCCTCTGCCATGTAATAGGAATCCCCTTCCTTGTCTCCTCAATCTTCTCGTTATTCAAATCTGCATAGACGATCTCTTCCTTCTCCCCTGCCTCCACCAATACCTGTGCCATGGGATCGCACACCAGACTATGACCCCAGGCATGATAGCTCGCACTCATATCCCTCGCTGGACTACACAATGCCACATACAGCTGGTTATCCATCGCTCGCGCCTGGCCCTGCAGTCTCCAATGCAGCGGCCCGGTCGTAGTATTAAACGCCCCGGGATAAATGAGCGCGAAGCATCCTTTCCGTGCCGCTATCATTGCTAATTCCGGAAACCGAATATCATAGCAGATGGCGATAGCAATCTTCCCATACGGAGGCAGGTCTAGAATCGTAATTTTGTTGCCCGGGGACAGGACGTCGGACTCCTTAAACTTGATCTTTCCCGGTATATCAATGTCAAACAAATGCACCTTCCGATGTGTGGCTAGTAATTCTCCCGTGGGCGAGAAGGTGAGTGAGGTGTTATAATATTTCTTCGTTTTGGTGTTTAATTCTGGTATGCTGCCGCCGACTAAGTACGCCTTGGCCTCAACTGCCATGGCAGAGAGAGCATGGAAGGATGGTGATTGTTCTTTTGTAGGAGGGGAAGGCAGGAGGGTTTCGGCATATTCAGGGAAATAGTCACAGCCATACGGCGAGTTAAAACATTCCGGCAGCACGATAATCTGGGCACCACCGTTGGCGGCTTCGAGGACTTTCTCTCGGGCATGGATGAGGTTTTGAGCCTTGTCAGCACCTGTTTGGACCTATTGTCAGCTACGAATTGAGGAAGGTGGGGGGGAGGACGGGGCAGAGACAAACCGCTGGCTAATTGCACCAGGGCGATCTTGACAGGCTTCTTGAGGAGAGCGGACATCGTCGCTACTGTTCTTCGACAAGCAAATGTCTGATGTATTGGTTTTGGAAAGGATTGAAATGTTCTGAAGAGTCTCAGTGTCTTGTACATTTTACACGGTCATCGCGGTTGTCGAGGAGAGCGGATGCGCGATAAGCGGGGGAAGTTCGGAGGACGGCGAAAAGTAATGCCGAGCTTGGGCTAGAAATCCAAGGGTTTAGCTGTCTGGAGATCGATGTTGACAACATCGTAAATAAATTCCGCACATAGAAAGGGAGAAAAGGGAAACTCTGGGGCGCCCCACATTCAAAATCAATCAGACTGCAAGATTGGCGTCAAAGGACTGTATTTGGCTAGAGCTGCCAATATCTATCTGATATTATCTTTCTCATTATTGTAACGCCATTCTGTAAAAGCACTTTTTGCTTCCCTCCACCAGATCTCATATCTCTCGTCCTCCAATTCGTTCCAAGACCTGCATCCCATCATGATATCGTGGCAAATCCAGTAATTGCTTCCATTATTTCCACTTACGTCCCTCCTGGAAACGTGTGGCATCAGTGTTCCAAGGCGCACGCGGACCAAGGTGGAAAAGTATCAAGCCCCCTATCGCAGCGCGGCTCTAGCGAAGGTTGGCAGGATGAAAGAGGCCTTGTGGATATCGGCGTTGTAGTATCTGCAGAGCTTCTCCTCCTCCTCAGGTGTGAAAGAGCGCAGGGGCTTGGTGAGGTCTCGGTTGGCGTCCTTGCAGCAAACCATGAAGCCGATTTGTCCGGAGGGGTAAGTTGGGATGGTCGTGTAGGCGTACTCGACGTTGGGGAAGACCTCCTTGCAGTCCTTCTTGAGCTTGGTGATCAATGGAAGGTGGAGCCATTGGTTCTCGGCTGTGGGAGAGAGTTAGCCAGGGGCTGAAGGACAGACTGGGGACAGAACAAAGAGAAGCGGACAAGACGATAGGGAATTCAGGAAATGTAGAGGGGAGGGAGGGGACATTAACTGAAACGGGAAGGAACTCCTTCCAAGGATCGAATCCCAAATGACAGAGGAGAACGTACAACCTTGTGTGGTAATGACACCCCCCTCCTTGAGAGCTCCGTAGAGCAACTCGAAATATGGCTTCTGGAACAGGCTCTCTGCTGGTCCCTCTGGGTCAGAAGAGTCGGTAATGATGACATCGAATGTGTCCTTGAAATCCTCCAGATACTTGAAACCATCTCCAACGTGAACTTTCACCTTGGGGTGCTGGAAGCCAATGGCCATTCCGGGGAGGTATTTCTTGGAGAGACGGATGACAGCCTGCACACAAGGTCAGCTCACGGTGCAAAGCATGAGGCAATTCAGACCGACCTCGTCAATGTCGCACAGGGTGGCCTCCTCAACACAGTCGTGCTTGATGACCTCACGCAAAACACCTCCATCACCACCACCAATGACCAGGACCTTCTTGGGGTTTGGGTGAGAGTTCATTGCCAGGTGGGTGATCATCTCCTGGTATGCGAACTCGTCGCGCTCAGTGCATTGAATGACATTGTCAAGAACCAGGACGGTTCCGTAGTCGGTGGATTCGAAGATCAGGACATCCTGGTATTTGCTCTTCTCGTGGTGGATGACGTTCTTGACCTTCAGCGTCATAGCCTGACCGGGCCACATGTCCGAGATCTCGCGGAACCAGCCATCTATAACAGAGGGGTCTCATTAGTTTTGAAGTTTTCGTCTGTTTAGGGGGAATGCGACACAGCTATATCTTGAGGGTAAGGACAGAGGGGCAGAGGGGCAGAGCGGTAGGTTGATCAGTGATCCATTGTGTGGTATCCACAGGGATAGGGACATGGACATGAACACGAACACGATCTGCGCCTCATCAAGAACTCCATCTTGACATATATCCATGGCCGGAGGCATGATGATTCGAGTTGGGAGGAGGATAAGGTGTCTTACCCTTGATAGTGGGGTGAGTGATTTCGGACATGGTTGATTGTCGTCGGAGGGATGTAACTTGGACGAAGTGACGTGGATATGTGTGAGAACGTGTGAAGATAGCACTCCGGAGAGAGCGAAGGGATGCTTTGGAGAGTATCTTGTGTGTGGGTAGAGCAGACAGATGATGGTGAGGGTGAAAGATGCGTGACGATTTGAATTTTTTCGACAATGATTTTTCCGCGCTGCCCCGCCCCTCTCCCCTCACATCCCGCCGTGTGCTCGTGGGGCCGCATGGAAGTGTGGCCTGAGGCCGTAAGGCTTAGATTGTAGTATCATCGCCTCAGGCTCACATTGTAATACTGTCGCCTCAGGTTGTCAGGCCTCAATATCTCTTGAAATCTGAAAGTTGAAAGTTGACCAACTTGACGGTCCCACGGGTCTCCACATTCACCCCTCGCAGTCTCGCCTTCACAACCGGTCTACCCGTCTATCACTCTTACTACTACAAAGTAAGTAAAGTCTACCACTACTCCTGACTCCTGTCTCCTGACTACTGTCCTGCCGAGACAAGTAGCTAAGGCCCAGGGGTGGTCAACTACCTAGGTACTACTTGGGAAGTCCTCCCGTACAGAGTAAGAGTTTGGGCCCCTGGGGGTGCGCCATGATCCATCCGACGTTCTAAATCCTCCATCCTCGAACCCCCCCCACGGGCTGACGGGCTGACGGTCGAAGCCTCTCGGTTCTCGCCCTTCTGTGTCCGCTCATCATTGCCCTTTCAGCTGGTGGGAGAACGATGTCGACACTTGACGCAAGTTGACGGCTCCCTCTGGCACGGCACGAACGAGACGAGAACGAGAACGAGCGGAGCCCGTGAATATTACTCCGGTCAGTGCAGGTTAGAAAGCAGTGCTGATCCTTTCTGTCTACACTGCAAGTCAGTGCGCTGCAGCCTCTCAGAATCGTGTCTTTGACCAGGATTTGCGGCTCCTCCGTTCTTCTGTTCCTCTTCCCCTACGGAGTACATACCGGTCTCCACCCAGGCACTGCGAACGAAGCTACTACGAACTCCTGTAGAGTCGCATTCATTACCTGAGCTCCTTGCCCGCACCCCGAATCCGCACCGACGGCGAGGCCCCCAGGGCGAGGGACAAAAGAGACAGAGCAAGGGTAAAATACTTTCACCTACGCACTTGCATCCTTACATTCATTCAATTCACTCTCCCTCGCTGTCGTCTCGGCGTCTCAGCGCCCATGCCAACCCTCTTTATCTCCCGCACCCCAATACCATAATCCCACCATATCATACCCGCGACCCTCGAAGATGTGTTTCGGCGCCAGGGAAGATGTTGAGGCAAAGAGGAGCCGGGAGATCGATGCTATGATCCACCGGGACGAGAAGGTGATGCAGCGCCAGGTGAAGCTGCTGCTGTTAGGTACGCCATTATCCCCCCCCCGCCCTCGATCAGCATCAGATCAACAAAAGGCATTGGGCACGCGGCTAACGTTCACAATCATCTAGGTGCTGGAGAGAGCGGCAAATCAACCATCTTGAAGCAGATGCGATTGATCTACACCCGGGACGGATTCTCGAAGAACGAAAAGGAGGAATGGCGTCTCATCATCTTCCAGAATATCATCGATGGTCTTCGGAGGATCGTCGATGCAATGGATGAGTTCAATATTCCTTTCGAGTTTGAAAATACAACCGTGCGTATCCTCAGTTCTCATTTACGTCTGAGGGGAAGACGCGATCCAGATCCCCTCCTGTTCATGCTAACATGTCCTGTTCCCTCTCCAGGTCCACCTCCCAATGATCATGGAAGACAGAGACCTCCAGCCATTCGAACCCATACCACCCCAATACGCCCGCGCTTTTAAAGATATGTGGCGCGATGGGGGAGTACAGAAGGCAGTCGCGCGGGGGAACGAGTTCGCGCTGAACGATAACCTGTCCTAGTAAGTCATTGTCCTGTGGTGTTGCTACCCATGCTGATACAGTCCTCCAGCTTCTTCGTAGACCTCGACCGATTGTTCAGCCGAGATTTCCTCCCTACAGATCAAGATGTCTTACGAGCCCGTCTGCGAACGACCGGAATCACCGAGTCCCATTTTGATCTTGGCTCGCTACAATACCGGATGTTCGATGTGGGTGGGCAAAGATCAGAGCGCAAGAAGTGGATTCACTGCTTCGAGAATGTGAACGCGCTATTATTCTTGGTGGCAATCAGCGGGTATGATCAATGTTTGGCAGAAGACAAAGATGGAGTATGACCCCCTTTCAAATCCAGGGAAGTGAGGTGCTGACCATCCTAGAACCAAATGCAGGAAGCCCTCATGCTCTGGGAATCCATCGCCAACTCACACTGGTTTAAGAACTCCGCCCTCATCCTCTTCCTGAACAAGATCGATCTCTTCAAGCAAAAGGTTGGCCATGCCCCGATCACCAAATTTGGCTTCACGGATTTCATGGGCGACACCACAAGCTGGCAACAAACGAGTACCTACTTCATGAACAAATTCGTTGCTCTGAATCGCAATCCTTCAAGGGAAGTCTACGGTCATTTCACGAACGCTACAGATACCTCACTCCTTAAAGTCACCATGGTCTCCATTCAAGACATGCTCATTCAGCGAAATCTTCAGCGGCTGATACTCTAATCTACCCTCTGCTATCTCGGTAATATCCGAAAGCGGTGGGTAATGATACCAACGACTCTTTCGTCCATACCGACACATTACACGTCTACATACGCGCATCGTACCAGAATACCAAGGTTTTCTTATCTGTACATTACTGGAGCATGGTCGTTTTCTCACAAGTCTAGAGCTGGTAGCTGCTATACGCAGCCAGTAGGGAGGTTCTTGTCGGATCCCGTTCATCCATCTTGGCGCATTACAGGCGCATCGGTAGGAAATATCCCCCCTTCTCTATCCGGCCATAATACCCATACATAGTCGGCGGGTTATCGCGCCCGGCGGGAGAAGAGAAGCGGGAGGTCTTAGACAAAAAAGGGGTGTTGCTTAGGAATGGCTACATACTTGTACATACTGTGACTACTGTCTATAGAACGGCCACGAATCAAAAGCCCAAAAAAACTCAGAATCAAGATCAAAAGAATCAAAGCCCAGACCCCAAAACCACAACCTAGGACAGGGCACAGATGCAAAGACTATACATCACATTTTGTGGAGTAAGCAACCTCCCTATCACGAGTAAGAATCGATTGGCACCCCCCGGCCAGCCACGCGGGCGGGATGTCTAACGGCCCAGCCCGGCTAGACGGGGAACGGCGCGATAGGAGGCTTTTCGGTGGATTATCAACAAGGCCTCCTCCTTACCCTTACCAGAAGATGAATATCCGGCATTTCCGTACCTTTTTTTACCGTTTGTATAAGTAATCATGGCCATACCATAACCATTTATGAGCCTAGGTAGGTATGAAGTCCCTTCTACACTACTAAATGAGGGGAATAATGTATCTGCCGGTTACATATATATTATTATGCATATTCTAATTTATAACAACAGTAGTAAACGAACTCCACTTACGTACAAAAACTCGATGCACAGACACATGCCCGCCCCCTTCTTTTACGAGATATTGCTAGAGTAAGGTATGTAAGGTATGCATGTAACATGCAGTAGGCAAGAACGTTAGTTAGTTAGTTATTTGTTATGCATCTTTACGGATTCTGTCACAGAGTCACATCTATCTACTTTATATAGACAGGTAAGATAGGTAAGGGAAGGGTAATCTTAGGTAAAAGCGAACCCACGTGTCTAACGTTCTTCTCTCAAAAGAAAGAAAGTGTCCCGTTAATAATTACAGTACTTCATCACCTTTTATGATGTATCCTATCCCTCCTCCCTGGGCAGGGCAGGGTAGGTAAAAAAACGTCAACGCTCGGCTTTCTCTACCTTACCTAGCGTGTTGATTTGATAGATAAATTTCCAGCCCTTCGTTCCCTGGGAAAAAACGGCCAACAGGGAAGAAGAATCGAAAGAAAGCTGGCTGGCTAACCGGGGCCTGGTATGAGGGATGCTGCTAATCTTTCACTGATTCGTGAGGTGTGGATGATTGAATCGCGAGGGTGGGAAGATTCGCGAAGGGGGGGGGGGAGGGGTGATTGGTCGTTTTTTTCTTTTCTTTTTCTTTTTTTTGTGGCTGGTGGTGGTCCGTGGATAGGTAGGTTAGGTAAGGTTAAGATAGGTGAGGAAGAAGTCTTGCATATTGGATATATCAAGAATGAAAGAATCTCACTCACCAACTTCTTGTTCTTCCACAAAGAATGTAGCACCCTCCTATTTGACCCATCATCCACCAACCCAACCAACCTCTCTAACCAATCCTCTTCTTCTCTCAGAACCCCCACCCCACCCCTCCATTCCCGCAGTATGAACAAGCCAGCCATTTGATCCAAGCGGCCCGGCTGCCCTCCCGTATCATTAGTCCCGGCTCGGAGCGGTTCGCGATAGTGTGATTCTGCAAAAGCCTTATTACCTATCATTAGAGATTTAAGCCCTTGGACTGATGATATTAATAGGGGCCGTCCGGTATCGCGTATCGACGGTCACTGAATATTAGCTAGAAAGTGTGTCTCAGATCAGCTGTTGTGCTCGTTGAAGGGACGAGGGATCGAGATCTGCTACATACATACATACCTTATTGTATGTACATGCTTCATGATTTGCCCCATCGTCAATCTTCGAGAAATAATACCATCCCTACCTATATACGGATGTGATTATCTATCTCCTTCCTTCCCGCCATCATTCCTCCCCACAAACAGGCCCATGTGGGATCATCATACGACGTGCAACAAAGCCACCCAGGGCGCAGAATGCGATTTGCAACAAACACAGAGATCAGCAGGGATCCGCGATCTCTGGGTTGTATGTAGATCTTAGCTTTAACGGTGGAGGTGCGGCCGCGCGCGCTGCGAGGAAAGGGGGGGAGGATATGTATGTATGTATCATTGTATATATATGTATATATGTACCTAGCGAGTCAGTAATTGAAAGGCATTGCGTAGGTGGCAGCTGTACGATATGCAACAAAAAGCCTGAGCTGGAGGAATGATAGCTGATGTCATTGATGTATGAGGTCTTCTCGACAGCGTGAAGGTTGGGACTGTGATGAATGCGATATGGTAGAAGACGTGCGCAAAAGACTGGAGGGAGCAGAGAGAAATAAAAAGAGGAAGAAGTCACAAAAGGCAAGAAAAAAGACTGCTTTGAGATATCTTGATTCAGATTGAGGTGAGATCTTGTGCCCTGAATTCGAAGGCTATAGATTTGAGAATGCGCATGCCCTTGGAGCATCGCAGAACGCTGTCAGATTCGGTCTCCGAGTACGTTCTTTCGTCCCCTATCATCCTTTTCCTTGTTCAAAGCGAACACGCTGAGCTCGGATTTCCATCGTTGTCGGCAACGTTCGACAACTCCATCACAGCATGAGCACTTGAAGTCCGAGGAATCGCAGCCTCGTAGCTCCATCAGAAGAGGTGCCTGCTTCTTCGCGTAGGCAGCGTGGTCCTGTCCGGCCAGTCCTCCATCCAGGACAAGCTTGTTTGTGGCGTGCCCAGTGATATCCTCTCATTTCACGGGCCACTCTCCTGGATCTATGTCGACCATTCCCTGCTTCTCCTCCGACCTCTTCTTCATCTGCCTCATCTCGAACCTCTTTAAACTCTCCTTTCTCGCTTCCAGTTCTAATTGTCTTATCCTGTCCGGGTCCTGCTCTCTTTCTTTCTCCAATTCCCTTTCTCTTGCTAAATCTTTTATGTCCTTCCCAGGCCATGCTCCAAAGCCCGAAAACTTTACTTTTCTCCGCTCTTCCTTTTGCTCTTCCTTTTGCTCTCCCTTTTGCTCTCCCTTTTGCTCTCCCTTTTGCTCTTCCTTTTGCTCTACCTTTTGCTCCTCAGCAGTAGAAGCCGCCAGATCGCTAGCTTCTTTCTCCTCCACGAACTTCTTCAAACCCCCCATAACAGTCTCCCTCAGCATCTTCTCCTTCCTCCACTTCTGCCTCATCTGAATCCTCCACTGTATATTAACACCGTCCTTTGCCCACGATTCCTCAAACCCCGGCACCAGACCTTCATTCCCCGCATTCCTCCACTTCAGTCCCTCCGTGTCCCAGTCCCGCAGTCCCGCACTCATCGCCCCCCGCGGGATCTCCAGACTCATCGCCAGGTAATTATATTTCCGATCCACCGGCTTCCAGGGACCGAACAGCGTATCAGTCGCGATGTAGTGCTCGTGGTCAAACATCGATTGCGACAAGTAGAGCTCGAACACCTTCTCCTGCCGTTCTGCAGTGCTTTCCCCATCCTCGGGAACCAATCGGTAGCGGATAGGACTCGCGTTGATGAGTGTTTCGGCCGCGGCATCGTTGTTGAACATTGCCAGGAAGGAGTTGGGCACCGGATTCCGTATGTTGTACTACTCCCAGCACGTCAGATCCTGTAGAGTAAACAGTCTCGATGGAATAAAAACTTGCCTTGTACGATCTGAACATGGTAACTTCACCAAATCGTTCGAGGACTCGGAGGACTTCGCGGCGCTCGTTGAAGGTTCGTGCTGTAGGATACATCCTGACGTGGACGCTGCGACGTGCGAGCGCCGCCTTGGTAGAAGTTGCAAATACAGCCGCCATCTTTCTAAACGATAGAGGTCGAAATTAAGAGAACAGAATTGTTAACGAGGGGTCATGGTTCTGGTTTTGACAGGTTATCAATTTGGAGCCTATCTTGAAGTATTTTGATTTGAAGTTGAGCTTCTACGGTCGCCGAGATCGCCAACCGCGCAACCAATATGTCTCTCCACACCACCCAAGCAAGTTCAACCAGAATACATATCCAAATGTCATGTTTTTGCAATTTGATGTCAAAACAATCTTTTGGTTAGATCTACCCACCTAATTTTAAATGTCGAGTAGTGAATGGCAGCCGGCCTCCAAATCCCTTCTTCCAAGGAACTCGACGCCACAAATAATCCCTCCTATGCCACACCTCTCTCTGCAAAATGAACTTCTTGCCAAGACTAATGATTTTGGAAGCTTGTCTGTTCATCTAGGCTGTCTATAGACACAGATCCCTCAAGGAATTGGTAAAATCAACCACGGGGACAGTTTTACAAGATCCGAGGCGCTTGATAAACGACGAGAGCTCGCTGTATTGTATTTGCCGTGTCCAAGGCACAGTATATCTAGAGTTATATTCTGAGAGGAAATGTTAATGATAACAAAAACGCAAATGGCAACTGAAACCTAATCAGTAATCGAAACGTGAATGGTAACGTAAACGTGAATGATAACGGAAACGTGAATGGTAACGTAAACGTGAATGATAACGTAAACGTGAATGGCAACGGGAACGGGGACAGTAATTGAATTGAGAACAGAGACGGTAATGTGAACAGCAACGGAAATATGAACAGTGACTGAATATTCAAGAGTGTAGCAGAAACCAGAGCGGTAGCAGAAAAGTGAAGAATAATTAGAAGAAGAAGGATCACGGAACTATGAACAGTAACGGAAACCCAAACCGTAATTGGAAAGTGAACAATTACGGATATGTGAATAGTTACCGTAAAGCAATTCCTCCGTCACTAAGCCACTTGACATCTTCTTATTGTTATAGAATGGCTAGCAGCAGAGACGTATCGTGCATGGGCGGGTAAATTCTGGCGGTTTATAAAATGAGCAGTTTGACAATTCCTTGACAGGCTTGTAATATGGGCTTACTTGATGCGTTGCCAAAATGCAATGAGTGGGTAGGAGGGAGGCAAATAGAGGCGAAATTCCTCCTGCTCTTCCCCAGATCTATACCACTTGGCAAAAGCAGGAATGACAAAGCCCATTGGAAGCAACAAAGGCCCCCAACCAGTAATCCCAGGGGGGAGAAAGCCATAAGAAGTGAAGGTCAGAAGCATGCATTATTCATGAAATGCTACCTTAAGCAGCCCGCTTGAATACACCCGCTTATTCCCGCCATTTGTACAATAACTGTGTCCAAATCCCAAGCACCATTGCTCATAATGCTCCTCGTGAATGCAACTCCAAAACTCTTGTAAACGTGCCTCGTGCGTGCAAGCCGAATCCCACCCAGCCCCCAGAAAAACATTGGGTTCTCAATATAGTCGGCTTTAAGCCGATTTCCATCTCTCATCGTCCATTTCCGCTCCCCCCTTCAGGTAAGATCCTACTCAGGCTCCTCAACACTTCTTGCATAGGCAAGTCCCGCGTGCCTACCGCCTCCTTCTCTTTCCGATCCCTTTCTTCTAACCGCATAGAACTGATCGCAAGGAACTTATCTGCAACTCGGCCAGCCGTTTCTTGGTATTGCTCTAATTTATGGACTCCATCTGCGAACTGATCGACCCTGAATTCCAAGCCCGCTTGTATAGATCTCAGCTGTTTGGATACTTGATTTCGAAGGTCGAGTGCTGATGACTCGGCTACTGTGGCGAGAATGGCGGCTTGTTCGGGGTCGAGGAGTGAGGCGTCGATTTGTGAGGGAGATAGATCTATGGAATCATCTGAGAAGAGTGGGGGGAGAGGGGGAGGCGGTTTCGCGAGAGCTTTCCATTCATCTCGTTCTTCTTTTAGCCTGGGGTATTGTTAGCACTTGTAGAATGGTAGCGTCCATGACCACCATACTTCTTGATTCTTTCTTCCAATCCTGCTAAATTCTCCTCAATCTCAACATTTCGTGGATTTGGCTTTTTGACAACCTTTGCCGGCTCGGTTTCTTCTCGATTAAACCAATCTGAGAATTCTGATTTGTTGGCAAAATCCTTGAGAAGAGATTCCTTGATTACTCGCGCTGCACTCGTTAGTCTGACCCATCTGCCCAAAGAGGACGACGCTCACCTGCTAAGTTGGCCGCACTGTCTGGATCACCGTGAGACGGCTTCTCTCCTAGCGCCCGTTCTCCCGTCCAAGTCAAGAGTTGTTTCATTCTTCTTGGCTCACTCAATCCATCAGCCTCAATGTGCTTGTAAAACTCCGACGTTTCCACCTCGCGATGTGGGATTGCGCTATGCCCATTATCTATCAGAGAACTCGCTCTTCGCCCTCGCATTCCCAAACTACTCCTCCGCGTGCCATTGCCTTTCTTTCTCAGCTCCTTATTTCTATTGATTATTGGCGTATCGCTGAATGGTAACGAGATCACGGTAGATTGCTTGCTGACCTCCACAATCGACCTATCCGGTGCCTCCGCGCCAACCAAATCAATGCTATCGTAGTCGGCCGGCGCTGTCCCGGATTGAGGAGTGCTGCTCTCACCATTCTTCGCTGTAGACGAACGCGTACTTTTCCTTCTCCTCGGCACGCTGATGGTATCCTTCTCTACCTTGGGCGTCGAAAAACTCATTTTGCGCCCTCTGGGCTTCTTCGCCGTCGGAGCCGGCTCCTCATCGCGTTCCTTTGCTTCCTTTGATCCCTTTGCTCCCTTTGCTTCCTTTGCCTCCTTTACCTCCTTCACCTCCTTTACCTCCTTTGTCGTTCTGGTCTTCTTCGGTCGAGGAGCTGGCGCGGGGGCGGGCTCTGGTTCTACCGGCGCAGTCTTCGTTCGTTTCGATCCACGTGTGAATATAAAGTCGCCATCTTCTTCATCATACGCTGCTACAAATGTTAGCAACCCGTCACGCAATTGCGCAGATAATTCCCCGGCGGGGTCTTGCGCAAAGCTCTCAGTCCCCACTCACCAGCCAGCCGCTTGCTTCTTCTTCGCGCTGTAGGTTGTTGGCTCATGCTCAGCGTCTCTAGAGGAATTTGAATTCGCGTTCGTACGAGGGTAGTCATTGATCGGGATTTTCGCAGCGCATCTGCTTGCCTGATGATTCTAAGGCTCGACTCAGGGATATCACGACTTCGGAGTTGTGGCGCGTTGTTCACGAGTCCTTCGCGGCAATTAATCTCATCCGCATCGAATATGCCGGCGCGAGCAGTGCGATCTGGCGGGGTGGAATGGTCGCAGCGGTCGAATGCTGGGTTGCCGTCGTGATGATTTGGATATCACGATTTGACGATTCCGGATGTCGTTGTTTACATTTCGCGTTCGAGACTAGCGTTTGATCACGTGCCATGCCTATCGCGGCGGCCCCTCCTTCGCTTCGGCATTCATCTCCCCTTTACTCCGTACGGCCTAGAGTAACACCTCCGTCGCCTGCAAAGACGGTACGAGCATCGTCAAGATACCTTAAGCTTAAATCTAATATATCCTTGGCAGATAACAGGCGTGCTGAATTACAAGTTGAGATACTTCGTGAGTTTCTAATTTCTTTCACATCCGTGTTCTGCTATTGGTTCCCTTTAGCCAATGAGGTAGTACGTCAAGGTTCTTTATACAATGGCTACACTTCCCATAGAAGAACTGATTTCGGAATATAAAGGTATTAGTTAGTAGGTAACAAGACCATGTGCTGCATCAAACTTTCATTTCCTTCATGTCGAAAGAAATTAGCCTTCACGTTGAAACAAACAAGAAACCAAAAGCCTCATTCTCCTTGCCTGCCTAATCAACCAAACTGGAGCCTGCCATGAATGGCCAATCTCCTCTAACCTGGTTCGCTTTTGGGATATTCGGGTCGCAGGTTCTGTAGCAAAGTACATACTATGCCCAATGGGAGCTCAACCAATCCCAAAAGGAGATCGGTCTGACGTCAACGAGAGCATTGAGATTTGGTGCTGTAAAATCGTAGCAACGTTGCTCGGTAGCAATGAGCTCTTGAATTCGGGCTACTCTGTAGTAGTCCAGGCCATTAGTAGCGTGGTTGAGATGGGTGTTCAGATCCTGCGCCTTGATGATGTTGGTCGAAAATGGAACCCCTGTGAGATTCGATCAGTGCACCGGCTTTTGAAGCAGTCGAGAGAGACCTACCGCCTCTAACAGCTTCGGACCAGCTCAGAATCTCAGAAACTGTCCTCCGATCGCCTGACATGCGGAACTCGCCAGGCCAGTCATGTAGTCCCAGCTCTATGGCAGCGACTAGGAACCTAGCCACATCGTTGACAGAGGTCATTGAGACGAAAATTGGCTGCCCAGCCATGTTGTATTCAACGGCTTCGGCAGTACCCTCCCCTATATCCACCAAATAGGATCCCTGATACGCGACGCTTGTGGATGCTCCAATACCCATAGATACCAAGCCACCGCGAGCAAATCGCTCGTAGAAGACGCCACATGTAAAGACAGTACTACGCATGTGGGTCCGTTGCGACCACCAACGGAGCCAATCAAGTCCATGTGACTTGTCGCGATCTAGAAGATTGTTGGGTCTTCGACGAGCTGGCGGTCTTTCGAATTCTGATGGGACGAAGCGACGAACCCCTGAATTTGCCGCTGCATCGATAAGATTGATCTGAGGATTCCCCGAGACGGTTGAGATGACAAGATCTATGCCTTGCAGACTGTAGCGGAGATCATCTTGGTTTTCGTAGTTTACAACCACGACCTGATAATCAAGAGCTGTTAGTGTTGGCTGTGGCTAGAGTATCAAATCAGTGCTTCATCGATCGTGACTTTGAGTGGAATCGCTTACTGTTCTCGATAATATGATGAACGGGTGAGTGGTTTGACTAATAAAGTAGGCAAAAGTCTGTGCAAGACCACCAGAACCTGCTATTGCTATTCGAATCATGATGTTCTGTATTTGAGGGAATCTGCTTGGTTGGGGAGTGCGAACGAAGGCCTGCGTCCGGTTCTTATCAAAGAACACAACCCCATCTTGCTCCATCCACAATTTCTGATTCTAAGGCAGAAGAAAAGTCTGCGTTCCAAGGATGCTAATCGTCCGCGAGGCAGTTAAGGCAACTAGTCACTCGCGGTTCACTGTATTGTGAATGGGTAGATTTAAATGAAGCCAGCCAATCCATGATAGACTTCGCCATGTGGAGAATGGCATACCGTGGAAGATCATAATGTATTTGCATTCTAAAAGGCTTCCGGCGAAGGGTAATGTGAAATCTAGGTCACTGGGTGCTATGCGTGTGGCGAATCGTTGGTCAAAGACCCTTGACGAACCAATATTCAGCTAATGAGGACCATTAGTTACCACAAGGGAACAGAAGATAGGCCGAGAAAACGAGCAAGATAGTGACTTACTTTGAGGCTCTTTTGGGTTCTGCGATGAAGGTGTGATGCGTGCGTCATCATTCCTCTCATGATCTGTAAACCGGCCAATGCAACGTTCACATGCTTGCTGGGATCCGTATGGTGAAACCCTGAACAAATAGGTGTGGTAGATCTAGCTATGCTGTTGCCGTCACACGTTTCAGCCCCAACCGTCCGGACTCGATTTCTCGCCAGAACTGACGATATGTTCGAAGAATTGGGTTGCTGATCCCCCACTCATCAATATCAAAATGAGCACTAAAGCCGATCAGAACAAAGAGGGTATGCACTCTTTCTAATAAGTGGAAGGCTAGACCAGAGTAAAATGGGAGCATCTGTAAATGATTGGCATGACACGCAGCAGCGAACAAAGTGACGGGATTTGGATGAGAGGATGGGGGGATGTTGAGGCTGCACCAGGATTACCCTTACTAGGCCATTAAGGCAGCCTTACCTTCCCAAATGCTGATAAAGCGGTATCCCAAGAATCCGGTCTGTAGGCAGTTGCGAATTTCCTCGAGGCGTGAGCATGCTTCTCACATGGAACTTGCCCCACTAGACGCACCGCATGACAAGGGTGCTGGACTACCAAGAAAACGCATTGAAGGAATGGAGCCTGAATATCGAGCATAGGATATGTAACAAGAGAGTGTGTAAGGCTTCAGGGAAGTGTTAAAGGTTGAAAGCAATTCGCGAGGTCCGATACAAAATTCGAGGAGGAATCGCATGGAGAGTTCTCTAGGTGACAATAATTCCCTGGAGATCTTTTACACCAAGAATAAAAAGAGTTCGTAGGTAAAGAACAATACTTTGTACTTGGCGCAATGAACTATCTATGTTTGCGCCAGGGACCAGGGTGCGAAAGCTGGATCAGATGAAGAGGCTCTTGCATCGGACTAAATCTCCGCGACTCATACCAGTCATGCAACAACTAGGTTGATTGACCGCTATTCCAGCTTAGGCATGATGATTGGTAGATGAGTGAGGCTCGGACGCCTCTGAAGAAATGAAGAAAAGAAAGTCCAGCTAAAGTCATCAGTAGGGCTGAACGAGCTGTATCACGCACAATATTATTGGACGTGCGTGCCGCAGCTTGTGATATGTATGCAAGCGACACCGGGCACGGCCTAGGGGCCTTTGCAATTCGTAAAGGCTTGCATCTTGCAGCCAGGAATGACTGAAAAGCCTGAATTATTGCGGCTCCTTCGCCAGGATCTGATAGGGAGCTGCCCATGGGTTGCCACTGGACCCTTTGACAAGGTCAAAGATTGAACCGACGAGGAGGATTGTAGTAGAGAACTATCTGCTACTTCAACCAGTAACAGCTTTTCAGAAGGCTTCCAGAAAATAGAACTTCATTCAGAAAAGGCGGGTTATCCATCATTGGGGAACAGCCCTCAAATACTGAGATAATTGAAGTAGTTGATGAAGCAGGATAAAGCGGCTCCATATCCTGCCCGCGTATCCACGTGACAAGATCTCGCTTGGCAACGCGTGAATATTGGAGTCCCATCCAGACCAGACTGCTTTGGACAAGGAAAACACAGAAATGAACAACATAGATCGATCTACTTCGTGAAGAAACAAGAATGTTCGCTTCATAGAATCTTCTCTCTTCATTGATAGAGAGGAGAAGGAGTAGTGATCGGCACACATTACTGTGTACGCAGACACTAATCAGCCCAGACTTATCAAGAAGCATAGGTAGGTATGCAGGCACAAGCCATGGGGAATGAACATCGTGCCATGGTGTGTAAGTCATCTCAGGGCACTTTAAGAAGAACAAGGAACTGCCATCGCAAATGTCCACCCTCTGGACGCCATCAACCTTTCGCAGCGCCTCAGCCGGGGTCGTCTTCACCAGATGCTGCTCAACAATCGACTATGGACACGGCTCTTCCAACAGAGCAGGGGGGAGAATCCGGCAAGGACAGCGTGGATGAGCAAGATATAGGTACTGGTCGATGCTATCCTCCTGAGGGCTGTGATATTGAAGAACGCCTCAAACACCCAAAGCGAGTTTCGGAGAATTACCCCACAGGTGAATGGCCGGAACGACAAGGAATCCCGCCAACTTGCAGGCATTCCTCTGAATCTGAAATTGCCCTTCCATCGACACCTACATTGCTGCAATCTCTTGCTCATAGCGGAAGCCGGAGCGAGATAGCTACTGCTCCCGCAAATCTCGTTTCCCCAATGTTACCCCAGACCCTGGCAAATGAGTTCTTGGACAGATTAGATGAAGACATTCAGAAAAGAGACAGAGAGTCGCAAGCTGAAGTCATGCACAAAGAAGTCACACCAGCTTCATTTTCTTACCAATCTGCAGATGCTATACACTATCCTACCGCAAATCCAGCCCTGCCACAAGCATTTCTCCCAGTCCCAAGCGGTCAGGCCCAGTGGCCTGCCTCTCAAATGTTGCTACCACAGTTTAACTTAACACCAGACAGTCAAGTTGGCGAATATGGTACAAATGCTGTTCAAGCTCCGGTACCTTACCAGCGATTATCACCAGCCTACGGCATGAATCCACAAGGTCAGCCACCCCTACAATATTATCATAGCATGAACAATTACGTTCAAGCACCTCCGGCACTGCCTCAAAATTTTGTACCATATCCACATACGAATCCAGTAAGTCAAGTTCGCATAAAAGACTACGAACACCTTCTGATCATGGCCTAAGGTATTCTTCCAGCCCCAGGCAGCGGCCCCCAACTATGGCGTTGGTAGACCTTCGTTGCCAGTGCAAACATATAACAAACAACCCATTATGCTTGCTAATTCATCTTTACAACACATCTTCTACCCTTCACCCCTACAAATTAACAACTTCAATAATGCCACAATCGCTAGGCCCGAACTCTCCTCCCAGCACCCACCTTCGCACCCTTCATATTCGCAGCACCTCCGATCTCGAGCCTCCGTTCCACCCCCCTTCGCGCACCCTTCGCAACCTCTTTCCAAACCCTTATTCACTCAGCAGCAGTTAGGCCTCAACAACACCCGAGTTAACGAGCTGCGTCGCATGAAGAAGCACCGGCAGACGACCCCGAACGTAGACGAGTTCATGGTGAGGAGAGCCAAGAAGGAGAATATCCCAAAACAAATGGGTAATTTGAAGAAGGGAAAGTCAGGTCGGGGACAGGGTAAGCCGGCGCTGAAGGCTAAGGGGGGTAGGGTTGAAGCTGGGGAGGCAATTCAGAAAGTTGATTAGTCACGTGGAAACGGGCACGTGCTAAGGGGTTTACCTAGGTACCTGCGGACGCTCTATTGGCCCGGGATGGACGCCGACATCGAAAAATACGTCCAGACTTGTAAAGCAGCAAGGCTTCTACCGCACAGAAAGCAGGGGAACTCGCCCTTTTACCGATCCCAACACGTCCCTGGCGCAGCGTCTCGATTGATCTGATCACAGATCTGCCACCCTCTCAACGTCAGACCAGACTGCCTCACCCCCGTTCCCAGTTTACGATTCTATCATGGTTGCCGATTAACAAAGGAAATCGAACTGGTCCCATGCCGAAAAGACATGAGCTCCCGGCAGTTCGCCCACGTCTTTACGAAAAAGTAGATAGATACCCAAGGTACCTTACCTTGCGAAAATAGAGTGGTAGATTGGTATGATCAGGATATAAAGTCTGGACTCTATCAAGTATCCGATATGGGTTATTCTCTGTGACTTACTTGATAATTGCTTTGCCTTGGATATCCAGGTTCTTCAGAGCCATTCAAAACATCTGTCTCCTAATCCCCAAAAGCACCTTTCAATAATTATCGTCCTCGTTCAGACAATCAAAAAGCTTACCTATTTGACATTACATTATCTAACACAAAGCCCAAGTCGATATCCCTCCCAGTTTAATCCAGAGACATCCAACAACACAATCTACGAACGCGATTCTTTCAAATGTCAAAAACACAGATAATATCCTACTAGGGCTGTTCGATACGTAGTATGCATATCAGAATTTTGATGCTATCTTCTACACACTATTGATACAATTGGATATTACCCCCACAGGCCTTAAACGCCGGTTATGCTTTATATATATGTATTCCAAGCATCCAATCATGCGCTCGTTTCATTTCCCATAACGCCATGCAATGCTCTCGTTATCTCGCTCGTCTGAAAACAGAATAATGATGGTGAAGATGAGATAAAAAAAGAAATCGCTTTTGCGATATATATCGAGCAGGGTATGCATAGTCCCTACTGAACGCTCAAGAATAACTCGTCCCCCCGCCTTGTGGGCGTTAGCTTTGGCACCCAACCAGGTGTAGGAGGCATTTTGCCCTCTCGTCCGGCATCCACATCAAACCTGACGCTCTTGCTACTCGGCATCTCTCCTTCTGTAGCTCTGCTCTCGCGCGCCCGATCCCCATTCCAGGCTTTCGGCGTCTTATCAAACCTCTGCCCATGGTTCGCGCCCTTTGTAACCTGCTGCAGCAGCTGTGGTCGCCAGCCCGGATCCTTCGCGGCCTGGATGTCGTCCTGCTTCAGCACGCGCCATCCTGTTTTCGCCGTGTCGCGCACGTCCGGCTTTTGGGCGAGGTGTAGGGCGGCGGCTTTGTCGGCGCCGAGGCGCTTGGCAAGGAGGGAGGAGGTCGTGGAGTTTGTCGAAGCGGGGGAGCTGGAGCGGGAGCGGTCTTTAAGGTGGGCGGCGCCGGGCCGGAGTACCAATTTTTGACGCAGAGGTTGGACTTGTGGTTGAGAAAGTGGCGGCCCAGGTTGACTTTGCTGCTGGGGGTCAACAGCTGATAGAGAGTTGGGTATGGTAGGATGCGCAAATGGAGCGTTGTAATTGCTACTGTTTCCTAGTTCCCGTTCTTTTTCAGGTCTGACGTTGGACATCTCTATTATCTGAGCCGCAGGTAATAGCTCCGGCAAGCCGGATACCTGTGGACTCGGCCTCGTGGCTCTTGATAACCGCAGTTCATCCCTCCGCTGGCTCCGTTGACGCTGTGCAGCATTCTCAGGAGCGCGCCAATGGTTGTAGTTATCCCTATTCTCATTCAAATTCGCACGGCTATGGAACACAGACGTGAAATCGGGTTGTGGAGGTGGAGGCACCATCTTCATCGTCTGAGCAGCCAACCTTCCCGGAGGTGTTATCTTTGGGTACGAAACTGGAGATATCCCAGAGGAAGGTGATTCTTCCACGGGCGAAAGTTCCATCGTACTTTTCCTTGCCCCTCTTGGTGATAAGGCCACAGAAGCGTTTTCATCGTCAGAAAATCCCTCCGAGTCGAAAGAGGTCAAGGAACCTGCTGATGCACGATCATAAGGACCAACTTGCTTGTAAGATTCAGGATTTCTGGCATCGGCTTTCGTTTTCGTTTCTGGAAAGTTGGAACTGAGGGGCCCAGTGCTGGGTGTATTGGAGAAAGAGGTGTGTGTGCTGTTTGGTGTCTGTTGTGAATATACTGATGATGATTGCGTGATTGGTCGCAAGTTATTTGGGACTTCCAAAGCTTCCTGTTGTGAAGGTGCCTCTGCATTCGGTCTAGGCCTTGAAAAGCTCCCTACGCCTTGCTTGTTGAGGTTCAGAGGCTTGACTACGAGCCCTGGTGCAGGCACGAGTCTGAATGCAGGATTAGGTTGTTGAGTCACAAGGCGGGAGTCGCCATTTTCATTGTTGGGAAACGTAAAAATATTGGCTGTTTGTTTCGCTGCTTGATTTCTCGGCGGTGTTGGAAAGACCTCGATGGCTTTCAGTATGTTTCCGCCAGATTCGCTGAAAGCCGTGTCAATATCCGTAGCAGAGTCGCTCAAATCGTCTTCGAACTGGGTCGTTGTGCTTTGTCTTGCTGGTAACACTCGCTGCTGGCGCGCCATCCATTGTCCTGCTGATTTCACAGGAGCTGTAGGAGGCATCACCAACCTCAAATTTGGTTTCTCGGGAAGCAATGGTGAAGGTCGTTTGACAACAGGATCAGGTTTCTCTGGAGATACTGCAAGGCCAATGTTATCTGGGTATATGCTTCTCCTTGAGAACATGTACGGATCTGACGTATCTATTCGAGGTGGCACTCGAGGGGGTGTCGGCGTGTTATTCCAGCCTTGTTTGGCATTTTTCTCGATAGGACCTTGGAAACCACCACCGTACGATTGGGGAGTTGCGGGATCCATTTGGAAAGGTAGCGTATCGCTGTCACGTCCTGACCGTTTTCTCCTGATGCAGGCTAGTAAGATTATAAGTCCGATAACAATCACCGCGCCACCGACCCCGGCTACGACTATGCCTGCTATCTGACTCTCTGACAGAGCTACGTTGGTAGAAGGTTTCTGTGCAGCAGCCAATGTGGTTGCGCTACTGGTGGCGTTACTGGTTCCGGTAGCAGAAGTAGTCCCAGGTGTAAGGGTCGGAGAACTCGTTACCGTTATAAGGCTGGATGTTGGTTGTGGGCTTGTGCTGGTGGTCATACTCGAGGAACTCGAATAGCTTGATGTTGTTGCAGATGGAACTAGAAGAATTCCGGGCGATAAACTTTCTATCGTCAACGTTGCTGTGATTGTGCTGTGCGTATTTGGTAGAGCATTCAGCAGCCCATTACACATCTGATACGCATTCGCTACCACTGTTTCTATTCCGTGTCAGCAATATATTCCTCATCCTCTCCGGTGGCAACATACCTTGTGCATCATCCCCTGTACAAAATCCTATTCTATCCTCTGAGACTATACACTGAACTGCTCCCTCCCCAACCGTGTACCCACTTATACTATTGCTCGAGCAAAGACAATCTAAGGTAGGAGTATCTCCACAGATCGTTCCAGGGTAATTCGAATCGAGGTAAGATTTGAAGCACTGTTGCGCACAGTCTGGAATGAAATTCGTGAGATCTGAGGACAACGAGATAGTGGCGTTGGCGAGGAGTGGAAACAAAAACACGAGTAGTTTATATGTCCAGCAAAATGCCATCCTCATAACTATATAATGGGAGAATTGTCAGCGTTGACCCTCGTACCGCATCTCTTCCATCGGATGTCAGAATGACTAGCACCAGGGAATATGAGAAATAATATAACAGGGAGTTATGAGGCCGATTCAACTTGATTCTGCCTTGCTGGTCTTATCGGATATTACGATCTTTTGATCCTACATCGACCTCGATCTTACCGACACAAGGGACCTCGAGATGAGCTTACCTCTCCTCCTTACTCCAACGGCAGATAAAAAGACAACATACCTGGAAGTACTAACAAATTAAACAGTCAGAAACGACCTGCGTCCCGACATATTAAAAATATAAAAAAGGAATAGATCTAGAAGCTCTGTAGCAAGCGTGTATCCATTTCCTGAAACCCAAAAACCGACAATGTACGCAGAGCCCCACAAACGAAATACGGGCACAAGGGACGAAGAATTGAACAATGATTAGGAGAATAATGCAAAGAGAGTCTGAAAGAGATGACAAGAAGAGAAGAATCAAGATGATACAAAGCTGATTTCATATTTTTCTCATCTTCGCGGCTCCTTGACGCCGTGCCTGGATATGAGAATCGGTCGTGACGCTGTACACTATTCTGAGCTCCAATAGCCTCTCTTGTTTCCGCGCGTTCCTAGATCTCCATCCCATTCGTCAATCCCGCCTCAGGCCAAGGAGGGAACGAATAGCAGCATGGCAACCCCGTCATCCCGCTGATTGCCATCCCATAGAGACTTCGTCCACAGGAGGGCAGAATGGGGGTAACCGCTGCATCGGTGCATGCGGCGGTATTGTCATCCAACAGACCGGGTGCTGTTTCGTGCTTTTGACTTTCTGTCAGATATGGTTGGTCGTTGATTGTCCGCGCTTACACAGGGCGCGTAGGATAAAGGACTCCCTTGGCAATCACCGAGCTAAGCGGGTTCGAGGGGCTGTCACGTGGCTCTCGAGGACAGGTTTGGACCAGACATATGTATGTACTAAGGTATTTAGAGATCAAAATATATTCGACTTGCATGTGTTGGTGGCGGTGGACGGAGCTACGAGGTGTACTTTTGCCACTGGCTGTTGGTATATTGCTCTTGTAAGCTGAGCCAAATATGCCTACTCTGGATGTTCATCTGGCTTGCTATGTCTCCATGCAAGGCTGGCACAATCGGCCTCGAGTCGCCATGCAGTCTGTATAGGGGGGCCAGACTGGTTTTGAGACATGGATTCTTTCATTCATTTCATGGTATTGTGCTGTTTTGCATACCTCCACTAGCCATGCAAAAGATCGCAGTGGCCACAACTGAGAAACCGACCATACATGTTGAAGAACAGCGCTCTGGCTCTGCACTGGATATGCAAACATTGCAAAAGCACCCTATCTAACCCGACCACCTCCTCAAATACGCTCAAAATGACGCACCCTCCATGCAATCTATGAGAGCAATGTTAACGCCCGCTTTTGGCAATTCTTCTCGATTATAGAAAACCAGTTGTTGTGATGCGCTCATGCCTTGAGATTTGTGCCGGCACGACTTGACTTGATGACGTTCTTGACTATTTCCTCCGTCTTGTCCCAATCATTCTGGTCGAGTCTCACCAAGTCGATATTGTAGTGTTTCGCGATCTCACTCAGAGCCTGGAAGCTCTTCCTGTCGAAGACAAAGCTGATGCTAACACCAACACGTCCGAATCTACCTGTACGACCAATTCTGTGGAGGTAGGTCTCGGGATCCGGCTGTGAGTCGCTGGCTCCCTTCATGGGAATATCGTAGTTGATCACCATGGAGACGGATTGAACATCGATACCTCGGGCGAGAACGTTGGTTGTGATGAGAACTTTGGCTCTACCTTGACGGAAGTCCTCGATGATACCGTCTCGGTCTGCGCCTTCAAAACCTCCGTGAATCGCCACGACTTTGTGTCCATCCTGTGACAGACGTGCAGCGATCCTGGATGCGGATTCTTTGGTCTACAACTCGGTTAATGAAGTTCGACAACATGTTGAAGTGTACTTACCTTGACAAAAATAATAGACGACCCGATCGTCATCAAGCCATAAAGCTGAGCAAGAGTTTCGTATTTGCCTTCATCGGATGGACAGTCCATGTACATCTGCTTAATTCCACTGACAGTGAGCTCGTCTCGTTTCAGTCTGATTTCATTGGCTCCAGGACTAAACTGCTGAGCGTATCGCATAACCGCATCTGGGAATGTAGCAGAGAAGAGCAGAATCTGCTCGACATTTCTCAACGCACTAGACGGTGGTTAGCATTCATTCTTCAATGATATGCGGGAGAAACGAACTTCTTGACGCGTAGGCACTGCTCACCGAGACCCTGCTGGTCTAACATATTATCTGCCTCATCCAAGCACAAGACCTTCATCTCCGATGTGTCGAATTGCCTTCTCTTGATCAGATCCAGCACAGTACCCGGGGTACCAACAACCACCATCGACTCAACTTTCGCATTCCTTTCTACGGCGCCTGGAACAGCGGCCTGAATAGTCAACCCATCAACGAACTGCCCAATACTCCTAATAACACCTTCAATCTGGCGCGCAAGCTCACGGCTGGGAGCGAGGCATAGAGCTTGTGGTGACTTGGGCTTGGTATAATCGAGTCGCGACAGGATCGTTATGACGAAAGCCGCAGTCTTACCGGTTCCTGATTGCGACTGTGCGATCATGTTCGTGGGAGGAGAGCTGAGCAGCAGAGGGAGAGCCCGCTCTTGGATTTTAGAGGGTTTCTTGAAGTTCATCGCATACATGCCCTTCAGAATCTGCGGATTGCTTGCGCAAGAATGTTAGCAGGAGCAGTCGCTACGCTTTGATATGGTCCTTACATTCCAAGTTCCTCGAAAGAGCCGATAGAATACAAGGGGCTGTTCGCATCGGCTTGGAGATCACTCAGCTTGACCTCGACGGCATACTGCGGTTCGTGGAGGGCTGATCCTCCCGCAGCATCGGTCGCGCCATCCACCTGAGCATCTGCGGCTCCGCTCTGGTCATCTTTTGCTTCGGCAGGTGCAGCAGCATCCGCTTCCCAAGCAGATATGCTCTGGGCCGTGGCGTCGGTAGCAGCATTAGGCTTGGAGATGCGATCCTCCAAAGATCCGGCGGGATTCGGCGAAGCTGCCATCTTGATCGTGGATTTGCAAGAGATGGGAGACTTTATGAGCGACTGGTAGAGGCTCTCGAGGGTGTGAGATGGTTTGCCTCTCTCGGGCAATAACTTCAAGAAGGCGCCAAAAATCGCGGGGCTTAGCGCCATTAGCGCGCCGCTTAGTCACCCGCGGACATAGCTGCGTCTCCGTCCCAAACAGGAGCTCAACTACCTATTCAAATGGTAGCGGGGGTCGCTGTGCCTTGGTTGTTCAGTGACTACTCGACTATATTATGAACGCTCGCGGATCTATATCTTATCCACAATCTTCATGTTGTTGATATATCACTCCAGTCAATATCATGGCAGAAGTGGATATTACGCCCCACTTTGGCTTTGAGCTGAAGGTAAGGGGCCAGATAAACAGTCCACCACGCCGACTTCACTGACCACCTCTCTCGTGCAGGATGGCTTCAAAACGGTCAACGCTTGGGTTGGCAATGGTATCAGTTGGTTGGAAGACATTGGGCAATTTTACCGTGAACGGAGTGTGATCGAGAAGGAGTACAGTGCGAAACTGGCAGCCTTGGCTAAGAAGTACTATGAAAAGAAGGCGAAGAAGTCGAGTAGTCTGAGTGTAGGGGAATCACCTACTATGACCCCTGGGTCGCTGGAGAGGTTCGAGCTGGCTGTCAACGTCGAGAGCATAGAAAAGGCTAACGTCATCAGTGCTTCCCTCACGACGTGGACAACACAACTCACCACACTCGAATCGCGAGCGGCAGAGCACGATAGATTCGGAACCGAGCTGATCACGAATGTCGCAGAACCTCTAAAGGCCACTGCACTTTGTTTCGAAGAACTCCGGAAACGCCATGCGGACTTTGCGGAGAAATTAGAGAAGGAGCGGGACTCTACGTACAGCGACCTGCGGAAGATGAAGGGCAAATACGATGCAACATGTCAGGAGGTTGAGAACAAGCGGAAGAAGGCCGAGTCCTCTTTTGATTACTCAAAAGCGAAAGCTCACAATGCGTACCAGCAGCAAGTTCTTGAGATGAACAACGTCAAGAACAGCTACTTGATTGCGATCAACGTCACAAACCGACAGAAGGAGAAATACTATCACGAGTATATACCAGATTTGATCGATAGCCTGCAGGATCTCTCGGAATCACGGACAGTGAAGCTCAACGGACTCTGGTCGACAGCCGCGCAGCTCGAGACCGACATGCTCAAGCGCAGCACCGACTTCCTCAGTCACCTCTCCCAGGAGATACCTCGGAATGTACCAGCTTTGGATTCGATGATGTTCGTTAGACATAATGTAGGATCATGGCAAGAACCACCGAATAAGGTGTTCGAGCCGAGTCCAATATGGCATGATGATGATGCTATGGTAGTGGATGACAATGCGAAAGTATTCCTACGGAATGTCTTGGCTAAATCCAAAGCGCAACTGGGTGATTTGAGAAGGGAAGTTGACAAGAAACAACGGGAGGTAGAAGGGATACAACGGACGAAGCAGGCCATCCGAGAAGGTAAAGACAAGAGGAATGAGGTTGAGGTTGTGGGGTCTCTCTTCGCAGCGCAAGAAGAGCTACACCAGCTTGATCACAAACGGTTGACTGCAGAGGTCGAGACGGAGACGATCACAGCGGCGGTTGGCGATGTCACATTAGGCGCGAGAAGTCACAACTTCAAATCTCAGACGTTTAAGATACCCACGAATTGCGATTTGTGTGGTGAACGGATATGGGGGCTCTCAGCAAAGGGCTTTGATTGCAGAGACTGCGGCTACACCTGCCACAGCAAATGCGAGATGAAGGTTCCGGCTGAATGTCCAGGAGAGCAGAGCAAGGAGGAAAAGAAGAAACTCAAGGCGGAGCGACAAGAAGCAGCAAATGCGCTCAAGGCCCCGAGTAGTGGCCCTAGCGATAGCGTTTCTGAGCTTCCAGCGATAAGTCGGACTAATACCATGAACTCGCTGAGTTCTGGATACGCGGCAAGCGCCAATCGATCAGTCTCGGGTGCCAAATCCCCAACGGAGGATAGCGCCCCTGAGAGGCCTACTTCTGCAAAGCCTAGTATCACTGGCTCCAATACTCTGCGAAAGAACCGCATTGTGGCACCTCCCCCCACGGCATATGTCAGTGAACTTGCAGGGAGCAGTGTTGATGGTGCATCATCCGGCTCGAATGAGCAAAAGGGAAGAATGTTATACCCATACGACGCAAACGGAGAAGGGGAGATCACAGTCGCTGCAGGCAAAGATGTGACAATCCTAGAACCAGACGGTAAGTCTATGACCAGTGTGCATCTGAACCGTGCTAAGTATCCACAGACGGAGGATGGACAAAGGTTCGAGCCGGCTTCAAGGAAGGCCTTGTGCCCACAGCCTACCTCGAGATCGTGGCGTCGGTTCCCCGCCCCTCGTCGACGCACTCCAATTCGGGCTCCTCGTTTGCTGGCAGCGTCAACATGAGCGGTAAGAAGCAAGGGCCGGCGGTAGCACCGAAGCGCGGGGCGCGGAAGCTCAAATACGTCGAGGCTCTCTATGAGTACACGGCACAGAGCGATGCGGAATGGAGCATGGTAGAGGGGGAGCGGTTTGTGTTGATCAAGGAGGACCCAGGTGATGGCTGGGCGGAGGTCGAGAAGGGCGGGATCACAAAGAGCGTGCCGGCCAACTATGTACAGGTTGTGTAGGGGTCTGGGCAAAGGAGTGTCCTTAAGATGGGACGAGAGGGGAGGGGTTTAGTTTGTGGCGGACAGGGGCTGTGGGAGTCTAGAACTCATCATAGCAAGCATCAGTACGTTAGTGAGCGAGAGTATTCCTTGGCGGAAGCGTTGAAGCAGCATTAAGAAGCGTTGAGCGTTTAAAAGGCGTCGCGAGGCCGAGAACAAGTTCTTCTACTTATACATAGGGTACCTCGTCGGAAGAGTGTAGCGTAGCGCTTGAGCAAAGCACATGGAATCCCTATTGATGCCTCCGCTGCGTCGGTATGCATAGATGACAATGCAATAAGTCCTGCACCGGTACGTCGCAGCTAACAATAGTAGGGCCCCAGGTCGAGTCTAGCCAATGATCGAATGTTTGATGTTTATGTTATGTTTTGTGTCTAATAATAATAATAATAATAATAATAATAAATATGCTTTTGTTTATGCAAGGCTCGGGACACCTACCTTCGCGCACAACGTCGCACTTTTAACCTTCACGAAACAGCCGCGCGCCGATCGCATCCAAACGATGCCGTCACCGCTGAGCGGAGCGGACATGATTTGCAGGACGGTGCGGGAGTGGCGTCCCGACCCTGGAGCGGTGGGGCGGGGGAGGGAACGAATCGTTGACAGGAGTTCAAGGAACAGTCTGTCTTAGATAAGACGTGTGTGGGTGGTCCTGGTGGTTTTGCGGAGAGCGGAGGAAATTCTTGGGCTTCTTGGACTTCTTGGACTTCTTGGACTTTTCTCTTGGGAAGTCTTGGAATTTCTCTTGGACAGGCCAGGATATACGTATAGCACCTTTTGTGGTATGTGGTATACGTAGACAGGCATCTTGGCGGTGGAAGGGAGATTGGAAGGCGGTGGTGGTTGGGACTTTTGATTTTGATAGACCGAGGCAGTGCAACAGAGTAGAGGTGGTAATAACGTTAAATAGCACTAAATAACATTATATCACATTATATCACAATTATACTACCGTAATAAGGACAGGATGCCTCGGGTAATGTGAATAATAGACGCCTTCATCCTGCAACGAGCAGTAATCGCCTTGTGCGTCCCATCGATCACCCTTCCTGCCTGAGGCACCGTCTCCACCGGCTCCACTCCGCCCCTGCCCGCCAAGCCCACTCCTGAATATCCTAACCGCTTCGGGCCATCCCTCCCTCGCCCAGTCTCTCCGCCCATATATACTCTGATATCCAATCCCATCCAATTCTTCCAACGTCTTGACCTTCTCTCGCTTTTCCACCTCCCGCCCTTCACCAACTTCATCACCTTCTTTTTTCTTGTCGGCACTGTCACTCCTTCCGGTGCCTTCACCGTCCTTCGTTGTGTGCTGTTCTCCAGATACCCCTTCTATTTGGCATCTTCTACATTGTCTCTCCGCTCGCTCGAGACGTTATCTTGGACAATCAGATCCCTCGTTTCTTCCCTTTTTGTCTCAGCCCTTTATAACCATCCATAAGGAGCAAAGAGACAAGACAAGATGAAGACGTTCAGTACCTTTGCAGCGTTGGCTGCCGCGACTTCGGTCCTTGCAGCCCCCTCCCCCACCGGAGGTCTCACTCCTCGAGCATCCTCCTCCATCGTTCCCATCACAACCAAGGGCAATGGTCGGTCCCCTCATCTCTCGCTTTGCCCACCGTCTCTAACTCGTAGCAGCCTTCTTCCAAGGTGACAAGCGTTTCTACATCCGTGGTGTCGACTATCAACCTGGCGGCAGCTCCAAGCTCGTTGACCCGATCGCTGATGCTGGAACTTGCGCCCGTGACATCGCCGAGTTCAAAAAGCTGGGCATCAACACCGTTCGTGTGTACACCGTCGATAACACCGCTGACCACGATGCGTGCATGTCCGCCCTTGCGGATGCTGGCATCTACCTCGTCCTCGACGTCAACACTCCTCTCTATTCTCTGAACAGAGCAACTCCCCACAACTCTTACAACGAGGTCTACCTGCAGAACATCTTCGCGACTATCGATGCCTTCGCCAACTACCCCAACACCCTGGCTTTCTTCTCTGGAAACGAGGTCATCAACGATGATAAGACCACCTCCGCTGCCCCGTACGTGAAGGCTGTCACCCGTGACATGAGACAGTACATCGGATCTCGAAACTACCGCAAGATCCCTGTGGGATACTCGGCCGCCGACGTCAACTCCAACAGACTGGAAATGGCTGAGTACATGAACTGTGGCCCTGACGATGAGCGCAGCGACTTCTTTGCGTTCAACGATTACTCGTGGTGCGATCCTAGCAGCTTCCAAATCAGTGGCTGGGATCAAAAGGTCAAGAACTTCACCAACTATGGTATCCCTCTCTTGTACGTCTCCCCTCCCGAGCCCCGATGATGCAGCTAATTGTGAGTCTAGCCTGTCTGAATACGGTTGCAACACCAACACTCGCAAGTTCGAAGAGGTCGCCGCCCTCTACAACACCGAGATGACCTCTGTCTACTCTGGCGGTCTCGTCTATGAGTACTCCGAGGAGGGATCCAAATACGGACTGGTCAAGATCGACTCTCCCACCTCCGTCACCGAACTCCCCGACTTCCTCGCCCTGAAGTCTGCTCTGGCCGCCCAAGCTGACCCCGCTGGCACTGGCGGATACAACGCCACGGGAGGCGCGAGCGGCTGCCCCGCCCAAAGCCCCAACTGGGACGTGTCTGGTGATGCCCTGCCCGCGATCCCCGCCGGCGCGGCGAAGCTGATGAAGTCTGGCGCCGGCAAGGGCGCGGGTCTTTCAGGCAAGGGTTCTCAGAACGCCGGCGGCACCTCGACCGGTACTGCAAGTGCAGGCAGCGGCTCGGTGACTGCGGTCGCGACTGGATCAGCCTCTTCGAGCACGAGCACCAGCTCTGGTTCTGCAAAGAGCGCCGGCACCCAGCTGCAGCCGATGGACAGAGCACCTCTGTTCCTCGGCCTGTTCGTCGCAGGAATGTCGTTCGTAGGCGCCACTCTGCTGTAAGCTGGTTCGATCGATGTCGCTGTATGTCAAGGGCGGTAAGCCCCCAACGGGTCGAGAAGGATAGATAGATAGGATCGTGACTGTTGTCGGCGCATGGTAGAATACCAACCAAGAGGATTCCCCGAGCCCTCTCTCGTCGCGGATCAGCATTTCCAGGTGTTCTGTACTGTACTGTACCTATATATATATAACTAGTTATTATATTTTTTTTCTAACGCCCCTTGCTATTGTTTTCCCATGTATAGCTTCCGATCAACGTCAATGAACGAAGGAGCGTGCGTAGCTAGAGCAGCAGCCCCCCTTGCATTCGCATTGTAGGAAATAAATCTGCGTTTAGAAGAAGAACTGGTCGTCGTTTGCCGCGTCGTGTGAGTGTGAGTTTAGCGAGTTATTGGAGCTTAGGGTGGGGGAAGGAGGGGGGTGGGGGCGAGTGTAGGGAGGACGGGATGGAAAATGTTATGTCTTTCTATATCTATACATGGGGAAATAACTAATATTTTGCCTTGCCTTGTCTTATCTTGCCGTGTCTTACATACCTTACTTTGAGGTAAGGTAGGTATCACCATCTTTCCTTTCATTTTCCCCTCTCTCTCGCAGTAAATCCTAATCAATACTTACCCTATCTACATCCCCGTCCACTCAGCCTCAATACCCCCAAAATCCACATTGATTAAATCAATCAATGAATGAATGAATGAATGAATGTCGTACGTATGTATGTTTTGAAATACGGATTTGCTTTGCTTTTGCTTTTGCTTTTGCTTTTGCTTTTGGATACCTACTGTAGGGAAACAGAGAGAGAGCGAGGAAGGGAGATGCGTCCAGCTCCCCCCCCTAACAAAAGAAATTCAGAGAAGTTGTTATATTGTATTGTACATCACGAGTAAACAAAGCCTTTAGCTAGCATACATACATACATACAGTTCTCACAGTATCTTTGAAATAATGAAAGGTAGCTTACCTAGCTTACCTAGATTATATTTAAACCACTTGTTAATTAATCAATCCATAATCTCTAAACAAATACCAGAACAACATATCCTACCTAGATCCTAGACCCGCCTTCCTTTGTTTTATATATTATAAACCATAAAAGGGTTCGACAACGACACACTTACGGAGTGGAGAACCTCTAGAGAAGAAACATGGGAGTTGAATAGAGGGAGTAGATTGTGGATAGGTAGGTATCAGGATTATGGGGTTGAGGAATGGGGTGGGAGGGAAATGGGGATTTTTAATGTTATATATGGTGGAGCTTTTGAGAGGGATTTTAGAGAGAAGGGGGGGGGGTGGGTTAGAAATAGAATATGAGGGGGGAAGGAGGAAGAGATGAAGGGTAATGTGTGTAAAAAGACAGTTAGAAAAACAAAATCTCTTAATTCAGACATCTAGACAGAAGAAAGCTTTAAGCACTTGTCTTCATAACTTCTGAACGCGTCAGTCTTGTTTATCTTCATTAATCGACCAGCTCAGTTCTTATTACTCCATGCCCCCCCATGCCAGTAGATTACATCTATACATCTTCAAACAAACCGCGGCTTAGCTTGAAGGACCACCTAACGCCAGCCATCAATGCACATAAAAACCTGACGCCAGAATGCCGCGTCCACATCGTCGTATCGCGGATGGTATATCCCCCCCTTTCTCCATCCTCCCTCCATTCATTTCCGACCCCATCAATCCTTCCCCCCCCTCTATTTCCCTCTATCATATTTTCCTCCTCAAAACAAACAAACAACCCCCCCTTTCTTCCCCTCCCATCTCTACCCAGTCTTCGTCTTCACAACCCCGACCTCCCCCTGAATAGTCCCAAGCCCAATAGTCCCCGGTTTCGGCGCCGTCCCTAACGGCCACGTCCCTAACGCTGTCTGCGCAAATGTCTGCGTGAACACTACTTGTACCGCTGTCACTTTGCCGCCTACTGTCTCGAGAGACGCGAGGGAGGACACTACGGGGGATTGCGTCGCGACGAGCGAGGTCACGGCCCCGCCGCCGCCGGCTGCGATTTGAGCGCTTGCGAATGGGACCGCAAAGAGGAATGGGAGGAGGATGTGCATTTTGTTTTTGGTGCGTGTGTGTGTGTGTGTGTCGGGCTTCGGCGTGTTTTGCTTGTTGAGATGAGAGGAGAGGAGTTTGTAAGGTTCTACTGCGTTCGCGATCCTCCTCAGTGGCTTCGGATTTAGGCACGTGTGCTCGTGGTCCGCAATTGACTCTTCGATTAGGGATTGTGGCTGAGAGATGGATGTTCAGCGGTTGTGAAGTTGGAAGTTGTGAAGTTGCGAAGTTGTGGAGTACGAAGTTACAGGTCGACCCCCTGTCTATTTTTGGTATTCTATAAGGCGCTAGATGACGACGATCTTCAGGAGGCTCTTGGTAGCACGTGATCAACTTGCTTCTGGCAGCAGGTTCAGGTAGGGATTGCTTTTATATTTGAATGCAATTTCTGTTTATGGTCGGGTTAGAGATTACATTTATTTTTGTAATGTTAGATCCCTCAAGAATAAGATAATGGCTATGAGGTGAGGATTTGGTAGGCAGAGCGAAGTGCTGGCGGGAGCCGAGTTGAATCCAAGGACGGGAGGACTGATGCTATTACTCATATATATGTACTTCATATGCCTACTTCAGCTGCCCAGGAGTAGTATTTATTACTTTTGCCTTTTTCCGAATCTCCAAATTAACACCAGTATTGTCGTACGCTTACATTCCCAGCGCCCACCCGTACCAGATGATTTCACGCGAATCGCCTATAAACAACTCATGAGAACTTATACTCCTTGGATGAATGTATATGCCGAGCTTTGGTGGCTGTTGTTAAGGGATTGGCGGCGCATGGCGGGTTGGGTGTTGACGGTGTGTATGGGATGGCGATGAATAGTATCCTCGAGATAGAGATGGCCCTGTCCACAGGGCGGACGATGATATGAGTAGAGACAAGGACAAGGATCTGTTAGGGCGATAGGTAGGAGGCGGCTTCAGTGCCGTGAGTGACGAGTCTGTCCTGCATGGCTATATACAGAAGGAGATGAGAAGTTAGTTTTGTGAAAAAAGATCTATTAACGCGTGTTGGAGTTTATGATAAAGTGCTAGCCATAGAACCAGGCCAAGGCAGCATTGCGTATGGTTTCCACATTCCCTTCCGGCGGACTCAAGTAAATATTTCTGTGTTATAATGTCCGAGAATGCGGAAGGGCGTGCTTTGCTCCGTTTCTAGGGTGAATCCAAGAAGTAACATTACGAAGACGTGCTGTTAGGAGTCGGGGTATTGTGCTTGTCAGCTTGGAGCTAGTGGTGTAGAGTACAACTGTTGGCTGAGCATAGTTCCGATAGATCCGGCTTTTACTTGGTGACTTGTAGGCGTCTTTGAAGAGGATACATGCTGCAGAGATGCCGGTTTTCAGGTGAGGTCCATAATGCGTAACTCACAGCCAGTGTTAAGAAGATGGAGACGACAATTGCTTATCGGGGAGCAATACTGATGTTTCCCTCGTTACGACGTATACGATAGGAGAGAATAATGGCTCGCTGAGATCTATATAAAGTGTGAGGTGGTCTGAGCTGAGAAGGGGGCGCAAGGGTACGGATAAGCTGAAGAACGCGAGTGTGGGAGTATATGCTAAACATAGTGGTGGAATCCATTCCATATGAGAGGGGTAATCGTAAGCTCAGATGATAGATTTTGGAGAAGCTCAAATACATCACATCGTTTGAAAAGACTATGAGAGACTAGTGGAACTGATGATGAAAGTCTGTCCGGACAACGTCGCCAGGAACTGTACCGTACTCGCGACTGGATAATAGGGATGGTATACAAATGAGCTATATGATCAGTTACCAAAGACAGATGAGAAACAGTCTTGCCAACGACTGCCTCTGGCTAAACAAGAGATCCGAAGATGCGCATGGGTACTGCGATCCATGGCCACTCGTCCCATTTTTCACTAACACTTTGAAATAATTGTGGCAAATGGGAGGAAGATCCGTGACTTGGACATGGGGAAGCCTCGGCTTATCCGCTGTGGAAAGGAGACGGTGTAGATATTGGTTTGTTTGTATAGCTCAGAGTCCAGGTGCATGAAGGAGCAAGTCTCCAGGAATGAGTCTCCAAGACAATTCCAATTAGCTGACTCCAGGTATGCTCTTGCATCGAAGCCGCTAATTGCGAGATGGAACGGTACTTGAGGCCCCATCCTGCACTACTCAGGAGTCGGTACCATCCGACGTAGTATCAACTAACAGAACGACCTAAGAAAAGATTTGAGAAAAGTTGTGCATATTCCTTCGCTCCGAACAAGCACCGGTGTAACAGAAGCTTTGGAACACCCAAGGAAGTGGGTAGTGAGTAACGTTGAATGCAGGAACCCGACTTGGGCCTGAATCCTTCGAAGTGAGAACTGATGGTCATATTCGGCGTACTCCGTAGGGCTCTCACATTTGTCCGAATCTCGAAAACCTAACAAACAAGTTTCTGACGAATTGGTAGAAGAAGACTGGATGGAAGGGCCTGGCGCTGACGTTCCTTTCGACTTGGAAGGTGGACGAAGAAGTTCGAGAATGCTCGGCGAGAGGCCTCCTGTACCAAGCATAAGCCTGCCTTCACCGTAACTCACCGACATCCCCTAATCCACTATCACGACATGGCCTACTGACCAACGACGTGAGAAGGACCAACCCCTCCTTCTCCTCAATTGACTATGACCAAGCTCAATTACGAAGCTCGAGCCAAGGGCCAAGCATGAGGTCGAATCGAATCAAGAGTCCCGTCCCGTCCCCGGCACTCGGCCGCTCTGCGCTATCGAGGATCTTTGCCGCCCACGATCTTCTGGAAAGCCTGCATCTCATGGTTCGCTGGAACTTGGAACGGGGGCGGCCATCAGCCCGTCACGGCAGGTCTTGGTGGAGCTGGGTCGGGTCTGATTGGTGGAACCGCCGACCAGGCCGTTGGGCTGAGATGGAAACTCGGAGTCGGAGAGAGATGGCGTTGGGCTACGCCGCCAGACAGCTGCTGAGCTGCGTCTGCTCGTACAGACGGTACACTGGGCCACTGGCTACCATGCATCTGCGATCGTGAAGCTGCATTTGGAATACGTGGCTGGCATATGATTGGATGCGAATGGTATCTGGCGTCTTCATGGGAGCCCCACGAATCCACGATCATCGCGATCATCGATGGTCGAGGGTTGGTGTGTGGACAGAGGGGTTAGGGAGCAGGGCGAAGAGGAGGAGAATGGAATGTCATTGGACATTATTCGAGGAGACGCGGAATCGGAGAATCCAGAAATCCCAGAGAGCCTCCAGTAAGAGCGCGCCTTACCCGAAGAGACACTAGCGCCAGGACCAGCCGAATGCAGCCTGAGGCGCCAAACTCTGTTTCCCTCTAGGCCGCAACTAGAAGCCGCTAGTCCGCAACCAGAAGCCGCTAGGAAGCACTAGCGCTGCCAGATTGCTGCGTGCACTTCTCGCCTTCTCGTCCGTCTCCTTCAGGTTCAACTTTCACGACACGCTCAACACCACCGATCAAGAACCATCTGTTCGATAAGAATCTTCCGACAAACTCAACCATCTGAGACATTGCACAGTCTAGCCTACGCGATCTTCGAGAACTATCAACTGCATCTTAAGCGTATCCATCCCCCGCCTCCTGCCTGCCTCGATCGTGTTTCCTCGTGTTTGGTTTCGTGGATGGCCTGATAGACCGCCCCAAACCCCTATCCTCCCTCAGAACCCGTCCGATTCCCATGGTCGACACTTGATTGTCGGACGAGGGGACCATTACCAGCGTCTTGATGTTTGAGAATTTCACCTTTTCCGCTCCAGTCCACTGCCGGCAGGACGAGGAGGAAGACATGTCCGCTTCGCCAACAGATACTTCCTTCCCCTCACCCCCTTCGTCTCCGACCTCTTCGTCCTTTGACTGTTCACCACAAACGGGCTCGACCATGGACTCGACCCAATCAGCCATCAACGAGATCATGCATAAACTCAGCGAGCAATCGCTTCAGTCGCGCGACACCGTCGAATTCGCGCCATGGGCGACATCCCCACCACCGTCACGTCCGCCCTCGAGTCACGGTACCGACGAACAAATGCCATATACCTCGTCAAGCGCCTCTTCTTCCTCGACCTCTCTACCGAACCTATACGCTGTCTCAAACAGCAAAGGATTCGCCTGCAGAAGGTTACAACGACAATTGAACGTCCAGCTCCAGAGCTCACCAACGCACATCCGCGATATCCAGACGCTATTCGAAGAGATGGTCGCTTCGAACTCACACTGCCTAGTCCACAAACCGTCCTCCACATCCTATCGCTCCTCACCACCGCCACCACGACCTAGCAGGCCCGTTGGGCTAATCGTCGATCCGATGGACTTCGACAGCCCGCCCATCCCGGATATCACCATAGACGAGGGCTTCCACGAACCAGACCACTTCGAAGAGGAGATTACCTTCAGGAGAGCAAGCGCCCCCTCTGGGATCCGCAAATACAACACCCTCAAATGGTCCCGGAGTGCAAACTGCGTGGTAATGGGCGGGCGACTGATAGTCCGCTCCGTGCCGCGGATGCGAAAGCGACGAGGGCCCAATGCCTAAACCACTACGAATGTTGCGCTTCACTCACCAATGGCGCACGCTGTACATCATATCATATCATATTTATCCACATATCATCAAACCTTATTCTATCTACAACCTAGGATCCGGGGGAAGCAGGCGCAAAGGGGTGTCCAAAATACCTGAACAAAGGGTTCAGGACCAGGACCAGGGAATCGGCGTCACGGGATAGACGGTAACGCGCAAGCAAGCATCGCAGCGAAATAGCAGGAGCGAGGTCTGGCGTATAGGTGGTTTATATTATGGGGTAGTAGGCGTAGGCGTATATCTATCTATTTAATATCCAAGGAACTATCTTGGCTAGGTAGGTAGCTGAGAAATTCCCACCAGCTGTTGTATATATATTTTTTATTTTGTCCGAGCCTCTATAGATAGGATAGGATAGGATAGCTTGGCTCGTGGCATAATTCCATTCTATTCGAATCAATCAATCATTTCTCATTTTCTGGAGATAGATTTCTTAACTTATAGGCAGGCAGAAGGGGATTAGGGAAACAGGTAGGTAGTTATTCATTCATAACACTCATTGAGTGCATTTCATTCACACACACAACCCATTCATTTTACATTATTTATACCAGCTACCTTAGCTACCCTGCGCATCCCCAAAAATATCCATCCACCCGCAAATATCAAGAGGGTATGTATCTAGTTCGTTCCCTACCAGAACGCCCGCTATGCCATCATGTTCTGGCCGCGCTTTCTTTCAAAAAGAAGAAGCCAAACAAACAAAGCCCGAGCCCGTGTTTTGCTATGTAACGCCGATTAATTTCAATGCAGATAGATAGGTAGCCGCCACCACGCCAGAGCCAGAGCCAGAGTTGCTAGGAATTGGGAAAGGAAAGGAAAGGAAGATAGATGGATGGATGGTTTGAATCATCATCGTTTAGTCTAATTCGATAACTTCTGCTGGGCCGCTCATACTCCTACTCCCTCGACTCCGTCCGTTAGCTTGTAAAGACCCGGCTCTACTGGCTTGTGCCGAGGCGGTTGTTGTCTTCTCTCTTCCCGTGGCTTCGTCGTCGTCGGTACCTGAATCATCATCTCCGGCTTGATCCTTGGCTGCTTTCCTTTTGAGCGGCACGGCTTCTGGTTTCGGTCTCCATGTGCCGTCTGCGGATATCAAGATGGCTTTCACATCCAGATTATTATCTTCCGCCAACTTCGCGCGGACCGAGACGAAGAAGTCATCAACCAGCAGAGAATATGGTCGCGCGTCTCGGCCGCACAATGGGCATTTCCAGGCGTCGACCAGAGACGGTTGACCGGGCTGCTTGGGTTTGGAGTTGCGCGTCAGGAGGAAGGTCTCCAGGTCGAAGCATTCCCGATGTAAGCAGGAGCTGCCGCGGACGGGAATGTCGAAGATTCGCGCCGTGAAGGGGTCGGCAAGGTCAATGGAGAGATCGCTTATTACCATGGCGAAGTCATCATCATCGTCTGACGGTCCAGTAAGGGATTTCTTTATCCCGTCTAGGGTTTGAGACGCAGGAATCCGTTGTTGCTGGCACATATCGAGTATTTGGGGGTGCTGCAAAATTTCGATGACTTCGACCGCGAGGAAGTAAACAGTTGGTTTCAAGGCCTTGTGCAGGCGTGGGGTAGACACCTTGATTAGGTTGGCGGCTACGCGGTCCGGTGAGGGAGGTAGGATGTAACGCGTGATATCAACTGGGAGGTCTTTTCCATGGTGAATCTTCCTTCTAACTTCCAAATGCTCGCCATTGATCTTAAGGTAGACGGTCTCTGGCCACGCCGTATCGCTAATGACCCACTCTGGAGTTGTGAACTTCGTTGTATCTCGCTGGGCTTGTACGCATCGTAAAAGATACTGTAAAGTACCACGCCTGAACTCGCGTGTGGGGACTGGGCCCATATTGGACTGTTTATCTACGGCAATCAAAGGGAAGTCTTGCTCATTAACGACAAATTGGAATCTGGAAACAGCCGAAGTAGCCGGAATCATTGCCGGCTCAAGCGCAAATTTCTTTATAGATTGATAGAACCTCCGAGACTGGTCATGTTCTGGGATCTGATACTCAAGATCGGCGGCAACTAGACGCGGACTGCGTATATGTGCTTGATGAAGAGCCGTGAGGTCTGGATTTGTTGGTTGCGATGGTTGCACGTATCCCACTGGAGGTACTAGTGGCCGTTGAAGCGGTGGTGTGTTTGTGTAGACCCATAGCTGGTGTTTCATGATATCTGGGGGGAGACTGTAGGAAGGGGAGACTTGCGGGGAAACTTGCGATTGAGGGTTCGAAGGAGTTAGGTCAGGGACATGCCGACCACCAGCAGGGTTGTTGTTATTTCGGGATGGCATTCGCGCTTGAGGAGTCGAGTTACTTCTTAATTGTGCAGCTCGATTCATGGTTACGACTTGCTGCTGTAGTTGTTGTTGATGTTGTTGATGTTGGTGCAATTGTTGATGTTGTTGCTGTTGCTGCTGCTGCTGCTGCTGCTGTGGCGGCATTGCGCGTTGGATTAATGTTCGTAATTGCCACTGTTGGTCCGATATTGGGCTTGCTATGTGATTTTGTGGATATTGACCTGCAGACTGCTGCTGCTGCTGTAGCTGCTGTAGCTGCTGCAATTGTTGCTGCTGTTGAACAATACGAATGTGCTGCTGCTGCATTGCGGACTGTGAGTGGATTGAGTTGGTCGGATATACAACCTGTGGGGAGTTCAAAGCAACCATCCCATTTTGATTCATATTTGGGAGCACCGGGAGATTCTGACTCTGTTGCATATGAATATTGTTTCTCAAGGTGGGAGAAGGCCACTGAAATCCCTGTTGTGCTGGCGATTGAATACCTGGCGATTGAATACCTGGCGATTGAATACCTGGCGATTGAATACCTGGCGATTGAATACCTGGCGATTGAATACCTGGCGATTCAACACCCGGTGATTGCATAGGTCTGTTCTGCACAGATGCAAAGCCTGGAGAGGCCGAGTTTACTCGCAGACCTGTTACACTTGGTGGGCGCCACGGTACGGTGATTTGAGAAGGATTAGATGATCCCATCATTGTCATCCTTCCCGGCTGAGCCTGCTGATTTCCAAATTGTTGATTGTTCGTTGGAATGAAATTTTGCGGATTTGGATTTCTGAAATCCTGACCTATAGAGTTTGCATTGCTTAAAGACAAAGGCGCCGCTCCAATATTAGAGGCGAAGGGTTGATTTCGTAGGCTGCTAGGCACCACGGGGGGTTGAGCCACGGTGCTACTCGTCGTTGGCCCTGACAGCTGCTTTTGTGCTGCATATCGACGTTGCTGGCTGACCAATGTGAGGTACCTATTAGCCAGCGCCTGATTGCGCTCCCGAATCTCCCTTTCTGTTGGTGGACGGGCTGTATTGTATCGGGCAGAAAGCTCTTGGAGACCTCTCCTATCTTCTGAAAATATATCCTCCATCTGACGGCCGAACCTATCATCAACCAGCCCCAAATTGCGCCGAGTAGCAGTGAATACAACTCCCTGTAATATAGGCGATAAAATTCCCAGGCGGTTCACTAGCTCATCCGCAAGAGGAGGATAACCTCGAGTAACGCACTGGTTTGACAAAGGAACCCAATCTGAGACCAACTTGGTCAAAAATATTCCAATATCTGCCACAGTCCGGCGATAAGAATCAGATGTTCTCATGAGATCATCAAATGGACTTGGAAATTGCGAGAACCATTCTAAGTGACTACTCGCCAAACCTTCATTATCCCGGATTAATTGCCCTAGGACCTTGAATGAAAAAGTCATGATCTCGCGTCTGGGAAGACCTGGCTTGTTTAGCAATTGTGAAGGATGGCAATCCCAGAGACAGAAAAGCTGGTGTAGAACGACGTAGAACATATCTTCCTTGGAGCAGGCATCTGTAAGTAACTGAAACCTTGGCTTTTCAAGAGCATTGTTTAAATTTTGAATGCCTCCAACAGATTCTATATGACGCTTAATCAACGCTACACGAGGCTCCAGTGGAGGCATGACTGCAGTGGATGTTCTCTGACGCTTGTGGGGATTAGAAGGGACAGCTGCGCCATCATCCAACTGTGACTGCGCCTGGTGTTGTATCAAAGTGGACGGTAAGGGAAGGTTTCCACCACCAGACTGCAGTTGTCCCGGGTTTTGGATCATTGTGGACGGTAATGGTATATTTTCACGCGCTGTCCTCGGAGATGAAGGACTGACCAAAATGGGGCTTATACGTTGGCCTTGAGGTTCTTGTGTACGTGCTTCTGCCGCTGCCTCTACAGGTTGCTGAGACGTAGGGACAGATGCTGGTGCTTGTGCTAAAGGAGATAGAGATTGCCCGGGGGCCTCCACATTGGAAGACTGAACTTCTTGTGAGAGTGGTCTTTGAGACTGAAGCTGCGTATTTCGATAAGGCCGTGGCCCATTTGTTATCCTTGGAGACTGCGAATCTCTGAATTGAACTGGTGTTGAGCGTTGGCTTTGCAGAGGTTGTGACTGGGGGCTACCGGACGATGATTGTAAAGGTGAGACTCCTTGTGCCGCAGCAAGAGGCTGATTCGTGTTGACAGTAAGGCGCTCGCTCTGGCCATTAGGCTGTTGAGCCTCGGTATGCCCGCTACTGGTTGAGTTGTGAGAGAGTGTTGGCGCTGGAGCTGGAGGAGGGGGGATCGAGGTCACAGTTCTGCGAAATTTGTTAGCCTAAGCTGATCTTTTGTTGTCTCCATATGTCCAAAAGCTCTACCGCAGACCCTTTGAACAACTTACTTCTCTCCTGACGTCGCCGGGCCCGAGGCTTTTGATATGCCCGGCCGAGGCGTGGGCCGCACTGGAGCCCCTGCGGCCGTCATCCATGATTTCTGTCGAGCCCCTCCTAAGAACGTGTTCAGAGTCGCATTGGATGTGTCCACATCCCTCTCCCTGACGGATGCGGGGGGAGGCCCGTCTTTATATGGAGGTCTGCGCATGGTTCAGGAGGGTAGAGTCCACATGGGCTTTGCCAGATGGTCCCCAAGACTTGTCAAGCCAGTCATGTTCTAGGAGACAGAGGGCTTTGGCCGTAGCGCGCGAGGCCACACACTGTCAAGGAAGAAACAGACAAAAATTGCGCCGTTGTATCCTTCAGAGGACACTGTCTTTCAAGGCCGAGGCAGAGAATTCGGCGGGGTGAGAGGGGAGTCCTTCAAGGTGAGGAGGCTAGAAGGCTGAATTCAGGCCGGAAGGCTGGAAAAGGCTCTCTCACCTTAAGTCACAACGGCTGCTATTAGTTTGCATGCTGGGACAGATAGTGAAGGGATGGACAACTGGGCAGCAGACACTGAGTAGATGTTTAACGGTGTCAAGGCACTAATCCTGACCTGTGGAATGGAGTTTGTCGATTTGCGGCCGATATCAACTCTGGAATAGTGGCGGCACTTGTGGCCACCCTGGGGTCTAAGGGTCGCCGTAGACCTTACTTAAGCCTTACCGTACGGAGTAAAGTAAATCCGTAAAAATACTTTAGCCGCGCCCTCTTCCGGCCATGCTACAACGGGTATGGCGCAACATCCGACAACGCTAGCCCCACCTTAGTAACATTAGCGACGGGGAGTCTGGAGTCCTCCGTAGCCATCTGCTTTTATCGAAATCGTCACTCTCCTCACTCTCGCTGCTGAGAGCTATCTGTCAACAACACCATTACACTGTACATTGGAATCCAACCACCGCTTCATCTTCGACTTGCATTCTACCGCCATTTGATCTGCACCCCCGCGCTCCTTAACCCGATCGCTGCGGTCGGCCCTCAGCACGCAACACGTAGCTGTTGTGTTCTGCCAGTAGAGAGATCGAGACCGCCTCTCCAAATCCCGGCGCGCATTCGCCCCCCCGTCACCCCTGGGCTCCACTGCTCAGCTGCTGGTCTGTTGTCGCGACACCACGAAGGCCACTTTGCGCTGTCTCGTATGCGACAACTATCCTGTCTCCCCGACCCTCGATACTCAGTCCGGAGCTTCTGAGCTTATCTCTTTCCGACACAAACCCCCCTCCTCAACAGGCGCCTCCCATCAGTGAGCGCTGCCCGACCCCCTCCTGGCGACATTAATCATAATCGGCATACACTCTCCTTCTCAGATGTTTCTCTCATAACGACATTAGTCCCTGGTGACACGCAGGAAGTGAGCATTCAGGAAGATGGCGTCCACACAATCAGTCCAGCAACCGGACAGGCCTACGCAGGCCCGGCCAGAAATAGGCCAAATCTTAATAGTAATCCGTAAGTGGAAACTTGGTCACTCTGGCTTGTTTTGTTATATTTCAAGTATGTACGCAGCTTGCTGAGCCCCGTGCCAACCTAGATGATTTCTCCGCCCGCAGCGCAGATGAGTTGAGCCTGTCGAAGGGAGATCGTGTCGAGTTGATCGAGCGAGATGATGAGTTTGGTGATGGCTGGTATCTAGGGCGGCACCTGGTGAATGGGAATAGTGGTCTATTCCCTCAAGGTCAGTACTCTACACCCCGCTCCTGCTTGCCACAGAAACTCATGATCGACAGTCTACACAAGAATAGCTCCACGAGGTACCCCTTCATATTTCCCCCCAACTTCTACTGCTCCAACTTCGCAACCATCGGTGGCTCTCGGTGTCAAGGCAGGATCTACAGAACCACCCACAACCGCATTTCTCGGGCCAAGCCCAACAATCTTGAACGATTCTCGAATGTCCGCACCAGCATCGGATACAGATCGAGCATCTCAGGCTAGCCGCCATATGAGCGCGTCAGAGGTTCTGGATACGTCGAGCGTCACCCCACCTCTAAATACAACTTCAATCTCGAAAGAACCCGATACCGTTTCAGTCCCAAAGGTCTCTACTTCCATCCCAGCGAGTCTCAGTATGACCTCAGCAGCCAAATCGCAAGTGCATGGTCAGGACAGCCCGGTTATGAGCGAGACTTTGAGTGTCATTGATGAACATATCACGGATATGAATTCTCCGCATAAAAGTGTAGTCGTAGACCGCAGACCAACGAATGATTCTTCAAGTGACTATAGCACTCAAGTGGACCCGAGATTATCATACATCAACGGGGAGGAAACGGATGAAGAGGAGGATGCTATCCACACACGAGATGAGGTCTTAACTTGGACGTCAGACCAGGTTGCAGAATATCTTTTCACGGCAGGGGTTGAGGCCCAGCATTGCGAAGTCTTCCGAGACCAGGAGATAACTGGCGATGTGCTCCTGGGTATGGACCAGACTACGGTCTTCCTCAAAGAGTTCGATCTTGGTTCCGTGGGTCGGAGATTGAAAACCTGGCAGAAAATCAAGACTCTTCAAGATGAGGTTAATGGGGAATTATCTACTAGACGGAATACTGCAACTTATGGCAGCGATGTCAGTTCAGACGACGTTGGACGGAATCGGAGCCGTAGCGAAACCTCCACAATGGCATCTACAACGATGTTACCCAGGATACCAAGTTTAATGGACAGGCCTACATCCGGACAAAACACCCGTCCGCAACACCATATCTCAAGGAGCAGTACTGTGAAACAGCCGCCTGCCTCGCCAAAGAGTGCACAGAGCAGCCCTAGAAAAGCCGGGGACAAACGACCTTCTGCTGCATCTATCCGTGATTTCCATCACTCACGACAGAGTTCAGCCAATGAGTTCAGTACAGCTTCGTTCAGGACCACCCTTGTCGGAGACGCTGGGGCTTCGTCTAAACTTCAAGATGGCCATAAGAAGGAACCATCTTTTGACCGAAATTGGACTATGGGTGGCGCATCGTCACCACCTCTCTCAACTGCTATCACAGGCCGCCCGTCATCTTCTTCGGGACTGGGAGGTTTCAATGCCATTGCTGGAGACTCCACAGATCACCAACCACCAGAAATTCCGGGGCCCACCTTTGACACTTTGGATCGGGGCTATTTCTCTGGCGGCGAAGCTGAAGGACGACTGAGGAATGTTCTGAAGAAGAAGGCTGGTTCTACTACCCACTCTCGAAACAGTAGCTACACGGATGAGCAGAGGATGCGAAGCGCAACTTCACATTCACGGCATTCGCGATTCGGGAGTGTAGATTCGATCCGAGATCCAAATCCTCCTTCGGCAGCACAAAAGTACTATGGCCTCACTGGTCGCAACCGACGAACTCCCTCGGAGGGCTCAATCAACGCGCCTCGGCCAGTCCCCCCTCCCAAAGATAGTCCTACACCTGCTGTGACCAAACTCGGAGGTACTCCGTATGAGAAAACAACTGCGCCAAAATCACCAGTTTCTCGACATGGGAACGCGCCAGATTGGTTGCTACCCAAACCTGCAACGATGTCGCGGCATTTTGGCCTTCGAGCCATCTCGGATGCTATCACAAGCCATGAGAAGTCCAAAGTTACAACTCCGATTGACACCCATCCCAACTCGGTTAAAGAATCACCAGTCCACTCCCCATCTACGAGAACAGGATCCAGCACAGCGTCTGGCGGTCCCAGCTTTGACTTGGATTCCCCCGACGGTAAACATTCATCGTCAATGGCCACGCCTGGTGCTGCTCGCACTCCTGCTAAAAGGAAGACAAAGAAGGAAACGAGCGCGTATACTCGTGGCCTGGAGAAGAAAACACCTCAGGAGCAAATGGTTGGAGCAGATTACAGCGGGTGGATGAAGAAGAAGAGCTCAAACTTAATGGCGACATGGAAACCACGCCTGTTTGTCTTGAAGGGACGTCGCCTATCCTACTACTACTCGGAAGATGATACGGAAGAGAGAGGCTTGATCGACATTTCCTTCCATAAAGTCCTTCCAGCAGACAATGAACTGTTAACAGGTCTTCACGCCACCATTACTGGCGCTACCACCAGTCCCAACATTCCCGCCGGCGCTCACGAGACGATCGCTGGAAAAGAAGCAGCCGCTCAACCCGAATCTACGCTCAGCAAAGCTAGCGGTGATTCAATGTTCATATTCAAGCTCCAACCTCCAAAGGCAGGACTTGCAAGAGCCGTGAATTTCACCAAGCCAACCGTACATTACTTCGCGGTTCCCAATGTCGCTATTGGTCGCCTCTGGATGGCGGCTCTCGTCAAGGCGACTATTGACCGAGACGATTCCGCACCAGTTGTCACTACCTATCAACAAAAGACTATTTCCCTCGAGAAGGCTCGCAGAATGCGCCACCGCCCTCCGGCGCTCATGAACCTCGACGAGCATGTCGATGAAGAAGCAATGAAGACTCCTGCAAGCGATAAAAATGGACTGAATATCCAGGGGATCATCTTTGATGGCGAGTCTCACGAGGGCGATAGCGGGGTCTCCGGTCTTTCTAAACCCGATGAAGCGAAGCCAGAGATTGCGGGGTTGAGTAATGGCCATGCGGGTGGCGGGACGGAACATGCTGGGAATGGAGACGAGACCAAGACGGCTTGATGATTTGATGACTGGACGGACGTGAAGGAGGCCTTAATACCCGCTGTTTATACCTTCTCTGGCACGTGCACATCACCTTCTTTTTAATATTTTCCTTTCAATGCTTTTTCCTCGAGGTACATACACTTCTTGACTCAAGAGAACCCGGCGTGCGTAGGGCTCAGCTGGCTGGGTTAGTGGATCACGAGGGGTGGAAACGGGTTTACGTTATTGAGGAGGACGAGTGCAGGATGATACTGATGAAACAAAGAAGGCAATTTGAGAGACCTTGCCAACGTTTTTGTAGCATACGATGGATAAGGGACGAATCAAGGTGTCTTTGATATTTGCCTACTTTCCTACCTGAATTTCGTGGGGGTTTCTTGAGGACCCTTTGGTGACTCTTGCTTCTGATTCGTGGTAAGTGCTTCCAAGTCTCATCTTTGCCTCTTAATTTTGATTAGCCAAGTCGCTCCACGCTTCATCCTTCGAAATTCTCTTTCGCCAAACCCGGAATTCCCAATTCCGGGGTCAAGTTTTGTGCCAAGCCGCCATCCCACGACCGCTCTTCTCCAGACTCGCGCGTCGATTCGCGCAAGCGCCGCGATCGACGTCATTGTTCCCTGTTCCAAGGCAAATTTTACTATCAGCACGGAGTAGCTGCACGTGCCCACTTCGCAGACGGCGGGATACATTTCCCTTTTCCCTGGTGCGAAACGAACAGTTTCGAACGCTGCGCGACATGGAGCGGCCGGGACAATCTTTGCAGAAAGGGGCATAGCAGCCAAGAAGGATGCGATTGATGCGATCAGGTGACGAGGATGGGCGAGGAACTTTTAAGGAGCCTTGAGCCCCCCGGCGTGTTGGAGTCTCTTCTAGGGAATTCCTAGCCCGAAGGGGATCTGAATCCTTATCTGCCTCTGTTTTGTGGAGAGAGAGATATCAATTACCTGGGCGCGCGCGAATACGAATGTCCATAACGAAATCGACGGCTGATGTTCATGCACCAAGTACGAAGTTGTTCCACGAAAAGAAACTCGAGGTGAACGTGAACTCACGTCTCGCATCTCAATCGTATTGCCCATTGCAGCAATTCGAATATTCGTGCTTCTTTCTTCTCACATGGGGACTGTCTACTGAACTGAAAGTTGTAAAGTAGCCCATCGCGCCCCCTCCTCCCTGACCCGAAAGGCTGAACCGCCTCACGAACCCGAGCGACTTCGAGCCAGCCAATCCATTGCAGCAGCAGACCCAAGCAGCAAATCGACGAATCCATATCTCCTGATTCCTAGCTTATCTCTCACCAAATCACTTACCATATAGCTAGCTAGCCGCGAGTGCACGCTGCTCTCTCTCACGCCAAAGATGCAGTTTCTCCCCTTGGGCATTCCACGCCCTTTTCAAAAGGAGTCCGTGGATAACTATCCAGGCGTACTCGTCCCGCTCGCGCACGCAAAACGCCATCCCACTGTGGAGGCTGAGTACGCGCGGCGGTATTCCCAGGAAGGCGAGGCTGCTGCTCCGGAGGCCTCCGACTCCAAGAAAGGCGCGAGTGAAGATGGAAAGGAAGCGGAGAATGTTGCGGATGTGGAGGCGAGCCGAGTGAGGGGCGTGTGGGATGGGACGTATACGATTGAGGGACTGCGGGAAGAAATCAATGAGGATGTGGCGGCGAGTGGCCATGATAGCGCTTATGATTGTAAGTTCTGCTCTTTCTCTCCCAAATATGGGAGATGGAGCGGTTGGGGAGGTAGTGAAGAGGGGAAAGAGAGTGCTAATTCGTGGATCAGTGAAGAGTAAGGTTATCAATAAAGCCATTCAGGATATTGGAATGGGAAGATATAACTGGGAGTTGTTCATCCTGTGCGGTTTTGGGTGGTTTGCTGACAAGTAATAAGATATCCCGTGAACTAGAGTATGAAAATGGATAGGCACTGACAAAATATAGTCTTTGGCTGCAAGGCGTGGCCCTCACGCTGCCATCGCTCTCCGCTGAGTTCAACGTCTCCGAAAAGCAAGTCCGCTATACGACATGTTCTCTTTTCGTCGGTCTCTGCATCGGCGCCTCCTTCTGGGGCGTAGGATCCGATGTCATGGGTCGTCGCCTCGCCTTTAACATGACGCTGTTCATCGCTGGTGTCTTTGGAATTGCTGCTGGTGGTGGCCCGAATTGGGTCGGTACCTGTGGTCTCTTCGCCGCTCTAGGAACTGGTGTAGGAGGTATATCAGTGTTTCACACAAAAGAAGGCCCTTCGCTGACTATCTTGCTGACTGTTCATCGCGTTTCCAGGTAACTTACCAGTGGACGGCGCCCTATTTCTAGAGTTCCTGCCCAATGCTTCAGGAAGCCTGCTTACGCTCTTGAGTGTGTGGTGGCCGGTCGGTCAATTGGTTGCGAGTTTAATCGGCTGGGGTTTCTTGGGCTCGCATTATGCGCCTGATAAAGGCTGGAGGTATTTCGTCTACACGATGGGAACACTGACATTCGTTATGTTCCTCGCGCGCTTCGCCCTCTTTCACCTTTTTGAGAGCCCGAAATTTCTCCTCTCCAGGGGCCGTCAGGCGGAAGCGGTTGCGGTGGTCCATGGGATGGCGTATAAGAACAAGACCACTACATGGCTCAGTGAAGAAATCCTCAATGAAATCGGCGGCGACCCCGCAGTTGTTGCAGATGTCAAGCTGAGCACCACAGAGGTCATCCGACGAAAGTTCTCCTCCTTCTCCGGGGAACGAATTGGGCCTCTCTTCCACACCCGGAAACTCGGTTTGACGACAGTGCTTCTCTGGTTCTGCTGGCTCACCATCGGAATGGGGTACCCGTTGTTCAACGCCTTTCTTCCTCAGTATTTGGCGAATGGCCATGGCTCTAGTGGAGCCCCTATTTCCAACTACACGACCTACCGCAACTACGCGATCACATCTGTCGTCGGCGTTCCCGGTTCCATCATAGGTTGTTTCACAGTTGATATCCCGTACATCGGGCGGAAAGGCACAATGGCCGTCTCCACCATGCTATCGGGCATCTTCCTCTTCCTCTTCACCATCTCCGCCGACTCCAACTATCAACTGGCCTTCTCCTCCGTCGAAGCATTCACGCAGAATATCATGTACGGGGTGCTATATGCTTACACGCCGGAGGTCTTTCCAGCTCCTAATAGAGGCTCTGGCACGGGGATCGCGAGTTTCCTCAACAGGGTTGGGGGACTCTGCGCCCCGATCATTGCGGCGAATATCCCGGGAACAAACGCGAGTACGCCCGTCTATGTAAGCGGAGCCTTGATCCTGGCGGCATTTGTAGCGATGTGCTTGTTGCCAATTGAGACAAGAGGAAAGCAGATGTTGTAGATGGGCTGAGGGCGAAGAGAGAGGAGAGCTTGGCTAGAGGTGAATGAAGCTTGAAAACCCTGCACTTATAAACGTGAAGACACTGTGATGGGCCACTCGGCTTCCTGCACTTGCGGGCCATGCTTGTATGAACTGATGAGTGATCTGAGATGAGAATTGAAACCATGTAGAAGACGTGCTGCTTGCTCTCCCTCAATCAACAGGTGCCGGTCTTGACGGAACTCTGTTCCCGAACTTGGGTAGTTGTGTACCTTAGGTAAGGTAGGTATGTAAGGTATGTAGACTAATTTATTTGTGTAGAGCTGCCAATGTTATGGCTTATCACCTCTTTAAATATAAGGAATGGGTGTATTATCCCCGTAAAGCATACAGGATTGATGGTTTGGTTCATTGCCGAAGAAGGTTGACGATGTTACTTTACGTATTGACTCCGCGCCTTTCAACCTCAACCTCCACACCTCAAGATCAACACCTCTTCGCTCTCCTCCCCCACTTCTCTCCCTCAACATCGCCATGAACAAGTTAATAAGTTGTCCCTCGCTTCACCATCCTACACCGAATATCCCTTATCACACTCTCCCCGCGCTCATACGAAAGCTTGCGTAGACGTCGTGGCGAAAACGAGGCTGAGCTGGCTTACTTACTCTCTTTCCCGCATTCTACTAAACGAGCCTTGGGAAACGCAGTAAAAAACTTCCTCCGTCCCCAACCTCACCTCCCGCCTCGAACGGGATATCAATGAACCATCTGCGTTGAAGCCTTTCAGCGCGAGGGCTTCTCGAGACAGACCGCCCATCATGTCCGCTCGAATCCAGCTCGACAACCCCCACGCCTTCTATACCAATCTCGACTATATCAGCGGCCGGGTCGTCCTCTCCCTCAACAGCGATGAGAACATCTCCGCCATACTCGTCAAGCTGGAAGGCGAGTCGCAGACCAAGTTGATGCGTCCGATGAATCCGCACGGGTCCGGACACCAACGACGTGACCGTGCGATCCCCGTCACCGAGAACCACAAGGTCCTCTATAAAGTGAGCCAGGTCTTCCCCACGGATGAAGGACCGGGCGCGGGCACGAGAGGGGCAATGTATACCCTGCGGCCCGGCCAACATGAATATCCATTCCGCTTCAAGATCCCATTCAACAATGGCTGTTCCGACCCGCAAAACCAGCAACTCGGGGCAGGCGGGCTTGCAGGATTCGCCGCATTGGGAGGGTTACAACAATTGCAATACCGGCACGTCAAGCGTACGCTGCCGCCTTCACTGACGGGCTTTCCGGGCGAGGCGGAAATCAGATACTTTGTTAAGGTTACGGTTCAGAGACCGGGCATCTTCAGGGAGAATTGGAGATCGGCCATTGGCTTTAGATTCCTGCCCATCGAGCCGCCGAGAAGTCCACCTACGTCAAACGAGGTGTTTGCTAGGAGACCATATGAATTCCAGTCAGGATTGGCGGGCTTTGCGAAGAAGAATAAACTTTTTAACAGTAGAAAACCGTCCAGACTATCAGATACGGCGCCGAGAGGAGAAGTGGATGCGCGACTGCCCAGCCCGGCGATTTTGACCTGCAATGAGCCACTCCCCTTACGGATCATTATCAGGAAGTTGAACGAGAGCCCGGAATATGTGTTCTTGACAAGCTTGCAGGTTACATTGATTGGGAGTACGGAGGTGAGGGCTCAGGATGTGGCTAGGACGGAGCTGAGTACCTGGGTCATGATGTCTCTGAATGGGTTGTCGATACCAGTTGGGAATCCGAGTGACAAACTCCGAAACGAAACGGTCGTGGATAAGATGCTGTGGGATCGAATACCGTTGCCCAATACGGTAGCGCCTTCATTCCACACTTGTAATCTTACGAGGAGGTATGAGCTGGAGGTGAAAGTGGGCTTGGGTTACGGCATGCCAGGAGATATTCAGGTAAATTTTCCCTTTCCCCCATTTTATACATATATACGCAGAGGCTTATCATATATCCCAAGCCCCAAACAGTCCAGCTCCCCCTCCGCTTCCAAACAGAGATCTACTCAGGAATCTCCCCACCCCCCGCTCTTCTCAACGCCATGGCATCCCGACCCGCCGTCCCCGCCCGACCCTCAGCCTCGAACGCCCCCCGACCAGCAGCAAGACCAAGCGCCGCAAGACCACCCCAGCAACCCGCCTACGACCCCGCCTACCCGCCGCAACTCACCACGCCCTACGTCCCCGAAGACGACGCGCCCCCCTCCTATGAAGACGCCATGGCTGACGAGATCACGCCCGCCGACGGTCCTAGACGGGAGTACAGCGGCGTCACGGATGTCAACTCGCCGGCGCTGGACGCCAAAACGCCGCAATACAGCGCGCGGCATGGGGATCCGGGCCCTGGCGGAGGCGAGGGTAGCGGGAGTGGGCCGGGAGGAGCCGTGGTGTGAGTTGGATAGAGATAGAGAGAGACAGACAAGACGCACGCGCGCGCGCGCGCAAGAGATAGAGATGAGAGACGATACCCGTGTAATGATTAAATGTGGTAATGATACAATACCTAGACAACCCCTGGATACTATTACTATTCTGTTGTGAGCTGGCAATGGCAAAGAGGTTAGTCGGAAAATTGCGAATAGCGCTATATATAACCCCTATGGAGCTTCCGCTGTAACAGCTCTTCGCTCGAGGAAGAATTGCTCTACACCCTTATGCCCTTCTTGCGCGGCCCAGCGGAGCGCCGTCCATCCCATACACATCACACGCCCTAGTTTGGGACGATAGAAACCCTGAAAGAAAGCCCTATTATACGGGGGCAACAGAGTAGGAATCAGGATCAATAATGAGAGTGTGATAGGGATGATATATGGAGAAGAACCACTGACTAGGTACCTTAGATGATGCTGCTGCTTATGAATGACTAATAACGATAACAATAATATAAAGAACTCCTTTGCAACGCCCCATATTCCCATCTTGAGTTTTCCATCATATGAAAATTGATTTGAATATGTTCGAGACATGTATTCCCGAAGGAGGTCGATTGTATAACGAGATCTACCGCATGTCCTGGGCTCGAGGGACCTTCCCTCATCAACGTCGAGTTCTTTGAGCTGTGCCTGGTTCTGAGCGTTGAGGATGGTTAGTAAGTAAGTGCGTTGTTGTACTGAAGGGTTATATTTCATGCTCGGGGAATTACTCACGACGTGGATCTGCTTGAGTACTACCTACGCATTCCGTATTTTCGGCATGTGTGAACGAGGATCACGTAGGCTTTGCTACTTGTATCCTCTATTTTGCACATGTCGCTGTGGTTGTATGGTAAGGAAACCAGTTGTTCACTACCAACTCCGATGCGGGCGGAGTCTCGAGTCACCAACTAGAATTGTGTGTCAGTTCTGGTCTCAAGCAAGGAAAGATGTGGAAAGGGTGGGGTACTGACCAGCTTGTTGAAGGGAGGGGAGGAGGCTGATTCGTAGAAGCTCACGATCTCTAATACCTTGGATTGAATCCTGAAGGCCTCGGAGAGGTCGGTGAGAGTCTGGTTTTGATACTTGAGCAATGCTACCAGATCCTGTCTCGCCTTCGCAAGATAGCGATCGGGCACAGTGACAGATATCACGTTGTTGAAGATATTGAATATCACTGACCCAATACTTGCTTGGTCGGAGCCACGATGAGGCGTTCCAAAGAATAGAACGGCTTTCGTGTACTGGAGGATGTTTCCATATCGGGGATCTTGACGAGCGACAACTAGAGCCTGTAATCTGTCAGTTCTGGAGACCATAGCATACAACATCAGCGGTGCTAGGCAATGAAGAAGGACCTACTTTCTTACAGACAATACCCCCCAAACTGTGACAAATGAATATGATTCCACGTTGACGATCCTGCATCACGTTAGCTTTGCTGACTTGCTACGATCACCAAGATAACCTCATTGATTGAACATCAACTGAAGAGCAGGTCATGCCTAGCAATCAATACCCGAGACTTTTACCAGGATATTCGTGATAATCGTGGGGTTCTATGGGGGGTCCCTTACCGCTGCTGTTCGCCGCTTCTTTTCCAGTTCCGATAATAATGACTGCGCGAACTCATTAATCCCGGAAGCAGACCGACTGAAGATCCTTGAATCATAACTGAAAGTATAGATTCTTGCTCCCGGGAGTGCGCTTGGGAGGAACCTGACAAGACACGATTCCTTAGCAATCACCGTTTTGCAAATATCCATCCTGGGCTACTTACTCTTGAAGCCAGAGTTGGTGGCGCTTATTCGTCCACGTCGTGTAAGCATTCCCGTTCAAGCCATGAATTGCAACCACGTCGATATGATATGTTTGCGACGACGGATGAACAGCAGTATACGAGTTCAGGGGCAACAACCCAAACTGTTGCGCTGGCTGGGCAGTTCTAGGCTGCGATGAAGCACTAGCATATGCCTATGAAGAGAGTCAGGAACGTCTGATTGTTTTGGATTGAAGGGATGATGGAGAACTGATTGACCTACCTGATGGGAGCCAGATGCTGTGTACCCTGCCGCTTGCACAGGGGGGCTGGTTCGCTTTTTTGAGAAAAGACCCATAACGACTTTGAGTAAACAGTTCAGAGAGCAAGGAAGAGTAGAAGGGAATAATATGAAGAGATACAAATGTTGAGTGGATCTAGCCTGCTGGTCCAGCCGTATAATGTCATGAGAGCAGCCAAAAGGTTCAGCATCTTGCTGTATCTCACAGTATATATACTCGCAAGAACCGTAAGCTAGCTAGGTACCAAAACAACTACCCGAGTTGCAACATCTAACCCTTACCATAGCAGCGGTAAGTGATGGAGCATTCGGACACCAGAGAGCAACGATAGCCTACGATCAAAGGAAACAGTGAGCAGCTGCAAACTCGCAGTGCATACACGCCTTGTTTCAAGAAGCCAACACAAGCGCCGACATGATGATATTTTCGGAGTTTGGAAATTCCAGGGTCCTAGGAGACCAGCCGCCAGTCACTTCATACTTCATCACGCCCAAGGTGTTCAAAACAACTGAAATAGAAAATCCTGAGACGTATCGAAGAAAGTTGGGCTGTTGGTTGCTTGCCATACGAGCGACAGGAAACGCGCGCGCACCTTTGCTCCGGAAACCCCACTCTTGCATGCGGAACGATGTTTACTCCGGACTGGATGAGAAGCAATACAATGGAACTTTCCAAATAGTAAACCATGGTGGATTTATTCATGACTGGAGAGTATGGCTCAAAGCTATTCTTGTAAGGCAGAATTGCAATGCTGTAGTTCAAGGGGTCACGAGGAACTCAGGCTTTACCAAGATATGCTAGAATGGGATTCCCCCTAAGCGAGTTTACATTACGGTTTACTAAACCTGAAATCAAAACAACACCAATCATCAGTCGTGTGGTCTAATGGTTATGATATCTCGTTCACATTGTTGAGCACTGTTCCGAGATGGTTCTGAGTTCGATCCTCAGCACGACTATCTGATTACTTCTTTTTTGCAATTTTTTTTTTGTTTTCCTTTGTCCTTTTTTCTCTTTTGATTTGGCTCTAGCTGGTTGTGGACTTGGAAGCATTCAACTCTCTGACTTTTGAATTGCCTGATTTTCGTTGAAGAAGGCGATGTCAAACTGATTCCAAAGGAAATGGATTGTATTTAGACAGTAGTCAAGCTACTCTAGACGGCAATTGAATCTTTTACTATTGCCAGTGAAGAGATCCATATGCTAAAAGGAGATGGAGGATCTCTGGTATGGCTATGGCTGATAGCCTGTCGAATATCACTGGAAAAGAAGACATGACTGAGATAAATCACAGTCAGTCTGTTTGGTGGAAAACCACTTCGATATGCACAAGGTTCACATGGAGCTTATGACAGCTCTTTGACAATGCGAAAAAGACATTCGCGGTACACAAATTGCGTGCATTTCGAAATGGTTCTTGCATTTTCCTGAACGCCTGACTCCTTCCAACCCGGATGAAATATGGAAATTTGTTTGGGGAGTCGTTCCCCCACCAGTTCATCACCTTCAATAATTCACCCTGTGTTTCCTCGTCTCACCATCGATATCCATCATATCTGGCTCTGCAGGAACACCTAGATTTGTCGCCCCTAAAGCATTCGCTCCTCCTAATCTTCTCCCAGCAGTTTCCCTACTTGTCTTCTTCTGCCTCTCACTCGCAAGAAGCTGCTTCTCCGCTTTATCATCCAGCATTGTCCCCTCAATACTCAAGAAGCCTCTCTCCTTGTCATGGCTCGACTCGATCTCCCTGATTCTAAACTTCACCATCCCTTCAATCTTCTTTCCTTCCCCATCCACAAAGTATCCCTGGCCATCCTCGGCATACACCTCGCCTCCGTCCTTACCCAGTTCCTCAACGCCTACCCACTTCCAGTCTTGCGGCAAGCTATTCCTCTTTATACTCGCATTGAAGAGATTCCAACATACGACTCCTAGGTGGCCCTCGTTCTGCAAGTTCACAAATCCCTCCAGCCAAGCTCCGCGGTCAGGTTTGAATAAAAGAAACTCGGCAGTTACCCAGCCCCAGCTTACGGCGTATTCGTCGACGCTTTGGAGTAATGTTGAGTTTCCATCATCCCCGAAGGGCTCCTCTGAGAGTCGCGGGTTGGAATAGGAGAGGATAACGCCGCGGAACGGTGGGAAGTAGGTGAGAATTAAGGGCGAGATGTGCTCGGCGCAAAGACCTTCGAGCGGTGCGCCCTGGGAGACGGAGGCAAGCGGAAGGTAGAGTGACGAGGTTTGGACGTGAAAGGGTGAGCTTGTTGCAGGCGCTTCTGGAACTGGGGTCGATTTATCGGCTGCTTTGTCTGACTTGTGTTTCTTTGACTTGGATTTATGGCCGTCTTCGCCGTGTTCCCGCTTGCGCTTCTTTTCCGACGACTTGTCCTTCTTGTGCGGCTTGGAGGGGGATTGAGAGGAGCCCATTTTATGTTCTGTGGGTTGCGCCGGTGTTTCAATTGACATCTTTGGAGGAAGTGGAAATGTTCGAAATAAAGATTTTGCGCCTCAGAAGGCTGAGATGCGCAGGCGGCCGCTAGCTTCCGCGGGCCCTGGATATGCATTTGTGGACACTTTGGACAAGGCGGCTCCGCGACTCCAAGAAAATGCGCGTCAAAGACTCTTCCTCCTCAACCTTTTCCTGATTCTACATCCCGCATCTTGGATGTATTTTAGGTGAAGGTAGAAGTGCCAACCATGTCTAGCAGCGGTTTGCTCTCTTTGGCCGGCTGGGCCTTTCTGCCGGGCGTAAGTGACCCCCTCCGCCTCGACGAGGCAATCCAACACACAAGCTTTGACTGACGGGCCGTTCAGCTTGTCACAGGATGGATTCAAGCCTTCTGGTACAGTTTTACCATTCGAGCGGGTGATCCAAAACCTCAGCCGGGATCCCCAAAGTATGCGCTCCATCGACGGCGCATTCATATTATGGTCGTGAGCGCTTACCTCCTTTACACAATCTACGAAGCAGATTGGGAGATTCGACGAGCGGGCGATTTCTACCAGGATCTTGGTATACCACACTCTGCCAGCGAGAGAGAAATCAAATCAAGGTTCCGGAGATTAGCAGCTATTCACCATCCCGACAAGGTGTCCTCTTCCTCTCCAAGCTCGGAAGGCTACTTTGTGCACCTGAAACTCGCCCAAGATACGCTCCTCAACCCCGTGAAAAGATTCGCATACGAGCGTTTTGGCCCCGAAATCTTAAGCTGGCAACGTTGCTCGAGCATCCGGGACTACCTCCTCCAGGGCCTGCTATCCATCCTCACCTACTATGGCTCCACCGCCATTGCCCTCTATATGCTCAACCTTTTTGGTTACCTAGAATGGGGGAAATATTGGCGCTGGCTTGCGGTCATCATCGTGTGTGTCTTCGAACTACACACGATTTCTAGGCCCTATTTTCCTCCTTTTGCGGCTAAGTTCTTGAATCCTCTTCTCACAACCTTCACGAGCCACCCCCCGTACCTCCCCTTCCAAGTCATCCAACTGCTGCGGAAAATATCAGTCACAATGTACATTGCAATTACGCAAATCTGGCCCCTAATTCAATCATTGTCCGAGAATTCACAATCTACGGCTACCTCTGCATCACTCGATCAACAGTTGAACAGGCTGGAAGCTACGGCGAAAGCAACTGATATCGAAACGGCGAGGCTGGTGGAAATGGAGATGAGTCCCTTTCGAGAGGAGCGGGCGTTGGAAGCTATGAAAGGGAAGGTAAAGGAGTGGTTGGTCCGGAATACTATAAACAGTGACCCGGAGGTCAGGGATGCGATTGGGAGGAGTTTCCAGAAGAGACGAACAGATGCCCCTGCTGGAGCGAGGGGCAACAGATAGCATTGCTCTTGTTTGGATACATCTAGAATGCTATTTTGATTTTCTAAGTATTGGTGAACGTGACTGCGTGTTTGTGCTTTGTAGTGCTGGGTACACTTTAGTCGAAGTGAAAGAAAGAAACCTGCTGGTTGGCACATATTCCAGAGTCAAAAACGCATAAATTGCCCTATATTATTACCTCTCAATCTTACACCAGATGCGATGCCCAAGACAGAATGAATTAGCGAATCCCCTGAATGACGGAGGGGGCTGTCACGGCACGTGACATGGCGCATATACAACTTTTCTCCCTCCTTTTCCTCGAGTCCCCACGCCCTCCACATCTCTTCCCCTCGTATCTTTACGGCAAAACTCGACCACCCGCTGAGAAAATTCATCATGGCAAGACTCCACCCTCAGGAACGACTTGAATCCCAAAAACTGACATCCCAAAGGTGCACGCGGATTCCTCTACCTTCGCCGCGGGCATCAGCCGAGAGGAAGCTTATACGCAGGTATTAGAGCAAGCAGAAGCTCTATTCGATGGGCAGCGAAACTGGGTTCGTGATTTCTGATATTCACCTCCTATCCAACAGTTATAAACTAACCAGTACTCTCCAGGTCTGGTAACATCATCGCCCCTCTCCTTTCTCAAATGCTCATCACGTGCCAACAACCCCCTTTTAAAAGCACCTTTACCTACCTTACCTTGCCAATGAATATCTACTTACCTACACCCGGAAATCAGTAACCTCGCAAACACGGCCTCGCTACTATGGCATGCGTATAAATCGCTGCCGGCCCCAAGCTCGGAGGTGAACTGGGCGGGCTTCTATGTGCTCGACCCGTCCAAGCCCTCGCAGTTGATCCTTGGCCCTTTCCATGGGAAGGTCGCCTGCCAGACCATCGCGTTCGGGCGCGGGGTTTGTGGGGCTGCTGCTTCGACGATGGAGACGCAGTATGTATATATCCATTATTATTTCCTATGCTGCCACACTCTGTTTCCCCGACTTTCATGAAAACGAAAGAAAAACCCAGTATAAGAAATGGGGGAATACGGGTACTGATGCACGGTTTCTTAGACTCGTCCCGGATGTGGATTTATTCCCAGGCCATATTGCGTGTGATGGTGATAGCAAGAGTGAGATCGTAGTACCAATCCGCATTCCGGCCAGTGGCGACGACGGAGAGCAGAAGACTAAATTGGTGGGTATTATCGACATCGACTGTGCGGTGAAAGGGGGCTTCGACGAGGTCGATAGAAAGTACTTGGAGAAGTTGGCCGAGTTGCTGGGCAAGGCTTGTGATTGGTAATTCATTCTCGACTGCACTACAAGCTGAAGGCCAGACCCAAAAGCCAAAATTTGGAGAGAGTGAAAGTCCTAGCTAAGTCTGCTACACTGCTCCGGAGTGCTTGTCGAGATAGATGAAAGACGCGCTCATGAGATGAAATTGGTCTGCCTAATGGCGTAGGCATCGCTCTATTTCATATGATAAGAGCAGGGCGTCTTCTTTTGGGGATTGCGAGGGTGAAGATTCTGCATGGGCTATGACAGATGTTTTGCAGGTACGAATAGAGTGCATGTACCTACTACCAAGTAATACTACAGACCTCAAAAGAACTCTCTAGACTAAGGTTGCATGATATACCTCTGAGCGGGCTGAGAAATCCACAAGCGCATGATATGGAAAGATTTCATAATACAGGTCATACTGTGATCACTTAGAAGCAACTGCAGGACTGCGAAGGCGCTAGCCCCCCCCTATTAATTTGGCGAGGAACGAAAGCGAGAATTGACTTGCATGATAGGCGTGAGACGCAAATCCGAGGCGGCATAGGAGATGGTCAAAGATGAGGAAAAACTGAAATTTCACTGGGAGTTGTTAGTATCCCATGCAAGGACTGAAGAAGGATGTGCTTCGGAAAGATAGTTCGAAAGCGGATAGAGGGGTTATGGAGGGGTGATATTCGTTTCTTCTCATTTCATTTCCAGTGGCTCGAGACCGTATATACCTAGGTATAGTTCTTATCTTATCCCATCTGACCGCAGCAGCGCTATGCATAATATCCGCATTCCAAAGATTCTCTGGACTTCCCATTTATAGACCTTCTTTCGCCAGCATATCCACGATGTCGAGGTAAAACGCAATGGCATTGAATCTATCACAAAATCAGTACAACCTCTACCCACCGGTGAGATCAAAAGAAACTTACTTCCTCTCACTTCCTCCCAGTTTCAAAAGCCACCATCGCATTCTATTCGTCCAATTGATCAGATCCAAATGACTAACATCAACCAACGTGCCTTTATATGTCCCCCATTTTGAACTCTCCACACTGACCAAGCCGTCATTTGGGCCTTCCAGCCCCTCGATGACTTTATGCGATATCCGGAACACACTCCAGAGACTCGGGTTCATCATGGCCCCGTAAGAAAAGTACTTGACCCCAGGGGCATCAGGCGTCTTGGGGTTGAATTCCTCTTGCATGTATTTCCTAGTCAACTGCATGAAAGCCCCCGTACCGAAGCCCACGCCCTCCACAGCCTTATACAGCTTGGGAACGCGCGCCTCACCTATCTCCTCAAAACAGAAATCCGCGAACGAGGACCCCCGATGGGGGCTCGCAACCGTGGTGAGCGAGAGCACTTCGACGTTGTCTGGCTGCAGCCGCGAAACCATGTAGCGCGCATCCAGGCCGCCCATGCTGTGCGCGATGATATTCACACTCTTCCCGTTCGCCTTCGCAGCTATGTCTTGGCCGAGTTTCGCGGCGCGCTCTTCGATGGAGCCCGAGGGCGGGACAGACGTCGTGATGACCTCGATCCCGTTGGCGCGTAGCGATTCCGTGATGCCCCGCCAGTAATGTATTCCTGGGAGAAGACGGCCCGCGAGACGGAGCTCATCGAAGCCTAGGAGGCCATGGGCTAGGACAATGGGGTATCGGGGCGTAGCTAATCGATCAGTTGAGACGGCCATTCCCCATGTAAGGGGAAGGGGGAGGGGACGGTACCATAATTCTCTCTAATCGTAGCAAAATCATCTTCAATTGCCCTGCCTAGAATTTTTATTCTAGGGTCATCACGAAGTTTCTTCTCGTTCTCAGCCTTTTCCTGAGAGAGGTTGCGCGTGGTCGAGAAGCTTTCATGCTTGTTCGCGGTCACTATGATCCTTGCTCGCGCTGGTTGCGCATGGCGGAGGATCAACCTCGTGCGAGCCACACGAGAGAAGAGTAATGTCATCGCAGATTAAACATCGAGTCGGAATGGGTCGTGAAGGCATTGGAATAATGGTCGTGCCGAGGGAACTTGTGACGGGACTTTGGATGTCAAGGTAGTTGGAAATATCACGATGGAGACTATGACGTATGCGGCCAAACAACAACTTGAGGCTGAAACTGTAGACATGTATGCAAGCTCATGGCCGTGAAATATATACAGTTAGAAGAGATGTGAGATAGTCAATTCGGCATGTATTCGAAAATTGTTTGGGGCGTTCTTGGGGAGATCGATTCCAATGGCAGAATCGCCGTGAAGCTTGACCAAGGGGTATTGCAAGGTTATACTGTACACAGCACTTCCTCATCCTTCACTCTATACTGCCATTCCATACTCAAAATGCTTCGGAGCAGCCCAATAAACCCATAATATGGCCCCATTCCGGTACGAGCACTACAGTCCATTCCCCACTTCCTCTCCGAACTATCAACAACCATCAACCAGCAACCTATTTCGGCACCTCGATACGCTCCGGAACCACAGGCTTAATATCAAAGACTGCCTTCAATAGATCCTTAACAACTTGATCCTGGCCCTTCTTGCCCGCCTGTTGAATCTGCTTTATCTGCGCCTCTGCATCTTTGTTTGCTTCTTCTTCTGCTTTCTTGTTTCCGCTCGTGTGCTGTTCCGATTCATCAGCCTCGATCCAGTGTATAGCCGATCCCAACCCAGAAACATAGAAGCCTCAATAGATATGTAATAGAAGAAAGGGGGCGCAGTACCTCTAATTCGAACTTCTTGAACTCGGCCTCCTTCGCCTTCCTGTATTCATCGATCTCCTTCTTCGCCTCGTCTCGTGCTTCCTTCACGCGCTTTGTGCGGTCTGTTCTAATTAGACCTTGCCATCTCCAATACCTCGAGTTTAGTCGTATTGTGTTGGAAGCTTACATTCTCGAGCTAAAGCCAGTAAATCAGCATCAGCGCATCAGGAACACACCAGGAACTTACCTCTTTGAACAATCTTCTGTGCCTCCCTCTCGGCCTATTATCTGCAGTATCAGCACCATAACTTCCTCTCTCTTCCAATATGAATCAGGTCCCACCCCGAAGAGCAATACCTACATCAAGCAGTGTCTGAATACCCGCTGAGTTCTGTGCAGACTGTTTCTCTAATTAGCTTCCAATCACACTCCAGCGCTTGCCACAATACATACCATAATTGCAATCCTCCTTCAGCAATCCTTCGGAAAGTGGTATTCAGCGCGACTTTCTCTTCACTGTCGTGGATGATAGCTGTCTTAATAAGAGCAAGATGGAGGGAGGTTGACAGCTCCGAGCTTGGATCGCGACCCCTGCACCACATCTCGGCAAATCCCGCTCCCTCCTCGACGACCCCAACTTTTTCAAACACCACTTCACTGCACTTCTCCAGCATGATCAATTGCCAGCGCCAGGCCCTTCCGTAAACCCAGAAACTCCTCCAGTTCGACTACCGGCCAGAAAAGGGGGACAGGAAACGAACATGTCCCGCGCGGCAAAGCTCACTCTGGCGGGCTCGTCCCTCTTCGCTATTGCAACAGTTGCCTTTGTGCATTACGCGCAGCAGAGCGAGAAGGCTGTATGTATCCCTCTCCTTACTGCTCTCTGACCGGGCCATCTTTCTCTCCTGCTCTATTTCCAGAGCCCCTCAGAAAATGCAGAGCTGACCCCGTGCAGGCAATGCACGCAGGCGTTCTCCGAGACATGGAGCAGCAGCGGATCAAGAAAGAGCGCCAACTAGACTTCGAGATGCAGCGCGCTTTGGAGGAGGAGTATAGAAAGGTGCAACATGTGCATGATGGCGGCGGCCTGGAGGTCGCAGAGAAGCGGCCATCATGATACATGTTGTTACGGGCCATGGTCGACCTGGATTGTACATTATAATGGAGGTGTGGGATTGTATATTATGGGGGTAAAGCATTGGGCGGCGTATGACGGATATCAGGCCATCAGAAGGATGGAGCACTGCAAAGCATAAACGGAGCAGAGTCTTGTATCACTACGTCGGAAGGAAACCACAGCTCACAGATCGCACTTATTATCTATCTCAACTTCCCCACAACTTCTTATCTAAAGTTGCTATGATACAAGCTGCACTCCCATCCCCCGTGAGATAAGACGCCGCCAAGTAAATAGTTGGTTTCTGCTTCATGGGATTACCGCAAACGGATGATTCGTCCATAATAAATTCAAATGCATCGCATCCGTCCCTTTTGTCGCCAATCTTTCTGGTCCCCAAACGCCACGCGGAATATACAAAGATATATATGCTTCTCCCTGCGTCCTTCCCCTCTCTCCTGGACATTCTTACATTCCAATCTCGAAAAGGACTCAGCGTACTGAGATACCTGATCGCTTGGTGAACATTCTTGATGCGATGTTCATAGATGCTAGCTCTTGGAAGAGCAACTTGGCCGCATACGGAATATGAATCTGCGAGATCTTGGTCTTATTCTTGCAAGGACGACACTCGAAGGATTGGGTCGAGATTTTGCTACAAATGTCAGTACATTGCCATATCTCTGCAGGGAACGAAACTTACGCAATTGGAGTCATCAGCCCACAGATATCACATACGTGAACTCTGAAGGCATCCGAAACCTCAAACAATCTCTCCTTCAAGAAAGCAGCGGCACCATGTGAGATCATGCAATCACGCTCCATTTCTCCGAAACGTAGACCTCCGTCTCTTGCACGACCTTCAACTGGTTGTCTTGTCAGAATTTGCACTGGACCTCTGGCACGAGCATGGATCTTGTCGTCGACCATATGGCGTAGACGTTGGTAGTACGTTGGACCCAGGAATACTTGCGCCACCAGCTTGCGACCAGTGTGTCCGTGGTACATGATTTCAAAACCTCGAGACTGGTAGCCATGGTCACGGAGCAGCTTGGAGACGGAATCGACAGTAACGTCGGTAAAAGGAGTTGCATCTCCTTCGAGGCCTCGAAGTGTGGAGACTTTACTCAATTGACACTCAATCAAATGAGCAATTGTCATACGAGATGGAATAGCGTGGGGATTGATGATCAAGTCCGGGACAATACCCTGTCTCGTGAATGGCATATCCTCCTGTCTATACGTGATACCGATCGTTCCCTTCTGTCCGTGTCGAGAGGCAAACTTGTCGCCGATTTGGGGGATTTTGGTGGTCCGCATACGAACCTTGACGAATCGAAGACCTTCGGCATTGGTTGTAAGGAGCACCTGGTCAACGATGCCATTCTCAGTACTACGTAGGGGTGTAGAAGCATCACGCTTGGTGTGCGCCTTGGTACGTTGGCCAAGCTCTTCTGCATCAGCTGCCATAGGAGCTGTCTTCCCAATGATGATGTCTTCACCCGAGACACGAACACCGGGAGCGACGAGTCCATCATCATCAAGCTTATCATAAGTGCCATGCTTGAGCCTCAGGGTGTCTTGTCTGAAAGGCTTCTCGAACGTTTCCACAGTATTCATACCGATACGCTTTTCCTGATCGGTATATGCACGATAGAACAAACTTCGGAACAGACCACGGTCGATGCTGCTCTGATTCATAATAACCGAATCTTCCTGGTTGTAGCCAGAGTAGCAAGCGATGGCGACAATAGCATTCTGGCCGGCAGGCAGTTCTCTGAATTTGAGGAACTCCATGGAGCGAGTGGTAGCAAGAGGCTTTTGTGGGTAGTAGAGAATATTCGCCATCGTGTCCATACGCTGGTCGAAGTTTGTAAGGAATACTCCCATGGCTTGCTTGCCCATAGCAGATTGGTAAGTGTTACGTGGAGACTAGATAGAAATGATTAATAAAGGTTCGAAATCTAGATATGTATTCTGCTTACCTGATTGTGATCTGGGAATGGGATAATGCTTGCGCAAATACCCAAAATCATACTGGGATGAATCTCACAATGAGTCCATATATGTGCAGTTGGATTCATAGGCGCCTTCACACGCTTATTTAGATCACCACTTTCGTCGGGCCGAACCTGGTAGCCAGCCTGTAGCTGTCTAGATATATCCAAATCTTCGGGGGTCATGACGATCATCACCGTCTCCTCTTCTTCGGCATCAACATACTCAACTACACCTGAGTCGATCAAACCTTGGAAGCCAAAGTAACCAGCTTCCGCCTTCTGCTCCGCATCCATATTAGCAGGCATTACCAGGTCATCTTCCAACCGACGAATGTGATCCTTGTTCAAGACCAAGTTGCCTTTGTTCGGACTATCAACATCGTTATCGACGACAAACAGAGGCCTACACACTCTGCCGGCATCTGTGAATATTTTAAATTCTCTGTCACGAATATCTCGAATCAGGGAGACCTCGTGAGAGATCAAGTGAGAGCGACGAAGATTCTGCACAGTCTTCACGAGATGGGCAGGATCCCTGTGTACACCGACCCATACACCATTGACGAAGACCTTGGTTGCATTTGGTGATCGCAGAGGCTCATATTCTTCGAGAACTTCCATATTCCGCTGAATCATGAATTCGATGATTGGATCGCTGGGTGTGCCGACCGTGACATAGCACATTAGAGCCAAGTTCTTGACCAGGCCGCATGCTTGACCTTCAGGAGTCTCTGCTGGGCAAACCAATCCCCAGTGAGTATTGTGCAATTGGCGAGGTTTGGCAATCTTTCCGTCACGACCAATAGGAGTGTTTGTGCGACGCAAATGCGAGAGGGTAGAAGAGAAGGTATATCTGTTCAGCACTTGAGAGACACCAGCAGTCGAGCTTGCTGCCTTCTTCTGGTCACCCCAGTTGCCAGTAGCAAGAGAGTACTTGAGACCATTCGTAAGGGTAGTGGACTTGACTCCGAGCGTAAGGTTGAACTCCCGATTGTTCTCGACGCAACGTTGGAGGTACTTGTAAACATCCTGGGTCAATCTGCGGAACAGCCCTCGGAAGAGCTTTGCGAGAAGAGGACCAGCCAAATCCAAACGCTTCTTTCCAAAATGATCTCGGTCATCAGTCTCCCGACGTCCAAGAGCGCACTGGAGCAGCTTGTGAACCATATAACCTAAGAAGAATGCCTTTCGTGTCTCACTTCCTTCCTTCTGTGAAATGTGGGGAAGAAGCTCCTTCTGCATAATGTCGCGAGCGTACTTGATACGCTTGTCTCGAGTCAAACTTGTACTACTACCACGCTTGCCAATGAAATCCAAGGCAACTTCTCGGTCTTGGATGACAAAGGCTTCCTCGATACACGGTTTCAACATCTCCAACATTTGCGTGTCGTTACGGTCATAGCAGATGTGGTTTAAAATATCCTCGTCGGATACAACGCCAAGGGCTCGAAAGACGATGGCAATCGGAATATCTTGCTTGATATATGGCAGAGTTGATTTAATGGTTTGGCCAAAACCTCCTCTCTGGCCATCGCCTTTGACGAAGAGCTTGATAGTCATCGAAGAGATCAATCTCGAACCCTTTTCAAGGGCACTCCGAATCTCAGCGATGAATGGGGTCGGACTTGGTGGTGCCTTTTTGAAGACCTGCACAATGTTTGCAGCGCTACGCTCCTGTGCGATCAAGACCTTCTCACTGCCGTTGATGATGAAATATCCACCTTGGTCGTAAGGACACTCGTTCCAAGCGTAGAGATCATCTTCATCGAGGTCCTTCAAAATACAGTATTGCGACTTCAGCATAATCGGAAGCTTTCCAATATATACCCGGTCAGGCTTCTTCCCCTCTTTACCTGTTTCTGGATCTTCGTATTCGCCATCCTCGTTTTCCCAGACTAGCCTCGTCGGATGTTCGCCAGTCCTCTGCATCTCTGCCTCTTGCTCTTCATCAAGCTCGTTGAGTGGGACCGGGCGCTCCACAGCCACCGATACGTTCTTCGTCATCTGGACATACAGAGGGCTCGAATATGTAAGATTCCGCAGTCGCGCCTCTTGCGGCAGCATAACTTGTGTGCTTCCATCGCCTTCGGTCATCGCAGGTCGTGAAAGCAAAACCTGTCCAAATTTGATCTCGTACCGTCGAAGGGCGATGCCCTCATCGGGCGGGTTATTTTGGTCCAGAGTAAGCTGTGAGTTCTCCTCAACGAGCTCCTGCATAGTCGTGGAGACAAATTCATCGAAGGAATCCAGCTGTTGCGATACTAGACCTTTGGACTCGAAGAACGAAGAGATCACCGTCCAGCAGTCCTCGGCCGTGATGCCCGCGTCCTCATCCGCATAGTCATCGTATTCGTAACCTTCTTCGTACTCCGCCATCTTGTATTGCTATCGAGGTGAAGTGACCGGGAAGAGCGGAGTTGGATATCGACAGATCGAGGGGAGGAGGAGAGGTTCGTGGCGCAAGGGCGATTGATGGGAAGATGTCGTGTGTGCACACGAGGATCGGGGATCGCGGCGCGTCACGTAGAGACGTGAAATCCCTTCAACAACACAAGATCAGCAGCATCAAACTCATCCACAGGCCAAACGAGCAGAATGCGGATCGACAACTGTGGCGTGGACAACGGTTGTTGAAGGCGTTGCTCCAGATCGAGGGTTGAGGCTGGATCAATAATCAATACGGACTTTCTTTCGCGACCAGTGACGCTAGCCGTTTACGGATTAGCTTAACATGGTTCATGTGTCGCGTCTCCCTCGCCTCTTGAACTTCTAAACTTCTAAACCTTCAACTTTGAACTTTGAATATTGAATATTGAACTTCTGAGCTTCCGAATCTCCTTGAACTTCAACCCCTCTCTGATTGCTCACCTTCCCCATATTGTGTCTGTTTCACTGAGTTTGTAGCTGATTATGATTTGGCCAATGCTACATGATGTGTTGCTAAAATGTCTGGCATCAGAGTCACCCTCGCATCACAAGTTTTACATCAATTCCTAGCGACGGCGTCACTTATACACGGATACTTACTAGTGTGATTATCAGCTTCCCCTGAAGGACTACTCCATATCAAGTATGAATGGGAAGTAACATATCCCGGAGCTTACACACTGCTCACATAAGGGAATACCCCCCATAAGGGTCTTCTTAGTTTAGTTGCATTGTCTGAACCCTGGCGTGCTATCATCTCCGATTCTCCATGAGCAGAAGTTTGGTTAAATATGGATGCAGTTCAAAAAGGGCTAAGCATTTTCAACTGAATGTGAACTGAAATTTTTGTGGCCTTTTTCCGGGCCGTGGAGAGGCACACATACGTATCGCGAGAGTGTTCGATTGCTCTGATCTTTTTCTATAGTTGATATTTTCATCCCTTCGATTTACACGCCAAGCTCATCCGCATGCTTCTCATTCCGTAGCACATATCTGTATCTAGCCTTTCCACTCTCCAAATCCCTGATGGCCTGGTTGGCTTCCTTCATAGGCCGAACCTGGATGAACGGGTGGATCTTGTGCTGAACAGCAAACTCTAACATTTCAGAAATATCCGCCGGAGAGCCAATGCTTGACCCTCCCAATTTGCAACCCTTTCCGATAAGGGCCATGGCGTTGAATTGGGGAAATGCGTCTTCGGGAGCTCCGACCTGGGGGATAAGTCAACATCTGAGCCCCAGCTGTCAATACTCACGAGATGCTTACCTGGATGAATTGTCCATAGGTTTTCAATAATCGGAAGTAGCCCGTGAGTGGCATATTAGGGCTGGAAACGGTCGACACGATGAGATCCAGGGATCTGGAATTCTTCTTGGCCCATCCTTCGTCTTCATCTGTGGCGATGAATCTGTCCGCCCCCATCTTCTTGGCATCGGCAGCCTTGCTGCTCGTTCGCGAGATCGCAACAACTTCGTCGCAGCCCAAAGCCTTCGCCCACAGCAGACCGAAGTGGCCAAGACCTCCGATACCGACGATGCCGACTCTCTTACCGGGGCCAGCACCGTTTTTCTTGAGAGGAGACCATACGGTTACACCACCGCAGAGCATAGGTGCAGCCTCAGCCAAAGTCAATCCATCAGGGATCTTGACAACAAAGTGTCCTGGTGCACGGCAGTAATCAGCATACCCTCCGTATGACTTCGATCCGTCTGGGTATTTTGCATTGTATGTGCCAATGAGACCCTTGCTGCAGTAAGGCTCCAAACCAGCCACGCACTCCTCGCAATCGAGACAGGAACCTGCCTGAGCACCAAGTCCCACTCGGTCTCCAAGTTTGATGTGCTTCACATTCTTTCCGACCTTCACGGCAGTCCCAGCAACCTCGTGCCCAACGCAGCACGGGTATAACGTTGGACCCTTAAAACAAGATCAGCAATGGGAGACGTATCTCAACTGAAGATGGCTTACCCATCCACTCCGCAGGGTGTGAAGGTCACTTCCGCAAATGCCACAGTGGGTGACTTTGATGTCCACATCATCCTCCGTCCAAGTCTTAGGCTCAAACTCCTGCCAGACCATCTTCCCACTGACGGAATCCTTATCCAACCCCATCCATCCCTGGAACGTGTACTGTTGTGCGCTCATCTTGGCCTTGTGGATATCGTCTTCTGGATTGGAAGATTTCTTCAAATGTTCTGTGAGACTAAATACCCTCTGCATGGTTGCGGCTACAGGACTATTTATCCTCTTCTCTACGTATAGCTGGTCGATGGCCCGTATACCGTAGCAAGATCCGGGAACCCCACTCCTTGAACTTATTTTCTTTAACTCCGAGACCTGCGTTGGGGTACCCCCTGCCCGCAGAACGATCAATGGCAGGACGAAGCAAAGCCTAACTGAAAAAGCGTGGAAACCCTTATCTTAAGCCCGCTATCTCCCTCCTACAGACTTTTCTTCCCAGAGTTGACCCGTGTACCTCTGTACAGGTGACGAAACAGCGGCAGCCTGGATGTCAGTGTGGTTCGACTTTTGGTCAAGTATCAAGATATACCTGGTCGAGGTGGCCTGAGGCTGCTGTGTAAGGCGGGGACGGTGTGAAGGGCAGAGGCTTTCAAACGATCGAGCTTGAAGAGAAAGATTGGGTACCCGAAAGACTCCCCGTATTTATATGGTTTCGACTCTCGAGGCAAACAGTTCCTGTTGTTCCTCTTTCAAAATGCCACTGCGGACAATTGTGGACGCCGAGGGCCGAGGTTCACCGTGCGGGGACCCCGCGTTCTCAATCTAATTTTGTCCGCTGTCAACGGATGCATCAATGCCAGATTGGTTTATTGCTGATGTATCGAATCCAGTGGATTGATATCGCAGTTTTAAATGCCTTTGTCGAAAGGACCCGTGCCAGGCCTGTTTTCCGTTCCTGCAGGTACAGTATTCTCTGCCGATCTTGTCAGCACCTTGTCTGTCAGCACTTAAAACCGAGCGGCCCTGATACCAACGTCTTGGATTCTTATTCTCTGCATCTCAAGATCGAGTCAGCAGCTAGTTGGATTTGATCCTTTAGTCAGGGAGCTGCTGACACCGAGTTCTGCGTATCTCCTATCGGCCTGTTTTACTGTCATCTGTTTGTTAAAATATCACTAAAATCAACTGATGACACAAGAGTAGCCTCTCATATTCAAAATGAGGTGTTGCACACATCGTTTGCTTCTGGCTTTTAGGGAGGCTTGAGGTTGCCTGAGAATGGATAAGAGGGTAGTTGTATCCATTGTCACATCAGTCTGATGACATTCCTGCTTGTTTGTTTCCAGCCTATAGGAGTAACAAGGGCTCCTTTCTGTTCTTCAGGAGGGATCGGGTTGCTTGGGAATGAACAAGAGTATAGTCATATAGTAGTCATCTATTGTCACATCGTCGGTCTCTGATATTTTAAAGTCAGTAAGTTGGCCGACTCCTTTTCATTTTTCGTGGGCTTTCGGAATCGAATATGATCTCAGTTTTAACTCAATTCCCTACCATATGATCGTTTATTCCACGAGGTACCAGACTTCTCAATTTCACGATCTTGAATTAGACTATCAATTGCTGAAGACAAACATCCATCAGCTTATAGTCGGCTGTTGTTTCTAGAGACTCCTTCATCTCCTATTTACAGCAGCTGCAATAACCACAAACACAACCACAACAAAGCCTCTTTGCTAAGGAGCCTCTTAGGAGTCCTTCTACCGCTACAATGGATCATGAGAAGAGTATGTGTTCGTTTGTCTTATAACACATCTCTAACAAACTCATAGAACCTGGTTCCCTCGATCCGTCCGAACGACATCATTGGGACGAAAACAGTAAACAAGATACTGGAAATAAACCCACTCTTGATCAAAACAAGGGTATCTGCGAGGGTAAGTGTTCCACTTGCCTGTACTCTCCTATAGCGTGTCCATTTTGACCATCTTACAGAGCCTGACCATTCTTCTATCTCCGAAGTGTCTGACCCCCTTGACCCGTCTGAACATCACCTTTTAGGCGAAAACCCTCAGCAAGATGCCGGATACGAGACAAAAAGTGGTGAAAGCACATCTCAATTAGCTAGTCCTCTCGGAGGTGCAGGCAAGCGTGTTGCTCTCTCTCTCCGCCCCAGAAGCCAGTCAATCCCGCGTCCATTTTTCAATAGCCGTCAGATTTCAAGTGTTACAGTTACTTCCTGTCCTGAATCCAGTGCCACGTCCCCTGGCTCAAATTCTGGTAATGGGAACGAGACTGGAGATGAAGGCGAGGAGGAAGCAGGTTTCGAGTCTCCAGCCCCGAAAACCCGCGCCACTTGTTCTGCACATGCCAAAACTGCTAGACGCCCAGTCCCAGCCCATACTCCGCAGCGCGAGATCAACTTCGAGAGTGCAGCTGCCCCTAGCCAAAGCTTTCTTGAAAGACTCTTCGGACCCGATTACAACGACGACGTGCCTCCCAGTCAGACATCGCCGAACTATAACTTATCCAAGTCTCACGACCGGCTTTATGACCCACCATATACTCCCTACACTACAAGTCCTGATGGTAGGTTCGTTCGCACTGACTCTCACATGAGCAGTTCCGGCGCTGGGCATGGTGCCCATATGGGGTCAACCCGTCGCGTCCCAGGCGCCGCTCCTTGGATTCCAAGAACCAAGACCAATGCCCCCTTCCCTCCCGGTTACAGCCTTACAGCTCCTACGTCTGGACATCCACTTGACCAGCCTCCTCGTCCTCGGACAGTGGAAGTCGACGCCCGCGGGATTCCGCTCTTCTTCCCCTGGATGATGCCGGGCGGCCCCCCACGACCCCCCTCTCCTCCTCGTCCTCTTCCTCCTGTGCAGCCTCGTGTCCCTACGCCTCGACCTCGGGCTAGGAAAGATGGAGAAGAGAGCGAGAGCGAGAGCGAGGAGGAGTGAGGAAGATGTTGGTCGTTCGTGAATCTGCTTTCGACGATGATGGAGGAACGTTGTAATTACGCGCAGGACAGGACAGCGGGATAGCAATGAATTTACCTTTTTTTTCCTAGACTGGATAAACCTTTCTACTAGATAGAAAAGAATAAGATCCATTACCGTTTTCCCCACCACGCCACTAGCTCAACCCACAAACCCTCGCTTCCCACACCAACAGTAAAGAAGTTTAATATCCAATTTTCTTTCACCAAACAGATGTTTCCTGTGTACTCCATACTGGTGTATCGGTAACATTTCCGCCTCTCATGTGTGAATACACGGATTGTGCGCGGTAGCGCAGGGTTCGACTCCCTGGTATGGAATATTATTTTTGATGCCCTTTTTCTTTTTTTGGAGATTGGAAATTGGATATTGGATATTTTACCCCCTCGTTGGGAAGCGGGACTTTTTTTGGGGGGTATAATTTTTTTTTTTTTGACTGGGATGGATTCTGTGGTTTTTGTTTCCTTTTTTAAACAGAACTGAGAGCTGAGGATTCCAGGGAGGGAAGAATTTTTTGATTGTCGTAAGGTAATTAGGTGGTATATTCAAATATGTTATGATAGTACAAGGAAATTTGAAAGAGAAGGGGGGGGGGGGGGGGGGGGGGGGGGGGGGGGGGTGGTAGGACGAGAGGGGGGAAATATAGACACAACGAGATATTATTGTGTTGCGCACACTCGTAATGGTTATCCTATCTAAAAGGGTTTTTAGCTTAGCTTGTACGGGTAAAGGAGGAGGGGGAGGGGGGATTTGTGATGTGAGGAGGAAGGAGGAATTTTGATTCGGTCGGTGGGATTGGGAAATATGGGGTAGTGTATAGTAGGTACCTTAGGAGCTAGGGTGATTTTTGAATTTCGGGGTAATTAAGTGATGGTTCGCAAATTCTATATTACATGCTTTCCCTTCTCTTGAAAAAGTTGCAGCTCTAAATGCTCATGGTTGTCCAACATAAAAATCTACAAACCCAAGTTCGATGAACATCTATATCTATTGATAGAAACATGAGCTGTTATGATTTATTCGGCTTTCGTGCTCGGGCGCATGGTGGGTGAGAGAGATCTATGAGCTCGTGTGGGTGTTTCTGAGGATAGCTAGACTCCGCGTCGTCAGTCTTCCTAACTCTCTTATCGAAAGCCCGAAATCAATCGCTCGGTCCACATAACCGAGTGCTTAGGGAAGGACATAAGTTCTTTCTAGTCGATGATACTGTCGGGCTGGAGAGGATGTAGGACTGCTTCAGAGAGCGATAGTAGTAGACGTCTGAGGGCTGAGCATGCACTGCCTCATGCCGCGAGAATCGTTGACCTCGGGCCTTTCAGGATCAATCAATCCTGGACCCGAACCTGGCGTTGGTATATGCCTCCAGATAATCTTTAAGGCCAAGAACAGCGAGATGGTCCCCGCCCTCCCTCTAAACCATGATGGTGCCTCATCGTGGAGACTTTGGAGCTTCAGTTGCTTTTATCTCCGAAATACAGACGGTTGATGATGGCATTGCCATGCTGAGTTGGCAGGTAAGCATGTGGATTCTGAAATACCACAATTTGAAGGAGGGATAATACCTCTTCAGCCTCCCCAGCTCTTCCGCCACAAGGCTGCATGTGACGTTATGGTGTCTCTGGTAGTAGGACAACTCATCGACTTTTCTGCACAGCGCAATCAATCATCTGTCCTCGTCATCTGTGGCGACGAGGTATAAACTCACGCCGACAGTATTGAGAGCCGGATCTGGAAGATGCGCGCACTCTCCGCTTTCCGCTCCTCGATTTCTCTATGGATGCGATCCCTTGCCGCCATCCAGGCAGCGGCCGTCTTGATTCGCGAGATGTTGTCATAGCGGCTGCCGCCCGTGACCGCTGCAATGCTCCTCCTCAGCTCGCGATCCATCCTCCGCATCCGCTGTAGTGAGTTCTCATACAGGCCCTGGAAATACCTGAAATCGCCATTCCCGTATCTCTGCTCCGGCTGCCGGATCTGGGAGGCTAGGTGGGCGTTATTCAGCATATCGGTTTCTGTTGCCAGGAAGTCGATCTTCTCGAAGGCTCGCGAGATCTCGGCTTGTGTGTCGATGGCGTTCTTGAGACTTATGGTATGCGCGTAGAAGCCGGCCACGACGGCAGCCACAAATGTGAGGATGCCGGTAATGCTGGCGGCAATTGACAGCGGACTGTCCTGAGATGCCATTCTTGCATTGGGGGCGTTGACGAGGCTGGTTTATTCGAAGACTTACAGACTTAGGGACTCGTAGAGGGGGTGGGGGAGTTTTATGACTGGAACGGACCGGGGCCCCTCGTGAAGCGCAACCCCTGCCAGGGCGCAGCTGTGTAGGATGGGCTGATGATTCTCCACATACTGCTAAGGTATGGAGAGAAACGGGGAATAAGAATCCTCGAGTCCTCAAGAACACGTTCATCTTACGTCCGTAGAATGCTATACGGGCATTGTACAGCCACCCTGATGTGCGTCTCCGTGTCACGTGAGCCATAATTGCCAGGCTTGAATTTTCTGCTGCTTCATTGGTGCTTCCGACGACCTGTTGTGTTGCTAGAGGCAGTGATAGCAGTCACTGGGGAAAGCTCGCGCCCCGATACCTGTTAGAAAGCCCGACCGAGCACAGAAGTATTAATGAATGGGAAATGTGCGATTTCGACATTGCCGAAATGATAATCACCAAGCGGAACACAGTTCACCGCACAACTTTAACATATGCAATAGTACCCTTGGAAGATATAAGGAAATAAGCGCTCAAGGATAGAGCACTCCTCGAGAGCAGTTGAACCATCACTTGAAGCTGCACTCTCGGCTGGAACAAGGTGCAGGGTATGGAGTGTGACAATGCATGTCGGTAAATTGATATAAAAAGCAAAACAGAAAAGCATCGCATAGAAGAGCTCGTAAGACGCGACAGAGCAGAGAGCAGAGAGGGCAGATGCAAAAGAAAAGGCCGCAAGGAGAACATCGAGAGAAGGCATGGGATACCACAGTATTGTCCCTCCAGAACCGAGTAGCCAAGCAAAACAGCAATGATGAACCCGGAATAACGAAGCACAGAGATCCGCAGAACTCGGAATTGCCTTGATGCAGATCGGTCTGTGCAGCTTCAACGTCCCATTTCGCGAAGCTGGATGTCTGGAGGATGAAGAGGAATTAACACCGAGTCGGCCTAGTTCTGTCAGATTTAAGGTTAAATATTAGCGGTCCTAGCCGCTAAGATAATCAGGGACCAACGCCCCTTTTGCCCTGAAGCCGCACTGAGACTGGATCTCTAGACACGACATGCGGCTGGTCTGAAGAGCATAATCACACATCGCGTATGGCGGGTATAGCGATATCAAGAGGCATCGTCTGCCTGGGGTCTGGTGTTGGAGGCAGAAGGAGCAGATCCATTGCACGACCACTGGATGGGAGAATGCGCGGCGCCAAGAACCAAGTCAGGGTCGACCATGGGCAATAGCGACAGAGTCGACAACGGACACGAATGCTAGAGGAACGATGAGCGGGTGTATGGTAAAAGATGGCATGTCTTTCGATATATCTGCGATACAGAATACCGTCGACGACACAACCGTCTTAACTGGCGAGGTGAATACGATTGTTGAGATCCTCCGCCAGAAAAGCTCGAGAGATTGAGGTCCTGCTAGTGCTAGATAGGGAGGGGAAAAACCATTCTTCTCAAGAATCTGTATTCGGGGCCCAAGATCCCAAAACAGGTGCTTGCCATCATATGGCATTTCTGCTGCGGCGTGCGTTCCCAAGGCCCCGTCCTACGAGAAGAAACATGCTGACAATAAGACGCAGATATACTACTGTCGGGAAAACATCCGCACTCACAGCACCTCCTCGCTCCGCCACCCGTGCACTCCATCCTTCATCACCATCGCCAAGTAAACGTCTACACCGAGCTCACGCGACTCTCATACGGCAGTTCTGCAATGCTCTCAGCATGGCGCGCACACCCAGCCTAGGCATACGCCCTGCCTACCGGTACCGAGGTCTGCCTCGTGGCAAACACGCTGCAGAGCGTGCACCAGGTACTGTGCATACTGAAGTGTGACCGGGCAGCAACCTGCTGCAGGTTGGGGAAGAGTTCCTCTTCGAGCAGGTAGACGAACTTGGCAAATCCCATCCAGAACCCTACGGCCGAAGTGGCCAGTGCCCAATATATGGTATGGCGCCATCGCATACGCCGCACGAGGGACCACGCGGAGATTCCGGCGCTGAGTGCTTGGGATAGAGAAGGCGTCCGGGGAATGATCCTAGGGAGGATGAAAGAGTTCCGATTAAGCCCTGATGGAAGAGGAAAACTCGGGATTTAGTGCGGTACGAGGCTTAAGCACGTAACCAGCATACCGGAGTATGGATACTACCAGCAATTGTCCCATGGGGAACGCAAAGCAAGGGCCGGACTAAAGCTCGTGAGAAGAGAAAGGCGGGGGGTGGAGTCCGGGGCAACTCGAAATCCGGGGAGCGCATCACAAGCCTGGCGGGAGCAGCGGAGACGACGAGATGCCGAGGAATTACGGTAGGCTCCTGAGCATGGGGTATGATTTTCATTGACGATATGATTTTCACTGACGATCTACATTTGCGGAGGCTGAGGTTATTGAATGTTCTGGGTTGACTTGTTTCTTAGCATCCTGTCTGAATAGGGGTTTGGAGATGCGTATCGCATCGATCTGTACTTTTCTGGTTCAAGGCAATATGCTGCTGCCGGCCCACTCTCTCTACAATCCAGACCAAATCACCGAGTCAGTATTTCCACCCTCCTCGCAGATGTCAAATGTCAGATAGCGATACGGCATGAACACAGGTGCGATGCAGCATCAGTCTTCTGCTAGAGAGATAAGATGCACCAAAAGTACACCAACTTTCTAAACCACAGAGTCCAGGCCCCTGAATGCGGGATTCTACAGGAAAAGGGGGCGCTCCCGGTGGCGCACCCTTTACTCCCCGAGTCATAGCTCCGTAGACGACCAAAACCCCTGATTAGTAGCAGAGGACAAAAGGACCTGGCATGCAGATACTAAGGTACATCGATGACTCGAAAGAGTTCGAGACCGGTGAAGTTTCTCTGCGTCGCTACGAAAGACTGGAAATAATAGGTAAGGTAGGATAATGCAACACATATCTAGCATCTGCAAATGCACAGAGAGGAGCGTCTCCGCCAAGGCCAGGCCGTCCTGATGTGGGAAGCAATCGTGTGCCCCGCAGCGCCCTATCCTAGAATCCAGAATCTCTCTCCCGTCCGCCAGGCCAGCGGGAACCATCCTAGCTGATGATGGAAGATGAAGCGATTCCCAAAACCCACTATCCTTACTGGAAGCTCGCCGCACAAGCAAAGCAAAGCAAAGCATCGACTCCGTACTCTCCCTACAAGCCCACCTTGTAGTTATACCTACCATGAGTATACTATACCCACCTATACAGCACTACACCACAAACGTCCCTTCACACGATCTCCGGGAACAGCAGCGGACGTGCGGTGGTTCGAGAATCCTTCCGATTTCATGCATGGCGTCAGGGTAACAAGTATAGTAGTAGTCAGCCAGGAGCTGTTGTTGTTATTATTATTACCTATTTTCCCCTTCCCTTTCTCTTCCCTGCATTCTTTGCCTGGCCTTGCCTTAGGGTACCGAAACCCGGCTTCGCGGCATCATGACATGGGCCCTGGCAGGGGTGCGAGGAGGGCGACTTAGAGAACACGAGCTCCTCTTAGCATGTGGAAAGAAAGGCTTGCTTCCTTTTCGTTGACAAAAAAGGCGAGGGAGGCGTGCTGCTGGTGGAGATGGTGGCTTGTAGTATTGCATTTGTTGGATTCCTAAAGAAATGAACAGCGAGAGGCATCAATTCGTCGATGTGTACACTGTACAGAGTAAGGTCTCCATGTTTCGGACCGGTGGAAGCAGGCTCTGTACGTACAGAATGTCGTATGTAAAGGACGGTACAGAGAAGATAAGGCCAAAGGAGCTCTTGGGAGATGCTTAATGCTTGACGGTTGATGCTTGGTCGAAACGCTGGTGCTGGTGCTGGGTCGGTTCGGTTAATACATATGAGGTAAGCCATTCGTAAAATGTGTCACCGAGACGTGCATTTATATTGCAAACTACAGTATAAAGTGCTATATCGTACAGTAGCCTCCCATATATTTAGCTTAAATACGGCCCCATTACAGTAAATGCACGTAATTGTCGGCCCCTCCAACAGGAGCCGTGCCGAGCCGCGGACAGAGTTCCCTCCTTGCAGCGCTTCTCCGACGCTACCTTACACTTCCTTGTCCCAAATTGCGTGTCTTAGTCTTATAGACGACGTCTGGATCGGATCGTCGTGGTTCTTATTGTGGGTTGTGGATATACTTGGATATGGCTTGCTTACAGATGTCCAGTTGCTCCACCCTGCCGCCCCTTTTTTTCCCTTCTCGAGACTCGAACCGTATGTCGGACATCTCCTAGGGCCCCCACTACAGTCCGTTTCACCAGGCGAACCCTCTTTTCCCTAGAAGGCTGGAACAGTTGACAGGAGTGGGCGACAGTAGTGGGCAGTGGGCCGTGGAGCCGTGGACACAGTGGACAGGACAGGTGCTTTTCCCGCCTTCTCTTGCTCGTCTCTGCCCTTCCAAATTCCAGATCCCGGCGGATGGCGTCTCTCTGCTCTGAAGCACGGCCTTACTCGTATACAGCCAAGGAGGAGTGAGTACTGGAAGGGGGGTAAACGGCAGAAGAAGAAGATCTGCAGCCATGTCGAGCCGTGCGTGGGTGATGTGCGAAGATGCGCGAAAGCACTGTTCACAGCATTCTCTGTCGACGTTACAACGCCTCTGCATCGGTGCATCGACCTCTGGGTCACAATAATAATAATCGACAATAATCTACAACAATCTACAATGCTAGAACACTAGTCTGCTGTCGATGATTGCACCGTATTTGGACTCCTGGGGTTGCGGGGTAGACCAACTCTTCTTCTAACGCTCCTTCAACCTCTCGGATCACGTCCTACGGGCTGTCAATGCCTCGACGGAGTCCTGCGAAGTCCGTCGTCCTCCGCATGGTTGGCCATCCTCCTGAGCTTGACGGGCAACCGGATATCAGCTCTAGTACTGCCGGTTGGACCTTAGCCGTTGGAGGTTGGCGGGCACAGGGAGGGCCCCGGCAAGAGAGAGGCTCGAGTCGAACATTTCACATCTCCTTTTTCTTTTTCTGACCCTTCTCCGCAATATGCATGCAAGCTTTCATAGGCACTTGTCTCGGACCAGGCCTTCCCTCTTCCCTTCAACTTCAACTTCCAACTTCAACATCAAGCCACAACCCCCCTCCCTTGCAAAACCCCTCGCTCTTCGGCTTCACCTGGGAACTACTCTAAACCAGACCCATGAGAACCCTGAGAAACGGCTACTTCTGCAGACTACTGCACGGGAGTACCTGACGGCGCCCTCTGCATCCCCACTACTCTCTCCCAATAAAGTCATGCCCGTTCGGCACCATGTTCGGGGTCATTGGTGCTCACGACTCCCTACAGCCCAGCTGGAACCTGCACCGTTGCATGCCTGCAAGCCGACAGGGCTGCTCCCTTCTGGCCAAGTCTTGTCAACCAAGCCATTGTTGGTTCGTTTGTGGGGTTTAGTGTCCTGCATGCACATCTCCTATCTTCTTCAATTATCTACTCTAGAACCCCCGTGGGAATCCTCCGAGCGTCGTTTCTACAATGTAGTTATGACTTCGTCTCTCCTTTCAATCCCCTCGCTCTCTCTCCCTCCCTCTCTTTCGGCTCTCAATCATGACTGATCGCGGGCCACAGGCTGCGGCCGTGGCCATTCTTTTCTTGGTGTTAACGTGGCTCAGCGTCGCCCTGCGGGTGTACGTGAGGGGCATCATGACCAACGCCTTTGGGGTTGACGATTCCCTCGCGGTCCTTGCTCTGGTATGTAGATCGATCGAGACGACCGTGAATGGCATATCTGAGTGCTCTATAGTTTCTATTCACATTCTACTGCGCGTTCGTTCTTGACGGGGTTCATTATGGAACGGGAAAGCACTTCGCGGAACTCAGTAACCAGAATTTCATCTATGGCATGAAGGCATGTCCCACACTCCTCTTAAAAAACTGGCTCTCGATCTGACACCCGTCCCCAAGGCCTGGTGGATCGCGGAGATAGGTTACGTCTCAAGCACGACAGTCCTCAAGATCAGCATCGCTTTCTTCCTGCTGCGGGTATGCGTCAAGCGGTTCCAGAGAATCATCATCTGGGTTGTCCTCGCCGTCGTGACCTCCTTCAGCATCTACTATTTCTTCCTCGTCATCTTCCAGTGCAACCCTTCATCGTATTTCTGGAACCAGTATGACGGCCACCATCATGGGAAATGCGTCAGTGGCGACGTCGTGTCGGGCTCGACATATACCCATGGTGCCCTGAGCGCACTGGCAGATTGGACCTTGGGAGTCCTCCCGATCTCGCTCGTTTGGGATCTCAAGATGAACCCGAGAACAAAAATCTCAGTCGCCATGATTCTCGCCCTTGGCGCGCTGTAAGACTCTTTGGATTCTGGTTCCTCAATCTACCACACATAGCTGACGATCCCCAGTGGCTCGACTGCAACAATTGTCCGCCTCCCGTTCATTCACCAGCTCACCGAAACCACCGACTTCCTCTTTGCTAACGTCGACGTTTCAATCTGTGCGTCAATCCTCTCCCCTGCCCAATAACTTCCCCTAATATAAGCAGGGTCCACCGTCGAACCTGGTATTGGGATCACTGCCTCATCGATGGCCACTCTCCGGCCCCTATTCGTGACCTTCCTCTCGCGCTCCAGGCTCCTGGGCTCCTCCACCCGCAGTCGGAGCACCTCGCACTGGCGCCGCTCCCACACAGGGTACTTCCGCAACGGCACCAACAACGACAACGCCGTCGGGGACGAGGAAATGCACCTCGACGACCTGCGGCGCGATCTACCTAAAGGCTCTGGTGTCTCCACCACGATCCAGAGCGTCAACGATACCCGGCAGAGCGCCGACCGGGCGCGCGAGAAAGAGCTTGCGCAACAGAACGGTGAAGTCGAGAACGCGATCAAGCGCATCCAGCGCTTCGGGGGGATGCGGCAGGCCGGCGCGGCTACAGACCCCTTCCACAAAGCAGCTGCTCCCTCGGGCTCGTGGAACTCTCACGAGAGCCACCTCGCGGGCGATAGCAGTAGTGACGATGGGAATACACCGCCGGACATGGGCATCCGGAAGACGACGGAGGTCACGACGATGTATGGGCGGGCTGGTAAGGACGAGCCATGAGACGACTTCGCTCTCTGTAATGATACCCCAGGAAAGTAAAAGGAAAGATAAAAATCAAAGATCAAGGAAATGGCGTTGGCGATGGATGGGAGGACGCAAAATGGGAAACACATACCCCGTACCACATACTTGTACAGTCTCGCATTTATTTAATTCATTATACCCGATACCCTTAACTTAGCGTTTGGAACATTCGTCGAAACAAGCTCTAAGAAACTCGAGAATTATGCTTTTGCTTTGAATACCTTGTTTCAGGGTTCTTGTGGTGTCGAGATATCAGTCCTCGGCCGAACCTTGAATTCGGCTATTTAATAACCGTCATCCCTCACCTGTCAGCTCTCATCTCTCATCTCTCATCTCTTCCTCAACATCCATCATCTTCTATCTGCAAACATCGTGTTTATGCTCTTAAGTCAGTCAGCTGCACACGTCGCATCCCCGTCACGCATGGACTTTCTTATCAGGGGCAAAGCTGGAGTTTACCCCATCTTATCAAATGCTTATCTCTGCGACGACCAACCTTTGAAGCCCGATCCTGGCCGCCTTATCAGTTGTTCTGCGTTTGGTATACAATCACCGATGATTGATCTACATCGTTCATCAACTCGAACTTCTTCTTGTGGTCGTGCGTGCGTGTTCCATCCATGGTGGACATGCCTGTTGAGAGATAACGCACATACATACTAGTATGTATGTATATACAGAGCCATACATAAGTGTGTGTAGATATGGATCTTGATACTTCAGTCGTCCCCCATTCCTCCTTTCTTGCTCTCTCTATGCTGTTTTTCAGCTTCAATTTTTGTGCTTCATTCCTCAGGTAAAGTATCTCTCGAGCCATGGCTTCTCTCGACGAGCAGAACCCCGAGATGTGGCCACCAGGAACTGTGCGCCTCGAAGCTTTCACCGTGACCAAGGGGAAGGACATCATCCTCCAGCCACGGCCGAGCGATGATCCCAATGACCCTCTCAACTGGTCGAACTGGCGGAAGAACTGGAACTTTGCCCTGTGCTCCTTCTACGCCATGATGGTCTTTGCCCTCATCGACGCTGCAACGCCAACTTGGGGACCGATGAATGTGGAGCTCGGCTTCAGCTATTCGATTCTGAATGATAGCTATGCCATCGGCTGTGGGACCCTAGCCTTTGGGGCCTTCCTGCTCATCCCCTTCGCGGTCAAATACGGCCGTCGACCTATATATGTTGTCAGCACTCTCGCGCAGTTCGCCGTCTCGGTATGGTCTGCCAAGCTGGAGACCGTCGCTGATCTGTTGCTCGTCAATGCTTTCAGCTGTATGGTTGGAGCACTGGCCGAAGTCATCGTCCAGATGACAATCGCCGACATCTATTTCGTCCACCACCGCGGATTGGCGAACACTGTCTACGTCTGGTTTTCCAATTTTGGTTCCTCGCTGGCCCCCGTCGCCGCGGGATATATCACCTTATCCCAGGGCTGGCGCTGGGTCTGGTGGTGGTGTGCAATCTTCTTCGGCGTCTGCGCTGTATTGTTCTTCTTCAGCTATGAAGAGACCAAGTTTAGCAACTCCCAAATAACTGGGGTCTCACCGGAAAGCCAGCAAGATCCCTCGACAGAAGCGGATCACAAGTCTAGTATCTTGCAGGAAAAGACTCTGCCGGTTGAAGTCACCAGCAGTTGCAAGAAGGAGGAAGAAAGCCAAACGCAGGATCTCAGCATTCCTACTGTCATCAACCCAAACATCCCGCGGAAGACCTATTGGCAAAGACTCGCGTTCGCAACCACTTCCACAGGCAGCTTCAAAGATTTCGCCCGCCACGGCTACCAGCCCGCCGTCGTCCTCTTCACCTTCCCGGCCGTCTTCTACATGTCGTGGGTCTACGGCGTCATGCTCGCCTGGTCGACGGTCATGGTCACGGTACTCTCCAGCACCATGACGCTCCCGCCTTACAACTTCGACAGCGCGCAGATCGGGCTCATGAGCCTCCCCAGCTTCATCGGCACCACGCTAGGCGCCCTCCTCATCGGCCCCATCTCCGACCGCTCGATCCTCTACCTCGCGCACCGCAACCACGGCGTCTACGAGCCCGAGATGCGCCTCTGGGCCATGGCCCCCTTCGTCCCGTTCGTCCCCGCCGGCGCCCTCATGTTCGGCATCGGTCTGAACAACGGCCTGTCCTGGCCCATCGTCGCCGTCGGTTACGCCATTTGCAATTTTGGCACCGCCCCCATTAGCACTATTGCATTGACATACATCACAGATTCCTATACCGACGTATATTCACCCCCCTCCCCTCTTCTATCCCGTCCCTCCCATCTCCCCGCTAACCGCAAACACCCACAGATCGTAGGCGACGCCCTCGTCGGCGTAACATTCACGCGCAACGTCATCGGGACGATCTTCGTCTTCGCCCTCAGCCCCTGGGTCGACGCCGTCGGCATCACGAACATGATCGTCACCATCACTGTGATTGGCACCGTGGTGCTACTCTTCGTCTTTGTGTTTATCTTGTACGGGAAGCGGTTCCGCGTCAGGACGGCTGAGAGGTATAGATATTATGCGGGGAGACAGGTGGTTGGGAGATGAGATGAGGTTAGGTATGTTGGGGGAGGGGGAAAAGAGGCTGTAGATGCCATATGTAGGTAGATGAGAGATTGATTTGAATAGCTTATACGTACATACATATAATTCACCCCCCTTCCTTCTACGCTCTCCCAAATCCAAATCCAAATCCAAATTCCAACCCCCCTATCCGCTCGCTCGCTAACCCCCACCACCGACCTCGCCAAAAAAACCCAAAAAACCCCCCAAAAAATAAAATCCAAAACACAACACAACACAACACAACACCCCTCCAAAAAATAAAATAAAACCACCCACAAAAAAAAGTCAAAAAGAAAAAAAAAAAAAGAAAAAGAAAAAGAATATTCACATCCCTCAGGCGCGAGTCGAACGCGCGACATTCCGGTGAGACTGTGTACAAATTACAGCCGGACGCCATAAACCAACTAGACGACCGAGGGTTTTGTTGGATGTTTGGTTTGATTTTGTTTGAGATTGTGTAATTTGGATATATCAGCGACCCCACCGGGGGGGGAGGGGGATAAAACTTGGAATGATATGAGATGAGATATGGGGAGGGAGGGATATTTTGGGGGTTTTCTGATATTCTTATTACTACGAGTTTTGAAAAAAAACTTGTTCGTGGCCATTGGACATTTACGTCTGGATTCTGGAATTAGGATACCTTCCTTATACATTTTTGAGGAGAGGAAATCATGGGCGAACATTGTCATCACTGCGCATCAATGCATCTCACGTTGCAAACAGAGGCAGTAAGGTTGGTAAATTGACTAACCACACGCAATATTCGACATGACGGCGGCTGCTCTGCCGTTCTGATCAAATCCCAAGCACGACCAGCTCAAAAAATTGATCGTTTGTTTGTTACATGCCGCCATTGTACATGCCGTTCAACCTGTCCGCCCCTTTTTTCGGCTCTTCGCAAGATAATCAATCCTCCGCACGCAACAAGAGCAACTACCATAAACAATCTACCTACGTAATCCCATCTCCGCAATCTGTGATACGTTTCCAACGTTTTTTTGGGCTGGCTGGCTGACCGGGCAAGGCCCTGACTGAGCTCAGGGTCATGCGAGATAGGGGTCTCAGTGCAGCCGGGTGTGGTGTGGTGGGGTGATGACCTGACTTTCTGACAAGGCTCGGTCGACTGATCGACCAGATTCGGATTGTCGGGTTTCAACCAGCCGTGTTGTTTGAGGACCCGGAGAGATCCGCTTCAGTCATCAAGATTTCTGTCCAGTGAAGATCGGACATCGGGACGTCAATCAGTCATAACCACCACCAACCTGGCTTGCAAATGCTGTAGAGACACTCTTCTCGTCGTCATCCAATCGGCGCCCACTCAACAAGGAGCTGCTGCCGAAGACACTTCCCGCATCACCTGTCTTGTAATCGGCTATGCGGCCACCGGACTCGACGTACCGCTTCAGACGATCAGATTGGCTGAGACTGGTTTGCTTTTGGGCTTCACCATATCGAGGACCGAGACTCACGCCACCTTGACCAACACCCTTGCCGTCGAGAATACTGCTTGTTGTATCGGTGAGTTCGCTGGCTGCCACAGATTCCCCAGCGATGCTCTCTGGTCCGCGACCACGTGCTTTCGGACCATTAGGGCGACCGCCGAGACCCGGCCATGCATCAGGACTGAAGTTGGAGAACATTGGAGGGAAGGCCGAACCAACACCGACGCCGCCGAGAGCCGATGAGTGGACAGAGGAGACATCGTCAGGAATGTAGCTCATCAAAGAACCGGCATCGCTGTAGTCTTGATGGCTCTTACCATTAAGACCGGAGCGTCCATTGAAAGCGGCATGAGACATCTGGTAGCGCTGGGGTCCGCGGTAGGTAGTCTTGGGGCGGCTGAACTGGAGCAGAGAGGTCTGAAGGTGGGACAGTGGACCTTCAACAAGGCAGTTCTTCTCCTTGAAGTGAAGTAGCAAGAAGTGCCAGAGAGGGTGCTTAGACAAGACCTTAGGGTTACCGAGAATAACCAATCCATATTTTGCTCGAGTCAAGGCGACATTGAGACGTCGAGGGTCACTCAAGAAACCAATTCCTTGGTGGTCATTGGATCTGACACACGAGAGCACAATGAAATCCTTCTCTCGACCTTGGAAGGCATCGACAGATGCAACTTCAATCTCCTTGTAGTTCTCCTTTTTGAATGTGCCCGTGTTCTGCATGGAACTGACAACAAAACTTCGCTGACCCTCGTAAGGCGTAATGACACCAATATCGGCAGGTTGAACGCCGGCTTTGAAGAAACGCGTAACGATTTTCTCCACGTTTGAGGCTTCAGTTCGGTTCAGGTAAGAGGTTCCGGAAGCAGAGATTTCTTCGTTTCCAAGGTTGGACCAGAACATCATGGGAGTATCTGCAACAGGCCATGGGAAGTCTACGTCTCGTCGGAGTCGCTGCTGCATGGTGACACCGTTCTGAAGTGAGCCTTCGTAGAACATGTTCGATGGGAACTCAGAGAGACAGGGGTGCATGCGGTACTGGACATTAAGGCGAATTGGCATCAGACCAAGAATAACCAGGCGTTCGAAGAGCGATTGATTGAGACCAGCCTTCGCAGCCTTCTTGTTCATGATGACCGGACCAAGTTGCTGGTGATCTCCTACCAAAACCACCTGCTTGCATCCGAGAACCAATGGGATCATACACTCAGGTTCGGCAGACTGTGTCGATTCGTCAATCAGGACAGTCCGGAACTTCATCTTAGCAAGTCGAGGATCGCCGGCACCAACGCAAGTACAGCAAATGACATCGGCATTGCTAAGAATTTCGCGCTCGGCGGCTCTGGTCAAAGTCTTGAATTTCTTCTCGTCTTGACTGGAAAGTTCGCCCAGTTCACTCTTCAATTGCGCGAGCTTCGTCAATTCCAGATTGCTATCGTTCATGCGAACTTGCTCGTGCAAGGACAAGAATCCAACTGATGATTCGACATCCTCACGGGACTTGGCAGTCAGACGTACAACTTTGAGGCCAGTACGATGAATTCGCTCGCAAAGCTGATCGACGGCAACGTTCGATGGAGCGCAAACTAGGACTTGGCCACCGTTAACCTTTGCCAAGTGATAGATGACGGTTGCAGAGGTGACAGTCTTCCCGGTTCCAGGGGGTCCTTGGATCAAACTGAGAGGCTTCTGCAAAACGCTCTTGACAGCACTGATTTGACTGCTGTTCAACTCTGGAAGTCCTGGAACACTGAATTTCTTGGGCATCTGGATCTTCATCGGGGCTGCAGCAACTTCGTGACCGAGTAGCTTGTGGAAGATGTAACCAGAAACACTCATTTCATCAACAGCAAACGTCTTCATGGCAAATTGCATACGATCATATGACGTTGCCTTCCAAACGTAATCGGCAGAAAAGTTGTGCGTGCATTCGGTCGGTACCGACTTATCGTTGCCAACCTTTCGAAGTTCGATAGTGACCTCGTCCGACTGATTATTCGGGATCTTGACAACGTATCCAACACCTTCCCAAGCTGGTCGCAGTTCGCCCTTGTACTTCAGACGCATCTCGTCTCCAACGGCAAGTTTGACATCCCCGAGTTCAATCTTTGGAAGGATAAAACTCGCCAGATGCTTGTTGTTGAGACCATAATCCCAGCGAATTACGAGACCATCCTCAGATTGGGCTTCCTTGAGTTTACGATCGTAGTCCGCCTCGATTTTCACCAGTGGGCCAAAGACATTCTGGTACTGATAGGCATCGTCGTATTTCAACAGAACGGGAGCAGGCTCATCATCGATTCCGGCTGCCTTTTCAAGATCCGCAATAGTAGCGTTGGCGTTGTCCTTCCACATCTCCTCTAGCTTGGCAATATTGGGAGGAGTAAGATGCCTGGCGCGAAGTTGCTCGGCATCACTAGGGACAGAGACAAGCCATGGTAGGAATGATCGATCTTCGATAAGGGGCTGCCACCTTGAAATATCCCAGCTCATGTCCTTCGAAGACGGCGTCGATGCGCAAGGTTGGCGGCACAACAGTACAACAACAGTATCGGACTTTGCTGGAATGAACCCAAGCAAGAAAACATTCTTTGTACCGCAGTTATAGCATTCGAGAACCGTATCTCCGAGAGTCGACTGCGGATGAAGCTGAACTTCCTTGTGCCTGGCGCGAACCAGGTGATTTACAATGTGGGAGGAGGTGGCGTTACCTCGAGAGCTGCAAAACCATTTGCTACATGCCAGACATTTGACAACGCAGCTTGGGGAATGAATTCCACAGTACCTTGACACAACAATTAGCTTCATGAACTCTGTAGTGGCGTAATAACTTACGCGCATGCGTGTGCCGGGAGTTCCTTCTCGTCCTCCACCCCCCTCAAGCCCAATGTCTTCATACCCTCTACTGGGACACTGGCCAAGCTCTCAGCATCATCGTCGTCGAAGGTTTCTGTCTCATTGTCGTCGTCATCATTTCGTCTTCTGCTAGTACCCAAACCCCCACGGCCTCCATATTGCCCGTAAAGTAGGCTTTCGTCCGGGTCAATGTTAGAAAAATCATCTGCGCCCGCGTTGATGGCAGCAGCAGAGTCCGAGATCAAGTGGTTTCCGAGGTGGGTGAACGCGCCCTCCATGATGTGGGAAGAGCTTGATTTGACTCCTGAAGAAAACCGAGAAGATCAGTTTCTGATAGCTCAGCTAAAACGCATCAGCAAGCCAGGTCCTAGAACACCGTCTCAGGCGCAGCCGGTGGCCAGGGGGGTCGGTGGCACTGGATACTCACTTCAGAATTTGTTTGGTTGAGCAGCCTTGTGGCGCAAGAAAGAAGATTTGTCTCAAACACAAGAAGACTTCTCAAGTCATTATTGGTGCGCACGAGTACTGGCGACCTCTGTACGCAGTATTCGCAGTGTTGGACCAGACAAACCTTCTCTGAGACTTGGTGGTGGAAAGGCGGGATCGAAGTGTGGTGGGTTGGGGAGCCGCGACAAGGTACGGGATTTCACTGTCAAACTAGCGTGGGCCGGAGTTTCTTTATTCCTCCACCGGTTCTCCGTCCTCCGTCCTCCCAGATAAACTTTCAGCGCTAAGAAATTTATATGCTCGCAGAAACTGATTTTCATCCACCGGATTATTTGCTTTGCCACGATAGGTGTATGAAAAGATGCTTGTGAGTTACTGTCTGCTTCTATTGTCCCTCGAGCAGTTATACCTGTCTTTGAAGGTTATCTGTAAAGGAGAGCAAGCTGGCCCTTGAACTGTCCCAGCCTCGAGAATCAAGCCTCGAGCGGGGAACAGACTGCAGAACAGGATGCCGGTCTACTCTTCTCCCGCATACGTTGCAAGACCCCTATGACGATTGGCTGCTAATATTATCTCCCAAGGTACAACGCAAGCAAAACCGGCAGCGGAGAGATTACCTCTACCGTCGAGCCTTGACACTGCGAGATGCTGAGATAAGTGAGAAACGAGCCAAGTTACGGGCTTCCCTGGCGTCGGGAAAACCTCTGGACCCTGCCATTGCGAACGACAAGAAGCTTCGGGAGGACTACAAGTACGACGAATCAAAACCAGACTTGACGGTCAATGAAGAGCTGGATTTGGATGATGAGTACGCGCAGTTGTCTGGGATCGTCGACCCTCGGGTTCTTGTCACGACCTCACGAGATCCCTCCACACGATTATCTTCCTTTGCCAAGGAAATTCGATTATTACTCCCAACTTCCATACGGCTGAACCGAGGAAACCTCATCCTTCCAAATCTCGTACAATCCGCACAGGCATCCGGCCTCTCAGACATAATCCTTCTTCATGAACACCGTGGTATACCAACTGCCTTGACGCTATCACACTTCCCACATGGGCCAACCGTATCATTCTCTCTACACAATGTCGTCCTTCGTCATGATATCCCAAACAGTTCTCGCGGTACCGTCAGCGAATCCTACCCCCACCTGATATTCGAAGGTTTCACATCGCGACTGGGTCTCCGGATCGTAAGAATACTGAAACACATCTTCCCACCACGAGAAGCGATCACAAACAGAACGAAAATTGGAAGCCGAGTTGTTACATTCAAGAATATCGAGGATAGCATAGAGGTCCGGCACCATGTGTTCGTAAAGACCGGATACCAAAGCGTTGAGCTGGCGGAAGTGGGACCAAGGATGACGATGAGATGTTTCGAAATCAGAGGGGGGACGTTGGAGAACAAGGATGGCGATGTGGAGTGGAGATTGAACCAGTACACCCGTACGAGTAAGAAGAAGGATTATCTGTGATCATTATGTTGGCACGGGACATATGGACATATGGTTTTGCTTTTTTAGCGTGGAGTTGGGGTTAGTGGCTTACCAGAAGGCCCAAAAATCGAATTCGGGATTTCTACCATTGATTGATGATTGCTACGAGCTGCATCCATCCTTCCACTGTTTCCTTGACCCAAGGTACCAGCCAGATTGTTGCCCCAACTCGGTAGGTCTCGTCCAGGAGGGCCGGCAGTAATGGGCTCATGATGGATTCATGCATGATTGATTTTGCAGTTTCCCGACCCGTTGCGCACACTGTGTACTGTTCATATTTCATCCTGTTGTATCTGGATTGTCTTTATCTAGGAAACACAGCAGAAAATGCTGATGTGTGCTGTTAGAGCATAACTTGAAGCACCTCACGTTCATTCTGGCTTCTCATGAGATACGCATGTTTCATCCCCCCCCTCTCTCTGCATAAGCCGAAGCAGAGACAACAGCGGAAGTATTCACCGTCCTATGTTCCTTTTGATTGAACCTTGTCTATGCCAACTCGGGAGCGCCTGATGGGGTTAGAGGCACAATCGATGCAGATTAGGGGTAGGATGTGCCTTCATTATGAACGAATGCTTGATGGACGAATGCCTAATGGATAACCCGACATCCAGAGACCCAATTCAACTCTCAGAAACTTCACACTCAGGGCTTGCAAGGGCGTATCAGCATGCAACTCATATATCATCACTTTGCAGGAGGGAAAGACCTCAGCCGTGTCTGATCGGAACGGCACGTGATGAGAAACCACTGTGTGGGGGAACCGGGGCCGCAAAGGGGGCGTACCGGGTTATCCATTGATCCGCCCCGGGAATCCGGGAATCCAGGGACTTGGCGTCAATGGCGCTACATGACGCTTGATTGGTCTGACATCTCCAGCTTCATGTACTGGACAGCTGCCAATGATCTATCCCACTCTCCCCCCCTCTACGCGCACACCCCGGACGTCTCTCGAATCGCATGAATGTCTCGGAGCGACCATCCAACACCCAGCATCCCCAATGTCGAGCAACCCACAACCATCGAGCGCAATCCGTCGTGGCACTCCTTAACACCCATATCCAGAACCTCTCCGAGGCCAGCTTCTTTGGATCCTTCGGGTAAGCCAGCCGTAAAGCAGAGGGACGGCGCTGTGAAGAACGTCTCGTTCAGAGGAGAGGATTCTGATTCAGAAGACGATATGGGGGACAGACGTTCGCCTTTCCACAGGCCGACTGATCTCAGATCGCATCAGCCGCTGTTGCATAAGGATGATGAGGAAAGGGGTAGAACAGGCTACCATGCTTCCCCAGAACTCCCCGCACATCCTCCCTCATTCACGCGGAGGTCGACGATGAGGAGTCGAAGTCCGGATACGCAGGCGAAGCTGGCGACGAGGAAGAAATATACCTATGCAGCGTTCTTCCTGCTGCTGAGTCTGGTCAGCTTCGTGGTCCAGACGGAAACAGCTGTATACATCCAGAGCGAGTTGGGGTGGAACAAGGCGTATTGCATGCTGTGAGTATTGCATATCGAGGGATCGTCCATGTCTAATTCAGACCAGGTACCTCACCCACGGATCATGGTCATTATTATGGCCTTTCCAACTCCTCATCCTCCGACTACAAAAGCGGCAGATGCCGTGGGAGGCCTTCTGGCGACGACACGTTTATCTTGTCCGAACAACGGCCCAAATGGTAGAAACACAAGAACTCTCCGTCCCTAGAGGCCAACACTCTCCTATCCCATACTTTCTTCGAATGACAGCTTTCATTACCAGCGCGCTCACTGTTGCTGGTGGTTCCTGGTATGTGGCCGTCGACATGACAACCCCATCCGACCTCACAGCTATTTACAACTGCTCGGCCTTCTTCGCCTATGCTTTCAGCGTTCCAATGCTGAAAGAGAAGCTCCGCTTCGATAAAGCGTTTGCAGTGGTAGTGGCTATTGTAGGCGTGTTGATCGTCTCCTACGCACCCACCAAGAAAGAGGGTGAAATTCCAGACCCGTCAGAGCCAAAGAATGTCGTAGCCGGTAATTTAATCATTGGCGTCGGCAGTGTGTTGTATGGCTTTTACGAAGTGCTCTATAAGAGATTGGCCTGCCCTCCTGAAGGCACCTCCCCAGGTCGCGGCATGATCTTTGCCAACACGTTTGGTTCTTTGATTGGCTTGTTTACTCTTCTGGTTCTTTGGTTCCCACTTCCCATTCTTCATGTTCTGGGGCTTGAGACCTTTGAGTTACCCAGAGGAGAAGCTGCTTGGATGCTGCTTATTTCGGTTCTCGCAAATGCAACATTCTCGGGTTCTTTCCTGGTTTTGATCAGCCTCACGAGTCCTGTCCTCAGTAGTGTTGCCGCACTCTTGACGATCTTCCTGGTGGCTATCGTGGATTGGCTATGGAGAGGCAAAACATTGACTCCCGCGGCTATTGGCGGCGGTTTACTGATTGTGGCGGCGTTTATATTGCTGAGTTACAGCACGTATAGAGAGATGAGCGAGGAAAGAAGGAAGAAACAGGTCGATTTGAGTGATAGTGATGAGAGCGACAAGGATGATGATTAGTGCATAGGGTTGTGCAGTATCTGGACAGCATCTGGGTGGCATCTAGATTGTAGAATGGGCGGCTCTTAGTATTAGAAGAAGGGTCATGAATGGGTGTCTGGGTGTGCAATCAGGCGTTTGGATGAGAGATGCATATTTAGAAGGGGGCGTAGGAACTCGCTCAGACAGTGATGCACACGCTGCCACTGACGCGATAATCTACTTTCCTTGTTATACAGTGTCTAGACTGTTGGATGAATATCCAGGTGGTATCACATAACCCGGTCCCTCAACGCAGCAACTTGGAAGTGAATAGACGCGCCCCTTTGTCTTACCCGCGGTTTGGATTCACGTGATCTCCCGGCCACCGCACCGAAAGTGCCTCGCGTCGTCTCTTTTGCAAGATCGCGTCGCGTCGACCATCAATCAACCTCACCTCTAATTCTCCACCCCCACAAAGTCAATACTGCCCCCCTGTCACGACGCGAAAAGATTTCAATCAACGCGAATTGGAAGCCTGACTCAAATGTAACACGTTTGCCCTCTATCTTCACCTTATTTTCTTCGGAACTTACCGCCATACCTCGTCTTCCAAGATCCCCACCGTCTACATTGTAGCAACAGGAGCGCAAGATGGTCAAGCCTACGGGGCCCGGTGTCTATACGGCAACGTATAGTAATGTATGCGCTCTACAGCTGCTATAGCTGCTCTTTAATCGAGCTTCCCTGGCTAACACCGTGCAGATCCCAGTCTACGAGTACCAGTTTGGAGAAGGCCTCAAGGAGCATGGCGAGTCCCCATTATGATGGGTCCGATGGGAGATTCTACTAACCAGTGCGATCAGTTATGCGCCGCCGTTCTGATGACTGGATCAATGCGACACACATTCTGAAGGCCGCCGGTTTCGACAAGCCCGCGAGAACCCGAATTCTGGAGAGGGAAGTCCAGAAGGAGCTGCATGAGAAGATCCAGGGTGGATATGGCAAATATCAGGGTGCGCATAAAGTTTGATTATACGATTCCTCTGCTGACTTCTTTCCAGGTACATGGGTTCCCCTCGAGTCCGGTCAAGCCTTGGCCCAGCGCAACGGCGTATATGAGAAACTCCGCACCATCTTCGAGTTTATCCCAGGCAATCTGAGCCCTCCCCCCGCTCCAAAACATACCACAAACAAGCCAAAGGCGCCTAAGAAGCCTGCGGTTCCGAGATGGGGAAACAGTGAGTCAGTTATAGTCTATTATCAAGGCAATGCTAACAAGGTAGAACCAGTGCCCACACCGCGTGGTGTCGACGACTATGAGAATATCAGCGCCCAATTGAATGATGATGAGAGTATGGCAGACGATGTTACAGTTGCTTCAGCTTCATTCATAGGTGAAGATGACCGGTATGATGTCTCTGCGCAGTCAACTGGCCATCGCAAGCGCAAACGTGAGGAGCAAGCCCGCGATGCCGCCGAACAAGCTCACCTTATCTGGGCCGACGAGCTTCTCGACTACTTCATGATGTCAAACGAAGCACCGGGTAGTGTTGCAAAACCAGAACCACCCCCTAACTTCCAACCTGATTTCCCAGTCGACAATCTCAGGCACACTGGGATGCACTGGGCGGCCTCTATGGGCGATGTTGAGGTCATGAAGCAGATGAAGAGATTTGGTGGAGATATTGCTGCTCGAAACGAGCGGGGCGAGACGCCATTGATCCGCGCTGTGTTGTTCACCAACTGCTTGGATAAGCAGACGATGCCGGCAGTTGTCAAGGAGCTAATCGAAACCATTGATCATGTTGACAATTACGGATCGACAGCCATTCATCACGCCGCCAACATTACCATGAGCCATCACAAGAACCATTGTGCTCGCTACTATCTCGATGTCATCCTCAACAAGATGCAAGAGGTGCTAGAGCCAGAACACATCCAACGTCTCATTGATGCGCAAGATGGCAATGGTGATACGGCAGTGCATCTCGCGGCTCGAAACAAGGCCCGGAAATGTGTCAGAGCGTTGATGGGGCGTGGTGCATCGGTTGACATCCCGAACAACAACGGCGAGACGGCTCAGGAGCTCATTTCAGCTCTAAATTCAGAGCGCCTTCACAATCGTTACCCGGCCGCATCCTCCTCACCATTCGCACCTGCCCATTACGAACCACCTGATGATCCAAACTATACCTCCCGTCACACCGTATCTCACAACTCTGAGGCTGCCATGTCCATTGAAAACAAGATCACCCCTCTCGTTCTTGATAAGTTCCGCGAATTAGCGGCCTCTTTCGACGAAGAACTGAATCAGCAATTTGAAGCAGAGAAGAATGCCAAGATGATCCTGAACAAGACGCAGATGGAGCTTGCTCAACTCCGCGATGAGATTCTCGAGCTCGGCTACCGTGCAGAGGATCCCGAAACAGAACAAGCGAATATAAATGAGCTAGAACGTACGAAAAAGCTCGTCACCTCTCTTGTCGAACAGCAGCAGAAAGTTCAACTTCAAGTGCTAGTGCAACGAGAAGAGACCAAACAGAATGGTCACGTGCCACAAGGTGATGAAGATGATATGGCTGAGCGACTCATGCTAGCAAAGACGTTACTTGACGAGCAAGCCAAGAGACAGAACTTAGTCGAGGCCTATGTCGATGGGCTAGCGAAGGCTGGCGCGGGCGAAAAGGGAGAAAAGTACAAGCGGTTGATATCCAAGTGCGTGGACACGGACTTTGAGAATATGGATGAGAATCTGGACAGTTTACTGGAGCAGTTGAAGGAGGATAAGGCGGCGAGGATGGCAGAGGTTATTGACAATCCTGATTTCTAAATCCCAGTGGAGGTTTGTTATCTTGATGGTTGGATATGTGTGATGTTTGGTGTTTGGGTACTTTGTCGAGTCATCAGATGTGGTTTATGCATCAGCGCGGTTTGGGCTTTTGTAGGTAGGGCTGGCGTTATGAGGGTGTGAATGATCCACATGAGTAAGTAGGATACTTCCCTGGATCCATGACGGGACTGCGAATCTTCTAGCTGAGAGCGGTTATGCTTTCATGGAGACAATGAAACATTGAAATATAATCGGATATGGAGTGTGCATGCATGTTTTACCTCTTCTCCTTTTTCCCTTATATTAATTAACCCTATCCCGCCATCCATTCTTTTGCTATGCCATCATATCATATCATCTCAGCAAGAAAGAATGAATGAATGAATGACAGATAACAGAATCCGTCCAAATTGGATGCTGAATTACCGTTTCTGCAATCAAATTCTTGACTCAAACTCATCCTATGAGCATATCTTCCAAACCTATAACTCCTAGAACGCACGACACACTCTTCACCAGATATCGAACCCCGAAGATCCACTGTCGTCACCTAGTATTATTCAAAGAGACAAGAAAGCATCGCATCATCAGTCAATCACTCACTCTCAGATATTCCGATACTAAAGCCTCGCGAGTCCTTGATATACGTAGATAGACTCATTTCAGTGTTTGATCACTCATAGTTGCCTTGTATTTATTCATTCATTCATTTATTCATCCCCAACAACTTCTCTATATGAACAAATCAATCCATCCTATCTCGCATTTCCCACTCCAAACCTCCCAAAAACCCCCCAATATAATACAACGCAAAAATACCAAACCGTGCAATCTCTAAAAAATCCACAAAGCCACGCAGCACCCTACCCCCCGCTCCCTCCCCAGGAACCAAGTATCCAGAAGGACGAGCTTCTCTGGACTAACATATCTTCCTTCGAAGAATCGAACACCACCACCACCACCATGAATCCAGAGCTGAATACAGAAATGCATACAAAAATGGAAATAGAAGAGAAGGAGAAGGAGAAGGAGGAAGAGCATAATCCGCTTCAATCCCCGGTTAATTGGCAGCGCATATGGAATAATGCGACAATCTACTCGACTTCTGAAGATCGGAGAAGGAGGCGGGGAGAAGAAAAGGAGCTAGATGACTCAGATGAGATAGAAACTAAAGAGTCCTGGGAATTAATATGGGGAATGCAGAATGTAGAGATTCATTTCATTTCATTCCATCCAAACATTCCCAAAAGATCCTCTCTCTCTCTCTCTCTCTCTCCAGCCACAACAAACAACAACAACAACAACTAACTTCCCTACCTTCCCCCCCCCCCTCCCTCCCCCGCCCCTCCTCACCCCTCCCTCACCATCTCCCACTCCCACTCCCTCTTTACCTCCTCCCCATCAATCCAAATCCAAGGGGATGGATGGATGGATGTTTAGTGAGTATTCATTCGCATGTTGTTGTTAACTACCTAGGTGAAGTACCTTACCTACATGTGTCCAGGAAGGCACTATTCCCCTCGCTGAACAGTCCCTAGATCCACACTCGTGTCTCGTTCATTTAGAAGGGATAAGCCCTGGGAGTGGAAAGATAAGAGATTGAATCTGGTACTGTATCTGCTCAGACGTTGCAGAAGCAAAGAGGTTGATAACACTGGTTCTACGTTTTGTTTTCCGGACAGCTCTTGACGTCTCGTCTACCGTGGAAAAATCAACATCACGCTCGAAAATGCCTCGCGGGATAAATGGCCATGGACATATTATATTATGCTACATCACTGATACCTCCGGTCCCTAAAGCCGGCAATGACCTCCACCGTCCCATCCCCCGACTCCGCATACTTCTTCGCCGAGATCTGCGGGTTCAGCTGCAGCGTCTGCTTCGCCTTCACCCAGTCGCCCATGCTCACCGGCTCCGTGAACCGCGACTTCACCCCCGCCGCCTTCAACACCGGGCTGTCCTCGATCGGGACCAGGATGGTATCGCTATGCGGGCGCGCGAAGTACAACAGGCCCGTCCGGTCGTAGGCCCACTGATCCTTGGGCGGCGCCACCACGCGATGCACCGAGCTCTTCAGGTACCCGCCCGTGATGTGCGAGATGGTGTCCGCGAGGTTGACCGTGATGGTGCCCGGCTGCGCCGACACCCACGTCCACTTGCCGTCCTCACCCAGGATCTGCAGCCCCGCGATCGGCTGCCGGAAGAGCAGCGTCAGCGTCCCCAGATCCGTGTGCCCGCCCGTCTGCCCGTACCCGCTGGCCTCGTGCTCTTCGGGCGTGCGCTTGTGGTAGAGCATGTAGCGGAAGTGGTCCTCGGACCGCTTCTCGTACGTGTGTTGCCGCACGAGGTAGTCCTCGTCGGGGAGCTGTAGAACGATGGCGAAGAGGCGGAGGAGTGGCAGCACGACGTTGGAGTGCAGCGCCTTGGAGAACTTCTCGATCTCGGGGAGGTGCGCCTTGATGAGATCGGGATGTTGGTATTTGCCCTCAAAGTCTTTGGTGAACTTGGCAAAGTTGTACATCTCGATGTTATCCTTTACGGGGCCGCTTGAGTGGAGCCCAGACCGGCGCCACCCATTGTAGTCTGCGTTGGCGTAGTCGACTTCGAACTTGGCCTTCTCGTCAACGGGGAGGGCGAAGAAGTTCTTGGCCAGCGTGAATTGGCGGTCGACCTCCTCTTGGGTGAGCCCATAGTTCTTCACGTAGAAGAAGCCGACATGGTGGACGGCGTGCTCCAGCTGCTTGGCCAGGCGCTCCTTTCCGCCAGGACGGTCAAAGTCGGACAGATCGAGAGTGACGAGTTCAGACCAGGGCAGATCCTCCTTGGTCTCGGGAGGATGAACGTAGGGCTCCAGCTGGGAGAAGTCGTAGGGGGAGACTTCGTGAGTCTGGGTCTGGGTCGCAGTCGTCGCCATATTGGTCGCTCTGTCGGATTGACTCTGGAGTCAACGTTGATCTTGAAATCGATATGGTCCTACTTGTCGTAGGAGAATGACAGAGTGAGAATAAGAGAATGAGAACTGGAGAAAAAAGGAGAGCAGAAAAGGGGAGCAGAGCTTCTTATATAAATTCTGAAAAGGCCGGATTCGGACGAACGTCTCCTCGCCATGTGCCTCGTATTGGCGCCATTCTTGGATCGATTATCAATCAGCAGCAGCTGCCTTATCGGGTCTGCCCGAAGGAATCCTCTGTTGCCCGTGTTATACATTATACGTGGGACGTCGCTCTCTCTTATCCCGTGTTATCGCCATCGTCATGTTTGCACTTCGGCCCCTGCAATTGCGCCATCAGGAAACGCGGGATACGTGATAGGGGAAGCGAGAGTGTGGGCCCCCGCACTTCGGATCTCGCGTCTCTTTGCTCCCCCCCTTTTTTCTTTCCCCCCCCTTTTCCTCTTTCTCCATGTGCATGACCGGCAGAAACACAGGAGGAACATCCCAAAATCAAATTCCTCTTACCCCGATAATAGTACACACCGTATGTTCCCAGACCCATCTCCGAACTCCTGAGATCCAATTGCCAATTGCTCGCGCCAAAAGTATCATCAATCAACCCGCCGAGTCCTTCCCCAAACCTCGTCCGGATCTTTTTTGCCCTTCGTCTCCGGGACCCTCCAACTCACAAATAGGAAGGATACCAACGCAAATCCCGCAAAGATGAAATAGGCCCATCCGGCTCCCCCAAATCTCTGGTTCAACCATGCATTGACAATCGGGAAGAACTGTGCCACGATATACGTAAAGACGTAGTTGGAAGCCAGACACCAAGACTGCGTGGCCCCAACGGCCTCCTGACCTACGAGTTCCGAAGCCATCATGAAGGGGACTGGGCCGAGGCCTGTGGCAAAGAAGGCGACGAAGAGAAGAACGGCAATGGCAGAGAGGATTTTGGTTTCCCAGCGAAGGGATAGAGCAAGACAGAAGGCCATCGACCCCATCCCGGAGATGGAGAGGAGAAGACATGCTTTCCGGCCAATCTTATCAGCAAGAGGCGCGCATGCAATTGTAGCGACAAGGTTCATGACGGAGACCAAAATGGTGAGTAGGGAGGAGGACATGGGAAGAACGCCGGACAGGAGAGAAACGGAGTACATCATAATGCTGTTTACGCCACAGAATTGTTGGGCGAACATTATCCCGATGACAGCAATGATGGCAGGTTGGTAGAGGGGGTCGCGGACTACACCGAAGAAGCCAACGTGCTGTATGGACTTCTGCGATGCTTTGCTTGTTGTCGATCCCCGACGCGAGACAGACTCGGGATCGCGCAACAAGGTCTGTTCCTCGGGGGTGGCCTGGCTCACATCCCAGTCTTCGATTTCTTCCGCGATGGAATGCCCTTGGCCGCGGATCCGTTGCAACGTTTTGACGGCACGTTGGGCATCTCGGTGGGCTGCCATCCAACTTGGGCTTTCCGGGACGAAGAACAACCCAATGCCCTGGAGAAGTCCTAAGCCCGTCCCAACACCGAGTATAATCCTCCACAGTGATCCCCTACTCAAGTAATACCCCAGTGTTTGCGTGAATAGAATCCCAGTATTGATCATAACCTGCGTCATGGTCCCAAATAAGCCCCTCTCCCTCGGCGGCGCCACCTCCGAGATGTATAATGGCACGACGACTGTAGATGCGCCAGCTCCAATCCCGGCCAGGAATCGCCCGATTGACATGATAGGGACTGTGGCCGCCATTGTCTCGAGCGCAGAACCCACGATAAAGAGGAGACTAGTAATCCGCATCGAAAGCAGCCTGCCATACGCCGTGGACACCGGGCCAGCAAACAGAGCTCCTGCCAGGCCCCCCACGACGAACATGGACGAAAGCGCGGCGAATTGGGCCTCGCTCATGGGGATGCATTGCGGGAGTTTGGCGTCGGGTTGTGAGGCAACATCTTCTGCGACGGATTGCTTCTTACAGGTGATGATGTCCTGAGGAGCGTTGAGTTCGGACTGGAGAGCGGTTAGAAAGGAGGCCCATAGCAGATAAGGGGGAAGCGCAGACCAAGTGGAAACCAAACTGTAGCGGCCCCAGAGTCGTGACGAAGATGAGGTAGACGAGATAGAGAGTGGCATCGCGAATACATTGCCTCACACCGGACGATGCCATCTTCACTCGAGCGAGGCTATGAGGTAGCCGTGGTGAAGGGAGATAGAGCTGGGAGAGCTGGGGGAGCTGGAGCAGGTCGAGCAAAGCCTCAGGTATCTACATAAATAGTGGATGACATAAGGTACCTTACTGGTTATACCATTGGTCGCAATGATGCATAAAACTATCTATGCAGATAAGGGATGAAGATGTTTATGCAGATAAGGAACCGCGACCAATCAATGCAACACCCTGGGCTTATATAAGACATCTCTGCCCGTGACCCTCGGCACGTGCCCTCCTGCCATCCATACCTAGGTATTGTCGTGCGAGAAGCATCTTTTAACAACATCAACGACATTAACAACACCATCTTGTTATACCCAGTGTCCTTGATATATCCCGTCACCTCGAACCGGTCGTGAACGAGTGGGGCGGTGAGCCACTGATCGCCCACGACGGCATCCTGGCCACATCTGTCATTGTATTAATCTGCCAGATCCAGATCCAGATCCAGGCCTCGGATCACTGCTGGAAGCTCGCCTGAACCCCCCACCATCTTGACTCGCCGAGTAGCAGACTACTTTGCTGGTCCTGTACGTTCAACCGGCGAGAGACAGGATAGACAAGTCGAGACTTCAGCCATCGACGCTACTCCTGTGCTCTGTCCCGTCGTTCTCCAGTGCGGAGTTGCGGAGTTGCAGTGCTCCCAGCGCGTTGGCCCAGTAGTCTCGAACCCGGCTTGACCCCGTCCTGGAACTCCTTGCTCCTTGTCAACTCTTCTATCACTTGCCAAGTTGCCAGCAAGAAAGACGAACTGAAACCCGCATTTCCCTTCCGCCCCCCACCGCAGACAAAGTGGACTGTGACCGCACATCTGCACTGTCCATCCCTTTTCGCACCGCATGTGCACGGCTGCGCGCACTGCTCCGCTCCACACGCCCACCTATAACGGCGATCAATCATCACTCAGATCCATAATCAACTCTTCACTCTCCAGTTAATGAGCCTGACCTCGAATCCGCCCTCCTCCGGCGGTGGTCCGCCCTCCGCCGCTGCCGCAAACAGGGTCCAGTCCTTAAAGAGGACTGTGCAGCAGGCTTTTGACGGTACTTCGACTGCCCCCCTCCCTGTCTTTACCCTCAATCTGTCGTCTTTGTCGTCCTTGTTTTGAGCCTCATCTCGGGCACGCTACTACACTGGCTTCCCGATTCTTGAGCTAGACTACGTACCTAATTCTTGTCGCATTCTTTTCGACATATTTTTTTCAGAATGTTTCCTCTGAGAAGGCCGCCTCCGTTCCGTGTGTTTTGTTCGTCTTGTGTCTCGTTGTCAACTCTCACTGACCCCTCATCCAGATCCAGCTGATAGGGGCATTAGCCACAATGTCGGGTATCAGAGCAAGGTGCGAGTCGTCGACCGATACAAGGTCATCGGCTTCATTAGCAGTGGTACCTATGGACGAGTCTACAAGGCCGTGGGCCGCTGTGGCCAAACGGGAGAGTTTGCCATTAAGAAATTCAAACCCGGTAAGGCCGTCTAACAGTTTATGTTCTTCAAACCATAATACTGATCCAAGCCAAAGATAAGGAAGGCGAGCAAGTTCAATATACAGGCATCTCTCAGTCGGCCGTCCGAGAGATGGCCCTCTGTTCTGAACTGAGCCATATGAATGTCATCCGGCTCGTAGAAATTATCCTGGAAGACAAATGCATCTTCATGGTCTTCGAATACGCCGAGCATGACCTCCTTCAAATCATCCATCACCACACGCAACCCACGCGTCACCCCATTCCTCCGGCAACTGTCAAAAGCATCATGTTCCAGCTGTTAAACGGCTGTCAGTACCTCCACTCCAACTGGGTCTTGCACCGAGATCTCAAACCAGCGAACATCATGGTAACGTCCAGTGGCGAGGTCAAAATCGGGGATCTCGGTCTTGCCCGCCTCTTTAATAAACCAATCCACTCACTCTTTAGCGGCGACAAAGTCGTCGTCACAATCTGGTACCGCGCGCCGGAACTCCTTCTCGGATCACGCCACTATACCCCGGCAATTGACATGTGGGCCGTGGGATGTATATTCGCCGAGCTTCTCTCCCTACGTCCGATCTTTAAAGGGGAGGAAGCAAAGATGGATTCCAAAAAGACCGTGCCCTTTCAGCGGAACCAGATGCAGAAGATTGTCGAGATCATGGGCTTGCCAACTAAGGAGAAATGGCCCCATCTGGTCAGCATGCCTGAATACCCGCAACTGTCGACTTTATCTGCAAGTCAGCATGCCAAGGCGGGGGGATCGAGCCTAGAGAAATGGTACTACAGTACCATCAACGCTCATTCTGCTACTTCAGCCCCGGCATCAAATGCCTCGCTTGGCGTTGAAGGCTACAAGTTACTCTCAGGCTTACTGGAATACGACCCGGAGAAGCGCTTGACGGCACAAGCGGCACTCCAGCACCCGTTCTTTAGCACCGGTGATAAAGTATCAGGGAATTGTTTTGAGGGCATGAAGACGGAGTATCCGCATCGGCGGGTCAGCCAGGATGATAATGATATCCGAACCTCAAGTCTACCGGGCACAAAGAGGAGTGGGTTGCCAGATGATTCACGGCCAATGAAGCGGCTCAAGGAATGAAGAAGTCGGCAGCAGAGCCATATGCAGTTCAGGACCAGGTTTGCGGAATATCGCAACAGGGCATGGGCGGGGAAAATTATCCGGGGAAGGTGAGGCGGAGAGGAGCGGTGTGACAGCCTCCCATGTGCGTTTTGGCTGCTGTATGAGAATCACGGCTTTTGCCGGAGAATAAGACTCCGAAACTGCACCGACATACCGTGTATATCCACGGTTGTCAACTTGCCACTGAGAACAGGATTTCCGCAACTTTGGGCATGACAGTCGAAAGCCCAATCCCGATGGAAGAAGTTCACCGAGTACATAACCTCGAAAAGTGCCACTCCCCAGGATTATGAGACTCCGGGTGCGAGCGTGGATATACCACCACGTGAAGCGATATCCATCTCCACATCATATATGTGTATATAGTATATATACATTCAAATCTACAGGCTCTCACCTTCCTATGTTCACCCCGTCGAAACGAATACTTAAGTCTCCGCTAGAATTCCAACTGTTGTCGGCGATCGCTTACTGCGCCTCCTGCTGCGCCTAGAGGATCAGAGGAACAATTTTTGAACGTCTGACATCCATCACCCATCGTGAGCATGCAACCTTGATGCAGTTCATATACAACTCGCTTGATGAGTTCAAGGCAGTTCTACAGTCCGGCCTCCAATTGAAAGCACACTCGAAGACTCCCGTCTATAAAGACATTGATGGCTCGACCGTGATTGCTCCTCATGCAAGGCAAGAGCCAGAACGCAGAGTCTGGACCTCGAACAATCCGTGCTTTCATATACCCCATTTACGAAGTTGTAGATGAAAGATGGAGAGTCGTCAGACCGGGAGAAGGATTCTATTCCATCAGCGTTTTCGAACTCTCCCCTTTGTGCGGGAGAGTGGGATGGGAATGCACAGATCACCGTGGTTGATTGTTATTTTTTTTTGGTTCAAGAATGCAAAACTGGCTCTGTCACAGGCATTTCATCATGTAAGGCTCGAGGCGCAGCAGTGACAGGGTCATCGGTTTTAACATGCAATCTATAGAGACATGAGGTCTTGGAGTAGGCGCTTGATAGAAACTTTGGTGCCGTATATCTCCTCCGACTTTGCTTTTGAAGATAGAGACAACATATCTAGGCATTCATCATTAGTGGCCAAGGTTGTGACATAGTAAACGTTCTGGTCTACACCGTCGTGATTTTATTTGTTGACCCTGTTTCCAATCAGTAAGTAATCTTACAGGAATCGGTGGCAGCAGACTCGTTATCTATCTAGATGCTTGCTTCTTCGCAAATTGGCTATTGGAGTCTGGAGTGAAATAAACAAACCGTGGTCTCTCGAGACACCTGTGGCCTCTAGGAATGACCAACGAACTGAAGGTAGATAGAGAGGTCAAAGGAACCAGAACCCATTCTTTATTCGCGCTCTAGCTATCTGACGAGGATAATAGATAGATAGATAGATAGATAGCATAGATAGCATAGAGTAGTAGCAAGTATTTCCCGATCCGAAGAAATCGATAAAAGCAAACCAGACTTGGAATTTGAAGATAGCACAGACAGATAGACCCTCCTCGTAACGAGCTGTTCTTTCTACGGCAAGGGGTTCGGAGGGTGGAGAGCAGGCGGCTACGGTGATTGATGATGGCCAATCAATATGATGGTGTTCATATCCATATCTAGACATCTTCTTCCGCTTGAGAATGTGTGTGTTGTTTTTCGCTGAGCATGTGAGTGAGCAATCGCGCTGGATAGATAGATAGATAGGTGCTCTCTCTTGCTTGCTCTGTGGTAGGTGGGCATGAGAGGGGCTGATTTCGTAGGGTTGGTGATTGAAAATGTTGGAACGATAGTGAGGAGTTGGAAAGGAGTATGGTATGGGTATGTGGGGAAGATGTTAGGTGGGTAAGATATGCTTTGGTACATAGAGGGAGGGAGGAAGGGAGTTGAGAGAATAAGGGATATTCAATTCTATCAATGCAAACGAAACAAGACTGTTATCAAGGCAAAAGTACAAAGAGGACAAATCAAAAAAAATCATGAATCATTCATACGGCGGCTACCTCCTCAGATTACAACATCTTTACAATTACAAAACCATTTCCTAACCTGGTATTTCGTACTCTCAGGCCCGCCAAGCCCGCCCAGGAAAAGGGGAATATGAAAAGGAAAAAAAAGGAAAAAGGAAAAAATTATATTGTGCACCGAGCCACAGGGTATCCCGAGAACAACTTGCTCGCCATTTTCGCCAATCCTTCTATCTCGATACGGTACGGTACGGTACGACACGACACGATACGATAGAAAGACCCGCTAGCTCGCAAAAGAAAGAAAAGGAAGAAAGTTTGGTATCGCCGCCTTGCGTAAGTATAAAGAGAAAGGACTCGCTGCATCAAGGATTACAAGGGCGCAAAAAAACACAAGGAAATGCCCTCGTCTGCGCCGATTTTCGTGTTGCTTTTCCATTCCCGCCTGCTCCGATGTGGTGGGGCCGTTGCTCGATTTCGCTCTAGGAGTAGAGAGTGAAGGCGTGGGAATCTATTTTTTGACTGGTGCGTTTGGGGGGGATTTGACGTTGTTTGATAGCCATGCCTGTCTCGATTGTCAGGGTTTGGATGGGGAACGGGAAAAGGGGGTAGGACGAACCAAGCCTTCCAATAGTCCTTCACCTGTGGTAGCACAACTTGGTACGACGAACCAAATTTTGTCTTTCAGTTGCGTGAGCTTGAGGGCGTCTGTTACTTCCTGGGGTTTCATTGCTGTGTTCATAATTCATCAGCTCCTGTCCTCTCTTCAGAGTTCCGGGAAAGGGGATTGTGGAGCGTACCTCCTGGAATATCCTGCTTGTTGGCAAAGACAAGCAGTAAAGACTCCTTCATTTCCCGATCGTTGATGATCCGGTGTAACTCCTGTCTCGCCTCGTCTATGCGCACCTTATCGGAGGAGTCGATCACGAAGATGAGGCCTTGTGTACCTGCATTCTGTCAGTACTGTCTCCAGTCCCGTCTGATCTTTCCCGCCCGTTTCCGCCTCGATCACTTCCCAAGGCCACCTCCCTTCCAATTTTCTGCGAGACATGGAAACTACATACCGCTAAAGTAATGTCTCCAAAGAGGCCGAATCTTATCCTGTCCCCCGACATCCCAAACATTGAACTTGACATTCTTATAGGTGACGGTCTCGACGTTGAATCCCACTGTAGGGATAGTTGTCACATCCTGGTTCAGCTTCAACTTGTACAGTATCGTCGTCTTTCCGGCTGCGTCCAGGCCAAGCATCAACAGTCGCATTTCTTTGGATCCGAAGATCTTGCCCATCATCTTGCTGATTTGTCCACCCATTGTGGCTGATTAGGGATGCGACTGGTGGAAGATGGGTCGGAGAGAGGTATGAAGGAGGGTTGGTGAGGAAGAGAGTATCTGTTCGCTCGCCCAAGAGTCTGTTGTTCTTGACCGAGACCCCAGATTGTCGGACTGATAGACGTCCTTTGCCTGTTCTCGTCCCTCGGGAGGTTATTCGGGACTCGGAGAGAGTCGCTGCTGGTGCCCGCAGAGGAATTGGAAGAATTGGCAAGGCTGAGGGCTTGGCAGATGTCTATTCAGTTCTGCTTCTTGTCGCAAGGTTGGGGGGGATATCGTCGACCTGATCGCTGCAAGGACGGCTTTCGAGAGGAACGGAGGAGAGGGTAAAGCGAGGTGGAATTGAGCAGTGCAAACAGGATTCTCACTCGCGGTTCAGGAGGAGGCGGATCTGGATGCGCGAGAGAGGAGGTGAACTGGAGATTGAGTTCTGTGTCTCGCGGCAAAAGCGTCCTCTACGGGAATTAATTAATACGGAGGAAATGAAGCGACGCGCTTGTTTCAGGGGTTCGCGCGTTTGCGGAGTCCGGTTTCTGCCTTGCTGCCTTGCGAGGCTCAGATCACTTGGTGCATAGTTGGGGTCATGCTCATGTTGATATTGACTACTTTTTGCCTTTTCTAAGTAACAGTAAAATATTCTGAATTGTGAGGGTATACCGTATTCCTGCACCTTGCCTGGAACGCCAATTATATATATATATACTTTACCTATCCATCCTGTGCCTGCAACTCCAATGCTCTACCCCTTGTGATCCAAGACGAACCTCCGATCAACAATCTTGAGAGCCCCGGCAGCCTCATCCTCAAATAGAAGCTGAACCTTGGATCCGCCATCTAACATTGCCTTGACATCTGCTCGATAGAAAGTAGTCGTTTCAGGATAAAGCGCGAGGACCCGTTTGCCAACCTCATAATCTGCCAGCGGGGTCCCTACAGGCGGGATCTTGACCATGGATGAGGCAGATGATCGATACGTCTCGCCTTGTCGAGTAGCATCATCTGGAAACGGATCTTGAACATCGTACCGACGACTCTTCCCTTCGCCGATGACCTTCACCACGATACCCTGAATCCAGTCATGCTCCTCGGTCTGACCTGGAATCTTTGGCTTGAAGGCAACCTCAGCTCCGAGGGCGAAGGTAACCTTTGTTCTGCCTGTACTGCTGCTTTCTTTCTCTTCCGGCTCATCCTTTGTTGCCTCCTTCTCTCGCGGTGGCTGGCTGCTCATTCTGCCAGTGCCAACCTTCCGGACATGCTTGTTCTCTGCTGGCGAAGGAACAGGAGAGTCGGATGGCCCATCAAAGTCCATGTTGGATCTGGAATCACGCGAAGCGGAGAGACGCGTCGTAGATGCTTCAAGGTTCTCTTCCGTATGAGAGACCATCGCCTGGAGAAGCGACACCTTCGTCAGAGTGTCTTCCGCTTCGAGGAGCGACTTGGAGTTCTCGGCGATTCGGACGTTCTCTCGATATAAGGCACTCAGAGCATCCAAGTCTTCAATGGAAGGTTCTATCACACGTTAGCGGAGTTTATAGGGAGAAGGTAGTTCTGCTCACTCGTCCCAGCGATTTCCTTCGCCTTTATGCTCGCTTCCATCTCTTGAATTTCCTTCCCAAGCTCCTTCGCCCTGATTTCATTTTTCCCTAATTTGACAAGCTTCTCCTGCATATCGTTCCATAACTGTGCCTCCTCCCCCGTCTCATGGGCGCCGGCGCGCGCGCCTCCACGGGGCGCGCGGCTTCGTTGAGAAGACATGCTGCTACTGCGAGTGACCCGTTTATCAGCGGTCTGGGTGTCGACGGTCTCGGCGGGGGATATAGGAGCGACGTCAGGTATCCCTTGTTGGGACTGGCCCTGGGCAGGCAGACCTCTCTTGCCTCGAGAAGACGCCATGTTAGCAGCTTGACCGCCTCTCGATGGTAAATGGGGATGATGGAGGATGCGCAGATGTCGTGAAGAACATCTCCAATGGTGAACTTACTTTGGTTTGGAATCTGAAGGCGCTCCAATGCTCTATCCAAAGTTAACGAGTGACGTTTGTGCGAAAGGAGAGAGGCGGGGAAGGCGGAAGTTTAGCCTTGTCTATGACCGCAGTGCCGCCGCTCCTGATTGGCTGGCCCGTTATCACCCCAAAGGTAGCGTAGCGCGGGGTCGGAATGCCTTCAATCTCAACCATTTCTTCTGCACACGAAGCCAATCCCCCACCTTTTCGTTGGAGGAAAAGACAATCTTCTAAACGCAGCTCAATCTGAAGAAACTGCTCTCTCGTTATATTACACACCAACCATGCAGATCCCGTTGATCAGACTCCAGTGCGGGGTCAACAGCTATGATTGGGGGAAGATTGGCAAGGAATCTGCTGCTGCTAAGTTCGCTGCGGCCACCCCCGCCGACAACTTCTCAATTCAGGAAGACAAACCATATGCAGAGGTATAGACCACGATATATTCACATGTTTACCTTTCAATTACATGCTGACAATCACTAGCTGTGGATGGGCACCCATCCATCAAACCCCTCCAGAGATCTTACCACCAAACGCACGCTGCTCGACCTCGTCCAGGACAACCAGGCTCTTCTCTCCCAGGACATCACCTCAAGATTTGGACAGAAGCTTCCCTTCCTCTTCAAGGTTCTCTCAATCGGCAAGGCGCTGAGTATTCAAGCACATCCAAACAAGAAATTGGCAGAGCAATTACATGCACGGGACTCCAAGAATTATCCCGATGACAACCACAAGCCCGAGATGACCATTGCCATTACACCATTTGATGGTCTTTGTGGATTCAGACCCCTTGCAGAAATATCACACTTCTTTGAGACAGTACCGTCATTGAGAAAGCTCGTCGGAGAGAAGGAGGCGGAGGAATATCAAGCGGCAGTCAAAGGGCAAGACACATCGGATAGGAAAGAAGATGAAGAGAAGAACAAGAAGGCGTTGCAAAAGGCATTTGGGTCTCTGATGAATGCAAAGAAGGAGGATATTGAGGCTGCAAGCAAGGCGCTTGTTGAATCTGCTAAGAAGGAAGGGGCAGATTTCGCTGGCGGTGGATTACCATCGACGTCTGGCAAAGAACTTGCAGATCTCGTTTTGAGGCTGGACAGCCAGTTCCCTGCCGACATTGGACTCTTCGTTCTCTTCTTTCTGAATTATGTCAAGTTGGAGGTTGGTGAAGCTATGTTCCTCAAGGCAGACGATATCCACGCGTATTTGAGCGGTGATATCATTGAATGCATGGCTGCATCAGACAATGTTGTGCGTGCTGGGTTCACACCCAAATTCAAGGACGTTGATACCCTCATTTCAATGTTGACCTACTCTTACGCTCCTATCTCCGAACAGAAGATGGTGCCCGTGGATTATCCCTATGTTACACTCAACGCTTCGGCATACTCGTCAGGTTCGGGAGCAATACTCTACGATCCTCCAATCGATGAGTTCAGCGTTGTGAAGACGGATCTGAAGAAGAAGGGGGCAAAGGCTACATTCGAACGGATTGCAGGACCTAGTATATTCATATGTACTTCCGGGGAGGGCACGATTGCTGTCGGCCCCAAGGTAGAGGAGGTGAAGCCTGGCTACGTGTATTTCGTGGGAGCCACTGCTGAAGTGGTTCTGGAGAGCGAGACAGAGGATTTCACGACATTCAAGGCGTTTTGCGAATTGCGCGGAAAAGAAGAGGGGGAGAAAGAGAAGCTCTGAGGAGACCAAAATCAAAAGTATTAATGAATGATAGATGAAAGAAAGAGTAGTATCTCGATGTTTCAGACCCCTGTTCCCCCTCCGCTGCCGTCGCGAGTCGCCGCATCGGCTTCTGATTGAGACTCAGATGAGAAACATGGGGTTGTCGTCTCGAAAAGGGAATTCTAACCCGTAGTCTCCCGCGGCTATCGAATCAAAGCTTCTGGTCTCTTGAAGCCCGCGATTCGAAGTCTCCCCAAGCTTTAGTCACATATTTTCGAGATCCCGACTTCGTTGGCGGATATCTTGACAAGTTGACAGGGTTGATCTTCTATCAATGCATCTAGTACCTTTACTGTCCAATCAGAGAGCCTGTGCCCGACGAGATACAGGATGACAGGCCTAGCTCGGTAGGTGGTGAGAGTTCCTTATCGCGAGGCGCATGCGCCTTTGGGAGAGCTGCTTGGAAGTCGGGGCAAAAGGCAAACCTTATAAGTTCTCCGCCTCCCCTGCGCTGGGCAATCATGCCTCCGACTCTGATCTCCTCGCTGATCTTTTCAATCGCAATAGCGGGCGCTGGGATCCATAAGACGTGCCGACACGATGGCGGAAGCCAAAGAGATCGCCGCGGCGGCGATCGCTGAACCGGGCCACCTGATTGAGAAGAGAGCTTCGAGGGTGAGCAGAGGCTCTGGTACTGTTGAGGAGGCAGATGCGGGCGTCCTGGCCGAGTTTGGGTATAAGCAGGAACTCAGACGTGATTGGGGATTGATGCATAATTTTGGCATTTCTTTCTCTATCATCGTAAGCCTCTCCTCCTTCCCCGCTTCTTCCCAAGTAATGATAAAGTGATTGATATTAAGTGATTTCAGTCAGTAATCACCGGCATCACAACCCTCTTCCAATATGGACTTGTTACAGGCGGTCCCGGAGTGATGTCCGTCGGCTGGATCGTGGTCTCGTTCTTCACAATGACCATCGCGCTCAGCATGGCAGAAATCGTCTCCGCGATCCCAACAGCAGGAGGGCCGTATTACTGGGCAGCTCTCTTGGCTCCTGCGAAGCACTCCGCTTTTGCCTCTTGGATAACTGGTTGGTATGTCTCACCTGGCTCCATATCCTACTTATGTACGAGGACTGATGAGAGATGGTAATAGGTTCAACCTCCTCGGCCAAGTAGCTGTCACCACTGGCATCAGCTATGGTTGCGCCGGCTTGATATCCACCACCGCAACGGTGAAATCATCCTATGTTCCCACGGCCGGCAGGACCATCGGGATCTATGCTGCTGTCCTAGTCTCCCATGGCATGATCAATACCTTTGGTATCCACATATTGCGGTATCTCAACAACAGCTCCATCGTCTTGCACTCCCTGGGCATAACGTCTATAGCCATTGCGGTCTTGGCGAAAGCCCCGACGCACCAGAGCGCCAAGTTCGTCTTTGCCTCCTTCAACGACGGAACAGGAGCGACGGGGTACGAGGGATGGAGTGTGCGCGCAAGCCCCGCGTACGTCGCCTGCTGCGGCGCCCTCATGTCACAATACACACTCACGGGCTTCGATGCGTCGGCGCACCTCTCCGAGGAGACGCGGAAGGCTTCCTGGAGCGCGCCCATCGGCGTGGTCAGCTCGGTCGGTTTCAGCGCGCTGTTCGGCTTCTTCGTGCTCCTCAGCTTCCTCTTCAGCATCCAGGACTTCGACCGGACCATCTCCAGCTCCTACGGGCAGCCCGTGCTGCAGATCTTCGTCGACATCTTTGGCGACGACGGCGCCGTGGTGCTGATGTGCCTGGTCATCATCTGCGTGTGGCATTGTGGCTTGTTCTCCATGACCAGTAATTCCAGGATGATGTTTGCCTTTGCCCGAGATGGCGGGATCGTACGTAGTACCCCTCTTCACTTCACACCCGATCCCCCCCTCCTCTCTCTCCCCCTCTCATATATATATAACTGACGAGAAACCCTTCCCCCTAAACAGCCACACTTCTTCCACAGCGTTGACGCGCGCTTCCGCGCCCCCGTCCGCACCATCTGGCTCGCCGCCTTCTGCGCCTTCTGTCTCGGCCTCCCCTCCCTCGGCTCCTCCGTCGCCTTCGCCGCCGCGACCTCCATCGCCACCATCGGTCTGTACATCTCGTACGGGATCCCGATCCTCATCGGACTCATCTACTTCCGGTCCTTCAACGCGCGCAAGGGGCCCTTCAATCTAGGTCTCGCCTCGCGCCCCGTCGCTCTCGCAGCCGTGTCCTGGATCGCTTTCATCTCCATCATCTTCTGTCTGCCCACGGCGAATCCCGTCACGAGCCAGACTCTGAATTATACGGTTGTCGCGGTGGGCATTATCGCTGTTTTTGCACTGGCTTCTTGGGTTCTGTGGGCGCATCGCTGGTTTGTTGGACCTGTGAAGGATAGTAATGTCTTGGATGGCGCGCTGGGAGTTGATTCGTTGGAGGCGGCGGTGCTGGAACAGCGGCAGGTTGATGTGGAGAAGGATAGTAGTGGTGGGGAGGTGAAATGATGCATCCCGTCCCGTCACTACTACTCGCGGTTTATTTGTTTGGCATCTACCAGGTAGCGTTGACGCATCACAACGAATTTAGGGGACTTGGCGAGGTTTGTAGAGTGAAGTTTTAGACAAGACACAAGAGATACCACAGGACCGAGTTAAAACGCCGTAGAACGTTTTGATTGTCAGGCTTGCACCCCTATCTATATTGGCTTAATAGTGGAGACTAGTTTTTCCCGTATAATGCGTAATATAATTCGAACATGATCATCAAATTTGTCTTTTGGTCGTCGTCCCTGGGGGAAATACGTAAATGCGTTAAAATGTCCAAAACCCAGAAACACCCGCCCATAAATACTTGGTTCGCGAAACTGATATCTAGGATATCGTGACACCGTAAGTGAGTATATATACTTTTTTTTTGTCCCGTCCATAGCTTCCTCGACCCGGGGGTAGGCTGGACCTTTGCTTCCCCGGTCCGGACGTAGATTCGATAGGTCGGGACTGTTTTCAACCCGCCTCATTCATCTGCAACATATGCCCCATCTTCTCGATCTGTCCAATCGTGAGCATAATTTCTCCCATGACTCAAAGATACAGGGAGCTTACCTTGGTTTTCAAATAGCCCCCTACCTCCGCACTTCGAATCCCCCCTACACTCCCTTTCCTCCAGGCCAAGGGGATCATCGCGACTCTCTCTTTGACTACCACCTCTCTGTTAGGCCCCTCAACTGCCCTGACCTTGTCCGGGTTGTTAGTCAACAGTCGGATCTCCTTCACTCCCAAATCAACCAGCATCGCAGTAGCTAACCCATAACTCCTCGCATCCGCCGGATGGCGCAATAACAGATTAGCTTCTACGGTATCGGATCCTAGGTCCTGGAGGTTGTACGCCTTGAGTTTCTCGGAGAGCCCGATCCCGCGGCCCTCTTGTCGGAGGTAGATTATTACTCCGCCGTTTGACGGGTTGCTGGGGGAGGGGGGAAGAGACATGAGCCGCGCAGCCTCGTCGAGTTGCTCACCGCAGTCGCAGCGTGCTGACCAGACTGTTTCACCAGTATAGCACTCAGAGTGTATTCTCACGAGCGGCGCTTGGTCCTTGACGACTTGCTCCTCCTTACTGCGCTGTCCACTCTTGTCGGCCAGTTCGGAGGTGGTCCGACCAGGATACAACCGGCCTGTATACGCCCCTCTGATCAAGCGATCCATCTCCGTCTCCCCGGGCCTCACCGCATCCAAGCTCCGACTGCGTATCTTGTCTCCAAAGACAATCGCCAAGTGCTCCTTATTATCCTCGCTGTTATGGTAAAGGTGCAGGAACATCTCTGTTCCGGTGGTGGTTGGAATTCGTGCTCGCACTATGCAATTCACTTCGGGGAGCTTCTTGAGGAGCTTTGGTTTCTTGGAGCCGCAGCCGCCATCCGCGGTGGTGCTGTCTACGGGGACAGACTTCGCAGGGCGGGTGGCCGGGTCGCGTGACGAGGGGGTGGAGATGCCCGGGGTGGAGGGAGGAGTGAAGGCGGGCGACACCAGACCCGGAAGTTCGGAGTCAGTGTCATTTCCAGCGCGGGAGGACTGGCCTGGGGAGGCAATGCGCGAGCGGCTCTGATGGCTATCCAGGCTGTTCAGATCCAACTCGGATATGGCTCTCGAGACAGGAATGGGGCGGGGCGAGTAGAAGGGAGGCAGCTTGTGGACCTCATCGTCGTGCTCGGCGGGTTGAACGGCGGAGGGGTGTGGGAGAGGAGGAGTCGTGGGAGAGGCTTTGGAGGATCTGGCGGGTATGGCATCGGAATGCGAGGCGGGAGGGGAGGAGGGGGAAGAGGAGGGCTGAGGTGAGGGGGGGCGCAGAGACCATTGAGGGGAATTCAGGTCAGGCATGATGCATGCGGCTCGGCGGGAGGAGAGAGAAGGAGAGACAGAGTGCGCGGGCGAGGGCGAGGGCGAGGGGGCGAAAGAGGGAGAAAGTGAGGGTGAAGATGTTGATGTTGGAGGAGAGAAGACATGAGAAGGTGGAGGTTTTGATATTGACCCGACGCAGAGGGCGAACGTCGGGTCGGCCGCGGTTCGGTTGACTCTTTCACTAAGGGGGGTTCGGGTCCTCCGTAATCATTTGCTAACGTGGGCGGGGGGGATGACTAAGCGGAGCTCATCATTGCACGGGACTGGCGGGGGAGGGGTCACGGGAGGGTCACGGGGTACATAGAGTGACATGGGGGGAATACTCTGTAAGGGACAACAGAGAGAAGTAAGATATAAGACCTAAGTAATAATCATCCTTCTCTCCCTCTTCAAATCTCTCTCTACCTAGGTACCTACTCTCACCCAGAACTCACGTGACAGCATGTTTATTAATCAGCCGCCATTAATCAGCACCGCCGCCAGTGGATCTCCCGAGTTCCCATCCACCAAAACGGAGCGCTGATACACCAGAAACGGATTCGGATTCTTCAGTCTTCTCTAGATCCCCTCGCCCTTTTACCAACCAGCGAATCAGTGGCGCCGCCTTCAACACACCATGACGTCCCTTCTTCGCCGTCAATGAAGTGAAATGGTTGGCTCCATGCGGCTTCACCGTCTTCTGCTACCAAGCTGCGAAGCGTCTGCAGAACCATCGTCCAGGAGAGCTTATGCCCAACCAATTACCAATAGCCAATGTGTATAATTGCCGCTGATGTGAGGGTCAAATTGGTCAATCTTACCCCCCGTGGCCCCTGGACCTGAGATGGCCGGCTTAGAAATACAAGACAAAGGTGCCACTGTATCTGCTGCGTACCCCACTGACGTTACAGGCCAAAAAAGTATAGCTTTTCCTTTTGTGAACTCCCCTCCTCCCCTCCTCTTCTCCAAGACAACGAGGTATAAAGTGAGAAATCCTCTCCCGTTTCAACCCATTATTTCAACCTCTTCTACTTCTACCTCTACTTCTATCTCTACTTCTCCTTCCACCCACCACCCTCCACAATGGCTCCAGAACGTTACCCCTCCGAAAGCTCTGATGCTACCCCCTTGGGCAAGCCCCTCACCTTCGAATTCTCCGGAAGGACGGCTCCCAACCGCTTCCTCAAGGCTGCCATGACCGAGCGTCTCTCATCGTGGGACCCCAAGGACCTCAAGGCTCGAGGTATCCCCTCCAAGAACCTCGTCAACCTCTACAAGCGATGGGGCGAGGGCGGCTGGGGCCAGATCCTGTCCGGCAACATCATGATTGACTACGACCAGTTGGAAGGTCCAGGTAACCCAATCGTGCCCCGCGAGGCTGGCTTCGAGGGCCCACGATTCGAGGCCTTCAAGGCGATGGCCACCGCTGCCAAGGCCCATGGTAGTCTGTTTGTTGGCCAGGTCAGCCACCCCGGTCGCCAGGTTGAGGACAGGATCCAGAAGAACCCCGTGTCTGCTTCAGATGTGCAGCTTGCAGGTTTGGTCCCCCGTCCCTTACAGCTTGGGGCATTCTGTTAACCAGCCCCAAGGCAACGTCATGGGCATGACATTCGCCAAACCCCACGCTGCGACCCAGGAGGAGATCAACGGCATTATCGACGGGTTCGCCCACGCTGCCGAATACCTTGAGAAGGCTGGCTTCGACGGCATTGAGTTGCACGGTGCTCACGGATACCTGCTCGCGCAATTCCTCTCCCTGACAACCAACAAGCGAACCGACAAGTACGGTGGCTCCCTCGAGAACCGTCTCCGCATCATCGTCGAGATCGCAGAGGAGTGCCGAAAGCGGGTCAAGAAGGACTTCATAATTGGTATCAAGGTCAACTCGGTGGAATTCCAAGAGAAGGGTTTCACTCCCGAAGAAGCGAAGAGCCTCTGCTCCGCGTTAGAAGCTGCCAAGTTTGACTACGTTGAACTGTCAGGAGGAACCTACGAATCTCTGGCATTCAAGCACAAGCGCGAGTCCACCAAGAAGCGCGAAGCCTTCTTCCTCGATTTCGCAGAGGAGATTGTCAAGCCTCTTACCAAGACAAAGGCCTACATCACCGGCGGTTTCAAGACCGTGGGCGCCATGGTCAAGGCCCTCGACACTGTCGATGGCTGTGGTCTCGGTCGCCCTGCCGCTCAAGAACCCCACCTCCCCAGAGATATGCTTGAGGGCAAGGTGACTGGCGCTATCCACATCAAGCTCGACGAGAATGATTTCGGCTTGGTGAACGTGGCAGCCGGCACACAGATGAGACAGGTGGGCAAGGACCACGAGCCCATCGATCTCAGCGACGAGAAGAACGTGGAAGTCTTCCTGAAGGATATGCAAGCTTGGGGAGCGAAGCTGGCCGCCGACAAGGAGATGAAGGAGTACGGATACATAGATTTGACTGCTGCTAGCCGGCCTTACGTGCAATGATGTGCTCGATCGTACTTTAGGGAGTTGGAGGATGGACAGTAATAGATAGGTTTACCCTGGGAATTTAAGTATCATGACCATATCCCACTTCTAGGGCATCGATCGTCCCGTTTCGCCTGGCACACTATCGCTCTAAGGTCAAGCAGACCCGCATAGGAATTGCCGGTTAAGTGATAGAAAAGTCGAGGCATGAGAACCGAGGAGGCTCTTTCAACGGTCGACGCCGACATCAACATAACTCATGCTAGTTCTAGTTCTAGTTCTAGTATCAGTATCTAACATTAAAAGTCCTCCAAGGTACCTGTTTCCTGTAAAACAAATAAAATCCTCTATTCGCTATGAAAAGATCCCTAGATAAACCGAGTTTCATTCTTTACATCGTCGTCTAAATAAGAATCTCACCTACGTGAACACAACATGCATGCGATATGAAGATCCTAATTAGGTACCATAAGCTTCTTCTTCTTCTTATTAGTCCCTCTATTTATTTATTTATCTGTTTATTTATCTTACCTTGGGTAGGTAGGTCAGGGAATAGGATCTCCTGCGCATAGATAGGTACCTTACCTACTATATCTTCCTCTCGAACCCTGAGAAGAAGGAAAAAGCGGGATGGAAAGAAACATAGGTAACTACCTACACAAACCAAATCCAAAACCAAAAGAATGAAATGAAATGAAACAGAAGATATTTATCTGCTTTACTTCTCACCAGATCAGAATATCATCGAGGCAGGCAAGAGCCAAAAGAGGACAAAAAAGGAAAAAAAGACAAAATAACATACAACAGCGGGTATTCGCTGGTGGTCACCCACCCAACTACTAATCCGCCGATCTGAAGCTTGAGTATGGCAGAGCGGACGGGATGCCCTATTTTCTTCAGTCTGTGGTCGTATGTGTTAGGTATTTCGCTATCTGGTTAGATACCTAAGACAGGAGTTGTAACAGATACCTTACCTGAGGTAATGGAAGGGCAAAACAGGAACTCCAAAATATCTCTTGATCTAAAGAACAGAGCACCTCGATAAAAATAAAATAAAATAAAATAAAATAAAATAAACAAAAAGACCACATCCCCCCCGTTGAACCTCCATCTTCCAACCTCTAACCTATCCATCCATCCATCTATCCACACTCTTCCCCCTTTCCTATTCCTATTCCCATCCCCTTCTCATTTCTCACCCCTTTCTAGAAAAGGTCCTCTTCGGCTAGACCACGTGATTTTCATACTTGAATGCTACCTAGGTAGGTAATACCTAAGGTTTCCTAATCCTAGGTAATACAAGGCATCTATCTCTGTTCATATCCCGTCCAAAGGTAGCTCGATAGCTCGGTAGTGATGAGGTAGTTATTGTTGGATTCTTTTTGTATGTTAAGAATCTCTTTGGTTTTTCTTTTCTTTTTTGGGGGGGGGGGGGGGTATAATGTGGAAAGTACGTGATAGAATACTGCGGAAATGGGCAGGATTTATTTAAGATTTTCAATGCTCAATTCTAGAGCCCTCGCTGTTCTCTGGTCTGCCCCTCCCTGCCTTTTGTCTTATTCGTTTGGCATCACACTACACACGAACAGAAAGATGCTACGGAAAGGAGGTCAGGTATGAGCGAACCATGCTTTTGGGCTCCGTTGCTATGTAATTGTTTTTGGAGGCACAACATCCCTTTATCTTGGACCCAGTTTCTCCAACGCCCGAGCCGGACCCAGCTCCTCCCACTCGCTTTTCGTAATCCACATGTTCTCTTTGTCTGCCATGATATTTGCCAACACCGCTCCGCCGAGGAAGACCATATGCCTCCTCCGCGGTGGATCCTCGATCCGCACCTTGAACTTGTTCAATCGCTCCGGGTTTCCTCCGAGGACCTTCGTGAGCCATAACTGCTTCAGTTCCTTCTCCAACCGTGAGGGAAGACCGGGATACATTGAGCTTCCACCCGACAGAACGATGGCCTTGAAGAGAGAAGCACGCACATCGACATCGGCGGCTTGGATGGTGTTGAAGAGGAACTCGGCGATTCCGGGTTGTTCAACGTCCACAAGATGAGGTTGGAACAAACATTCAGGGGCTTCAAAACGCTCGCTGCCGACTCGGATGACTCGTCCATCAGGCAGGGTGTAGCTTTCCACGAGCACGGTTGTATCTTCGCTCAGTTTCTGGTCCAGTTCCAAGTCGTAGGAGACGTAGCACAGCTTCTCCTTGATTTGTCGCACAGTCTCGAAGTCTGCTGTTCGGTTCAAAGCGTATCCGCGACGAAGGAGCAGCGCAATTAGGTTGCGTGTTACATCTCGGCCCGCGACATCAAGCCGGCGGGTGAGGTGATTGAGAACAACTGATTCGTACACGGGGACGATGTGCGTTACTCCATCACCCGAATCGACGACCACACCTGAGCTGAGACCTATTCTCATTAGCAACCCTCCCACTAATCTCGAGTCAGACATACCTTGTGCATAAAGAGCCAGCACGGCCTGGATAGCCACGTACACGCCCCCAAACTGATACCGCTCAAACATAACCTCGCACATCTGCTCCCTATTCTTGAGGGGGTTCATCGGCGGCTCTGTCAAGAGGATTTTCCTCCCCGTTGTATCAATCTTCATCTTCTCGTAGAACGTATAGTCCCACAAATGCTGCATGTCGTCCCATTTCTTTACAATCCCATTCTCCATGGGGTACGAGACTTGTAGCATGGTTCGTGCGGCGGCAGCTTCGTCTCCGCACATGATGTCTTTGATAACCATGCCATCGTTGCCCTTTTCTTCGGATCGGAGGATGGGTCGTCCGACGATGGAGGGATATTGAAACTCGGGGAAGTTCTGGAGATGTCAGCCTCGCCATTCTTCTTGGGGAGGCCCGGGAATCAAGAGCGCATACCTGTGCCGCGTATCCAACCTTGAGGAATCCGGTCCCGCCGTCCAGGACTGTGCGATTAATTGCAGTCAGTAGGAAAATCCGACAGTTTGGAGCAGCTAGACAATACCTATTGGAGGTTCAGCCATGGTCGCAGACTGTCGAGGGCTTGCGATGTCGTTCAGTGGGTGACTGGGCCAGGTGCGACAGACAGCGAGATGATGTCGGTGGGGTCGCCGACGAGTTGTGGTAGAGGCGCAGTTGATGGCTTCCGTAGCTCTGCTATTCTCAGAATAGGTACGGCGGGTCGGTAGACCAAGTAGGTAGTGAGGCGGCACGTGCGTGGACGTACGGACAGGTCACGAGATGCGAAACCCGCTTCCAACGTCGTCTCTCTTTCTCCAGAAGCCAACATGATGGATAATCTCTGTCGTTGGCTAATAGGAAGGGTGAGTTGAACTTGATTGCATCAATATATATTGGTCTGACAAGACAAAGCTAGCTCTCTGGCGGAGCGACGACTCACTGGCTTATCCTCTCCTCCGTCTATATGACAGTTAATGCTCCTGGCAGATGTGTTCTTGGTGATAGTTCAGAAGAGCATCTCTAGCGATCTTGGCTAGAACTTTTGGATAAGCTAGCGTAGTGAGAGCTTCGGATTCGAGCGATTTCATTTCCAGAGTCATTTTGTTTCCAGTTCAAAAGGGTCCTGGAAAGAGGGAGTTGTCGTCTGATTGAATCAGCAATTCAGGTCTTATTTACGGATCATTTCAAGTGGATTTTCTCCTGACTTACATGGTTCGGTGAACGTGTAGAGGTAATATACACGTCATCTGGGATGGTTGGAGTTTCGATCAAAACGAAAACCTCAAGCTCTGCGCCTTTCCTTACAATGTTGTCGGTGCTACATTCTGTGCTCCACTCTCAGTCGTAGTGCTGTCCCGACACACCAATGCACATATAGAAACATGCTTCTAACCTCTATTATCCGTTTTAATTGCAGGGTTCTACGAGTGGGGGCCACTGTGGTGTTGAGGAAGTCTCACATCTGGCTTCTTCTGACACATCTCCTGCAGACATCACAGTCGGCTCGATGCCTGCCTTTCTGCTACTCTATGGCGAGACTGCCCTGGACAATGGAATAAGAGTTGGACCATCTAATCTTAAGCAACACATACCTTACCTACCTTGGTGTCTGTGAATCTCACGTGATATGAATTGGCCGCGGCTTCCGAGGCGCAACGCTCAAGAAAGAGACCTTCTTGGTTTTTGCTAAGCTCCATTCAATTAGGGAAGTAAATTCGATGGAATGTTTGAATTGGAAGGGACCAGGGCAAGGGAAGAATTCTCATTCTGTTTACCTTGTCTATACCCGTCCCCAGAGGCTGATATGAGAGATAGAGGACGCAGACACGAACATAACACCACGATGTTCTTATCCGAGCAACTCAAGACGAATGGGGCTTTCCAAGTCGCAACGGTGGTGGGCATCTTTAAGGCGTTCCTATTGGCATTAGCATCTGGTAGGGTAGATATGGCGATTTAATAGGAGGTTCCCCTCTCCAGAATTTAAAAAGAGTAGCTACTAGCCCCGTCTGAAGCAGGAAGGTATCAATTAGAATAGCGAAACCCAAGCCACAAAATACATTTTAAATCATCAAACAACTCTATTCATTGCCAGGCCTCCACCGCAATATCTCCTGGTGTCAATCCTGCTGACTAGCAATTGGAAAAGGGCGAGCAATCCAGAAGTTGAGACGATTGTGGACCAGAGTTCATTGGCACTAGTCATCAAGATACTGCCTTTTGCTATAGACCGAAAGGGGTGCCACGAGAGAATTGCAAATATCGGTAAATACATCCAGTGATATGGCAAACTTATATGTTGAATTTGCAGAGATCCCGCCGGGTTTGTGAGATAGATTCGGGACCTAGGGTAGCAATGTTCCCGACAAGATTGGAAGAGGGTATTTTGATATTGAGCCAGCAATGTTCCGGGGATTTGTGCATCTCAAGTGTTAAGTTTGTTTTTACACTGTTTCCTCTGCGCCAAAGACGTCGTTTTGCAAGGGCTCTGAGATGCGTGGTAAGAGGGGAGAAGACCATACAACGAGCACCCACTCCAGTAAGCAGTTTCCGCCCATCGAGTAACCCATTGCTGGTCTCCAAAGAATGGAGACAGACCGCACACGTATATCGGGACCTGCGTAGAGCATAATGCTTTTCAGATCGTTGTATTCCGGTCATATGTACACAGCACGTTCTCGCAAAAGCTCCTTCAGTTGCTCCTCTGCCCGCCCTTTGCCGCCCTCAACTCGTCCATCTTGGCAACCCGCTTCTTGAACTCCTCGTACTGGCACTTCTCGTAACTATGTCTCTCTGTCTATACTCTCGAGTTAGCCCCACTGCCAAACCCGAGGCCCATATCCTCGCATCACTGTCCTCTGTCCACTCGGGAGTTGGCAGAACCTACCTCGCACTTCCACGGCAGATAGTATTCCTCATACCGACATCGGTTCAACGGAATCAATAAGTTTGCGCAGCTGTCGCGGTATGCGAGCGGAAGTCTGGCTTCGCTCATGGCTTCCCGTGATGCAGCTACAAGACGTGGTCAGCGCGGTCAATTGCGGCGTAGGGGGGTGGCGTACGAGCTGATGCGGGATCGCTGAGGCCGACGGCCGATTTGACAGCTTCGGTGACAGTCATGATGGGCAATTGGGTTGGAGAGCTCGAGCTGTCGTCTGTAGTTGAAGCTTGTTTGAGGTTCGGATTGGCGCTGGGCCTAGTGGTTTGGAGCGAGCGCTTATGTAAGCAGGGTATACACGGATATGGCCATCACCAGAGTCAAGATTTCTTCGCATCGCACAATCTGGAAGCCAATTGAGCAACATGCTCCGGATTCTACAGCTCCTGAATAACTGAAAAGGATAAACCATCAAAGATAGCTTCATAAGCACGTACATCAATCTCATTGCCCACGGCGGAACTCCTCTCGGGAAGTTCGGTGGCCAACTGCGCAAATCGCGATACGCCCCCCATCCCCCACAGTTGATATGAGGCTTCATACACGATTTTCCATTCCTCCCTGCCAAGCTGTAGAAGGACTTTCAGTTTCCTAAAATTGAGGAGTCTCATTTATCTGCTTTCTGAAGCAACGTCGTGGCGGGAAGAAAATCTATTATTTGCAGGCTGTTTTCCTCCGGGATATCCGTGAATTATGATTGAGGTTGGGTTGACCGATATTGACTCATATATTATCAAGGGCTTCTTGGTAGCAGAAAGGCCATTTAGTACTGACCGTGTCATTGAACTTGAGGTACGGGTCATTAGATTCTACTTGGTACATGTATGCCAATCCTTATTGCCGCCTGACCGTCGTTGGTATTGAAGGAACAGCGAGACACGAAGTTGAGTTGCTGTTTGACAGTTGAGAAATGACTTTCAAGAACATGATGTTACAACTAGAAGAATATCGCTATGTACCTACCTACCTATAGGTAGGTAGTATAGGCATGGTGATGTGAAAGATGCGAATAGCTTCATAAACCTTAGCGCGCCTTTAGCGTCGACGATTGCCCCCCTGCCTGCTCTTATCTCCACGTGACCACCTCTTCTCAACGACATCTCTTCCTCCTCCGATATCACCACCCATCTGTCCATCTCTCCTCAGCTTCCCCTGGATCATCGGGCCCAGCCCCGTCGTCGTTCATGGCCACAAACCCTGTGAATGGAGGCCAGAACAATGCCCCCCCAGCCGTCAAGATTTCAGCTCCAACGAATGGTTGGACCCGGAAAGACAGGCCGTGTGACGCGTGCAGGCGCCGCAAGAGTCGATGTATAATCCCTCAAGATGCCGAAGCCTGTATAATATGCCAGTCGCGCTCCGAAGAGTGCACCTTTGTTGAGACGCCACAACGGAGGAAGAGGAGGAAATTGGATGATGAAGCAAGCCCAGATGCATCAAAACTGCGGTATGCAAGAAGAGAACTGGACCTCGAAACCCGTGCTAACGTCGTACAAGATCACCGGCCGCTGAAAAAAGTTAGTGGTGCTAGATGTCAATGGTGATAGTAGGCTGACCAAGTCCAGATGCTCACGCTATACCACCACCAATCGACGACTATGCCGCTCTCCCAGGCCCATCACTCCTGAAGCAAACCCTGGGTCTTCAAAACCGGCAACATAGCAACTATCTTGGCCAGACAACCGAGTACGATATACGTCTCATCAACCTCTCGCCATTCAATGGCAGGGGAGAATATGTCAGTACACCCGGGACTTTACGCCGCGTGAGCCAGGAGACTCACTTCATTATGAAATCCGAAAGTCCGCCAGAGGTGGATGACGAAATCGCAAACCTTGATCTCGTTGATAGTATTGTAAAGCCATACGGACGCGCTTTGGTCGATCTGTATTTTCGAATCATCCATCCAAGTTTCCCGATTATGCACAAGAAGGTCTTCCTGGAGAAATATGATCGCTCGTATCGAGAGTTTACACCTCCGGTCCTTGCAGCCGTTTACATTCTAGCATTGAATTGGTGGTCATACAGTCCGGAGTTGGTCAATCTCCCAAAGCCTGATGTTTCAAAATTGGAGAAACTCGTACCTAGCTTGATGAGCAATGTCTTGAATCGCCCTAAGTTGTCAACGGTACAAGCTGGACTACTGTTACTTCAAAGACCTGATGGTGACTCTTGGGCCCTGACAGGGCAGCTTGTTGCCCTGGCACAGAATCTCGGCCTTCATCTGGATTGCTCGCAATGGAGAATCCCAGAATGGGAACGCAGTCTACGAAAGAGACTGGCATGGGCATTATTCATGCAAGATAAGTGGGGAGCCTTGATACATGGCCGGCCGCCCTTTATACACCCCGAGGATTGGGCAGTGAGACCTGTAGAAGCGAGAGATTTTCCGGAAACATCCGAGGACGATGACGATGAGGAGGGGAGCTTGGAGATTGAGAAGGGAAGACTAACCTTCATCCACATGATTTCACTGACCGAAATTCTAACGGACATCTTGAGTACATTTTTCACGTTGCGGGCAACTGCAAATCTAGAAAGGGAACAGGAGAATGCCATGATTGTGACACTGGAGAAAGCTAAACCTATCCAACTAAGACTGAAAGAATGGTATTCAAAGTTGCCTCAATGTCTGGCAATGGGGCAGACCAAAGCAAGAAAACTATGTTCCACAGGTGCGTTCTTTCACTTTATCCTGTAATCCATGATTGATAACCTGATTGGCTACACAGGCTCTCTTCATCTTGCATACTTCGCTACAGAGGTCACCTTACACCGAGCAATCATTCGATTTGATTACACGAGTATGGACGATAATCTTCGATCAATCACCCGTGCAGCTGCAAAAATGCGATTTGTGTCGGCCGTGGACTTTGTAAACAAGCTCGAACCAGCACATCTTCAAAGCTTCTGGTACTTTGCGTCCAAGGTGAACTTGGCCATCATTGCGACCTTTGGGTCACTCTTATGGGCCACTAGCGACAACCCAGAAGAAGCCGAATTCTACAAGTCCCAGCTCGCCTCATATAGATGGACATTAAGGGTCAGCAGCAAGGCAACAGAGTTTATGAAATTCACCGTTGGTATGCTGGATTCAAGTGTTGTGTTTTTGAAAGATGGGGCTTCAAAGATACAGACTCCCGGTCTTCTCAGTCGAGATCAAAGCCATCAGACTGGGAAAGAGGATGCCAAGGATGATCAAGAGACAGATAGGGGAAATGAAGACAAAGCAGATGATGCACAGGTTGATCAGACGATGTACAGCTCCAAGCAGAATTATGCTGGCATGAATGAGGTCTCTCCAAGTGTTGGTAATTCGACGGAAAACGCATACCCATGTGAGGCGGAATTTCCTACTGCCGGATTCCTTACAGCCGATTCAAGGCCACCTTGGTCAGGAATGTCGGACACAGTCAACTTTACGGCTGGCGATATTCAAGATTGGTCACTCGACCAGCTGTACAACTTCCAGAACATGCAAGGGGCTGAAGACGTTCTTCGGAATCGAAGGATCATCGAGGAGTACGATGAGACTGTGAATAAGTTTGCGGGGTTTTGAGGTAATCTCGTGAGAATATTCACTGTATTTGGGCCATACAATATATACCCACGCTCCGAGGTATATCTGTACATCCTCGCAAGCCTGTATACGATGACGGAATCGCAGCTCGAGAAGCATCTTGACAGAGCAGCGCATGCTGGGCACGATACTGAGCAGCCCGGTGCCGGAGACACCAACTTTGTACAGGCAGAGACGTACAGACGTTTCCTGCCCTCATTGGTACACTAACATGGTGTCAAACGGTTGGCATTTGGCGCCCTGAGATGGGTTACTTCGAAGAGGTCAAGCCGCTTCCAGTATCGAACTTGCAGTGTATTAGAGATTGTACAGATAGTTAAACGATCTGCGTTTAAACGCAATTGCACTATACGTGCGGCTGGAGGAATCATGATCCATGAGGCTGGATAGCTTGATCGAAATATATATAGTTAGCGCATGTTGTCTGGTTGACGTGTACTGACAGTGTTGTATACGTGTGCTGTGCTATTGCGCAGCACGGATGTATACACATCCCTATCGTGGTCTATATCGTCTTATCGTGATCAGCACATCGACGAGGAGCAATAGACATTGTTAAATGACCACAAATTCCCATTGGACATGAATTCGTAGAATGGGTTTTTGCTCCTCAACTTGTAAAATCCCCCGTGAAATCCCACCCCAAGTCGCAGGAACTATATGTATATTTGACATGCCCAAACGCCGTCCTTCTACATACCTAGGGTATCATGGTACCGCCATATTTACTATACCGTAACTCCATGACCAAAGATTTTGGTAAACCAAGACCAGGAATCAGAAAAGCAATCAACTTTTCTCAGTTCATGGCTCAACGGAGGGACAAGAAAGCCTCGGAGAGCTCACAATAACACAGGCTGCGACCACGAACATACTAGATGCGGAGGGTCAGGAGAAGCAGTGACACAGTCACTACTCCGATAATGGGTAAAAAATTGTCCTGGGGAATAAATTTTCCAATCATCCTACTATTTCTGGCACTCACGTGTAAAGGCGTTGAGAAGGTCCTATAAACAACTATAAGTTAGTATTCAGAGCAGCAGGAGGAAAAACGGTAAAAGATATAACATGTATATAAAGATGACAACGGAGCCGATATAGCTTACTAGGAATTTGTGATCCGCCATAGACCCAAATATCGGATTCCGGGAGAGCTTCAGCTTGGTCACTCGAGGACTGGTTATTCCGAACGCAACGCGAGCTAGAAATCTGGGGTCGTCTCTGTGAGGGATAGTCTTCAAGATGGCTCTGAAGGCAGAATGATTGAATTGCACAGGAGGCGGAACCTTTTGCACAACAGCAACGTGAGTTAAACACCAAGTACAATGACCACATTCCCTTTTGCCATCCGGCAAATCGTCACCGAAGTGTTGCGCTAAGGACCTCGAGAAACAGGCTTTGCTCGTAATAAGACGGAGCATTTCCTCGGTTCGATCGAGGGCTTCCTGCTCTCGCTTCTGCATTGTAGTGTAGATATGGTCAACCAATGCTTCAATCTCGGCTGATGTGCGTGGAAGTGGTTTGATGACTTTATACACATTCAGTACGCCTGCGTTCTTGAGTTCTAGGACCTGGCTTTCATTCCAATCGTTAAGTTTGCGAACGATGTCAGATCGAGGGACGCGAAGACTCGCTGAAGCACTCTCTATGTCAATTGTAGTCCATATCCTCGCTGCTTGACTATAGTCCTTGATTGCCTTGGCCGCTGGAGAGGGATCTGATGCAAGAGTCGCATGATAATTAGGTCCAGGTTTAAAGGAATATCTGGTATAGATCGGTGTAGTCGCTCGGATAAGGCCATGAGCAATTTCGAGTTGTGCGTAGATATTCTTTAAAACCACTGGTCGTATATCATACTCCCTTTCTTGATCGTAGTGACTGGTTTTGAATTCTCCGCCAACAGGGATATTGACATTATTCTTATCAAATATATCCTTCATGAGTTCACAAAGAGACTTACGAGACGGAAGATCTGCTCGTGCAAACATTTCACGCAGGTGAAGATCCTCTCCACACACATAAAAAACACATGTACTAATCTTCCCATCCCGACCAGCTCTACCAATTTCTTGGCTGTATGATTCAAGACTGTTTGGAATATTGAAATGCACAACATTCCGGATGTTTGGTTTGTCAATACCCATCCCGAATGCGATCGTAGCAACTATTATCAAGTCATCACGACGCATAAACTCGTTTTGTATGTTGGCTTTGACAGCTGCATCCATACCGGCGTGAAACGCTTTTGCGTTGAATCCCTGTTGCCGCAAGTCGTCCGCCAGAGCTTCCGTCTGCTTTTGGATTGTGACATAGATAATTGTTGGCCCTGGATTCTCATTGAGGAAATGAAAGAGGCGTGGGTATAATTCCTGCTTCTTAATTGATGATTCAGCCAGCAGTTGAAGGTTTGGACGGTATGTGGAGGTTCGAAAAAGACCGGCTTTATCGATATTGAAAGCTTTGCAGATGTCTTCCGCAACCCGTGGGGTAGCGGTAGCTGTGAGGCAGACCACACGCTCCGCTTTGATCTCAGTGACAAATCTTGCAATCTCTGTCGAGAATTAGTATTTGTCTTGAAATGTGTGCAGACCACTTGCTGAGATAATCTGGGCGGAAAGCATGCCCCCATTCTGATATGCAATGCGCTTCATCAACCGCAAGCAGACGGATACCCCCTCGAACATTTCTCATTTGTCCTACAAAACCCTCATTGTTCAGCCTTTCTGGTGCGCAGTAGAGTAACTGCAGTTCTCCATTTCGTAGCTGGTCACAGATTTTGAGGTACTCTTCTCTGTTTCGAGAGGAATCCAGCGAGGCAGCTTTGATCCCGCGTCGAAGAAGCCCGTCGACTTGGTCCTTCATCAGTGCAATCAATGGAGACACGACCAACGTGATTCCACTATCTTTTTCCCCGCGTATTCCTTCGAGTATGTCGAGCTCAGAGAAGACCAGTGCAGGGATTTGGTAGCAGAGACTCTTCCCACCGCCTGTGGGGAAAATGACCGCTGCACTCTGACCGGATAGTATTCTCGATATGACCTAGAAGAAGTTCACCGCTTAGCTTCTCTTTTTCCGCAAGAGCAGCTAAAGGAGAGGGTGATCTTACCTGCTCCTGCTTCAATTGAAATGATTTAAAGCCAAACATGTTAGTCAAGGCTGTGACCGCACATGAGAATGAAGGAGGGCGTCGCTTTGAGGGTAGGGGCTCGTCGAAGGAGGCTTTCCGTTTCGTGCCGTGGGTTGGCGCATCCAGGAGTGCAATGAGATCAGCTTCATCTGAGGAGCTGATCCCAAACTCATCATCGTCAGTATTGCTTGTGGATGGCATGACTGAGGTGTGGAGGAGACAGAGAGAAGGGGTGTGAAACAAAGGGTGCAAGTGTGGTGGATGTCGTCGCCAAAGCCGACAAACGCGACTTGGCCGCAAAGTAGCGACAGCGCGTCAGGCGTGAGCACGTGAGCACGTGATGCTTAAGGTTTATGGCAACGTGAAGAATTGGCAGCGTAAACATGAGGAGAGGTGACAGATAGGTAGAGGCGGGTTTCTAGGTGCTATACCATCCTTACCTACCTGATTCGGGTTCTTGGAAGATAACCATAGTCTGAAGAGATTATAAGTACACAACAATGAATTTTGATTCCGGTAGCACGGCACATCCGGAAACGTTAGAGGAAATTACAAGCAAGCTGAAAAGAAATTCATATTAAATGCTGCACTTTTGCAGAAATGCTAGCTTTGTATAGATAGTTCTCTTAGTCAATGAAAGCTAACAAGGTTGTACATACTCGTGGTGGTGGTGTCGCTTAGCTCCACACTCCCCCCTATTTACTCGTTTAGCCTTTAAGGTTGTAAGTAGGCTAGGGGGTTTGGTTCCTTCAAAGAGCAGCAAATTTTACAACCTCAAGTTAGGCATCTATGGCTAAGCGTAGGTAACAGTATTTATTCGCTATCTATCTATGATAGAAGAACAATACAACCATTTTTCTTCTCAAAACAGAAGTTCAACGGTTTAACCGGGACGGCCCTGGAAGTGCTTCAGTTCATCGGTTTCATAATCATACACTTCCTTCCCCTCGAAGAAAGTCTTCCGCACAATAGTAGTCGAGATATCCTCCTCCTTGACCAAGTCCCGGTCCAGAATGATGAAGTTCGCCAGCTTCCCTTGGGTGATGCTGCCCTCAGTCTTCTCCCTGCCTACGGCCTTGGCCCCTTCAATCGTCACGATCCGGAGGATGTCCTCCTTCTCCATCTCCCAACCCTTGCGCCCTTGGAGCAGCGCCTGCAGGCCGGGGAAGATGTTGGGGGTTTCTGGAGCGAACACCCAGTCACTGCCGATGGTGATGAGAGCGCCGGCTTTACGGAGCCCAGCGAAGGGATAGACGGAGGCTGGGTTGTGCTCAGGTTGGTAGCTGGGCTCGTGCCAGATGGCCGGGCTCATCTCGGCGGTGATGCCGAGTTTCTTGTAGTAACCGAAGTCCTCGGGATGAACATCCATGTTGTGGGCCAGCTCATGCTTGGGACCATTGGGGCGACGCTTGCGCATCTCTTCGAAGCACTCGAGGGCGAATCTGGCCGAGCCTTGACCACAGACGTGAACCTTGCAAGTTCGACCCTCCTTGTCAAAGCGCTCGATGGCATCTGCAAAGATCTTGGGCGGCACAAGAATCTTCTTGTAATCGGGCTTCCCATCATCGGTCAATGGGCAGTGCGTCAAGTGTGGCTCCCACGGCACGCCATCCAGCCAGAATTTGACAAAGTTGGGGTTGAAATGCTTGGTTTGGTATCGGTATGCGGAATTGATGCTGTTGATCAGGGTCTCAGGGAGCTCCTGCGAGAAGGCCGCGCCCCAGAAGACGACGTGCGCGTCCAACGAAATGGTCATCTTGCCCATATCGTCAAGTTTCTTGGCCGCTTCGAGATAGACAGCGTTGGCAGAGGCTTCTTGAACGGCGGTGAAACCGAAGCGGTTGGCCATCTTGACACCGTACTCGAGTGCCTCGACGTGTGACTCGGGCGTACCTTTGGGGATCGCCGCCCACATCCTTTTGCCAGCGCCCTCGACGAGCTCGCCGGTGATAGTGCCGTCCTCGCGGCGGACGTAGTATCCGTCCCATGGGTCCTCGGGGTTCTCTTCGTATCCGGCAGCCTTGAGCGCTGCAGTGTTGGCGAAGATGTTGTGTGTGGTGTATTCGCGGATGACGACCGGCTGGTCGCCAAAAGCGTCGTCAAGGAACTTCCGGTCAGGCTTCTTGTCCTTGAAATTGGCGTAGTGGTAGAAATTGCCAATCAGCCAGTTGCCGACAGTCTCAAGGTGCTGGCAAGATCCAGCGTAGTCTTTCAGCTTGCGCACCGTGTCCTCTGGGCCAGCTTCCAGCCCGAGTTTGGCTTCGAACAGCTTCTCTTGCGACGCAACGAGCAAATGGCAGTGGGCGTCGTGCATGCCGGGCATCACGAACTGGCCCTGGAGATCGACGAGTGTTGCGCCGCTGCTCTTCGCGAGCTCGGTGATATCGGCCGTGGAGCCCACGGTGCCAAAGGTGCCATCGGGCTGGACGAGGAAGGCTTCCGCCCAAGGGAGCGTCGAGTCGACGGTGTAGACCTTGCCGTTGACATAGGCGGTGGCCATGATGAGTTTGAGGAACGATGAACTTGAAGGTATGAACAGTTGAATAGTCGCTACTGGACTCTGACTCGATGCAATTGCCCGCGACAATGGGCAGTGTCTTCCACCGCGTTCGTCATCTTATAGCTCCCAGCTCACGATAGGCAATCCCACCTGCGGATCCGTTAGAGCCCGCTGCTTATCGTCTAGGCAGAGTCGAATGGCGCGATGCATGACTACTTGTGGTTAGCGAACGCGAGTCTTTATCTGGGGGACGTGGAGCAGAGGAATTAACTTACCGCAAACACATGTATTGATGTGATTCCAGTCGAGCGGTTCGACGGTGGACAGTATAGAATCTCGGATAGATAAGAATCTCGGATAGAGGATAAGATTTTAAGTTCTGCCGGTCGTCTGCCCGCTTAGACGAGCAAGCCACTAGCCCCCGTAAGGTGCCTTAGTCTGCTGCGCTAACGCCCCCCCTATTCGATAAGCTTACCTTAGTTTTGGCTCCCTCTCCATGGTCCATACAGATGGGCTATACAGATACCGGCTCATGCAACCTCCACAATCATCGACCACGCTACTGGGAGATCTTTCACCATGGGGTCCTGCTCTGCTTTATCACTCTATCAGCGCCGAACAAGACCCGTCCCTCGATGCGAGGTGATAGCGGATCCCTTTCTGAAATTTGGACAGAGAGTCCGGGGGTAACAGCATCAGCTATCTTGGAAGCTATCTTGGATGATACCCGCCCTCTTCTCGCCCCGGGTTCACTCTAGCTCTATTAGTTGCAGTCTCACCCTCTGACCCTCATAAGGTCCAGCTCCAGCTCCAGCTCCGACTCCATTCCCTTCTCGCTTCTCCATCCATCTCCATCTCCATCTCCAACACGGTACACCTGCGGAACCATCACCATGGTGCATCACTTACAGACTGATGTGATCCCCGGAACAGTCCATCTGGTCGACTTGGCCGGGACTCTCAATGTCAAACACGATGCCGAAGGCGGCCAGAAAGATATCGTCCTGTTGCCTCAACCCACGACCGAATATGACGACCCACTTAATTGGAGCCGCAAGCGCAAGATGCTCATTGCCATTCTTTTGCTCGTGGCCGTATTCACAGCCGACATCTTGACCACCCTCTTGTCTGCCGCCCTGCTTCTCATAGAGAATGACACCGGAATTCCGCTGTCCACTCTCAATTCCGGCGTTGGTGTGCAGTATCTTTTCTTCGGCTGGTCCAATCTTATCTGGCAACCCCTGGGCTTGACCTATGGTCGTCGACCTATCATCCTCCTAGGGACCCTCGGTATGCTTGCCTGCTCGGTGTGGACGTCCTACGTCAAATCCTCCGGCGAATGGTATGCCAACCGCGTGTTGATCGGCTTCTTCTACGGTCCCATCGAGACGCTCATCGAGATCTGCATCTCGGATGTGTTCTTTGCCCATGATCGTGGGTTCTGGATTGGCATGTACTGCTGGTTCCTCTTTGGTATCCCATACATTGGCGCCGTGCCAGTGGGCTTCATCGCCAATAACCTGGGTTGGCACTGGATCCAGTTCATTGCTTCCATTATCAGCGGTGGCTGTTTCCTGCTCATGTTCTTCTTCATGGAAGAGACTATGTTTTACCGCCGTCCGGTCCAAGAAGAAGTCACTGTTGAGGAGTCTGAGTACCATGACGCCTCATCCCCCGCTACTGACGAGAAAGGCTCCGTCACCCCACCGAAAACGGAGGTCTCGTCAGGGGAAATAGTGACCAAGAAGACTTTCCTGCAGAAACTCAAATTATGGGGCGCACGCCGCCCCGGCCAGCCCAACAACTTCTTCCGCTCCATGTGGCTGCCACTGACCCTGATTCGCTTCCCAGTCATTGCCGTCTCCGGCATCCTTATTGGAAGTGTGCTCTCGTGGTTCAACGTTGTGAACGCGACCACTGCTCTTGTGCTTGCCGCACCACCGTACAACTTCTCCACCGAAATGATCGGGGTTATGTTCATTGCGCCCTTTCTCGGCTGCACTGTCGGTTGTATCTTCGCTGGAGTTGCAGCCAACCGCTTTGCCGTCTGGATGTCTCGCCGAAAGGGCGGAATTTTCGAGCCGGAATACAGGCTATGGATGGCGATCGTGCCGCTCATCATCCACCCTGCCGGCTGCATCCTCTTCGGCGTTGGGGCTAACCACGGCGTGCACTGGATGGGCATCGCCTTTGGGCTGGCCTTTGTGGTTGGCACGTTCCCCATCGGAAGCGCCATTGGGATTAACTACATCATCGACTCGTACAAGGAGATCTCGGGCGATGGGCTGGTGACAATGATTCTGATCCGGAACTCAATGGGCTTCGGGTTCAGCTACGGCGTCACGCCATGGATCAATGCGACGGGCGTACAGAACACATATATCGCGGTTGGCTTCATCGGCATGTTCTTCTGGGGCCTGCCGTTCTTGTTCATTCTCATCGGCAAGAAGACCCGCCAGATGACGGCCAAGACCTACTGGACGATGGTGGAGAAGCATGGTTTGAGCGTCCATTAGATGGCATGCATCGATGATTTGGAGAAGACGTGACGGGATGGTAGGGTATTGTTGAAGAGGGCGTTTTGAATGATTCCTGTGTGGTTGACTATTCTTCTAATAATAAGTGCCAATAAGGGGTCTGTCTGCGAGGCGAGAAGACAAGATATTTAGCGAGTGCACTAAACCCAATCGAGTCAATTCCGCTCCTCGACTCCCCCGTTGTACCTGTGTACCTTAAGGTGCCTTGACTTCGAAGCCGTAGCGGGGGCGGGAGAGAGAGTCTCTGGATGATGCTTAGCGGGTTCCGATATTAATAGATAGTTTAATGAATAATTTGAATCATCCATACCGGTACATTTAGGTAAATCTATTTCCGTCCCGTGATGTAGAGTCACATGATTCGGTTGTGCTGGAGGCATTCCATTGGCCAAATTCAGTCGCGTGAATATTCTGCAACATCGTTCAACAATCCGCTATTCCTTCCAACTGCCTTGTTCAGATAAAGCTTCAGCTACGACTAACTGTACATCCTACACTGCCTTGAGGACGACTGGAATTGTGGATAGATCAATCAATAGGTATATTTTGGTACTTGGGGAACTGGGAAAAATGATATTGATAGCTACAGAGCCCCCACTCTGACGAACATGACCAACGCCAGAAACTCCGAGAGAGATCAAGTCATCAGTGATATCTCCATAAGAAGAATGATGAAGGGAAAAGGGAGAGGTGGGGGGAAAAGAACAACCCCACTACCCCATCATGGTCTCCCACCCCTTCTCAATCATCACATCCATCCAATACACGTTCTGCAACCCCAGATCAATACGATGCCACGTCTCTGTCACAATATCTAGCATCTGCCGGATTGGCTTTGCCGGAAGCACATGCTCAAACGTGGAAAGGCGCCCAATCACAAATTTCCGGGCCTGCAGCACGTCCATAGCACTTGGGGCGCCGTCGACACTAGCATTCAGGTGTAGACCTTGTTGTTGGCGGTGGGCATGATGGGGGGTGATGTTGATTGAGGGGGAAGTGATGTGCAGCTCACTTGTGACGGCCACGAGGAGAAACGGCTGCACGCACCGCGTCCGAGACTCGATTGGGATGGCTCTCAGGAGATCCAGGATGTCGAGGGCAAGCTTGGTGAGACGCATGCTGATGGAGAGCCCCGACGCAACACTCCCAGAACTACCAGAATGGCTGTGGCTGCGACGGGGTGCGTGGGGCGAGTTGGCGATTTGCGCCTCTAGGATGTCCGGGAAAACGCGGTACAGTTGCAGCAAGCCAGTCAAACGATACGCTTCGGCAATGGTAAGGAAGTGCTTTACAGGCGTCTGGTCATCGGCTGGGCTGACGATGCCCTCTTCGGCCGGGAAGGTGAGCTTCTGTAGCCGGTCGGCGAGCCGCTCTGCTGTTATCAGAGACTTGCGCGCGTGGTCAATGTCGGCCGAGGTGGTGAACGTGAGGCTTCTGATGCGGTGCCGCTCTTGTCGGATGAGACGCCCGACCTCAAACACAATGGCTTGCGCTTTCCTTGCCACTCCGGTCCAGGGGTGCGGGAGGGTACTTGGTTCCACCCGGCCGTGACGGGCATCCGGGTTCGACGTGGGTTTAGGCCCGGCGGGTAGTGCTGGCCAGGTATCATCGATGACATACGACAACAACATCTCCCAGTAGATCATGGCTTCCTGGAAGAACTGCAAATTGCGTTCATTATTGTCCACTTGTCCCAGGTCTTTGCCTGCAAGCATGGCGCCAATAATGCCCCGCGCTCGGATGAATTCTGTGCGGCCCAGGTCGTTGGCGTTGTGCCAGCTGGCAGTGAGTCCGAGCATCACCATCGCAAGCAAGGAGCCAGTATCGACTTTGAAGGCGCTGATATCCTTATCAACCGAAGCGGCCGCTTTATTTCGCATTTGCGTGCCAATGACATTCCATTGAGGGAATGCGTCCGCCAGGCACGCGGCAGACATGCTCTGCACAACGTAGTAAACCGAGGGGGACGTGTTCCATAGACGGGATACCGTGGACCGGAAGGGATTCAAATGACTGTCATAGCAGGAGAACAGACCGGCCACTTCTTTGAAATAATACTCCACGAGAATTGATGAAGGATCATTCATTAGTCTGGGCAAAGATTGGGTAGATTGGCTGTTTTCTCTCGGACGAGCTGATGGGCCCGGGCCATCGACCGTTCGAGAATGAGACAAATCCGACGAGGAGATTGAAGAGTCCCGACGCGGTGCTCGCTGGACAGAAGTGACTGTAGAAGGGACAGTTGATATTGGTGTTAGTGTCTGCGTCGAGGCAGGATAACTGTTTCGACCGGCCTCGGCATCTTCCACATAGTTCCAATGGCTCGAGTCGACGGAGTGGGTGAACGTGTCAGCATTTGCATTGAAACTGCCTTGGGTCTCAAATCTGAATATGTCGTTTGCGAGGTCATCGAAAATGGTTGGATCACACTTGGAATGATGTCCTTGTATAATGAGGTCTGGGATCCCTATTCCACTGCCAGCGTGTTCCTCTACAGTCGACGGCGTTGGGCTGTCTGATGGATGTGTTGATGAGCTCTTGTCTACCTTTGCATAACGAGGACAGACAATGCCTCTCTTACTGCAGCGTAAGCAAACCGGTTTTGTCTCATCGCATTTTAACTACCGTTCTCGTGAGCACTCTGAATCCACCGCCTATGGGTATTCCGCCTTACCTTCTTCTCCTTGCAAGCCGCGCACCCATTGCGCGACCTCTTCACGCCGCCGCGCATTATTGTTGACGACTAGTAATAGATCATACGTGGTGCGGAGGGAAGCTAGACTGGTCATGGTGTCCTCGTCCATCGCGATCCGACAAACCTAAATCTATCCGGGACTTGAGTCTGATAACCCTCGACTGTGGGCTGGGGAAAGTTTCCGGTCTGTGCGGGCGCGATAGAGGGCTTTAAATTTTATAGGCCTTGCCATTCCGGCAGTATCTCGTATCTCCTTGTCTTGGACGCGGATGGAGTCTCTCGATGACATTATAACTAAGCCGATGGACGTACTCCAGACGTACTTAGGTCCCTTGCCTCGTCCAACGGGCGTCGTCCTGGTATGGAGTATATTATTTGGATTACTTGAAGCAGTTTAGCTGCCCAGAGCTTCGTATCTCTCCTAGAGCGTCTAGTACCTGGCTAGTCCCTCGACCGCGTGACGGTGGAGTGGCTATCTTCCAGTCTCGACTTGTTACTGGACAATTTCTGCATCTAATATTAAGTTTTGAGACTAAAATTCGTCTCATCTGGCGATAGCCGGATATTTCATAATCACTTATCTATCCGAAAACTCTATTAGAGCTTCCTTGGGGCTTTGCCAATCACTACGGGTTAGCCGCCTTATCGATGTATCCGATAGTTGTTACTGTGCCCTATGGCTACATAGACCCGAGAAGTTCAACAACCTTGGATTCTTTCATAACTGCCGCCTGTTATTTAGCCGGCTCGAACTCCGCGGTGAGGCCCGAGAGCCTATAGCCCCAAGTCATTGGTTTCCTATTATTTGTTCTGCAGATCAAGGGCCCACAGACTCGGGATTGGCTGTGCTGCAGTCTGCAGATCCTCGAAAACGCGTCCCAGAGAATGGCGACACACGATAAGCCATTGCGGTATCTTTGACACAAGCACACAGTATGGATAAACACATACACGCATCACGAGAATTGCCGAAACTTATCCAGCGGATTTTCCTTAAAAATGAAGTAGTCTGACTACGGAATAGGAATGTAGGAGCCAAAAACGACGTGTTGAGGGAATTGAGGTACTCAGGTACTACTGTACCATTATCATCCGGTTACTCGCGCATTCAAGAGAACTGATAGATAAGGGTCGACAAAAAGCGCCTACCTCCGTGTATGACTTAAGCCTCTGTATATCTAGGTAAAGGCACATACATGTACAGTGGGATAGTAGGAGGGTTCTCTACCCTTGTCGATACTCAGCTTCCGGGATTTGATGCAGCCCCTCGTCGAGTCGTCGCCGCCCTCGAAAAGCTTACACTGCACTTGAGACTCTCGACACCACTGCTTAGTAGCAGTACCTGCTACTTTTTGACTAATGTATTTATAAGTAAAGGACCAAATGTCATTGTTATTGACACCATACTCCAAATCATAACATAGCGATACAGTCCCAGTAATACTCGAGCAGTTTTGTGGGTTACACGTGGTTAATGCTAGTAATTTGTACAAGATCAAAGCACCGATATAGTTCGTATACCATTGATAGGAGATATATAGACCGTAAGACCCCATGCTCAAAATCACGAAAGCGACAGTAAAGACTGGAAGGAAGATGGCCCGAATGGGGGCGACGCATAGTTTAGCGTCAAAAGTAAAAGCCAGATAGGCAGAGCCTCAAGATCTCAATTATAGGGCTGATTTGGAGGATTGGCTCCTTGGAGACTCCTTCCAAGATGATAAATATATGAGCATACTTTCGTTCTGATAAAGGAGACGTATAAGTAGGTAGGGCGCTCTTAGACAAGATGCACAGCAGCACATTGGTGCTGACTGTAGAAGCTTCTGATTCTGTAGTTAGATACGTCTAGTATACGCAGGAGACAGAAGACACAATCCTTACGTTAGAGTTCCAGTCATTGAAGTCAAGAACAACTATCTCGAAAGCACCATGAATAGCTAGGAAGTCACAGCCCTAAATCTGTATATATGGCATTAAGTAGCTGCACGAGCTTGTCTCTTTAGTAAATATTGAGTAGAAACAGAAAAATGCAAAACCTGCGCAAGGCTCAGAACATCATTGGATGCAGGTTCAACCTCACAATGCGTGGTTCTGGCAATTATCAATTTATCACCCTATTCATGTTACGCTGATCTTTATTTTCTTGTGATTCTAGTGATATTATAGCTAAGCTAAGTATGCTCAGCCACGTATCCTGAAAGTACCTAGGTTTTGACAGCCGTTACCACCCTGCGTTTCACCTCAAACTAACCTCTCCCTACGTTAGATACCGTCTCCCCAGAAAAGCCTTATGCGAGTTAGTATTTATCCTATTTAGGAGGTACAGAGCAATGTGCAGTAAGCCCCGGGCGGACGTTACATCTGCCAAGTACCGGCATGCTAGCTCAACCACGCTGGTCCTTGCTGTACCGAAGCCATAGGTCTAGCCTTATAATCCTGGTGCATGTATCAAGGCCCAGGGAATTCTCCAAAACTACTGGAGGGAGGACGCAGGGGAACCTGGGCTGAGGGGTACCACGCCGCCACGCGCCGCGCCCGTGCCATGCAATAAGCAATCATCTCCCAATGAGATAAAGACAATGCATACAGAGGTCATTACTTTCCAGGAGCCTGGAGATAGGTTATTTTTACACGTTGGCTTTCCCGTCTTTCGAAGGGGATTGTGCCTATTAGAACAAGTTACTATCCCTGAAGAAGAGTCTCTAACTCTTCTCCCCCCTTTAGGATTTAAGTATCAAGGGAGCTCTAAACCTGTTATTTGATATAGTAATAATGAGGAACCAGGTAGAATTTCTGAACCAATTTTAGGTCTTCTGACACTCTTTGTATACAGTATGTGTAGCCAAGATCCATGCTCAAATAGTCCCGGCATGTCAAGACCTGCAAGGATAAAATTACCACTTGTATTCTCTGCTACTGAAGATACGTTGATCTATACTTGACTGCTGGAGCTTTGGAACTAAGCTTAGGTTACAATTTAACCAAAGGGGGTCGGTCACCTTTCAATTTGTTAGGAGAGACATGTGTAACTGTCGGCTTTCCCTTGACGAGAACAGCTAACTAATTGGATTTTGCACTGTTAGAGAACGGTACAGTGCATATTGTATAAACAATAAGTAGGGAGCAGAGACGTTATACTACGCAAGAATCCGCAAGGACACTGGCATTCCGTGGGTGGTAAATATTACAACAGCGTACAAGGGATACAGGGACCACAAGAATGATGACCTGAGCACGAGGATGCTAGGAAGAAGACCAGGGAACAGTCTATTGACAATTTTCATCCCACAAATAAAAGAAAGAGCAGTGAGAATCGGAGAGTAGACCTCAGATGATGGTCGAAGTTCAAGGATCCGTAAGTAATGGTTATGGCCGCAAATTTGGATACAGGTATGATCTAATCGCTATAATTCCTGAGTGGTTCAACTCTATAGTCTAAGTCATTCTCTATTCTTTCCCGTTCCAGTAGCTGATAACCGCATATTTTCCATTTCTTGTCCAAATCCCCTTTTGCTCCTTGTCAAGTCTCTCCGCCAGGCTTGCCTCCAAACCAACACAGACATCTGCTTTGCAGGTTCTGAGGGCTAGCACTCTAATCCCCTCCTTGCCATTTACCTCTCCCAGTCTCCCGAGTGCCTCGCGAAATGAAGCCGTCCTTGGCCACATCCCATCACTAGTGAGTTTCCTATAGTTGAGATCGCCCTTGAAAACGACCAAGTCTGAAGCTGAAAGGTGTGCGTATAATTGCGGTGCTACTTCAGGCATTCTGCCAAAGGGATGCTGCGTCGTCCAGAAGGGATCAACCTGAAGTTCTAGCTGTCCGGCATTGAAGAGATTTCGCCACAGCTTCCCGACCCTTTGCAGGTTTTCTTGATCTTGTTGCGCGATGCCTGATCCGAAGGCACTCCCTTTCTCCAAAGCTACGAGCAAATCTTCCACGTCTTGAATTCCCACGTCAGAAACGAACCAACCCATTCGCTTTCCGTGAAGTGTTATCTTCTTCGCGAATCCAGCTTGCAGAAGGTATGCCGCAAAGACCAGATCTGTAAGCAGTTCGAATCCCGCATTGTCAAGGACGATGTCAATTTTGTTGGCGGTTGCTCTGCTTCTTAAGCCCCACAGAAGTCTCCAGACTTTTTCGGTATCATCCACAACGATATTCTTCTTAGCAGCTCCTCTGGCATCTTTGCCTTGCCGGCTTTGGAGGTCTTCAATTGAGAAGGATGTTAGGAGCGACAAGTCCGTGGCGTTTCCCCATAAACTGATGTCGATAACTTCCTCAAGAAGAGCCTTATGAGTAGCTTCATCTTCACTCTTTGCCTTGTCCCCGAGTGTTGGTAGAATCGATAAGTACCAAGCTAGAAGCTCAAGAGTAGCTTTCTCAGAATTTGCAAAAGAATTGTTCTTAGATACCCGAAAGACATCATATCCTTGCCAGAACTGAGAGCCGCTGGTGGTAAAGAACGTGTGGATGAGTCGGTATAGGTAGCATTCGGAGAATAACCACGGAGCTGTGAGCCACGTCGGTTCTTGTAGGAATTTAAGCTCTTCGTTGTATCCTGACACGTCTGGGTGGTCATCAAGAAGTGGCGAGAGCGAATCGTCGAACTGGATCGCTCGAGCAATAGTGGAAAGCTTTGAAGCAATGTCTCGACCGGCTTTCTTTTCTGCTGCATCCAGGCTGTCGGATTTGATAGTAGCTTCGACGTCCTCCTTAGCAGAGAGGATTATTTGGGGCCATCGTTCGCGGACTGTGAAATATGCAAAAGAGTTTTTGTCTCCGTTATTAGACGTTGCTATAGACGGGAATCAGAATCAGCTCTGCCATATGAGAGCGAATGCCTTGTGAAGGGTGGGAATCAGTAGGCCGCTTACGGATTTTGGGGTCAAACTTATTGAAAGCCATAGCTGGGGGCGTGCTGCGTGCAAGACCCCGTGTCTTTGCGAAGAAGACTCTTCAAGCACGAATGACGGCTTCCTCGGTGTGGCTCTGAGATTCCTTATTGTTTTCCTTCTCCAATGTTGCTGGGGAAACTTTCTTATTCAGCTTCACAAGAAGTCTTCATGTTGGAGCACGATGAGCCCGCCTAAACGCCTATTGCCCACTCGTTTGAATCCATTCCCGACCTCCCTGCCGATCCCCCACTCGATCCCACTCAGATGCCCGCTGTCTGCACCTCCTTATTCCCGGCAACGCCCCCAAACCCCGCTCACTCGAAAGACCAAAGCGGGATATTCGAGACGAGAATCCGTTTTGGGACGATGTGCTGAATAGTAATTCGAGACGAGACGTGGGGGTTCTGGTGTGGCGTGGGAATGCCCCCTGTTCACTGCATTTCCCCGCAAGTATTGCCCCGCAGACCATGTGGAATCCTGATTTCAGCGGCTTGAGCGATTTCGCCGATTTCCCTGATTCCTGGACTGGTCGTATCGTTGGGCTTTAAGTTTGCTGTCTTGTGCACATAGCAAACCCAAACCAAATAATCGTCATTATTATCGTGCTGGAAAAAAGCCATGTCCCATAGCTACAACATCAGAGATCATGAGGGAAATCGCCTTATGCACGAGAAGGCAAACGTGAATGGCGTCAATATCCATTACTGTATTGGGGGTCCTGTCAACGGTCCAGCTGTCATACTCGGTACGGCTCCTAGAAACAATCGCCTCGAGAAGGATAGAAACTAACAGGGAATGAAGTGCACGGGATCCCCAAAACAATGTTCGCCTTTCGAAAAGTTATCCCGTACCTCACGCCCAAGTATCGGGTTCTAGCAGTTGATCTTAGAGGCTTCGGCGATTCGGAGAGGCCAGCCTCTGGCTACGATTGCGCAACAATGGCCTCAGACCTGATCAAGCTGGCAGATGAAGTCGGGTTCGAGAAGTTCATCGTTGTCGGTGAAGACTGGGGCGCTGCCTACGCGTATACGCTTGCTGCAACCCACAGAGACCGCGTTGTTGGCTTGGTCTACCAAGAGATGATTCTACCCGGTCTCGGATTCGAAGACGGCATTCACTTAACTGGAGGGACCAATGACGAAAAGCTAAAGCCGTGGGACACCCGAACATTCTGGCACCTCATCTTCTTTAGTGTTCCTGATTACCCCGAGATGCTCTTGGCAGGCAAGGAGCGACAGTTCTGGACGCAGTGGATGCGAAGTGAAATGCGTGATCCGTCTGCGCTTACTCAAGAAGACATCGATGAGTATGCTGGATGGACTGCGCTGCCAGGCGGGCTGCGAACAGTGTGTGAAGTTTACAGAACAACGGAACAGGGAGCCAAAACAAACAGGCAGTTGATGGAAAAGAAGCTGGAGTGTCCTGTACTGGCTGTAGGAGGCGACTTTTTCTTTGGGGAAGTGCCTCGACGACAGATGGAGAGGATAGCAATGAATGTACGAGGCGCTGTCATCCACTCTGGCCACAACATTGCGCTTGAGAAACCAAAGGAACTAGCAGAAGCTTATATTTCCTTCTTCGACGAAATATTCTAAACATGATAGTCTAATTTATAACACTAGATCTGATTGCTTGCCTAGTCACTGTGAGCCGCCCAAAATGTTACTTGGATTCCTGTATTTCAAATATCAAAAATCTTCTGAGAGCTATCTAAGGTATGAGAGGTACAGGTCCGCGTATAACCTGTGTTACGTTGGATACTTAACATATCTAATCTCAAGTTAGATGACAAGTAGTATACTCCGGATAGGTAAGCCATAAGATTTATAAAGACACTATGAGCTGCAAAAGATGCGGGTCCTTTCATAAAAGTCCAACTAGAACAGATCTCATAGCTTAGAGTACTTACTTGAGTTTCAGTTTATGCGTGTCTATTCCGGCATCTCTGTGAACACTTAGAATGAACCCTTCTCTTGAGCCCAGAAAGCTCTGTGCGAGCGCATTTGCTACATAGTACACCTTTCTTGCTACAAATATGGGCTGATAGTAGTATAGTACCTCTGTGCTTACTACTCGAGAACTCTTGCTCGAGAGCTCGAAGCAATCAATTGCGTCCCTGGCGCTCCTGATCTCTACAAAGCAAGTCATGTGCCGCGCTATACACATTATTGACATACTGCCATGTGCGAGCATTGAAATCTCACCCACAAAGTTCCTTGTAGAATGCCTGCTGGGAGTTGTGTTCATGTTTAGGATAGTACAGGAAGGTTTTGGAACACTCATCCGTCCTACGTGGGTTGAGGAAGGTATTCTCAAGCTCGCATGTGGCTAGTCTCATGAAACTGTAAAATGGCTGACCAAGTACGTAAACAGTCACCGTGTTGGCAGAAGTATTATTGGAATAGCCATGTCCCGCAGAAAAAGGCACCCCTGGTGGTGGCAAGCCGGCAACAGCGAGGTGTAAAAAACAACTTAAATTTCCTAAGCACAACCTGTCATACATGTAAAGACGACTCCGACCACAGCCTCAAGCTGACTGTTTTATGTACTCACTATTCCTGAGTGACTGCCTAAGCCTTCTCACTGTTATCATCCACATCAAAAATCTCAGTGGCCGGCTCCCCTGACTCAGGACTGCCCTGGCTGCTTCCTTTCTCACTATATTGGTCGTTGACACTGTCAAGCAGGCGACGCTCAGCAACAGCGACATTGCCACCAGCCTCTTCAATCCTCTTTCTATATGCAGCCTCATTCTTCGAGACGAGTGGGTTTTTGAGAGTGAACAACAAGTTGATCTCCTCAAGGGAGCGATTGGCTGTCTCTGGTAAGAAGAAGTACGTCAATGGCAGACAGGCAGCGTTTAAGCAGGCGAAGACCAAAAAGGTCTGCCAACCCAACGTTTCGAACATGGTTGGGATAGCCAGAGTTGTGGAGCCGGCACCCATAGCCCAGCCAAGGATCCCAAAAGCATTTCCCTTGGCACGTATCTCCTGCGGCCAGATTTCCGTAGGGTAGATCCAGCAAACCACGAGAGTGGTCTGACAGAAGAAGAACACATACAAGAATACCATCGCAGAAGCTGCGGCTCCATATGACTCGGAGGAAGAGCCTGTTCTCTCACCACTGATCTTTGAGAAAGCAGCAGCGAGGAAGAGAACAATGAGCTGCATGGCAAGGCCCATGTAGAGAGTAACACGGCGTCCGAAACGGTCGACAACTGGGGCGGCTGCAAGTGTTCCGACAAACCCCATTGTTTGGACAAGCCCAGACATCCAGCCGATCTTTGATGGGGATGCACCCGAAGCAGCAAATAGAGCAGCTGAGTATGTTGAAACTGCCATGATACCAGTGTACATCATCATCATGAGGGCTGCGCAGGCAAGGACTGCGCGACGACCAAGGTGTAAGGCACCAGAATGACGACCTCCTAGCATGATATTGTACAGACGGTTCCGTTTGTGATTGGCAGCTTCAACAGTAGCAATGAGCTGAGCCATCTCGCCTTCAAGGTCAGGATGGTCAAGGGGAAGATCTCCACGAATCTTGCTAAGAATCTCTCGTGCCTCGTCTTCCTGCCCATTCCCTACGAGCCATCTAGGGGACTCAGGTACGAACCAGACAGTGAACATAATGAAGATGGATGGGAAACAGACACATGCCAGGGGGAATCTCCATGCAAACCCCCCAGGGTCGTTTCGAACACCGTACAAGATCCAGTTGATCAGCGCAAGTCCCAGGTAGTTGGCCGAAAAGACGATGGAGAAGGTGAAACCACGACTGTGAGACTCTGCCAGCTCGGAAACCCAGGACGGTATAGTTGAGTTAATAAAACCAATTCCGATGCCAGATATTACACGGGCACAGATGAACATTTTGTCGTTGTGGCTTCCAGCTTGAAGGGCACCACCGAGCAAACACCAAAGGCTGCCGATGAGAACTCCTCGTCTACGGCCAATCTTATCCCCAACCCATCCGCCGAAGAAACATCCAAACATGGCGGCGAAGTAGTAGATTGCAATTATACCCCTGCATATGTTCGATCAGCACTTGTCTCGTGCCACGTATATCCTTCCAAGACTCCCAGGTTTTCCAAAGAAGGTCTCTTTACTTACCCTTGCTTGATAGGTTTTGTGATCCGCCCATCTGCACCCAGATTATGGATATTGATAAAGTCGGGGTTGGCAGTAACTGTGCCCATTACACCTTGGTTACATCCTTCATAGATCAAGGCAATGAAGGAGAAGGCATTGGCGATAAAACGCACTAATCTGCCATTCATTTTTCGCCATATCTTCCCCGCCATTTTGGTTGCGTGGAATTTTCAATTTAGTAGAAGTTGAAAGTTGAATGCTGGGGCGATATGAAAAACGAGGAGATGTGGGCACCGGCACATATATATCCGGTATTATGGTTATTGAACAGTGATGGTTGGATGCCACCTGTCGGGGGTAGCATGTTCCACAATCAATGATACAAGACATGTGATATTGAGCCGCTCAGTCTCGGCGTGGGGGTCTGTAAACGCTTTGTTTGGGGAAACCTGGGGCAAAGGACTGATTGTGGAGCCTCTCCCCAGAGCGGGGAACCATGTACTTACTAGCGTGGAGACGGAGGGAGGATGAACACTAGCACACACAAGAACGTAGGGACATGGAGAGACTTACCTAAGATGAGCGTTTACTCCGTTGTGCTAGCACATCCCTAGAGTTATTGCGTCAAGTGATGTGAGGAGATGCAAAAATGAGGACTCTTTCCATTGATGCCGCTAGTGCCACTGAAACCACTCCCTGGATATTCTATTTACCTTCCTTTCCTCAAGCTTAAGTCCAGTCCCAGCTAGTTGGAATGGGGCAAAACGTTACTCTGCCGGTATCTAGTGGCCTTTTGTGTGTTGTAGGATATCTGGCGTGGATATATGGAGCACCAATACTTGCTCCATCTTGTTTTTCTCCCTGATATTCGAGCCAATATTCATTCCGCTGATCCAAACATTCGGCACTTGTAGACTCGTAGTCTCTCTCTCACTAACCGATGCACACCAAATACCTGTGGCATCCTGAAGTTTTCATGTAGGACACCAATCAGGAAGTTAAGTAGATCGTGGGGTGTCCACGCGTCCCAGAAATAAGCTTTCTCTGGGGTACAGCTTATTCCCCACAACTCCTGTACCGTGTGGGAGACGAGACACTGCACAATCCAACGAGGATACTGAGCCCATTCTCCCAAGTTCTCAGACATGATGTGTAGAGAGGGGTTGATCCCCTTGCAGAACGGTCAATGGCACCGTCTCCGCATTGCCAGAGAGATGCAGGCCTGGGCGTGGGGGGGTTATGGTCCCTGGCATAACAAGCTCCTTTAGAATCATTAGAAACGTGGGGTAATACTAGTAATCACTTGACCACAATGGCAGTGTGACAGTGTGGCATCTCCTTGACGTCTTTCTCCGTAGCGTTGATAGCTCATATCCCCCAAAAATATAATAAACAAGAAGAACTCTGAGTTAGAACTCTGCAAATGAATAGCCGCAATCCTTCTGACATAGTACTGTTGATACAATAATGTCTTTAAGCAAGGTCTTAGAAACCGTAAGAGGAGCAGAGGTGTTTAGTCTATCAGGTGAGGAATCGAACTTACTTATATGATAACATCCGTTAATACCAGACTTAGGACTGACCCTTCTCGGAGCGGGAATTGGCATCTTCTTCAATGTCATTCTCGTTTGGTACGTGGTCGAGTACTATAGGGACCCGCTCCATCTGCGGAGGTTCCCTGCCGCCCATCCTACCGCCGGATTCTCAGCTGCATGGACTATGGTGCACTGCTGGAAGTTGAAGCGTTTCTGGGGAATCCACAAGGCGCACGAAAGAGTTGGTCCCATTGTGCGTATTCAACCGGACCATGTCAGCTTCAATGTCGGTGAAGCTATCGAAGAAATCTATGGACACGGCAAGGATCTCACGAAGGCGCCTTTCTACGACACCCTGGCTTCATATCAACGAAGCATGTTTGACACCACGGATCGAGCCGAGCACGGACAGAAGCGCAAATATGTGGCTCATATGTTTGCCCCAATGACAGTGAAGAACCTCGAAGATGTCGTTGTGGATACTACCAAAAGTTTGTTCAGGGTATTCGATCGCTATGCCGATATGAAGCAACCAGAGTGGTTAAACATGCGCCACTGGATCAGTATGTATGCCTTTGATATCATTGGTGATCTGGGTTTTGGCGAGAAGCTCGGATGCCTTCAGAGAGGAGACGACATCATGAAGGCTCAGACTCGTAAGGGCAAGATTTACGACGTGAGTGGCATGCGTGGTGTTTACGACGGCGGTGCCTACAATGTCTTCTGGGGACAAGCAAGTTCGTTCCTTAAGTGGACGAAATGGATGACACAATGGACCACCGGCCGCTTCTTTGCCGATGCCTTCTTCGATGTTGCCATCTACCTTGTCAAGCGCCGCGTTCCAGCAGAGGACGTTGCAGAGTACGAGAAGAACCGACGATTTGATCTCTTCCAACGTCTTGTCATTGACAAGAAGGGTAAGGCCATGGACCTTGAATTTGAGGAGCTCTTTGCAGAGGCTGCCGTGCTTATGATTGCTGGTTCTGACACTTCCGGCACTGGGTTGTGTAATACTATTCTCTATCTTGCCAAACATCCTGACAAATTGGCCAAACTCCAAGCAGAGGTTGACACCGCTATCAGCCCCAACACACTTGTGGCCAAACATGACGATGTCAAAGATCTGCCATATCTCCGCGCCTGCATTGACGAGAGCTTGCGTCTCCGTCCGCCAAATGCACAAGGACTTCCACGTACTGTATCCAAAAATGGAGCCATGGTCCAAGGATACTACATGAAGCCCGGAACCGTCGTATCGGTCCCGACATACAGCATTCACCGTAACGAAAAGTACTTCAAGAATGCCGAGGCTTTCATACCCGAGCGATGGATTGACAACCCTGACGAGAAGGAAGCCTACAACCTCAAAAAATACGTTATTCCCTTTTCAGCTGGTAGCCGTGCTTGCATCGGTCGAAACCTGGCTTATCTTGAACTTCAGGTCGCTCTCGCGTCAATCGTTCACCGCTACAGCTTCGAGTTGAAGGACCCACACGAAGATGTCGAGATTTTTGAACGCTTCAACTCTAACCCCAGAGACTTTTACGTCAAAGTAAACTACAGGACACCGAATGTACCAGCAATATCGTCTTAGGTGCAGATATGTTTATGACAGAGTTTATGCCTCGGTGAAGTAGGCCGGTTGCCTACATAGTTGAGGCCTTGGGAGGGGATTCACTTTCGTTTTGTCATACTAGCTGTTGGTGATAAATACTCCTTTCTTTTTATCTGCTTGTAACGTAAGAAAATGTTATCTGAGCTTGCAGCTCCCTCTTCACAATCTCAATTCTCAAAACCACCTCAAATCTACGTTCAAATAGTCGAAATTACTTTAGGCGTGAAGCAAGAGATGTATACATATAAGCGATAATAAGACCGAAGTCATAGACCTAGCGCAGTACGTGTCTCTTTCACAATAGAAAGCAAGTCCATAACGAATCCATGATCTCGTTCTGCTCCCCCACGTAATATCCACACCCCGCACCCCGCACTCCGTACCCCACACCCCACATCCCACGCTCGGCTTCCCCGCGCGCCCCTCGGAAACTAAGTTTACCCACTAACCTGAACTTCGGGATCCCCTCTAACCCAAAGTATGAGACAGCTGCGAGACACAGTAGTGCCGGAGATACGCATTGTGGCTTATTACAACATGGGAAAAGTGATGCGGGGTAGGGGAAAGTACCGAACCAACCGCTGGAAATTGCCCTATACGGAGTATATAGCAACAAGGTCAAAGCGACTAGGTAGCAAGAGTGCTAACTGCAGGGGATAAATTGCTCTTTTTGTATAATAGTGCCGGGAATAAAGCTGCAGCTGTGTGGTGTAGGGTATGCGGTATACCGTTAGTCATTCGGAGGGGAAGGACGGAGTGGACGTGGGGGAATAAAGGGGAAGTGGGTGGTCCATTCTCTATGGCTATGGTCATCAGACTCTCGGAATCTCCAGCTTTGGTTTCAACGGAAAGGACAAGCCATTTTTTGAAATAGCATTTTATCAACGAGCAGAATACTTAACCCAGTACTGTCTACAGTCTACGTGCTACAATTCTGCCGCTCATCTCCTCCTCACATCAACATCACATATCTGCCACCATTTGCGCCCCTTAACCAAGTAGTAATTTTCAAGATCAGAAATGGCCGCTCACTCCTGGAACGGGAAGCCTTTGAGCCTGAAAGTCATCGGCACAAATGCCGGAACGTCCATGGATGGACTGGATATCGCCCATGTCCATTACACGCAAGACCATCCCTCCGCACCACTGAAAATGAAGCTTCTCCACGCTGGAGAAGTCAAGTTTGATGGTGCTCTAAAAAGTGTACATATCTGATCCTCTTCCATTCTTCATAAACTGAGCGTTATCGAGCAGAGCGCGTCATGAACCTGATCAGAACCAACAAAACTTCGCCCGAGGAGATAGCTATTGTTAATATTCAGGTATACTTACCTATGATCTTACGCATGCCCCTCCGAAGAACAGAAGTTCTAACAACGGTTTACTTTTCTCTTGTAGTTAGGAGAATTCGCAGCGAATGCGATCCAGCAGTTCGCCAAAGAAGAAGGATTCGATCTACAATCCGAGGTAGATCTCATAGCTGGACAAGGGCAGACAATATGGCACTTACCTCTACCGGAAATGTTCGAAGGCGACCAGATCCGCGCACATCTTGACATGGCTGAGATATCTATCATCGCGGCCAAAACCGGCATCACATCCTTGTCTAATTTTCGTGTAAGTGATATGGCGTTAGGAAGGCAGGGCTGTCCCCTCTTCGTACCTTGGGACGCACTTACGGCAACACATCCCACACTCAATAGAGCGGTACAAAACATTGGCGGAATTGCAAATATCACAATCTTGCCAAAGGGTGATGTGCGCCAAGGTTATGATTTTGATACTGGACCAGGAAATGTCTTTATCGACAGGTAGGTAGATGTCTCTGATGATTTCACGTTTTCAACTTCCTGACTCTATACCTAGCGCCATCCGCTATTTCACGAAAGGCGAGCGTCAGTATGATAAAGATGGCGCCATGGGAGCCGCCGGAAAGGTGGACCAAGAAATCGTCGACGAAGTTCTGGCTGGTCCTTATTTCACCCACGACATCCCTAAAACCACAGGCAGGGAGACATTTGGCGATAACCTCGGCGAAGAGCTCTGTGAACGCATGCTAGCTAAAGGCGCGAGTCCGGAGGACTGCGTAGCCACTATTACGCGCATCACGGCTAAATCTCTTGCGGATGGCTATAAGAGATGGGGACCGGTAGATGGGGTCGACGAGATCTACCTCGGAGGTGGCGGCTCTTATAATCCGAACATTATCGACTATCTCCGGCAAGAGTTCCCTGATACCAAGATACAGTTTTTGGACGTGTTAGGTGTGCCGTGCGGTAGTAGAGAGGCCATGAGTTTCTCACTAAAGGGGCTAGAATGTATTGTTGGTCGTTCACTTATTGTCCCAAAACGTGTCGAGTCGGATAAGCCTGGGATTATTGGTCATATTCAACCGGGTGCTGGCTTGCAGTACCATCGTCTCATGAAGCATGTGCAGGATTTCTGGGGCGATTGGCCTTTGGAGAAGAGAATGGATCCGGTGTTGAGTTTACAGGTTGTGACCACCAAGGGGTAGCTACTCACCCCGTAAATGCATCTTATCAAGAGAACATTAACTTTGATCAACGAGTTTAGAGCCCATTAATTACTACTACTATACATTCAAAACGTCTTTTAAAGGAAAAAAAAACTGGCATGTGATCACGCTAGCTAGCCTAGCTTGTCCCACATCTCAACCGTTTCGAATATTTTTTTTGCAGCAGTTTCAAGTCTCGTAAGATCTGTAACACCTTACTCTGGCTTCAGGATGGATCACATCAAGCGGCTATCGGTCCTCTTTCAACAAAGAACAAAACGCCTTTTTCGATATCCAGCTGTCCATGGGTCAAATGCAACAGAAAACTCCCTTTTGGTGAAGCTCCCAGCAGAGCTGCTGCAACAGGTTGCCAACGATCTTCCTGTCGTATCAGCCGCATCGTTTTCCCTTTCTTGTCGACACATTTACCTCTTGATTGGAACCCAGTACCTTGACAACCTAGCGACATCGTCTCACGAAACACTGGTGTTCTTAAAACTTCTAGAACGTGATCTTCAGGACCAGATCGCTTGCAATTCTTGCAGAAAGCTTCACAGGATGCAAGATGCCAAGAAATATGACGGGGCGAATCAACGGGTCTGGACAGGAGTAGAACTGGATTGTGTCTCTGATAATATGAAGGCAAGCGTTACATCTTTTATTCACGACAATTTCAGCACTGTTGTTTTCAAGATGGCGATGAAGCACTACCACCACTTTGGTTATGATGCTCGAAGCCGCCGGCTCTTGAATATTCTATCAGAAAAATTCCGCTCACACTCCTGGGGTACCTGGGTCAAAACTCAACAAGCAGAATGTCATATAAAAAATGGCTCCCTATTCACCTGCAAAAGCATAACTTTCCGTGGCACGTGTACAGGTGCTGTGCAAGGCTTAATATTCTTCTGGATATGCCCGCATCTTAAATTCGAATCAAGATCAATAGGGGGGTCTGCCAGTCTACGCATCAGAACATCGTCTCCTGTCTCACCCGAAGAGAAGTGGTCGATGTTACTACATTGCGAGAACAGTACTAATATAGATAAGACATCGTGGAATCTCTCCTGGGAACTTCAGCAATGTCGACACTGTCGAACCGAATATAAGGTTGGTTTTAAGCACGGTGATGGTTGTAATATAAAATTCACAACCACTATCTGGAAAGATCTTGGGCAAGGGCCTGAAACCGAAGAATGGAGAGCACATTTACCCCTTAAAGGCCGTCGAATCACACAAACTAATTCGGTTCCAAGAGGAGAGATAGCTTCTGTCTTTCAGGGAGGGCGGGGGGCGGGCTAGGCCGGAGATGAAGTCTCATATTTCTCATCAAAAGGGGGCTGGATCTTGTAATTCATGAACTGGAGTGTCTATAAACAATTAAGTTGGTGAACACAAAGAAGGTGTGGTTAATCTAGCAAAAGCCAGGTGCATTTCATGCCAATCATCTCAGACCTCCACTCTTATCAAGTCTCTGCCAGAAACAACATCGAGTCCAGGATGGCTCTCTTGAGATATAGAAGACGAGAAGTTTCATGCAATAAGCCGTACCAGCTACAGTGTTGATAATTGATGAGAAGGTCATGCTCGCCAGAGAGAAAAGTCGTTCCTCTGTTTGACGGCGTGTTCCGGTAAAATATATTCCTATCATATTGTTGGTAAACCTGGTATCCCGGTCATTGGATGCACGTACATTGGTCGATGGCAAGTGGCCGCTGAACCTGTTCTGTAGTTAGCTCTGTGCTGCCATTATTAAGGGTGATGTTGAGGTACCAATTAATCCATCTTCTCTTTCAAATGTTTACCAATTTCGACGATGGCGTCGGCCTGGGCTTCGGCCAAGTCGTTCTGGACTTCGGCCCAGTTGTTCTGGACTTCGGCCCACCCGAGGTGGAATTCGGAATTCCTACGCAGCGCTTCGACATCCCCGCGGATTTCTCTAAGTACGAGCAAAATGTCATCGTTAGAAGGACAAACTCTACGAGCGAAGGCAGAGTCCGGAAAGAAGCCAAAGGCCACAAGAAGGCGCGGTAAAACAAAGAGGATCGCGAGGATAGTGAGGACGAGCGCGGCAACGGCTATTCCTTCAGAGAAGGTCAAATTCAATGCCATTTTGAAAGCTTTTGAATTACAGTAGTGCAACTGAATTCTGAGGGGTGATCGCTCTGTTAAGGAGGGAAGAAGGAGAAGTAGAACGAGAGTGAAGAAGAAGGCACTTTTATCCAGCTTTAGCTAGCGTTCGAGGAAGGTACACAAACAGCACCCGCCCCTGCCATATTATAACTTGTGAAGTAAACAGGAGCAGTGGATTGCGACAGGAAGAAAAAATAGCAACCCATCAATATTATTTTGAATTAGGAGTCATTGAGGGTGTGGTATAATCTGGGTGTTCTTTGCTCTGTAGGATTGAGATTGCCAACAAGCGGCAGGGGTATAGATCTCCACACCCTTTGACTAGAGCATGAACTGAGTTTTTAATATAAGAGATCCATATAAAGCGCTTACTCGCTATGCTACGCCTTTGATACTTGATACATACTCAAACTCTACGCATCTATATGACAAAGTAGGGTGAGAGATTTAGAGATTTGCCTTGATCCTGCTATCTAATTTCTCCAGGCCAGCAGGGCCGTCATAAATGTCGCGTTCAGCAGCTCGTGAGTTAATCTAAAATCAAATGGGTGAGCGTGTAAAAAGACTAGCGAACTAGAGACTTACATATTGAGGACCCAGTTCACTAATGGTTTCTACTCCCAGAAGTCTCATGCACGTTTCCATTTCGGCTTTGAGAACTGTGCAGCTCAGTCAGTTACAACAAGGCAATCTCTGAGCGTTCAAGTATTGGATAATACGTACTCTCAAAAGTCCTCTTGACCCCCTCCGGTCCACCGGCTCCCAGACCAAACAAGGCAGCCCTGCCCACGCCTACAGCCTTGGCTCCTAAACACAATGCCTTCACGATGTCCGTACCTCTTTTAATGCCACCATCAACCCACACCTCAACCTTGTCGAAGACTTCGGGGCAGTACTTTCGTATCTCAAGGAGGGTGTAAACGGCAGGCGGGGCTGTATCCGCGGCCCGTCCTCCGTGATTCGAAAGAATAATGGCCTTAACCTGGGGCGCGTGCTGGGCAGCCAGATACGCATCCTCATGCGTTTGAATGCCCTTCAGGACAACAGGTAAGGACGTGTGCTTTGCCAGCCAAGGGAGAGTGGTTTTCCAGGTCAGATCCGCAGCGGTGCCTTGGAATAGCTGCAGCCCAACCCCGCCGGCCTTACGGCGGTTGTTGGCCTCGCCGGACATGTTCGCCGATGTGACAGGGGGACCGACCTCCTGGTTTCGCTCGTCGTGCTCGCGCTTGCCGGGTACGGGTGCATCGAGGGTCAAGCAGACGAATTTGACCTTGTCCGATATCTTGTTGATCCGAGCTAGCATCTGCCCGCTCTTCCGGCGCTCGTTCTGCACATAGAGCTGCCATCCAAAGACCTGGCCGGGGGACGAACCCTCAACGATTTGTTCCGGTGTCATGGAGGCACTGTTAGAGATGATCTGAAGTGCATTGAACGTGCTAATACCTTGCGCGATGCCATGCTCGCCCGTTGGATGACCTAACCTCGCCTGTGCCGCGGGTGAGACATATAAAGGAAGCCCTACTTTATACCCTAGAAGACTGGTTGAGATATCACACCTTGTGCAATCAATAAAGACCCGCGGTCGAAGCAAAATCTTCTTATAAGCCAGGTTATTAGCACTTTTCGAAATCAGATCGTCCGAGGCAGAGTAATAATAGGCCCATGCCTTTTTCGAAATCTGCTGTGTTGCAACCTCTTCGATCTCATCCAAGTTAAGCAAGTTCTCCATAGGTGGTGGCCCGGCTTTCTGCGTTTTCTTCTCGAGCGCCTGGACCTGTGGCATACTCGCGGGGTCGATCTTCCCTAGCTTTGCCTCGGGGCGTAGGTTTTCTTCCAGGGTTCCAGCGGGATGAATAGGGTCGAACTCTGCTGTTGCGTCGCGGCCGGCCAATTTGAGAATAATATTCGAGCCCCCAGGGTGGAAGGGAAGGAATTCTGTTACATCGTAGACATGGCCATATAATACAACCCAGCAGCTTTCCGGGGAGGTGTGTTTTGCGACTAACAGCACCAGTGTTAGGGACTCGAGGATCTCAATATAATTGGAAGTTTAACAGTACCTTCAGCAGCATCAAAAGTCTTAGCCATGATCGATATGGACTGAGGATCTAGAGACTCGAGGGGCTCGATTTGCAATTAAGAGGGCGAGTTCTCGCAGACGGGGAATTGTAGAAGAACATGTAGCTCGGTATATATCCACCGAAGGTGTGTCTGTATCCCCCCTGATGTTCCCCCGAGCCCCTCCCCCACCTAACCCACGCACCCCCACTCTTCCACATGCGTGGACAACGTATTCCGTATCCCGTATCCCGTATCCCGTATCCAGCGCAAATAAGACGGCCCCTCTACATAACAACAGGGATACGAAAAATCTAGATTCTGGAATCTAGAACGTCGTCTGCCCTACATCGTACATCTCATCCAAACATACGGTACCTAGGGGATATCTGCCAAAATCCCCGAATTCATGATTTACTCGTGCTTACTCACGGCACTGGCGGACGATGACAAGTGGAAATGCGTGTCTTGACGTTCTTATTCTACGTCTATTCTACTTGGTTCTCATCTAATCTACATCTTGACTGACCTTCAGAACTATCCTGCCCGCAATGTCTCCCCTTTCTAATTCTTCATATACAGCTGGGAGATCTTTGAACGGCCTGACGGAAACCTTTGGCTTGACGACCCCGCGGCGAACAAGTTCGACAGCCTCGAGACACTCTTTTAGAGACCCCACGAGGTTCCCCGTAATGCGAAGTCCTTTGATGACGATGGTGCAGACTGGGACTTCGATAAAGGCCTTTCCCGGCGGGATCCCGACACAGCTGAGAATGCCACCAACGCGAAGCATGTCCGCAGCGGATTTGAAAGCCTTCGGACTCCCCGCCGTGACGACCACCGCGTGAGCCCCTCCGGAAGTGATATCATGCACGTCCTGGATCAAGTCCTTGGTTTGTGCGAAATCAATGAACGCATGAACACCCAGTTCCTTGACGAACTTCTCCTTCTCACTCCCACTATCGACGGCGAGGACCTGCGCGCCCACAGCAAGCCCATACTGAACTGCAGACGACGAGTCAGCGAGATGACTTGAATGAGAGAATACGCCTTACCCGCAAGGTGGCCCAGCCCCCCTCCGGCTCCCACTACGACAAGCCACTCTCCGGCTCTCAAACCGCAATTCAGGACCGCCTTTCCTACCGTCAACACCCAAACGAGGACCACGGAGATGGCAGCACATGGGGAAGAGACGAACCTTGTACGCCGTGACGCCGGCACAGAGAACGGGTCCGATGATGGCGGGATCGATATCTTGGGGCAAGACGGTGAGATAATCCGCATCCAGGGCGATATACTCCTGGAAACTGCCGTCTTCGTGGTGCAGGTGGTTCGTGCCGCGGATGCAATGCTGCTCCTTGCCGGCCAGACAGAACTCGCAGCGGCGACAGATGCGACTGGCAAAGCGGATGCCGACGAGGTCCCCGACGTGGATATCCGACGCACAGCCGGGGCCGAGAGCGATGACCCGACCGACGCCCTCGTGGCCGCCGATGTGCGGTAATTTGATGTTGGTGATGGGATTACCGTCGGCGCCGGCTGCGGTTCCGGCCTTGGTGTGCAGATCTGTCCAGGGGGAGAGGGGACGTCAGCAAGGAGGGGGGAACCGTAGGGAGACCAAGGGGTTCGAACTCACCGCTTTGGCAGACTCCAGTGTACAGCACCTTGGCAAGCACTTCATTGTTCGCCGGGGTCGGAACGGGATAATCGTCTTCGAACTGGACGCCGCCGCCCAGTTCGTAGACACGAGCGACGGTCTGGGTCGTGGGGATTGCGGCCGGCATGGTTGAAGGAGTCAAGAGAGGGAGGGACACGGAGACGGGGGGAAGGGGGGGAGTAGGGCAAAACGACCTTATATAAGGGAGGATACCTTTCGATAAGGTACCTCTGAGCTGTACCACAGCGCTTTCCACTCGTTCCGCAGTGCATCGTGGCCTTTCCAATCAATTCGGGTCATGTGTTTTCCCTTCCAGTCGGAATCCCCCCTCCCCTCCCCCCTGCCCCCTCTCCCTTAAACCATTCCCCTTGTCCCCCCTTTTCCTCCCTTTCCTCCCTCCCCCCCCTAACCCCGCCCCCACGCCGATGGCTGCATCCGTGCTAATGCCGATGGTCGCCGATGGTCCCGACTCCCGCCCTAGTCCAGGCTAACTTGGAAAGGGATGCGTTGGTACGCCCCGCATTCCCGCATTCCCGCATTCCCGCATCCATCCCCCCACGGTCTACCTCGCCTCACCTCGTGTCGCCTCGCCTGTTGTGGAGACGTGGGTGTGGGGTTAGCGCCTACGCCCGCACCTTCCCTCCTCGAATCCCCCGCCGGAAAGGGCAAATCCTTCCGGCGGCCATCGACGCCATCCCTGACGCGAGGCACATGACCGTGGGGGTGGTAGACCCGACACTCGGGGCCCAGAACATCTCTCCTCGTCTCTCTCCTTCACACCTCTTCTCAACTGATCCTCTCCTCGACATCCCCATCATCAATGTCGGTCGTCCGCATCTGTCTGTCTTGTCGCAGCTCCTCAACTCCGTCTCGCCGGAGAGAAGAGAGAAGAGAGAAGAGAGAAGAGAGAGGAAGAAGATCCAAGACACACGACACGACGCAAGATACAAGAGACGACGTAGGAACCCCCAACGGCCAATGTCGTCCGACTATCTCTTCCACGCCGCCAGCGCTCCCCGCCCGCACCACCACGACCTGGACGGTGCGCGGTGGGACGCCACGGCCGGACAACCCGACCCTGAACCTGAAGCCGTTTTCTCCGTCTTTGGCGGCGAGACCTCCCGTCGCTCTCCCTTCGTCATTTCCGACGACTTTATCCAGTTTCTCTTTGACGATTATCAACTCCATGATTCAACCTCCATCATCAGCGCAAATCTGAACCGCGATGCGTACTCGAGGTGAGGCCCCATCCTCTATCTCGTTGGGTGTCGGCCGGGTGAAGACGGCTTCTGCGTCTGGGCCCTGGCACCTCTTCTGTGCGACTTCACCTCATTGATACTCGTTGGCAGCCCGCAGTCCCTATGTTCGCCTCACACAAGTCACGACAGTCCCCGCGCGGGCTGCCTTCCGCCCGCCTCTTTAGTCGATAGCCACGATCCTGGCGAGACAAGTCTTCCGTCCGCGATGCTCTCGGATGAGAAGAGCCGCGAGATCCTCAACCTCGTCGAGGATATGTTGAATAGGACGGACCATGCACCGGTGGCTGAGTACAAGGACTCCCTGGTCTGGGGTGCTCGCTCTCGGGATTTCAACATGATGAGCCGGAAGACGATGGAGACTTATCTCGTCAACTACTGGAGGGGATTTCACGCCCAGCTTCCAATCTGTAAGTCTAGAATCTCCTCGACGTCCAAGAGATTGGCTTTGGGTCTTCCAAGGATGTGTCGCACATCAATTTCTCCCGGACATGGAAAAGGGGTGAGCCCCGCCTCAAGGCAAACGGGAAGGCCAAGACAAGGTGGAAGAGAAGAACTGACAGTTGGCTAGTGCACAAACCAACCTTCTCACCCGACAATACCCCCAGCCTTCTTCTCATTACGATCATGATCATTGGCGCCTCGTGTCCCGACAAAGAAAGCTACCATGCGATCAACAAGACTAGTACTGAGCTTTGGGCCGTGCTCGTCTGGCATTTGCGATGGGAAATATTCAAATTAGTAGATGTCCGGCCCCCACAGCTATGGGTGTTCCAAGCCCTTCTGCTCCTCGAGGTCTACGAGAAGATGTTCTCGACAAGGGTCCTCCACGAACGAGCACATATCCACCACGCCACCACGATTGACTTGATTCGTCGCGGGAGTCCCCTGGTTGAAAGGTCCCCGGCGGATCTGCCCCCAGGCTACCAGGAGAACGCGCCTGGCATCCCGCCTCCGGGGACAACCTTCACAGCTGAGTGGTGGAGCCATTGGATCACCAGAGAGGCAACCCGACGAGTGGCTTTCGCAGCCTTCCTCATCGACTCGATCCATGCAACGATGTTCGGGCATTCGACGATGATGGCTGCCCACGAGATCGGACTCTTGCTACCGTGCGACGAAGCACTGTGGTCAGCGACTGACGCTGCGGAGATAGGCAGGATCGAGTCGGCGCTCCGCGCACACGGCGTGAAGCCCCTATCATTCCTCGAGGGCCTGCAGCGGACGCTCAAGGGTCACGAGGTACACACCAACGCCTTTGGACGGTCGATCTTGATGTCTGGCTTACTGAGTGTCAGCTTCCACATGAACCAGCGGGACCTCCAGGTTGATTCTCTTGGGGTCAACCCTCGAGGGCGGCGCGGAGGCTCCAGGTGGAGGAAGTCTATCACGCGAGCCTTCGATCTCTGGATGCAATCGTACGAGCAAGCGGCCGGGAACGGCGCCGGCAACATGTCCGGACGCTGTCTGGATAAGGACCATGCCCTGGAAAGTCGGATCGCACTATACTATCTCGCCCATATCAGCATGCACGTTGACATTGTGGAATGCCAGGTCTTCGCCGGGGCAAAGCGTGTGCTGGGCCGCCCTCTCGGGAAGCAGGACATCGAGAGCGCCCAGCGCCACATTCGAACAATCTGGGCACCCACCGCGGATGCTCGAGCGGCCACCTTCTATGCGCTCCGCTTCCTGTGCGCCGTGCTCCTGCCCAGTCCCGCGCACGTCGCCCGCCCATCCTCTATCCTCGACTATGCCGCCACCAGGAAGAACGTGCTGCCGAGCCCGTGCTGGGTCCTGTACGTTGCCGCCCTCGTCCTCTTCTCTTATAGCTACGCCGTCGATGGCGCCGCTGTCCTCCCCGCCCCCGCTGACTCCTCTATCGATAACCACATCCGCGACATGTACAGCTTCTTGACCCGCGTCGACGCTATCAGGACCCCCGACGACATCGTGCATCACCGGCTTAACGGCTGCCGAGGGATGCTCCGCGTCCTGCGCCACCTCTTCCGAAACGCCAATTGGGAATTGCTTCACGAGGCGGCCGACATGTTAACCAACTGTATAAAAATGATTGGTTGATGTATATAAGCTGGACAGTTTACCACTAGGAGATTGTCGACACGGACATTTACTACAGGGGTGCCGCGATTGCTCTGCTAACGAGACGAGTCGAGGATATTCTGGCGAAATGCACGCCATAATCTTGGGCCTTAAACTTGCTGTTTATGATTGTGTGACTTGGAAGATTTCAAAGGGATCCATAATGGTTCACCCGAAAAACAAGAGTATTTCCTCTAACTCTGGTTAGCCGATTTGCCAGTACCTTGAAGGCAGCCTATCAGGCATTTAGACAGTGCTGTGACAGTATCCCCTAGTTGATCATACTGTGACTATTGTCAGCTCCTTGGGAGCATATCTATATAAAAAGCCTAGTATTTTATTCGGACCGTCTTCTATAAAATGACCGTCCTGACTCCTGTGACCGTCCCTTCTCGGTAGAAAGTTACACAGCAGCACAGCCTACTGCAGAGCCAGCTGTGCTGGCAAACATAACTCGCCAAGATTTCAGCTCAGATCTGATACAACCCCGGGTCTCCGGGGTGCGGGCTGGGAACCTGGATTTCTGTGCTGAAGAGTGCTCAGAGCCGAATCCAGTCAGACGGGAGCGTTGGTGTTTACCGTGTAATTGTTCGCCGCTTTCTCTCGAGTAATCGTCGCAAGTTTACCCAAGGCTATTCTCCTTAATTCTGCACCCTCCACTCACGCAACGCCTCAAGGACTGTAAAATTCTTGGTAAATTCCGCAAAGCTGAAGGCATCGTGGATCCCCCAACAGTCTTTGATTGACGGGTCAGCACCTCGACTGAGTAAGAAACGCACCACCTCCTTACTACCTCGTTGGTATTTGGCTGCATAGCAGAGTGGGGTCCCCCAGTGATTAGGCAGTTGGCCATCGGTATCTAAAGCGTTCACATCAAGACCGAGATTGTCCACTAGGTACTCCACCATGGCCATTCGAGTAGGCAGGCATTCCAGGCTGCTTGAGCTTGCGCTCGCAACAGCGCAATGCAAGGTGCGAGGGCCGAGCTGAGCCCCTCGGGAGTGCAGGAGGGTGAAGATGGGGACCGTGCCATTACTAGCAACAGTCTCTAGAAGCGGTGGGCTTATGTACGGGTCGACGTGTAGGCCATCCACAGAGGCGCCGTGGTCGAGACACCAGCGCACAAGGGACTCGTCGTGGCAGACTAGTTGCAAGAGACGTTTGCCCCGCCCTGCACCGCTGCGATTGATATCCCAGCCGTTGTCGACGAGGACCTGGAACAGCTCTATCGATGGAGAAGATGCTACTTTTAGTGGAAAAAGTGAGTCCAGAGGGGCGCCTTTCTGCTCAATCAGGTACCGCACCACGTCAGCTTGACCGCGGTAGACTGCTCTGGTCAGGCTCAGATAGAGGAGCTGTTGATATTTTTGAAGCCCGCTAGAGGAGGCCGCTAGTAAGGCTCTCGATACTTCAGCAATGTCTTCTGTTCCGCAGCCGTCGGCAATGATAGCACGGGAGGATGGCATTTCGACCTGGGTTGAATTTGTAGATGACTGGGAGGAAGGACTCCCAGCGCATTCTACGCCAGGCGGCACTTCAGAGCCATGATATGGCTGCATGGCGAAACACGCGAACACCTTGAGCGACAGCCAAAAAAGAAAGGCACGGCGAGACTCGCGTGATTGTATTCCGGCAAAATATAAAACACAGAAGTGCTATGAGGGCAGGGTTGTGTGGTTGTATGTTTGTAAGGTATATTTGTATAAGGTAGTAGGGGCAAGATAATGTGCGGCGGAGGTGAGATCTGGTCATGTGATGATACACTATTCCTCAAGTGGTTTAGGTCGTTAGCCATATGTTCGTTTTCGCAGAAATGGGGAAATACAACTTCCCCCTCTATATGCAACCAGCCCAGCCTGTTTGTATTATGATGGATGTCGACACTTTGGCAAGTGGACAAGATTTATAAGCGTTCATGAGTCCTTTTTCGGAGTTCCACAAGGCGGTAGTCGAACCTGCGTTCCAGCAGAAGATTGCTAGGGTATCACTCTGGCGATGGTGTGTTGCCATCTCCAAATCTAGAACCCCTCTCCTCCCCATCACACTGCTCCAGCCTCCAGGGACATCTTTCCCCCGTGCCCCAAAGTCTCAACAAGCGATATCAGATTCCCAGGTTACGGTACAGCATGGCCCCACGCCGATCTCGCAGAATTTTAGCGGAGCGCTAGAGCCCAGGATCTGATTAGATGGATTGATTTGTGGATTAGATAATCTGATTGATTATATAATTAGCGACGTTGGCTGGATTCGGAATCTCGCTTTTTTCCGGGCGCCACGGTCGCGAAGAGAAGGATCTGATTAGATTAGATAATTAAATTCGTTAGTGGACTGTACTGTATGGCATCTCTGGTGTTCTAGCTACCTTAACCAGTATAGCGGAATGTCACTCGTGCAGAACTGTCTAGGGAAGTTTCGCGATGGGACGGCCATGGTATGTGCGCATACAAAGTGGCTGGGATGGGAGGGCGTGTGACGTGCCAAGAAAGATTTTAACCTGAGGGAAAAACGTGGAAGTGGGAACAGTTCGTGGTGGGGTCTTTCCGGCCTATATTTTTTACTCCGGAGTTAATGTGGGTAAGACTATGGGAGGAGCGAAAAATGAAATAAGCCCTGGAGGTTGGGGCTAGAAACTCGTAGATGGAGATGACGTTATTATTGGGGGGTTCGACTGGATCTGCATAGATGGGTGTTTGGAGCAGTTACGGTCCCTCGGGAGTATCCCGGATACGAAGTGTCAAAGTCTGTCGTGCCTGATCTTTCCTAAAGGTGCGAGTCCCGTTTTCTGGAACTGTGGAGTAACTGGAGTTCCAAGACATGCCAAGTGATTAGATTATCTCGAGCAGTGGGAAATCTGACCCCACAGATGCAGAAAAACAAGCTTTTGAGATCTTTTGACACTTCTGGGCAGCGGAGATAATGTGGGAACCGAATCAATTGACAACTACAAGGAATTACAAGGAATTACTATCTATGTGCATAGAAGAGTCATTTCCATGGAAACAATGAGAGGCCAACTCCATGACCTTACGCTCCGTGATGTCTCCTTCTGAACTATAACGTAATCCGAATACAATTATCGCGTGTCGCTCGCAACCGCCTCGAGAATCCCACCCGTCAGATGTGCCTGGCCCTGGCGGACAATCTCTGCCGCCTCCTCCTTCGACACCGCCTGTTTCCGCTTCACATAGCTGCGCAGGCCCGGAACCTTCAGCATGAAGGCAATCAACTCTCTCTTCAACGGAAGCGAGCCGGTGCGCTCCTCGTAGAGCATGCACACGACAGAGAAGATGATGGCGATCCAGTATACGTTGTAGGAGATGACCGAGCCGTAAGTGGCGGAGTTCTGCCATCCCAGGATGGCGTTAAAGACGTCCCAGCCATTGTCAATCTCGGGATTGCAGCAGTTGACGTGCCAGACGCTCTCGCGGATGTCGTACGAGCCTGGGCCATCGCCTTCCTCGGCGACGTCGCTGCCGACCTTGGCGGAAAACATGTGGAATTGTAAACTCCAGACGGACTTGGAGAACATGCCGGCGGCGATGAGGTACAGCACGCTGGTGGAGGCGATAAGGAAGAGTTGGATAGACATAACATTTCCCCCGCGGTAAATGAGCCAGCCAATGGTAAGACCAGCGACCAAGCCGCAGACGACGGGGAGAGGAAATGCAGTGGCGGGCAAGCCCAGAGACACGCCGCCCACAAACACGACGGCCTCGACGCCCTCACGAAGAGTTGTGATGAAGGGGAGTATAAACATGGCGTATCTTCGAGACCAGGAGCCTATGCGGGATCCAGTCCTGCGACTCTGGCTCTTCTCCGCCAGGGCCTTCGCGATCTTGACCCTCCACTTCTCCTTTGTCTTGTTGATGCGCAGCAGCGCGAGCCCCATGATGGTGATGATGATCGTGGCAATGAGATAGAAGATGCCCTCCCAGAGATCCTCGGACTGAGCCCAGATGTCTTTACCCAGACCGTAGAAGACGCCGATGAAGGCACCGCCGATGATCAGACATACTGCGACCCCGCCCAGTGATCCCACCCATACCTGCCGCACCAGCCGTTTATAAATCTTCTGGTCCTGATCAGGCTGGCCCAGGCATTGGGCCAAGAAGGAGAGGAGCACGGAGACGACGATGACAGCCTCGAGACATTCGCGAAAGACGATGAAGAAGATCTGCACCGCGAAGACGTTCGCCATGACGGTGGTTGTAGGAGGAGAAGAGGGGGAATATCTCGAAGTGTCAATCAATGGTAAGAGCAGAGGCCTGTGTCAAGGGGTTAAATAAGAAACATACCGAGTAAAATACGAATCTGCCACGACCAGATGCCACGGACAGTCACATTGGTGAATAACAGGAACTCGCGCCGTCTCCACCAACCCCAGCGACAGGCATGGGATACATGATGTATGGGTCAATTCTCAGATGGCTTCATACGAGACGCCCGCGGCCTCCACGCCCAACACACGGAGTACCTATAGGGCGCCAGCCACATGCTTGCACTCGCTCAGTGTTACTCCTTTGGGCTAAACAAGCACCTCGGCCCCACCGAGATCGGAGGTACATCGGTTTAAAGTTATCAGATCCGGTGTCTGGACTGAACGGAGGGGCATAAAGACGCGAAGAGGGAGGCATTAGGGAGCATCAGAGGGCAGGATCAAACGGGGCTAGTCCCATTAGCGCCATCTGATAAGTGGAATCCATCTGATAAGTGGAATCCATCTGATAAGTGGAATCCATCTGATAAGTGGAACCACAGGGGACCAGGACCAGGGGATCAACGACAAGCTCCAGAACCACCGTCGAGCTACGACACAACCACTATGCAGATGATACGACGAGGACCCTTTTTGATCCCGTGCAAGGGCTTTTCCCACCCGACTATTCCCCACCCGTGGAAGGATGCGAGTTTTCCTCGGACAGGGAACGTATGCCCCTTCGTCCCCCCAAGCCATCACCAGAAAGTCTTATTAGTAACCCGGAAACCAGAGATCGCCAACATCTTCACCCACACAGTCTTTCTTCTGAGCGCATTTCTGCACTCTCTATCCCCGACTCACCCTCTCCTGGACCGTTGCTGGCGGCTCCTCAGCTTCTTCTGGGATGGCTCAACCAGCGCGCGCCGTGCTGCGTATCGTGACGGTGCTGTTATTGGCTGGTTGGTGCACGGCAAAGACGGTTACCTACGATTTCAATGTCACTTGGGTTACGGCGAACCCAGACGGCCTCAAAGAGAGGAAGGTGGTGGGCATCAACGGCCAGTGGCCGCTCCCAGTCATCGAGGTCGATAAGGGGGACCAGCTAATTGTCAACATGCACAATGGATTGCCTGACAAGAATGCCACCATTCACTTCCATGGCATGTACCAGAACGGAACCAACGAGATGGATGGGCCTTCGATGGTCACCCAGTGTCCGGTTCCGCCTGGCGCCGACTTCACCTATAACTTCACCGTCAATCAGAATGGGACGTACTGGTACCACTGCCACACCGACTACTGCTATCCCGACGGGTATCGCCAGGCCTTCATCGTCCACGACACGGAATCCTACTTCTATGATGAGTACGAGGAGGAGTTTACCATAACCCTTAGTGATTGGTACCACGAGCTCAGCGAAGGCATCGCCCCGGATTTCTTGTCTGTGTATAACCCCACTGGTGCCGAGCCGATTCCCAATGCGTTTTTGTTCAACGATACGCTCAATACCAAGATCCCTGTCAAGCCGAATACCACATATCTAATCAGGCTGATCAACATCAGCGCTTTCGTCGCCCAGTACTTCTACATTGAAGGCCACACTTTCAGAATTGTTGAGATTGACGGCGTATATACGGAGCCAGCGGAGGCAGACACGCTGTATATTGCCGTCGCTCAACGGTACGCGGTCCTGTTGACGACCAAGAACTCGACCGATCAGAACTACGCCATTGTCACAGTTGCGGATTCGCAATTGCTTGACACCATCCCGTCTGACCTCCATCTCAATAACACCAACTGGCTGGAATACAACGCAAATGCAGCATTCGATCAAGCTGTCATGACTGTCAATGACTCCTCGAGCTTGGTTCCGTTTGACGATATAACTCTAGTTCCATACGACCATCTACCGCTGTATCCAGACCCTGACCACCAGATCAACGTAACGGTGTATATGGGGAACTTGCTGAACGGGTACGGCTATGCCTTCCTGGATAATATCTCATATACCGCGCCCAAGGTACCTACCCTGTTCTCCGTGCTGTCGTCCGGCGACATGGCGACCAATTCTGAGATCTACGGCGACTTCACGCATTCCGTCGTCCTGGATCATAACGACGTCGTCGAGATTGTTCTCAATAACGGCGATACCGGCTCACACCCCTTCCATCTCCACGGGCACAACTTCCAAGTTATCAATCGGGCGCCGTCGTACGGCGCCACCTTCTACGACTATCTGAACGGCGACCCCGTCCCGTACGATCCCAACAACCACACGGCTTTCCCTTCCGCCCCGGCGCGACGAGATACTTTCGTGCTCCCCCCCCAAGGCTATTTCGTCATCCGCTTTGTTGCCGACAATCCCGGTGTCTGGTTCTTCCACTGCCACATCGACTGGCATCTCGCTCAAGGCCTCGGCATGCTAATGGTCGAAGCGCCGACTCAGCTCCAGGAGCGCTCCCGCATCCCCCAACAGCACTACGATGTCTGCGCGGCCGCCGGCGTCCCCTCCAAGGGCAACGCGGCTGGCAACTTCAACAACTTCCTCGATTTGACCGGGCAGAACACGCAGCAGCCGCCTCTCCCCGGCGGCTTCACCTCCCGCGGAATTGTCGCTCTGGTCTTCTCCGTCCTGTCCGCCTTTGTCGGCATTGCCTCCATCGTCGTGTATGGACTTAGCGATCTGAAATTCCATGTTAAGGACCCTGGGGCGGGCGATGTCGCGGAGCCCGGCAAGGATGACGACGTACAGATGGTGGTTGAGGAGTATCATGATAATACGCCCACGATATACGATATTCCGAAATCCTCCTAGCCAGCAGTTTTTGATCCATGGTGCGGCTGTTTCCTGTGACCATATTCGAGGCGAAGTCTTGATTCTATCGTTGTTTGTTGGTTGATTGGTTTGGAGGATTTTGAGTTGTATATACATGTCTAATGATGTATTTTACTAGCATAGACTAACCTATAGCTACATCCCTGTTGGCTTCGAATTGAAGCAGCTGAATAAACATCTATATGTACCTGAGAGATGAATTTCCGCAGCATAGCACATCTAGATCTCATCTTGAAGTTCGTCCCTCACGGCACGTAAATTAGAAAAAGAAACTATACATAATACAAAAGCCCCTCTAGAACAGTCACTTCAAATACCTGTCCTTCTTTTCTATGTTTGTTTGTTTCCAGGGAGGTGTAAGTAGATAAAGCGCTAGATGTATATACTGTATATATGCACTTTATAAACAAACTATTGTTGCAAGTAGCTTTAAGATCGAGAGGAACTATGCATACCGCAAGTACTACTTTTATTGAGTTTGAATGTGATTATGCAGAGGCAGCTACAAAGAAACTTGGATGCGGGGGGCAATGAGGATGCTGGAGACCCCGAACCTCCCGCGGAGCTCTAGGTTATAGAGCGGATGCGGGTAGCAGCTCCTCTGAGATCTCACGAGAAGCTTGAGACCTCAAGACATTGTCTCCCGCAGGATACTTGCTGTCGACTCTATAACGTCCTCAGACCCATAAGCCAGAGTCGGTCCCGACCTGCGAGGGTCTGCTTAAGAACGAGCCTCTCTCCTCCGCTCTAAGTCCCGATCCCTCTCCTTAGCCTGACGAGTCCCCCCTCATCTTAGCTAAGACCTAATGTATCTTCTGTATCGGGAAGAATGGTATAAATACGAAAAGCGGACTCGTGCCTTTAAAAGCATGTCTCTCATGTAGGACTACGTAGTGATAATTCACGAGGTAGACCTTTGACCATACCAGTAAATGGGCATGTCCTACGGATGTGAAGCCGCTACACACCTGACTCCTCGAAAGCACAACCACCAGCTTCGTTTCCAATATAAAATCTTCTATTACCTACGGAAGCATCTTCTAACGCCTTAAAGGCTTCATAGCGTGTCATTATCCTGTTGCACGCGCTAAATGAGCTATACGAACCACGATCGACAGAGAGGGAATACAAGGACTAGGAGGTATAATAGCAGCGACACCGTGGCCGAATACTTCTCTCGGTTGTCTCCTCTTCTAAAGCCTCGAGGACATTACGCTGGATAAATATAGAGGGAAATACTAAGGGAAACGGGGCTGGAAGACAGGTGTCTGTGGGTTTAGAGAATACTCCTCTCCCCATTCCCTCCTCAGGTCACATCGACGAATCTATCTTGCCCACACCACCCTTTAGCCCTCGCTCCCATCGCGCCGCCATGTCCCTCCCCTTCGTATTGATTCTCCCAGCTCCTGCTGCCCCTCCGCCGTCGTCTGACCACATCCTCCTAGCCCAAGAAGCAACCGAAGACGAGCGCCTATAGTGCCGCGCGCAGGCACTCTAGGAGGCAGGCCAGAAGCACTCGTGCCCGTTAGATTTGTTTCTGATGGAAGACATGAAAGCAACTCACACTCAAGCCATAGACTCCACTCCTTTCTTGGTCTTCTTGATATTCTTGTTGACAAGCTGCTGCGCCTCATTGACCGTGTGCTAGGCCGCAAAAACGCACATTTGCACAGCCCCTCGCGTGCTCGACTTCTCCATGGTCGTCCGGTAATCAAATATTCCATATACTTTTCTTCTTCAGCGATTTTACTTGTACGTTCACAACCCATTCATATATTCCCTCGACAATCTTGAGTGCCACGTGAAAGGAATATGGCAACGACGACCGCCACACCCCCCTCATTCGCTCTTTTTACAAACCTCCCACGAGAGCTTCGTGAGCAAATATGGCGAGAAACTCTACCCACGGATTCCGGATCAACTCTATTTCCTTACAGAAAAGGTTGTTGGACAGTACGTGACCCCGCCAAAGGCGAGACAGGGTTCGAACCAGGATTCCCAGACCATTTAGAGCTGCTCTTTCTATATGAATCCCTAGACAAACTTCACTTCGACATACCGATCTTCTTTGTCAACTCTGAAGCTCGCGACATCGCCACAACTTGGCTTCGCGAGAAAGGCCTCGAAGTTAAAGTCTATCCAGGACCGGTGCCCCGGCATCAACAACCATGGTGCACCTTTGCGCGAACCTTCAGACCACATCGCGATATATTATACGTGCCAGACGGCAAATCCGCCGACTTCTATAGTGAACCTATCGACTGTATCACTCAGCCCAAGTACGATGGCTATAACTATAACACTACATGCGAAGTTAGCAGGCTTGCTATCTCGGAGACATTATTCACAGAGGGCATTTTTCTTGAAGAACTATTGCAGTTCTGGAACTATCGGGTCAAAGAGCTATTCATCATTGTTGGTCCGCAGCCAGAGGAAGCATGGACAGATAGTGAGGATAGCATGCTAGCACGGTGGGAACTCGAAAGCTGGAACGGTGGATCCTATCGATGGACTAATGATTCATGGGAGATCAATGTGGAAAACCGCGAGCCTATAGACGAGACCAGATCTCTACAAAAGGTTATGGAAGATACTGTGAAGTATTTAGCAGATTTTGATGGGTTCCACGGATATGCCCAGGAATTAAGTATCCGGCTTGTGCGAGCCGTGCAAAGATAAGGAGGACTGTTGAATAGAATATCTTGTTTAGGTTAGTGTTAGCTAAGCTAACCATGTATTTACTTACTTCCTAGGTAGTTTTCCCGTTATTACACTTCTTCCCTCCTTATCAAGGGACGAGGTCACGTAATAAACAGGAACGCCAGGGACCGCTGGGAGCCAGCGGTCCGTGAAGGGGTCCAGGGTGGTCCATAGGAATGAATGTTCCATATAAGCGGATGATTTTCCTTACTCTAGAAGCTGCGTGATTAAGTCAAATAAAGTGACTTTATGCATATTTGGTAACTTGTAGTATAACTCTTGATAAGTGACAGCACCTCTATCTATAATCTAGATAACTAAATTACTTGCACCGCTATCTAACACCAGGATATTAGGTTTGATACAATATAGCTGGAGCCATGCTCCCGTACTGCTCTTTAGTCACAAGTGCGTGGCCCTTATCCACATTTGGCCTCTGCTTGCTTGTACATAATCATTCCATCAAAACTGACTATAACAACTTTGAAACGATACTAGTCAATAACTAAGGTACCTATAGGTATAAGCTTAACAGTGCATATATCGCATTAGCTAAACTGAGCCTACAATCAAATTTCAGGCCTATTCTAAGCTTGTTTAAGTATAATTATGATAAACCAACTTGACCCTCCTTGGCAAATCCACGCTAATTTGCCTGGTGGGAAACGAACCCCAAGTTATTTTTAGAGCTCTATTTTTATACTTGGTGAGCCAAATAATCTGGTCCCTTTCGCCTGGGCTCAGATATGCATAAATTAGTGGGGTTAATCATGTATTCATGCAACGGAACTAATGTAGCTCCCGCCGCATAGCCTCTGCCCTGGGCACCTTACCTATTTATTCAACGCCTCGCCACCCCGACACTAGACCTCGATCTCTTGCTCCTAAACTCAACTACACAACTTCATCCCAACTTCATCCCAGTACCTTTTAAATCCTCCACCCAAGATAATCAACGCATTCACCACCACCTGCCCTGACCCTCTAGCGACAGGTACGTACGAGTTTCTTTCTAATCAATCCTCGGTGGTTTAATACTCGTCACAGCCAATACACTCTGCGACGCAAATCACAGGATGACATCGCACAGTAATGCGGAGCAGGAAGAGCCTACGACGGGGCTTCCGACGACGGACAGCGAATCCGATGTGGAAGAGGATGCACACAGCGATGTGGACGAGGAGGCGATGAAGAAGTGGCTCTCGACGACGTACGAGCGCGGCTCGACAAAGCCCATGAAGGAGCCTCTCACAGCACCTTGGGGTCTGCCGATCAGTAATGCAGACGTAGAAAAGCTTAAAGCCGGGTTTAAATCTCAAAGCATGGACGACAAATGGGACATGCTAGTCGAGGATCCGGACAAACACGGCAACATATCTCTACACATCCTTCGAAACTGGTTACGGGAGGAGTGCTACATACTTCATATTGTTCCGAAACCAAGCAACGATGATGGCGGGAGTGCAAAGATCCAAAGCATCACCTGGGAAGGGAACAAGTCAGGGTTACAATGTGATGCAGAGCAGGCTAAGAAGGAAGCCGTAATTCTTTCTAGAGGCCACCTCCATTGCGAGTTCGAGACGCTCCCGCACTACCCGCCCTCGGTGTTTTGGGATCCTAGTGCTTATAAGAAGCTGGACGCGGAATAGGTTACTAGGCCCGGCCAGAGAGCCATCCGGCAAGCATGGAGGAGTTATCTCATGTTAGGGTTATTTTCCGATACCTTTAGCTGATATGATAGTCAATTTTTCTTGGTACATTGTAAACGTTCTCACTGCCCAATGATGTCGTAACAACTGTAATTGCCCCGATGTCCACCGCACCTACCACAAGCTCCGACCCTGAAACATCTGTCGCAGGGAGCCCTTCAACACAGCGACGCTCTCGCTCTGCAGTGTCCCCGGCGTCCAGTTCAGCGCCGAGACGATAGACCTCTGTTTCGCTCCTCGAATAGAACAGACATCTCTGCTTCAGACAAAGAAGCTTGTTGAGCTTAGTGTGTAAGAGAATATGTTTCTTGGGCGTATAAAAGTAAGCGGTCTTGATAGTTGAAGTAAACTAAAGCCGAAGCTAAACAATCCCATCTTGCAAGGAGTTCCTCCCGCGTCTCCAGCTGCTGCGCCGCAATCTTCTTCTCCTGGGTCAACCGACTGACTGTCATAAGCCAGCTACTAAGGAAGCAAATGCATTCCCTTCAACTCGACACCGACAGACCGACGGAATCATGCGACACGCCCGGTCGTGCGACTCGCAAAAAGGAGCGGGGCATAACTTTAACACCCTCCAGATCAATGTCGTCGGCAAGCGAAATGTGAATTAGATCAAATAACATATGACAAAAGTTGGGACATATATTGGAAAAACAAGTATTTCTATGCATACACGACAATCGGAGCTACTTGATGATGATGATGATGATGATGATCTCAATTTGTTTACCCTTTACATTCCAGACAAAACCCATGCGCAGACTTTTGGCCCTTCGCTATAGCCCAACCCTACCCTACACACACGTGCATTCTTGACTATAACCATACAAAGATCCATTCGGCGTACACTCTCCACTCCTGTTCCGTATCAACCCTATCCGCCCTCAGGTCTACCGATGTGTCCTTGGTATCTAGAGTAAAACATCCAGCGTTGTGGGGTAGGCATCCTAGGACAGGCAGCCCAGGCGCTTGCTCGCTGTAATCAAAACGATAGCTAATTTCAAGCGATGAATGATCGTCCACCTTTCTTTGGCGACGATGCCCCAGCACTGTGCTCATATTCCTCCCTGGTCGTGGTCCCGGTCTTCTTCCCCATTTTAAATGTGTCCCATTGGACGACGTTGTTCCAAGGGATAGAGGACTTTACTGTAAATTCCTTCTCCCCAGGATGAGGGTGTTCTTGTTTTGCCTTCTTGAACTCTTTAACAGTATCAACAACATTGAGGCCCGATGGGTTGATGTAGTAAACGTAGACGTTGCCAGGGGATTTGGCACCTGCTTGAGCTAGTTTCTTATCGCTCGTGGTCGACACCCATGGATCCTTGTCTCCCAAGGTTGCCTTGACATGGTCAATGACGGAGCCGTCTCCATCAGGGTCCCGGCTCATGATGCCTCCAGCAGCTTTGATCTCCGCAGGCGTGCGATAATCCATGCGATAGAGATTGGCAGCCAGAGCAGGGCCTAGTAGCGCCAGGAAAGAAACGAAGTACGTGAAACGAGAGCGACCGAACATTTTGAGTTGATTTGCTTTTTTGGTTGTAAATGTCGAAGAGTTGAGAGACTCGGAAAGATGAAGAGGATTCGGATAAAGAGACTTGGGGAGTTGAAAGAGGTGTCAAGACGAGATAGATGGCTTGGTTTCTAGATTGCAGATGTTCAAGTCACAGAGCAGTAACAGCTTCTTATATACTTTGGTATCTGATTTAAACGTTAAAGATTTGACAGGGTCAGAAAGCTACAGTGCCATGGAGAGATTATAATGCAGGATGGTAATGCTTGATAGAAGGATCAGATGGAGTAAGTACACTGCTTGCCTTGGCTGGATTGCAAGGTATTGGATTATCAATATTAGTCAGAACTAATAAAGAGGTGAAATGTTTAGGGCTGAGCAGGACTCTCTCTTTAATTAGAATGTGTAAGGAAGGTAAGCAGACAGGAAGGCAGAGGATGATGCTACTATGTTTAACTTGAATATACTGATTATTTATCGAGAGTCAAGCTTACAGTGAGTGGTATAGAGTATTTGCGCTCTAACGCGTACCGCGGTTTTGCTAAGCTTATCACACCTACTATTAATATGTATTCCTTGCCGCTTGAACACCCTTGATTGTAATCCAACAGCAAAACAATAACAACAATATCACTAACATGGGCCGCAGAAAGGAGATAATCAACGGGCAGCGGAGCCGCACCTGCGAGCTCCATAGTGTACCTAGAGGTAAGATAGAGATATAAGCGGATTACTAAGCAGCATCTAGAGATGAATATTAGACCTATCAGATACACGATCAAGTGCTAGAATCCCCGCGCATTCAGCCACTAAGCATTTAGGATCAAGCTACGGATGGAAGTATAAATAGATCAAAGCCTTTATGATACTAAGTTTCATCAGGGGCGGAGTTCTGTCGAGGCCCCACTACTGTCATCATATACGGTACTCAATCCTCTAGCGTAGAAAACCAACCGAAGCCACGCTCAGGAACTCCGCGGAAGCTTTCTGAAGAGCAGCGCAATAATATATTCGATGCATCAACCATCAGAACCCCTATACTAACTAATCGAGTGTTAGGGATTCAGAAGTTGGGATCGGGAATGCGCCGGCCACGCGGACCTGAGCCTGAGGGCATGCGCTACCCCGGAAAGCCGCTGCACCGTCCTTGGGCGCGGGCGCATCGTGCTCTGCCTGGTCCATGGCTCCGACATCAATCTTCTGCCCATGAATACCGCTCTCCCATTATGCTCACTCCCTCTCTCTAACGCGCACGTCCACCCTCCACTTGACAATCACTATCGCTAGGTTTGTTCGCGTCTTTCGCCGGTTCCCGTTGACCATCCCTCTTATTATACGGTAGGGATCAGTTAGTGACTAGAGAACATAATCCGTAACCCGGTAGGTAATCCTATAGCTCGACAGACAGACACTGTAACGATGCCTAAGGAGTACTATAAAGTATTGTTAAGGAGCTTTCACTTGATAATAACATAAATGTTAGTAGCACAAATCCAGATAAACAACACTACTGTCTTATACGGCCTATAGTATACAAAAAGAATTAGTACAGCTATTACTTGATAGAGCTATACGTCAAATATTATAAACAGAGATAAACAAACACTAGTCTCTTGGGCTATCTAGAATAGATACAAAGAAGTAGTTTAGTTATGAAATTTTCAGACATCTTAGCCCAGCATTGCTTCGTAACTCATGCAACGAATCGTCTGGTACCACTGCGCTCTACTTGTGGGGGCATAGGTAGTATAAGACCTTTATCGGTAGTAGAGGAGTCTCTACCTTGAAATCATCACCTGTAGACTTGCCTATCTTCTTCAACCCAGGTGCAACAATCAAATGGCCATCTCTCTTCCCTATCTGTAGACTTTCTCCCTCCCTTAAATCCATCGTAGAAGAGTCGTATTCTCCCAAATCATATACCCAGATCACGCGTGCAACTTGTCTGCTCAGCTCCAAGTCTAAGGTGACTGCATCTCCAATTATTCTGAGGAGTTCCTGTTCAAAACCTCCGTCCAAGTTCCTAGCAAATGGCTCGATTGCTCCACTTATACTGTCCCGTATCAAGCGCTTTTGTTTTTCCAGTTTTTCATAAGTATCACCACCTTCCTTCAGATCTAGTTTATCCAAAAGCAGATTAGTTGTCATAGCACTCCATATCTGAAATTTGCGCTCGGCTTCGGAATTCGGGCGAGTGTCTGGTGAAGCTAATTGAGGGCACAAATCGTTAGCACACGGTCTCTTTAGTTTGATCAAGCTCTAAGATATTGCCGAGAAATAAGAAGCTCCATTCCAGCGCACTTCGAAATCTGGGCATTTTCTTCCAACATTGGCTAGATTGTAAGAGAGAAACAGAAGTTGAGGACAACTTACTTTGTGACAACGTCTGATGTAAATGCCATACATCTTCGGCAACCTTCCCAGCCCATCGAAATTGGTTGAATACGTCTCCAGTAAGGACTCGCCATATGATTCCCTGTATCAAACTGGAGCACATTGTCGGTGAAATGGAGAGGTCGAGATAGGCCTTGGGATGCAGTGGGGTTGTCGGCTCGATATAGCGTTTAACAAAATCTCCGTATTCGATCTCGACGCTATGCTTCATCTTGCCATCAAAGTACTGAATAGCAAAGTTCCGGACGCTGTATCTCAAAGAATTGGTCTTTTCAATCAGATATGCGTCGGTGACCTGGTAAAATCCCTGGCCTTGGGCACGAATCTTGTTGAGCTCTCCGGCTAGCTTCCTCCATCCTTTACGCACCTCGTCCAGTTCCCTATTCTTTTCGACCAAATCACTTTCCGATTTCGATAGGATCTCTGCCAATAGTGTCTCCCTTTCGCTCAACTCATTCTCGAGCTGCTTTCGGTGACTGCTCTCCTCTTCCAGATCTCTTTGCAACTGCTGGTAGTGTGGATGAGAACGTACCATATCCAGCTTATTCAAATTGTCTTGGGATTTACTCTCAAGTTCGTCTTTACGCAATTGTTCTTTGAGGGGAGACTTGCGAAGTTTGGGCAAATTGTAGGAAGCGATATTCGCCTCTAAAGGCAGCTGTCCAGTCTCGACTGCAGGTACGGATGGAAGTGAAGATCCTAACGCTGATACTTTTTGGGGCGATCTTGATCTCGATGACCTGGGTGGACATTCAAAAGTCTGCACTTTTGGCAGAGTGCTCGTAGACTTCGGTATATTCGAGCTGTGTAGTTGAGCGGGGCGGTCTGACAAGGGCGGCTTATCTGGGATGACTAGATCATCTCCATCAAGTTCATGATCATTGTTACCGTCTCCATCAACCAGATATAGTAGACGAGGTGTCATCTTAGTCACTCTCTTGACATGAACATCAAGCTGCGTCCGTTGTGATGGAAGTCTGTGTACTTGTATCGAAATGGAAGTGTTGGTTCTCGTGGGCACAAAAGGTCAGGGCAAAGGTATGTGGTGCCTTGTACATCTTGTCAAAGCAATATCGTTAAAGGCAGACAGACACAAGTATTACCTTTGTCCCCTAAGAATAATCAACAACTGTATTGGCAGGCCGGAAATGCGGGGGGTGCCAAGAATGTTCACATCCTGTAGATAACGACTCAAACTTAGAGCTGAGAATATGCATTAGCGCCTGAAGCTACGCCTCGCCATGTCTGTTACCGCATATCTTACTGTTTCCAGTCACCGAGTACTTGCATTGGTAATCTGGTCTCAGTTGATGCCCGACGCGGGATATTTGAGCGACTTTGATTCGACCCGTTTACAATCCAGGCTAGTTCACGAGTCCTGGAAGAAAAGTGACTGCAGCAGCCACTATAGGAAATCAATTCTATTGGATGGTAAACCCAACATTGGATTATTGGCTTGTGACAGTGGCGTTGGTGCAGGACGACTTGCTAGGAACGTTGATGCGGCTGAGCAGGGAGAGAACATACCTGAAAGTAGTCACCTAGTACAGTAAACCCCGCGTTGAGGCTTCCATGCCCTATTCCAAGCGTTAATAATCTGTCTGTTAAAAGGGTTCGTTGCTCTAAAATTCCTTGCAGTCAAGTTTAAGCAAATTCTGCGAAGTGCATCTTTCGAAGAGAGTATCCGTCCTTGATTGCCTGGTTTTTGCACTGTCTCACAACACTGATTTAGCTGTCGTCATGCCACCACAGAACAATCATCGCAGTAAGCATGAAGACATTGGAAGATGATCATTTCTCTAGATTTTCGAAGCTTCGCTACTCGCTCCCTTTCCGCTTTTCTTGCTAGTTTCAGCTTCTCCATCTCCGTATCTTTGAGCTTGCGCATATATGCTAATGATTATTTTGCGTCAAGTCTTCGAGACCCTAGTTGAAAACATGAAGTTATACGACTCATCTGAGGCTGGAGATGACAAAATTGACGACGTTCTGGTCATTGGGATCGATTTCGGCACAACGTTCGCTCTCCTTTGAAGTTTCATGTTTCATATACTAATTTGTGTTTAGATTTTCGGGCGCTGCGTGGGCTACCGACGAAGATTTCAGAGCTGAACATATAAACGTGATTACTAGCTGGCCAGGTTACGGTAGAGAAGAGGGCAAGGCTCCAACCGAACTCTTCTATGAGGACGGTAAAGTGATGTGGGGATACGAAATTCCAGTCGATGCTGCTCCCGTCTCATGGTTCAAATTGCTTCTTGTAAAGGACGCAGATCTCTCCGAAGAATTGAGGTCTTCGGAATTCTTGTTAAGAGGAAGGAAGATGCTGAGAGAGAATGGTAAGACTGCGATTGACTTGATCGCGGACTATCTTAGAGCACTCTGGGCGCATGTGCTGGATACTATCCAGAAAGCCCGCGGTGAGTCAGTTGTTGACGCACTGCCTTTCCATGTCGTTATTACAGTACCAGCTATCTGGAAAGGGTATGCTCGACAAGGAATGGAGAAAGCTGCAAAACAGTCGGGGATCTTGGACCCACGCGCAGCCGGACCTACTATGCTGACCTTCGCTCCTGAGCCGGAAGCCGCAGCGCTATCAGCTCTTTCGGAACCTGGTCGCAAGCCCAAGGTATGAAGAAAGGTGTGCCTACTATCTAAGATAGTCAAGCTGAAAATCCTAAGGCTGGAGATGTGTATGTAATTTGTGATGCTGGAGGTGGCACGGTGGTAAGTCTAAGCCGGGAATGCATCTGCTTATAGAACAAATATTGACATGTAAGGACCTCATTACTTACGAGGTTGACTCGTCGAAAAAGCCTATTTTAATGCACGAGGCGGTTGAAGGAACAGGTACGTTCATGCTAAATTAGTGCAAACTAGGTCCGTATCAAAAACGGAGTTGATGGACTTGCTAGGTGGTCTTTGTGGCGGCATTTTCATTGATCAAGCCTTTGAAGATATGTGCAGAGCGCGACTTGGGAGAAAATGGGATCGTTTGAGCAAGTCAGGAATCAAGCAAATCATGAAGAATGAGTGGGAGGCTGGCACAAAGCCGGAGTTCAAGCCTTCGAACACCAAAGACTACATCGTTGCAATTCCAGCTGAGGCTTTTGGAAAAGAAAGTTTAGATGACACATCAAAAGAACCCGTCATCAAAAACGGAAGAATTCATTTCAAAAGGTGACCCATTTTTTCCTGCTAGGATGATGCAGAAAGCTGACGCGGGAAACAGTTCACATATTGAGAAAGCGTTCTCTCAATCGTGGTCGGACATCGAGAAGCTAATCGATGAGCAGATCAGCAGAGCTCGAGGTCATGGATCTCATGCGACAGTAAGATGAGACTTTTTCCCGTGTGAATGTTCGCTGATAATGTGTCAGGGAATCATTCTAGTCGGTGGGCTAGGTGGAAGCCCATATCTTTACCAAGTGCTGAACGCAAAATATGGAAAATCCGGTATTAACATTCTGCAATCTACTGGAATGCGGCCGTAAGTGTGCAGTCTATAGAATTGGAACTTGACCATCCCTTGAATACTAACGCTATCGTCGTAGACGAACTGCCATCTGTAGAGGCGCCGTATACAAAGGATTCATGGAGGGCGCAGGTGGCAACGCCGATGCGAATCAGCCTAACATTATAGCAGTTACCTCAACAGTATCAAGATTTAGCTTGGGCGTCAAAATTCGTGTCCCTTTTGTAGAAGGAAAGCATCTCGAAGAGGACAAAGAATGGGATGAATGCGAATGTGAGTGGAAAGCTAGGAGTCAGATGGAGTGGTATCTCGAAAAGGTTTGTACTGAGGGGGTTTACCTAAAAACAACGGCTAAACCATCTCTAGGGAGAGAATGTCTCGAGAAAAGACCCACTTAGAAGGTCGTACTACAGAACCTCCAAGACTAACTTTGGTACATCTTGCTCGCTTAATTTGTATCAGTGCGACGAGCTAAAGCCACCGTCGCGGAAGACTTCTAAGGTCAATAGTCTGTGTATGATTAGCTTCACGGTCGATACCCCATTCAAATCGCTGAAGGAATACACAAATTCCTGGGGAGAAAAGTACAGGAAGCTATCGTACGAAGTTGAAATGGTGCCATCAGGAGCATCCTTAGACTTTGTAGTGTATGTAAATGGAAAACGACAGGGAGCACAGAATGTGGCTGTTAGTTTTAAGTAGGCATTACTAGTAGCTTAATATAGTTCTTAACATACCTTAAAGAAGATACCTAGTAAGTATAACAAGCGTTACAAGAATCCTACTAGGTAGGCGTTTATAACAGATACTAATCTAATTAAATTCTAAGCTAAAGAGAAAAGAAGAGTAAGAAAAAAGAAAGTACTATATATAAGTTACTTCTTACCTTATAAACAGATTCTTACTTACTAACTTATATAACTTATTCTTTATATAATTTATTAGTATATAATATCTAGAGTATTATATAACTAATTATAATAGTAGTAAGCTAGTACTAGCTTTATTATATTACTTTTCTTTTCTAAAAAAGCTTATTCTTAAGTATATTAACATTACTTTATTATTATCTAGTTCTTTATACTTATCTTACTTATCTTTATAAGTTTTAAGCTAACGTTCTAAGCTCTTTAGTAGCTTAGATTAATCTTAGTATTATTTAAGGTTAAGGGTTTATTATTAGTACTATTATTAGTAATATTATTATTATTATTATTCTTACTATCTATACCTAATGTATATAGAACCTCTATACTATATAAATCACGTAGTAAAACTGTACTAAAGCTAGGTAAAAACTTATATACTACTTCTTTAACTTATATTGTTATAGCGCTACTAGGGTACTAAGACCTTACTACTACCTTACTAGAACTTAACCTTTTAGCCTAGTAATACTAAATATACTAATAAAGTACTAGTAGTACACTAGTAAGACACTAGCTATTAGCTAAGATTACACTCTCTCTCTTTCTTAGCTAGGTAGTACTTAGCTAGCCTAAACTATAAGAACTAGCTAATAGATAGTAGCTAATAGATTAGTATATATATACTCTTTTCTCTCTTTATTACTACTATAAATGTCACGGGTTAGAACCCGGTAAAGGGTTAGTGCCGAGCACGTGACCGACCGGACTATCGTTACCTTATTATAATAGTAGTAGAGTTTTCTCTTACTTTCTTGTCTTATATAAACCTTTCTTCTTTAGAGTATTCTTCTTATAGAATAGACTAACATTTACTTAAGTATTGTTACAGGTTAGAACCTAGTAAAGGGTTAGTGCTAAGCACGTAACCGACTAGACTATCGTTACCCTGCCCTAATAGTAGTAGAGTTTTCTCTTACCTTCTTATCTTGTACAAACCTTTCTTTCTTAGAGTATTCTCCTTATAAAATAAATTAATATTTACCTAAGTATTATATTGTCGGCCCTTAACATTAGAATACTCTTAACCCTTTCTATCTAATTAGAGCTTCTTGTTATTACAGGTTAGAACCTAGTAAAGGGTTAGTACTAAGTACACGACTAACTAGACTATCGTTACCCTACCTTAATAGTAGTAGAGTTTTCTCTTACTTTCTTGTCTTATACAAACCTTTCTTTCTTAGAGTATTCTCTTTATAGAATAAATTAACATTTACCTAAATATTATATTATTAGCCCTTAACATTAGAATACTCTTAACCCTTTCTATCTAATTAGAGCTTCTTGTTATTATAGGTTAGAATCTAGTAAAGGGTTAGTACTAAGTACGCGACTAACTAGACTATTGTTACTCTACCTTAATAGTAGTAGAGTTTTCTCTTACCTTCTTGTCTTATATAAACCTTTCTTTCTTAGAGTATTTTCTTTATAGAATAAATTAACTTTACTTAAGTATTGTATTATTAACCCTTAACATTAGAATACTCTTAACCTTTTCTATCTAATTAGAGCTTCTTATAGCTCTATTATATAAGAGTATAAAATAAAGTAAGACTACCTAATAATAAGTTTTTAAACCCTTTTTACTAGCTTATCTAAAGGTTAGAATAACTAAGAGTAGTTGTCTACTAAACTAAGGTAAAGAAAACAACTAGAGTATAAAGTAAAGTAGTTAAGGTAAGTAGTATAATAACTTTAAGCTTAGGTAGCCTAATACGTAAACCTACTACCTTTTATACTAATCTTAGCTGTCTTAATACTATTATCTATAGTCTTAATACTATTACTTACTACTATCGTCCTTATAAGGCTACTAGCTAAGCTACTAGCTAAGTAACAAAAGAGGTTCTTTTTAGATACTACTATATTTAATAAAACTAAAGCCTAGTTTACTATATAGTGTTTAGTAATTAAAGCTAAGCTTATAGTAGACCTTACTTATAATACGTTAACTATACGATTCTAGTATATTTATAGCTAACTAATAAGTAAGGCCTTAACCTAGATTACTCTTTAGGTTAGGTTAAATATATAAAATAGACTAATAGTTAAGAAAAAGATAGATTTTAAGCTATTAAAGTAACTTTAGTAAGTGTTTAATAATATAAAGTTAAGAGAGTTAACTAAGACATAGTTATATAAGTTAAAGTAAAGAAACTAGAGTTTTATAGCGTTTTTAGTAAACTTTAAGTATATATTATTAAAGGCTAGAGGCCTAAGTTAAGATAATAACGTAAAGAAGTCTTTCTTAAAGAGTAGTGTATTAGATAAGCTTAAGCTAGTAATTATAGTCTAAGACATACTTATGTTATATATAGACTTTTATAAGCTTTTAGAGACTATAAGCTATAACCTTAATACTATTAAGAGGCCTAGATAGAGACAGATAGGCTACTAGGCTAAGGCCTACTATACTTTACCTTTAAGAAACAACCGGCCTAATAACTAGATAAACTAAGAACTAACTTATATAATAAAAGTTACTACTACTTATTTATAATAATAGTAGTAAGCCTAGTAAGTATTAGACAAGATTATTAGTTAGTACTATATAGCTAAGAAATACTTATAATATAGTAGTAAGGACTACTTTACCTAAGAATATTACTTACTACTAGCTTAAAAGCCTAATAGCTTAACCTAACCTAAGAAAATAGCTATAACGTCTACTTTAAGGCTACATATAATAATATACTAGGCTATTAAAGAACTATTAAATAAAGAAGACATACTAAAAAAAGAGAACTTAAAAAATAAGTAGCTCTTATTTAAAAGTATAAATAAGAGTAAAAGAAAAGAGTAAAGAGAGTATAAGACTAAGACTAGTAAAGGTTTAAAAAAAAAGTAATAAATTACCCTTTCTTTTTAGTATTAATATTAGTTAATAAAGAATGTTTTACTTATATACTAGTAGATTTAGGTTACTTATTATATAAACTAATAGACTCTTGTTTTACTTAAAAACACTATCTCTAGTATATTAGTTATAAACCTTATATAATTACTAGCTTTAAGTAGTTATTAGAGAGTATAATTAATAAGGTCGTAATAGTTAATACTAATATTAATAGCTATATAAAAGAGAAAAGCTACTTTTATATAGTTCTAAACCTAGTATTATATAACGTTATCTTTAGCCTCTCTTAAATAATATAGTATAATATCTACTTAAGTCTAAAAAGGTTAGAATTAGTAGTTAGCTTATTTAGTATATAAGTTAGAAACTAGACTATTAACCTAGACAAACCTTTAAATTACGTAATATTATTAGTAGCTAGGTTTATATCTACTATATAATAAAAAAAGAAAAAGAAGAAGCTTTAGGTCTTTTTAACAAGTATAGCTAATATCTAAAAGGCTTTAGCTACTAAAAAGAAGTCTAATTATCGACTTCTTTTACTTACTTAGTACTAAGAGTTCTTTTTATTATTTAATTATATAAAAGTAAAGAAGTTACTACTACTTTATAGTAAGTTAGTTAATTACGCTATTAAGATTAAGAAGACAGATAGAAAAGAATAAGAGATCTTATAAAGGCACTTATATAGTATGTTAAGAGACAAGCTATTAGTCCTCTAAAAGACCTTAACTAACCTACTAGATAAGTAATTTATCTAGGTTAGTAACTTACTAGTAGTAGCTTTAGTACTCTTTATATAAAAGCTAAGAAGTAGACTTTAGTTTTGTATTAACTACTAGAAGCTAAATAAGATTACTTAAAAGGACTAATACCCTCTCTTATTAATCTATAAGACTTTATAAAACATTAGATAAGTAAAATAGTTTATAAAGCTAGATATAATTATAGCCTTTTATAAGATATAAGTTACTAAGAGTTAGGTTTAGGTTAAGGTTAAGGGTTTATTATTAGTACTATTAATAGTACTACCTTTACCTCTTAAGACACGCCCTTTCTAAGACTTATTACTAGAACGTAGTAGATAAGATCTAGATACTCTTTAGGTACTATACTTTATACTAACGCCCTTAAGGTACCTCTCTTAAGACATATCTTATTTATAGTATTAAACTAAGGTATACTTATATAACTAAAGGCCTAAGGTAGAACTACTTAAGATTCTATAAGAAGATGTATATACTACTAGATTACTCTTATATATATATATAGTATGTCTTAACTTTACTAGGTTAAAAGGCCTCTTACTACCTTACTATAATAATATAATAAGAACTACCTAAGAGTTATAATTAGTTAAGCCTTATCTAAGGCTAAGGCCTTTATAAAGAGTCTAGTCTAGTGTTTTACCTTTACCTTAAACCTCTTTAAGAGAATACTAATACTACTATATAATAAGAACTAAAAAAGAACATCTATTTCTTTCTTATTAAACCTATATTCTATCTTTAAGTAGTACTACTTACTAAGACCTGTTAATTACTTACTTTTTATATAGATATACTAGACGTCTCTTAACCTTAGAATACTAAGGGTTTTAATAGCCTTATCTAAGTACTTAATAGTATTGTCTTATATAAGAAGTTTATATAAGGTTCTTTTTCTTATAAGCTTTCTCTTTTCTCTTTACTTTTATTAAAGGCCTACTTAGGCTACGTAAAAACCCATGGGTCCCTACTAAATAGGTTAGGTACCTACCTTATAAGGTAGGTTATAGTATATAAGACCTAACTTATAGGTCCTTAAATAAATCTACGACCTAACCTATAAGGTAGACTTAACCTATAGGTTAAGGCACTAAGGCACTATTATACTATAGCTTACGATAC